TCGTTGTGTATAATCTTACAAAAAAATAAAAGTTTATTATTTTCACAAACATAATAATTAAGGGTTTTTTTCGATGATCTGTTTTTATACTCTACAAAAAAATATATCGGATTTCAGTATTTTTGAGAAATGATATGCGATTATTCTCAAGAAAGAGAAATGAAAAAAATTGAAACTCATTTAAAATAATTTGATTTTTTATGGGAAATTCCTACAAAATATCACATTTCCACTAACTATTCAAAAATGTCTTCAACATGGCCTGGATGTCTTCAAACGAAAATGCAAATCAAAGTGCTATTATATTTAAGGGATAGTAGTTTTCTTTTGGACAGATAGTCACTGGAGAGAGAGAGAGAGAGAGAGAGAGAGAGAGAGAGAGAGAGAGAGAGTCCCAAACCATTAACTATTCAGAAAATTATTGCTTTTCATGTCTTTTGACTTGACTTTTACTTTATATTATACTGTATATACATATTGTGTTACAGTATAAATCATATGACTATACATTTACTGACCACTAATAGAAACAGTAGTATCTATTGAAATAGTATAATAAATATAGTTTTGTAGAATAATTACTTTATTTAGATATTTAACAATAATAGCAAAATATATAAAGTGAGATAATAGTGTATGTCTATAGCTATATAATATTATATAATGTATATTGTTATAATTATATATAATTTTAATTTTAAAATAAATGTCAAATCATTTATAGTGTATATACTGAAATAGCTATAGTATTGTAATTTATAATAAAGCGTAAAATTGCAAAATATAACGTTTGGCCGATAAAACATCAAACATAAGTGACATTTAAAATTTGTTACATAATATCAATCAATGTTCATATATATACCGGTATACAGTATTACTGTATTTGATGCCACACTTGTATGTGAAAAGGCTGGCTCTTAAAATGTTTGTCTAATTGTAATGTTATATAACAATGAATATCATTATTATTGACATAATGTCATCACCACTTGAGTGCCACCGAAAAAAATCTCAAATAATAACTATAACTTTGTTTCGGGAAATAATTTGCCACAAAATAATATCATAATAATAATACAACGTTTGTGTGTATGTGTGTGTGTGTGTAAGTTAAACATTTTAAGAGAGAAAAAACACATAGCCTAAGTGTGTGTGTGTATTGGTGTGTATTGCTTATAGCACAGGGATGTGTGTGTTGTGCAACATCTTGGGTGGTCTGCCATTCACTGGTGGTCTCCAATCCTTACGAGTCGTCACTACATTTAGATCGGACTTAACATTATATAAATGAGATCTCAACGAAAAATAAAAATTTACAAAAAAAATCTACACTACAGTATGAATTCAATACGATTTTTTTCGGGGCTAAAAATGCTTAGTTTTTCCTCTAAAATAATTTATATTATATAATATACAGTGTATTAGACATGTAGAGAAAAAAAATTAATAAAATAAAAACATCAAAATGTGTTAATTTTATAAAAATATATGAAGCCATATACGAGAGAGAGAGAGAGAGAGAGAGAGAGAGAGAGAGAGAGAGACCTAAAAATAAAAGAGAGAATAACAGTATATTTAAAACATAATTTGATTTATTTAAATTTAAATATTTGCAATTTAAATTATCTAATTAGGCAAACTATTTAAATTATTATACCGATCGTAAAATATTTATAGTATAATAAAATTAAATTTTATGGTGACTATGTTTAGTTTTTTTTTTTAAAAATAAAATTTAAGTTTATCATTATTACAAATGTAATTTATTATATCACATTAGATATGTGATAGTAATTTCATAAATTATATTCTAACTAATAATATACTGTATATTTATTAATATTATAATGCTAAAAATTTAATACAGTATTTAATTATTGTTATTGATATAATGTTTTATATAATATTGACATTTATTTGATAAAATATTTTTATTGAATATTTTTTCTTTAAATTATTTACTTTGTTTAGTATAATAACGATATACTTATTATTTTTTAAATAATTATAATATTTTAATAGTATTTGTATAATTAAGATTTAATGTATAGTTTTATTCAATTATTTCTCACTTTTGACAACAAACAAATACATCAACAACAAAAAATTAAACTATAAAATATATAAATAAATGAAAACATCAAAATATAATTTACCTGTATTATAATATTGTTTAATATCAATCAGAAACATGAGGCAATGTATATGCATACTAAATATATATATATATATAGTAATTGTAATGCATAAATATTATTATTATTATAATTATATAACATTATATAAATAAATTGGTATATTGAACTGAATTTTAACTAACTTTAATGATAGTTTTTTTTAAATTTAAAATTCAACTTTAAATTAGTATATTTATATTGTATATTCATTTAAATTATGTCTTGTATTCAATAATAATAATAACAAAAAATAAATAAATTAAAGAATAATGGATTATATAATAATGATATTTTAATTACATAACAACATTTACAATTTATAATTTAAAAACAACATATTTTATAATAAAACTTTTTATTTTTTTATATATAATTTATTATATTATTTATAGATTTATAAATAAAATCTCAATTTCATGACTAATTCATCAGTTATTGAGCCATCCATTTGGTATATAAAGCCTTCCTATAAAATATAATAAAAATAGTGATAATATTGTTAATTAAAATATTTATCAATTTAAAATAATTTATATAATTTAGTAAAAATGGAAATAGTATAAAAGGAATTTATTATTGAAATTGAAATATATTTAATTAATTAAAAGTTAATTAAAGTTATTTAATATGTGCTAAAATTTAATATTAAAATTAAAGAATTTATTGACATATAAACTGACAAAATATTTTGATTTAGAATTTTTTAAAGTCTTCATAAATTTAACAAAAAAAAATAAATAAATAATTACATAATAAAGTAATTACTCTAATAAATTCAATTAATTTTTTTAAAAATTTTATCTGAATTTTACGATTTACACACAGATTTTAACGAAAAGTTTATTAGCAAATTATTTCCAATGATTGCCATATATTTGATATGAATGTGATATAAGATATACTGAACTGTACTAATAAAAGTTTTGCAAAAAAAATATTATGTGATATATTAAAAACAAAACCAAAATTTTATTACTAATTTTATTTTACGTGATAATCATAAGCCCATTAGCAAAATTGGCATTTAATTGCCCATATTTAGTAAATCATATTGAATTTTATGGTATATTATTTTCTCCCTAATTTTATTTAATGTTTTTTTCCCATAAAGCAGTTATCTACAACAAACCATCTATCAAATAATAAGCTTACAAAATTGTTTGTGATATTATCAAATTATTTAATTTATTATTTCAATATTATCTGTTAATTTTTAAATATACATATATACACCGTATGAATCTTATATAATTAACAAGCAATAGTATGACAACACAAACATTGATAGCAATTGGGGGGGGGGTTAATTAGTCCCTTTAAAAAAATAATTATGACATATATTTAATTAAGTATTTAAAAATATAAATATTAATTGCATTTTCAATAAATTCAAGACAATCAATAACTATTTTCCATAATTATAATTTGTATAAAAAATAATTTAAATTTTTTTTAAAAAAGCATATTTGATTAATTGAGTTAATATATTTTATGATACATGAATATAAAATTTTGAAATAAATTGATAAATTATTTGAAAATCCAATTACTAATTTGTGTCATAAACTATACATACTATAAATAGTTACAGTATATATTGCAAGATATGCTAAACTATAAACTGTTAGTGCAATTTGCAATTTGTTTGCTTTTAATAATTTTAGTCATAAAAATAAGTCATAAATATAATAAATATATTAGAAAAAATATATCATAAAATAAATTTCTAGTTATGGTTTATTAATGACTTATATTCTGTATATATTATAATGTATTGAAAGAAACAGTATCTTTCAATATCTTTATTGATGATGTCCTATAAAAACATACCGATGCTCTGGAGAGAGAGAGAGAGAGAGAGAGAGAGAGAGAGAGAGAGAGAGAGAGGAAAAAATTAATTCCTGTAAACCCCTGCGGTTGGATCGACCTTAAAATTGGTTGGCTATCCCTTATATACAGTATATATAATATGTTATAAAATATAGTTATTGATAGATAACTATATTATGCAGTACACATTATACTAGATTTTTTTTTTAATGTTTTATTGGATACATAATTTCATATATAATTTACAGTAACAAAAAAATTTTTTTGATCACTTAATGAAAGTTATAATAGAAATATAAGTTATTTTCTTTCTTTATTTATTTCAAAAGAAGATTATTGAATCAAATAATAATTCAATGATTTAGTGATAACTTAATGCAATAATTGCCTCATAGGGTCGTTGGCTCACATAATATATCATAACATATATATATATTGAAAAATTGAAAAAATATCTTTATTTTTAAAGAAGCAATTTATAAGACTTATATATACCTGTATATACAGTAAAGTATATGAGAAGGACAGGTGTGTCAGTTTTAGTTAGGCTTTTATATATATCTATATATTTATACAGAAATCAGAACTTCATTATATTGTTTGAGAGAAAGAGAGATAAAGATATTTTGTGGGCCCGTATGCTGAGGCACAGCTCAACTGTCAGCAAAAAAGACAGATAACTTAGTTTTTGTTGGCAATAGAGTATTGGCGCCAACAGGGGTTCGGCACCTGTTTCTCGGGGGATACACACACACACACACACAAACCTAAAAATTAAAAACCCATATAATGACTATTGAATTATTCTTAGTTTGCATTACATGAGGACTGACGTGAGTTTGTTTTCGACACCAATAGCTGACATAATCTTCAATAGAAATCACTTATAGATATATGACTTACCGTTTTCTCTTCTCTCTATCTCTGGTTTTATGCCATCCCTGAGTCGTTTGACTTTTTCTCTCTTTTTTTCTCAATAATTTTCTTATATCAGATGTCAGTGAATGTCATACAAGTCATGGCCAACAACAGCAACAACACTACTAATAGTGATAACTTATCCGTCAATGGTTTAACAGTTGTGGACAACGATCGCTGTCCCATAACATCAATTTCATTATCGTCGATGTCATCGACACTATAGACATATTTGCCAAAACACAGTCTCTCGGTATTGTCTTTGATCCGTTGACAGGGAAAGTCTTCACTTCCATCACAAAAACAAGTCTTTAATTTCGATGCCTTTTCCTGTCTGTCCAAAATCGACAAACTATTGTTACACCGTGGCGTACATCGGCGTCCATCGAACAGTCCGCGACAAAATCGATGATAAAAGTCTAGTGCAGTACTGCATACCGGATCAGCTAAACAGATCCAACGGGCCGTCGAACACGACACTACCGAATCTTCGGCAATGGCCGCCACTACCGAAGCTCTGCACACTTCGATTCGTTCTTTATTCAGTTCACAAAACTTGGATCCGTCACACTCACAATCAACCAGTTCTTGGCCCTCTTCGGTACTCATCAGAGCTATCAGTGCCCTTTGACAGGCCGGCTGACACTTGTTGGTTCGGCCGGCTATTAGGTCGGCGCAGTCAACCATATACCCATGCAAACTGAACCCACAACCCATCCTTTTTTTATTAACAAATATATATATATATATGAAATAAGTTATTATATAAAATATTTAGGATATATTTGTTTGTTATCTATTTTTATGTTAAAAATACTATTTAAAAAATAATAGACACTTACCTATAGGCACATTTGGTTCGGGCGATATCACATCGGGTACAGTTGATCCACTTGATGGACATTAACATGAGTGCCACAAAAATTTCAATAAACTCAGATTTCATAATTTTGTTTTTTTTTATTAAAAAATACTAATAATAATAATAAATAATATATATTTATAATATAATTATATTTGTATGATATCAACAAATTATTGAAAACTTTATAATAATTGTTAATAAAATTTCGTAGTATTGAATCAAACTATTATCGATAGCTTTAGTGACAGACATTATATAAAAACTTATATATCATATGGTAAACACTTATACAGTACTCTCTCTCTCTCTCTCTCTCTCTCTCTCTCTCTCTCTCTCTCTCTCTCTCTTTTCTGACTTATCGGTAAAAATTGAAAACTTTTAGCTGAAACTTAAGAAAAACCACTTTTAAGACTTAAAAGAGGTATCTCTTTCTCGCTATAATACTCTCTCTGAACTAAAGTTTTCACTTAAAGTTTTTCAAGTTTTTGGGCAATAAATTGCATGAAGACCTGTGTGTATGTGTGAGTCGGTCCCAAAAACGATAGGCCACTCCTTGTTTATGTTGAAAGAGAGAGAGAGAGATCCACTTCTTCAAGAGGTTGTGTTTGGCCCTCTTGAGTCTTGTATACAAAGTAATGGATATGGGTTTTAAAAATTTTCCAAATATGATATTTGTTATCATAAGAAAAAATAAATACAATTTAAATCATAATATTTTCAAACATTTAGATAATGAATTTTATATAATTAAATTGAAAATTAATGATAAAAAAATTATTGCTTGTAATTAGTGTTTTTTTAATAGAGTATGTTTAATTTACTAAAATTTAATTGCTTGATACATGCTAGTATAATATATAATAATAATATAAGCTAAATATGTGTGCTAATAGTGTTTAGAAAATATAGCATTTATAAAAAAATATAATCCTAATATAATAAGTATTATTAGATTATGCTATTAAACAATTATTGTCATTTAATTTAACTTTTTTATATTTATTAATAAAGTGTTTAAAGTTTTATTTTTAAATAATGCTATATTTATAACTTGGATAACAAATTTAATTTATTTTACTTTACTGTATAAATATATATACAGTATTGTATAATCAATAAAAACAACCAAAAAAAATTACTAAAAGTTTTGGAAAACAAATTTTGAAATATATTAATAGCACGTGTAGTCGACAGCTCGTGCGTCGGTGTATTCACACAGGTATAGACCACTCCTCTATATTCTGACATACAGTTCCCCCTCATATTGTTTGCTAACTGTATTATACAGTGTATATGTATGTATATTTATAAACAAATATTATTTGAATTGACACTGTAGTTAAATTTTATGTACTTTACCGGTAACATACACTGTTGTATTAATACTTTATAGTGTATTATAGTTTATTTAACTCATTTTTTATTATTATTAAAAGTTTATATTTAAAAATATTAATAGCAATATTTAATAATAATAAAAAATAATAGTAAATTTACCATTCATAATTTATTCAATAAAAACATTTGTAAAATGTATATAAGCATTGACATTGAAAATTTGTTCAAGGCTATTTTTGAAAAACTCGTAAACGCTGTGTGATTGACTGTAATAATGCTGAAAATTTTTATCATTTTTTAATTTTTTAATAAAACATTTAGTTTATTAATTAATTAATAAAATCCATGAAAAACTAGTTTGTTTTGTGTGTTGTATTATCTAATAATATCTTGAAGTGTTGTTCATATGGTTTCAAACTAAACAGTGTTGAAGTGTTTTCTTATCTCTTTTAAATGTATTGATGAAAATGGATATAATGTTTATTAGATTATTATTATTATTATTATTTTCATGACATAATTATTGATTTTTAATGTAATATTTTTTTTAAAAATTAAAAATAAAATAATATTCAATTATTTCTTAACTTTTTTTAATGTCTAAAAATTAATTATCCTATTTGTGTGTATAATAAATTTGTTTTTTTTAAATATATATAACATATAAACAAATATAAATCAATTTTAAATAGTTTTAAATGTTATAAAAAAAATTAGTAATAATTTTTCAATTGATGTGATCATTAAAACAAAAATATATATCATTTATATAATAATGAATTGTTTGCAAACATATCGACAAATTAATTACATTTCACGACATCTTGTCGTTTATCGGCAAAGTCTTTATGTCGGACAGTGTCGACAATTATCACTATCATTGTCACGAAATGCCAAACTATGTACCGATGTCTTCGAGGCCATCAAAGACATAAAAGACGGTTCAAGAATATTTGTGGGCGGCTTTGGTCTCTGCGGAGTTCCCGAGAACTGTATCGCAGCGCTGGTCAAGAGTGGTGTCAAAGACTTGACACTTGTCAGCAACAATGCCGGCGTCGAAGACTTTGGTCTCGGTTTACTGTTACGCACCAAACAAGTCAAACGAATGATATCGTCATATGTCGGCGAAAACAAAGACTTTGCCAATCAGTATCTGTCCGGCGATCTCGAGCTCGAGTTTGTACCGCAGGGAACACTAGCCGAAAGAATTCGGGCCAAAGCTGCCGGTATTCCCGCTTTTTATACGCCAACCGGCTATCAAACACTGATTCAGTTGGGCGGCGCTCCTGTAAAGTACAATAAAGACAAAAGTGTTGCCATCGAGAGTAAACCGAAAGAGACTAAAGTTTGTTTCATTCATTTTTTTTAAATAAAAATTAAATAATTAAAGTTTTAACACCAAATCTAATGGATAGAAATTATTAATTTTTTTTAGATATTTGATGGAAAACATTATGTCTTAGAAGAAGCATTGAGTGCCGACTTTGCATTAGTAAAGGCCTGGAAGGCCGATACGGCCGGTAATCTGGTTTTCCGTAAGACTGCTTCCAACTTTAATCCCGTTATGTGCAAAGCGGCCGAAGTGTCCATCGTTGAAGTCGAAGAGATCGTAGATGTTGGCGAATTGCCGGCCGATCAGATCCATGTGCCGGCTATTTATGTGAACAAGTTTTTCAAAGGCAAACAATTTATTAAGAAAATTGAGAAAACTGTTGTGAAAAAGTCAAAGACCGAAAATTTGGCCAACAATTTGGACGCAAAAAAGTTGAAAGCCATACAAACACGCGAAGTGATTGCCAAAAGAGCTGCTCTCGAATTAAAAGACGGAATGTTTGTCAATCTCGGTGTTGGTATACCAGTGTTGGTCACACAATACTGTTCCGATAAAGTGGTATTTCATAGCGAAAATGGGATTTTAGGTCAAGATTTTTATTATTATTATTATTACAAAGTTTTGTTTTTGTTATTTATTTTTTGACATCAATTTTCAATGACTATATAAAAACTAACCGTAACTGTAAAATAAAATCAAAACTAATAGGTATGGGTCCCTATCCTGAGCCAAACGAAGTGGACGCCGATTTGATAAATGCCGGCAAAGAAACGGTAACCACATTACCCGGATCGTCGTTTTTCGGTTCGGACGAGTCTTTTGCCATAATACGCGGCGGACATCTCAATGTGACAATGTTGGGAGCCATGCAGGTCTGGTATCTATCATCCCATACCCGTCCTCTAACTATTTTCTAATATTTATATGGATAATCATTGTCTGTTTTAATGGCACAGGTGTCCGAAAAAGGAGATTTAGCCAATTGGATGATTCCGGGAAGTCTTGTTAAGGTTCAGTACTATATCCCTAACCGTTGTTTTTAACACAATAATTGTATCTAATTGTTAGTATCGGTAATTGAAATCATATCATTGATTATCATGATTAGGGTATGGGTGGAGCCATGGATCTGGTATTTTCGCATTACTCGGGCACCCGTGTCATCATCACAATGGAACACAATGACAAAAATGGCGGTTCGAAAATTGTGGCCAACTGTTCGCTGCCCATTACCGGTGCCCAATGTGTCGACACCATTATCACTGAAAAAGCTGTCTTCAATGTGGACAACGGTCTGGAACTCATAGAGATTGCCGACAATTTGACAGTCGATGAGCTCCGCAAGTGTACGGCCGCGGCATTCAGGGTATCGCCTAATTTGAAATCAATTCAACAGATTCTGTGATTTTGTATTTCTAATGTATAAAAAAATTTAATAATTGTTATGACATTTGATGTTTGAGATGAAAAACTGATTGAATTATTGTTAAATTGAACAATAAATTTGTTGTAATTATATTCAATGAGATTATAGTTATTTTTCTAATTTAAATTTAATTTTATATAAATTATGTGTAAAATTATAATAATAAATACAAAAAAAAAAGTTTTTAAACATTTGCATTATAGATACAGTACTGTATATAATACCTGTATTATAAATTTATAATAAATACTATTTTGGTTATACTATATATTAAATTTGTCAAATAAATTAAATTATAATATAGTTATTATAAAATATCTAAAATATATTTATAATAAATAATTATTTAGATTTCAATTCAAATAAAAATTCTTTACTTTAATACACTGTTATAATAGCGTAATGTTATATACGAAGAGTTTTGTTGTTATTGATATTTATTATCAATTTATATAATAAAACTGTAAATAAATAGTAATCTATTGATTATTATTGAATATACGGCGCAATACTCTAATAATAATACTGTAAATGATTTGTTATATAATATAATAATAATAATAATAATAACAAGTATTAGAAAATCATTGGTTTGTTTTGATTATTGTTTTTTATATTCGAATGTATTATTTGTTTGTTATTATTATTATTATTATTATTATTATTATTATTATTATTATTATTATATTTACATTACATTAGAATTGATAAACTATTAGACATTTGTTTGACTCAACAGTTGTGTCCAACACTTTACCGAAGACTACAACCAATTGGTGACTATTTTTTTTGGTGATAGTAATCATTAAAACAATGCATTCATTGTTAAAGTGGTTACCGATGTCTGTCCGGAGTCGACACAATCGTCTCTTATTAATCGCAAGACATTACACACAACCATCAGATCAAAGACCTTCACCTCATGTAGTGATCATTAAAGACATGAAAGCAGTCGATAGTAATGATTCAGATATGAAGACAACAATCGATAAACAGATAATTGATTGGAAATCAACCATTCCTTTGGTTAATACACTAAACACCGATCAGTGGAAACAAGACATCGAAGACTACATCATTGGTTTGTATATCTTATACGATATTAATTAATAGTTGAATGCAATGACTAACTCTTTTCAATACATTTTACCGATAATACAGAAGATGAAGACTTGGATAAGGATCCGTTGGCCACACTATTGGACACCAATTACTTCACTGATAGGACAGTCAAAGAGTACATGAATGTAGAGTTGAAGGATATTGAAGGCCATACACTCTCATTGAGTGATAAGTTAACAGGTTTTTAGCTACTAATACATATTCATTGATAAGATTTAATCAGTTATTATGAATATTTGTTGTCATATTTTTAAATTATAATTATTTAATATTTTAATATAATGTGGAAATTAATTGTTCGGTTTTTTGCTACAAAATCATTTACCGGTAGATATGAATCTAAATTCATGACCGAATTAATTACTAGTAAACTGGTTAATGAAGACTTGAATCAGATTTTTAATATTAAGTTTATTAATAATAAAAAGTCGACAATAATTTCTACTAATTCATTGATAGGTTATTATATACTATATTAAGATATTATGTTTATTATTGTTGATGAGTTGACAAAAGTGTTTAACATAACTATTAGATTTATTTATATTAAATCTAATCCATTTTTTTTAAAATTACAATTTATAGGTCCAATCAATGCTCAACTCAGTGGATCAGAAAAAATATTTTTAAACAAAATATTATGTAACAGATTTGGATCTATTGATCGATCGATGAAACCTAAATTCGGAGAAAAGACTGTCGAAGCCTTTGTTGAAAGTTTTATCAACAAATTAATTGCAAATGATTTGATTGATTCCAGTGTCGATCGAATAAATCGAATGAAATTCAGACTCGACGGACAAACAGTTACTTCAACGCCAGATATTCTCTTAATTAACGATAAACAGCACATTCTTCTTGTAATTGAAGCGAAATCAGTCATTAAAGACATAACAGATTTGGAAAAACCAAGAGCTCAGACAATCGGTGAAATGATAGCGATTGCAAAATATAATATATTCGGTGAGAAATCTCTTGAGTCCAAAGTCAATGGTGTCGACACATTCGGTGTCTTAGTTTGTAGTAATGACTGGTTTTTCTATTCAACACACATTACGGCTAATTACTTAAAATCTTTGGATATTAAACATATCTTATCAACCGATAAACCACTACTAACTATATATCAATGGAATAATGGAAATCCATTTGATATCACAAATGAAAAAGAGAGACAAATTATTATTGAATACATCGTAAGGATTGCCAAACATAAGAATAGTAAGAATGTGGTCAACTTGAAGGCCAAACCAAAGAACACAATGACCGGCAAAACTCATATCAATATCGGTACCATTGGTCACGTAGATCACGGAAAAACCACACTAACCGAAGCCATTACCAAAGTTTGCGCCGAAAGAGGTCATTCACGATACATGTCGTTCGATTCCATCGATAAGGCGCCCGAAGAACAACTCAGAGGTGTGACCATCAATGCCTCGCACGTGGAGTACGCGACCAAAAATCGACACTACGCTCACACCGACTGTCCCGGACATCGGGATTACGTTAAGAATATGATTTGCGGCACTTCACAGATGGACGGCGCCATTCTTGTGGTGGCCGGAAGTGAGGGACAAATGCCACAAACTAGAGAACATCTTATGTTAAGTAAACAAATCGGTGTCAAAAAGTTGGTCGTCTTTGTCAACAAATGTGATCTAATCGATGATGAGATGAAAGAATTGGTAGAAATGGAAGTGAGAGACCTGTTAAACAACTATGGCTTCGATGGCGATAACACACCGTTTGTATTTGGATCAGCTCTGGCGGCTCTTAACGGAGAGAAATCAGACGTCGGCGAAGAGTCTATTATCAAACTGTTGGATACACTCGACTCATACATTACTCCTCCGGAAAGAGACACAAAATCACCATTTCTTATGCCAATTATGTCGACAGATATTACTCGCAGAGGAATTGTTTGTATTGGAACCGTTGAAAAGGGAACCATAGCTCGTGGCGATCCCATTGATATTATAGGTTGGGATGCTATCATCAAAAGTGTCGCAACAGATATCCATATGTTTGGTATTACAGATAATGAAAATAATGTTTAGTTAAGACTTTGACTTAATTTGATTTTTTTTCAATACATACTTATAGGTCGATCGATACCTAATTGTGAAGCTGGAGATGATGTCGGCATTCTTTGTAGAGTTTGTAATGGTTAGCAAAAAATTATTTTTTTTGTTTATTCGGTAATTATTAACTAATTTTTATAAATAGGAATAATTAAAATAGAGAGAGGAATGTACGCAACGAAGCCGTCGTCCGTTAATTTGAACAATCGATTTGAGGTTTACCTGTATTTGATACCGAAAGGAGAGGGCGGACGAGATAAACCTATTTCGACAAAATTTATACAACAAATATTTAGCCGAACGTGGAGTGGCGGCGCCCGTATTGACGTTCCCGATGAATCGGGGGGTATACTGATGCCCGGCGATCACGGCAAAGTCCATATGACACTACAGTACGGTATGTTTATGAACATTGGCCAGTCGTTTACATTGCGTGAACACCAGCACACTATTGCATCGGGAATTGTCACCGGATTCCTGGACAGTATACCGGTGTCCGATAATCTTGATCTTCTGGATCTGCCATATGGAGTACAAACGGCCAACAAATCGGATCAACAAAAGTGACTTTTTTATAATTATGTAAAAATTGTTGTTTAAATTATTGATAAGACTGTGATATATTTAAGACTATAATAATTCATTACTCATTGTTTCAGTAAATTTTGATATCAAATTAAATTATATAATTTCAGTATTAAATATTAAATTTGTTATAATATATTCAAATTATAAACAAATTATTATTCTGTAGTTTTTAAATAAATTGTAACACAAAATATATAAACGAATAGAAGTAACAATAAATTGACAAATGAAGAGATGATTTGATAGACAAATGGCTGACAATATATAAGATAAACCATCGGATCGTTTCTCACGATTGCCGCCAACAAAGAGATACCAAATAACTGTTTTTAAAAAATATATAAAAATCTTAATATTTATATTAATTTAGTGTAAATTATTTTTTTTGTGTTAACCGTTAATCCAATTAAAAACATATATTTCAATAAACAATTGGCAAATGTCTTGAAAAATTGTTGTCCATCTGAGGTATACTGAAGTCGATTAGTGGTTCGATGCAATTGCGGTACAATTACGGCCAACAATGGCAAACATATCGCCAAAAATAGTTGCGATGAATATATGTTTATAATTATCTAAAAAAATAACAATAATTTATATGAATTATAAATTTAAATAAAATAAATTAGTTTTTCTAAATTACTGGTATTATATGAATCCAAAAATTTATGTTTTTTGTCGTAAATATAATATCTTTGGGAATCATTTCGACAGACTTGTGATGACCAGTGATAAAGAAACCGTAAGTTGATATCAAATACCAGATAATTATTGTAATAAAACTATTGTCTGAACCGGTTTTGCGCAACAAAATCAAATAAATTAATGCTATCATCGATATTATCATTAGTCCTAAACCGCTATTTGGCGATTGAAATATCATTAATAACTGATAGATAGTGACTATCAATAGTAAAAGTGATTGAAACAAATGATTTCCCGATTCACTGTTCATTGAATTAGTTTCGCAGACTTTGATCGGAAATAAAACTAATAATATAATTATAGTTAGACTTAGATATAGGGAAATGTTGGCTAAAACTAACTGATTTGATGGCAATAGTTTGTCAACAATTACGGGATCAGCAAATGATATAATCAAATGACCGCAAACGGCAAACGCATTGAATATCAATAAATATTTGCTAAATATATTTGAAAGACTTATATTATGAGTGATTTCACTGCTATTTAATAAATAAATAGTTAATAAAGTGCTAAACAATATAAATACTATACTATATAATAAATAATTTTTATCACTAATTATAAGATTAAAGTCAACATTTTTGTACAGAATATTCTGATCGTCTGTTAGACATTGGTTCAGATCTTTAGATAAGTATAGAATTGAAATCAATAAAATTGATAGAAATAACAACAATTTATAACTATTATTATTATTATTATTAATTTGATGCTTAACTGTTGTTGAAAGCAAATATTTTGTATAAATAATGTCAATTAAAAACATGATTACGATTGACATTAGCAGATAGTATGTAATAAATCGTTCAGAAATTAGATATGAATTGGAAAATATTAGAAATAAACTAGGTAATACTATCATAATTATTATCAATGGCTTATCTATGAATGGTTTGATAAATAAATTAGTTATTATCTTATTATTATAAACGGAACGATTGTGTGATAATAAAAATATGACTTTCGATAAAACTAATGAACCCATCGGTACAACAATAGAGGTGACAGCACTCAGAAATAGTATATCGTTGACAATATTTTCGTGAAATGGAAAGTCAAGAATTCGGATCAGATTAGCAGTGATGGCACCCATGACTATACCGATACATAGTTTTGAACAATAGTTCATCAAATGCTGATGCGATTGAATCCAATAAATGATAACTAAATTGAAGACACACGACAACAATATGACAATCAGACCGCTAAACATTAGACGCAAATCATAAACTGACAAATTGTTGGTCAAATGGTCAGTCAATTGTACGATATAACTGTTATAATTGTTGCGCAACTCTTTCAGTTTGTCAATAGTGGCCGACTTGTCGTCGCTGGGAATGTGATTCAATAGAACCCAATTGCGATCGTATCGTTCGAGTAGTTCTTCCAGTTTATTGTCGATAACATTCGGCACAACCGATGCAACGTATCGTTGAATTTGTGCCACATTTATACGTAGCGCAGATATACTGGTCCATAGAGACTGGATTTGGGGTATGTCTTCATGACAGGCAAACTCGTTGGTCGGCTTTACGTGTTGGCAGTCAATAGGATATTCAAACAACGAGCTCATCACTCGTCCGACATTTGAAAACGGTATCGGAATTCCCAACAGTAGTGACAGTGTGGGCACCAAATCTATTTTGCTCACGAAGTTGGATGCGCTCTAAGAAAGATAAAAATTGGTTTCATTTATAGATAATTTTTTTGTAGTCAAATAATTTTTAAAAAAAATCACACTTCAATTGGTGACAACTTTTGTGAACTGAAGGTAAAAATAAATGGAGAATCGTTTGGCATTGGATTGGCATTTGAAGACACTTTTACGGATGTCCTGTCGCTGATGACAAACAAAATTGTTTTGTCGTCGTCTTCAATGAGTGATACCAATTGTTTGAATAATTTTGCTAATTTAGTCCAACGATTAGCAACCAATGATTCATTGGAACTCATGAGTTGTTGTCCATCTTTCAAATGGCTAAATGTCGGCAAATCGCTAATCAATAAATCAAAATCTCTTGACTTGACTTCTTCAACAAGTTTTCTCTCTAAATCAGTCACCTATTGATTAAGAAATATAAAAATTAATAATAAATTTTTATAATATTTATAATTTTATTTATAGTATTACCTCTGAATAGTAAAATGTTTGACTAAATAAATCATTTGGCACTAAGTCTTTCAGCGACTTATTGGCCATTAATATAGTTTTACGCGATTTACTATTCATTTGTTTAATTAAATTGTCTTCAATTATATCAAAAAGTTTATAATTGTTATGATATTTGATAAAAGTTGGTAAACTACCCGTTATTATCGTTTCCAATGTTTGTCTCATTGATAACAAATATCTATCAAAGAGTTTATAAACTTTTGTACGATTTTCATATGTATTAAACAAATTGTTTATTATTTTCTGATCACTATTTGTCACCTCATTATCACTATTATGGCCGAAATGGCCATCAAAATCATAGACAAGTCCATCGGTTACTAAGACAATGGCTTTTCGATATCTGTCCGGAAAACTGCAGCCCGGAGTGCGGCCCTTGATTTGGCCGGAGTCGTCGTTGTGATTATCACCACACGAGCTCTGCCGATGACTGGCCGGTCGGGTCAATAGAAAACCGGTAGTAAAAAGCCAGATACCGGTGCCGTAAACGAAGCAAAGCCAGAGCAACAGCAACGAGTAGTACGATATGTTAAGCTTGTGGTTCATTGTTGTTGTCGTCGTCGGACTAACTGATCCAACAATTAATTGCGATCAACATTAAGTAATGGCTATAATTAATATTAATAATTTCAAGTAATAATGAATTCAATGGATTATTATATATATCATAACTTTTTATGCAAATGATGTTCAAAACGGATCACATGTTATTAAAAAGCAATTCAATCATAACATGCGCTCATTATATTGCAGTCATTGTAAGCACTGATGAAATGTGTTTATGTTTACCTATTTTTTTCAAATTATAATAACTATAATAAATAGGATATCAATATATGTATAACAAATAATAACTTTTAATTTAATAATATTTATATATTATATTAATTAATATCATATATATTTCGATGAAGAGTTTTGAATAATAATTAAGTGATCAAAAAAAATATGTCAATCAATAATTTGTTGCGATTGTCATCCAATTTAAGTCAATTGTTTTGCGCCTTAAGAAGTGGTGGTGTGATCGCCATTGCCGGCAAAGATGCATCAGCGACGGTGTGTCGGCGACTGTCGAAAGTGGCCGTCGAAAATGTGGTCAACTTGAAGGCCAAACCAAAAAACACAATGACCGGCAAAACTCATATCAATATCGGTACCATTGGTCACGTAGATCACGGAAAAACAACACTAACTTCGGCCATTACCAAACTTTGTGCCGAAAGAGGTCATTCCCGATTCATGTCGTTCGATTCCATCGATAAGGCGCCCGAAGAACAGCTCAGAGGTGTGACCATCAATGCCTCGCACGTGGAGTACGCGACCAAAAATCGACACTACGCTCACACCGACTGTCCCGGACATCGGGATTACGTTAAGAATATGATTTGCGGCACTTCACAGATGGACGGCGCCATTCTTGTGGTGGCCGGAAGTGAGGGACAAATGCCACAAACCAGAGAACATCTTATGTTAAGTAAACAAATCGGTGTCAAAAAGTTGGTCGTCTTTGTCAACAAATGTGATCTAATCGATGATGAGATGAAAGAATTGGTAGAAATGGAAGTGAGAGACCTGTTAAACAACTATGGCTTCGATGGCGATAACACACCGTTTGTATTTGGATCAGCTCTGGCGGCTCTTAGCGGAGACAAATCAGACGTCGGCGAAGAGTCTATTATCAAACTGTTGGATACACTCGACTCATACATTACTCCTCCGGAAAGAGACACAAAATCACCATTTCTTATGCCAATTGAATCATCGGTTGTCATCACTGGTAGAGGAACTGTTTGTATTGGAACTGTTGAAAAGGGAACCATAGCTCGTGGCGAACCCATTGATATTTTGGGTTGGGATGAGGTCATCAAAAGTGCCGCAACCGATATACATATGTTTGGTATTACAGATATTAGATAATTATTTAGTTAATACTTAACGATAATTTGATTTCAATACACACTTATAGGCCGATCGATAGCTAATTGTGAGGCCGGAGATCACGTCGGCATTCTTTGTAGAGGTTTGTTATGATTATTCAAATGGATCTGTTTAGTGATAATTGTGTATTTAAAAAAATTTACCGCTAAATATTTTTTCGTCTGAAAAATAGGAATCAAGTCATCGGGTATTAAAATAGAGAGAGGAATGTACGCAACGAAGCCGTCGTCCATCAATTTGAACAATCGATTTGAGGTTAATCTCTATTTGATACCGAAAGGAGAGGGCGGACGAGATAAACCTATTTCTACAAAATTTATACAACAAATATTTAGCCGAACGTGGAGTGGCGGCGCCCGTATTGATGTTCCCGATGAATCGGGCGGTATACTGATGCCCGGCGATCACGGCAAAGTTCATATGACACTACAGTACGGTATGTTTATGAACATTGGCCAGTCGTTTACATTGCGTGAACACCAGCACACTATTGCATCGGGAATTATCACCGGATTCCTGGACAGTATACCAGTGCCCGATAATCTTGGTCTTTTGGATCTGCCATATGGAGTACAAACGGCCAACAAATCAGATCAACAAAAGTGATTTTTTGTTTAGTTTAGTCAATCATTTGTGTAAATTATTTTATATAAAAATAGTAATTAATTAAATATAATAATTGTTATAATAAATCATAAATATTAATAATAATTAACATTCAATACCTTATATCATATTAAAGGATCAATTTATTTCATTAATCATCAAAAAAGATATACATATTATTGGGAAAAGAATACAATCTATTAAATTAAGACTTTTGTTTTCCGCCCTTCTTTCCGGCCGCCTTTGACTCGGCAGCAGCGGCTGCTGCGGCCTCCTCTTCTTCGGCCGCGTCATCCGCTTTGGTGGTACGCGTGTAGATGATCTGTGAATGATGTTTGATCACCTGTCGGATCAGTCCTTTCTGATGAAGTTCGTCTAACGCCCGTCGGGCCAATGATCCTCTAATTTTTAGTCGTTCGCTGACCACCGACGGTGTAATCAGTTTATACGATGGAACCTCTTTGACAAACTTGTCGTAAGTGGCTTTGTCGAAAAGGATCAAATTGTTCAGTTTGTCCCGTACTTTGCCTTTCGACCACTTCTTCTTCTTTGCCTTTCCGCCACCGGATCCCTCTTTCTTCTTTGCCGGGGCTTTGGTATCCTTTTTCGTGTCCTTCTTCGGCGGCATTGTTATTGTGTGTGTGTGTTGTCAATGAAGGCAACGCTAAGAGAAAGAGGAAGTACTAGTCGTCTAACACGTGATCGATAACTACTTCCACACACCAGAGGGTAGTTGTGTTGTCGTTGAGTTAGACGTATAGATAGCGCCACAAACTTTTCAGTCACTTCTTTAACATTATTTTATTAGACTCTTCAGTGTTTTGATGGCAAACACAGCAAACAAATCATTGCATCGATTGCTGACACATATGACTGAAGTTTTTATTACACACAACAAGAAAATATGGCATTAATTTAGTGATCAATTAAAACCTATTGATTATTATTAGTCATTGTTTTTGTTGACATTTGTTTGTCTGACTCAGACGCGGATCTAATGGTCAGCTAATTATCTCGTCTGTTGTTGACGTGAAGTGATCTGTGATTTTTTTCTGTGACCTTTTGATTGAGTGATTGCGACAAATATCATATTGAAGAAGAAGATGTTCAAGAAGTTAAAGGAAAAGGTATCGGTGGCGGCCAACGAATCGGTACAATCGGCCCGAACCACAATTCAGGGATTAAATAGTACGGCCAATCAATACATTGACCAACTTGTAAGTCTATCTCCGTCAAGAAGCTGATCCACGTATTAAAACTGTGTTTATTATATGCACCCAATCAGGTCAGCAATGCCGCCAAAGACGACTCGGATGGCAATACAAGTCATACATCGACTACCAGTGTGTCGGAGGACGCGAACACAACCAACGATTTGGTCAATTTGAGTGAAGAGACGACGTCGGCGACAGTGAAACATACGGAGTCGACCACCGGTGGCGACAAAACGTTAGATGCGTTCAGTTTAGTCGATTTGGACGACGACGCGCCCAATCATACCGTCAACAATAGCCAAACTTTGGGTCAAAATCAAGTAAACTTGAGTTCGTCGATCTCGGAGAACGATTCGTTCTTCTCGATGACGCCCCTCACGAGTCCCACCAATACATATGTACCGCAATCAGACATCGAAAGCGAGTATGAAAGCGAAACTCATCCACGTTTTCAAGTGGCGGACAGCGTAACCAAAGACCAATTGATTGATTTATGCGTCAAACTGAAGGAAAGAAGTCGCAAATACAGAGATCGTTGGACAGAAGTGGTCAGAGCGTACCGATCGATGAATGAAGAAAAAGAAAAGTTAAAGAAAGTGTTGTCCGATACTCAGGACAAAGCGTTGCGACGAATCAATGAAATGAAAGAGCAATCAAATCTCGAACAACAGGCAAAACGACATCTGGAAGAAAATCTTCGTATTGTTATCGAAGAAAAAGACGAAAAGATTAAAGTATTGCAAACAAAAATCGGATTATTAAATGAAAACCAAATCAATGGAGTGTCCGATGATTTACTTGATTTTCAAAACGTTTCGCAAAAAGATAATGAAATCAAAGAGATGTCCGAAAAAATGGAACGATTGGAGACTTTACTGACGCGATGTAAGGAATCATTGAAAACAAATAAAGAAAAAGTTTCTTCACTTAATAAAGAAAATGAAGATCTATTGCAATGTAAAGATAATTACGATAAACTATTGAAAGAAGTGGAAGAATTGAGAAAACATAAAGAAGACAGTAGTCTAACGTTTGCTGAAGCAAAGCATAAATTACATGAAGAACTGGAGGCCAGGAATATCATTGTCAAAGAACTTAAAGATCAAAATGAAAAGAAAAAACAACAATTGAATGAATTTGAATTGCAATTGGATTCCAAACAAAAGCAAATTAAAGAATTCGAAGAAAAATTATTAGAAATTGAGAAGACAGCCGAAGAGGACAAACAAAACCTATTGCAAGAGTTATCGAGAGGAAAGTCTGCGGCTATTCATCTGTTGAGAGAAGAGACAGAAAAGAAATTGGTTAACTTAGAGGGAGAATGGAAACAAAAATACGATAATTTGGTCAAAGAAAAGGACGAATTGAGTCGATTGTTTGAGGAATCGGAAGCGACACACAAACAGATGACAATAGATGATAATAGACGACAAATTGATGAAATGAATAAACAAAATGAAAAGTTGATGACCGATATGAAAGACTGTCAAACAAAGTTGAATCAGACAATCGAAGAGCTAAACAAAGCTCAAGAAAATCGTGAATTAGAGAAACAACAGTTAGAAAAACTTTTGGCCGAATCGGAGCTCAAGTCAACGGAATTGTTAAATGAAATCGAAAAACTTGGCAAACGATCGGCCAATTTGGACGAATTGAAGACGGATTTACAAAATACGGAGACATTGTTGCGTAGCGCCGAACAAAAGACAGACGACGCCCGACACGATTTGGAAGCGTTGAGAAACCAATTGGAAGACAAAGACACGCTAATGGATCAGCTAAAAGAGGAAAAGAGTCGCAGCGAAGATGAATTGAAATCAAAGTTATCATTATTAGAAAAAGAGTTAACAGAAAAAACCAAAAGTGTATCGGATTTGAAACAGAATTTAGATTTAGAGGAAACAGATTTGAAAACTAAATTAATTGATTTGGAAAATGAAATACTTGTTTACAAACAGAAATCAAATGAATTGGAAATGGATATCAAATTAAAAGATGAATTATTAGAAAAGTTAAATAAAAATTTGGATCAATTGAAAGTAAAAAATGAAAAGTTTAAGACAATTATCTCAGAGAAAAATCAAAGAAATAAGATAATCGAAAGTGAATTAACTGATTATCTGAACAAAAGTACACATTTGGAGCAAATAATTGCTGAAAATGGCAATAAAATTGAAAATTTAGAAAAAGAGTTAAACGAAAAGTGTGTCGCTATTGATAAAGTTTCCGATGATTTTGAAAATCATGTCAAACAAGTGTCCGAATTGAAGATTATATTACAAGAAAAGGATAATTGTTTGACAGACTTTGAGGAGACTATTAAGTCGAATGAAGTGATGATTAAAAATTTGGAAAATAGTTTGAAAACATTTGAAGAAAAATGTGATAATTATGTCAAAGAAGTCGAATGCCTTACAAACGATAAAAATATTTATTGTAATCAATTAAGTGAAACCAAACAAAATTATAGTCAACTCGAAAGTGCTAACAATGATTTAAATCAACAATTAGTTGAATTAAATAATCAATTGATTGATAGTCAGACAAAATTGAAAGATTTTGAAGACAATGATTGCCAGAAGAGTTTACAGATGAAAGAAGAGCTCGAATCGTATATGAAATTAAATTCAGAGCTTAAACTACAATTAGATACACTTCAGGAGGAATGCTTACAATTGACTGAATTAAAAGAAACTATTGATAGCAAAGACATACTTCTCGATGAGTGTCGACTAATCAAAGAGCAAAATATTAGTGAAATTGAATCATTAAAACGGGTTATCAATGAAAATACTAGTTTATTAAATGATATAAAAATTAAAAACGATTCAAATGAAACTGAATTAATTGAGTTGCGAACAGTTATCGATGCGAAAGACAAACAGATAACTGATTTGAATAATGAAATGAAATTAAAAGATGAAAATTTAACTGAATTTCAGCAACGATTGGAATCGGAAGTTAATAACAGATCAGATGATTTCATAAAAATACAAACAGAACTCGAGGAATGTGTCCAAAAATATAGGCAACAATTAGATTCAAATGAAACGATCGCTGAAGAGAAAACCAAATTGTCTGTTGAAAATCAAGAGCTTAAGAAAATGATTGAAAATTTAGATAATAATAATTCAATGATTTCGACACAATTAAGTGATAAATCAGATGAACTAACAGAGATTTGTGAAAAATCGTCAAAATTTGAAAATGATTTCAAAAATTTACAAGAAGTTCATAAAAATTTACAGAAATCATTTGATGAGTTAAATGAAAGATATAATAATCTAAGCAAAGATTTTCAATCAAATGTCCAAAAAATAGATGATATGAAATCAGTAATAGACAACAATGAGAGCAATGCTTCCGAGTTATCGCGCAATTTGAATGACAAGAATAAGTTAGTAAAGAGTTTAGAGACACAACTGAAAGAGAAAAATAATTCTATCGATACTATCGAAAGTGATTTGAAATCAAAGATCCAATTAATCGAAAGTCTTCGGTCAGTTCAAGAAGAAAACACATCACTAAACAGTCAGCTGAAGAAACTAAGAAAAGAGATGTCCAGCTCTAAGACTTCTGAAGGACAACTAAAAGAGTTGATAAAATTGAATGAAGATTTGAAGACCAGTTTGAACGACAAATCGGTTCAGCATTTGTCCGAAACGGATGACTTGAAGAAACAGTTGGCGCAGTTGAAGGAACAACACCGGAAAGTTGTCGATAAACTATATAAAGAGTTAGACATTCGAGAAAAACAATTAGACGATAGTATGATGGCTGTAGAGACACGACATAATACGACAGCTCAAGAGTTGTTGGAATCAAGAAGCGATAATTCACGACTAAAACTGAGTCTAACGGAAGTCCAAACCACGAATGAAACGCTTGGACAAGAGTTGACGCAATTACGGCAACAATTAGATGATATTCAAAGTCAACAACAAAACAATTCGGTGGAGAGTTTGCGTAATCAGGAGTTGATTGAAAAGATCGAGTTATTGGAAACAAAATTACAACAAAAAGAGAATGAATTTGACGAACGGTTGGAAAAGTTTAGCGAAAATGGCGACAAAATTATTGGTGAATATAAGAAACAAATTTCGTCGTTAGAATCGGAAGTGACCGACAAGAATGCAGCGCTCGAAGAGGTCCACGAATACTATCAGCAAAGACTTCTGGAGAAAGATAGCGAATTAAAGTCATTGCATTCGGAGTTTGATTCTTCATCGGTTAACGAACACACATATCAAGTGAAAGCTATGCAAAAGTCGTTACTTCAGTATCAGTAAGTTTTCAAAACAAGAAACAAAATTAATTAAAATTAATTAAATTATCGATTTATCAGAGAAGAGAACGTCCGCTTAAAAGAGTTGTTAAACATTAGACGCTTTGCCGAGTCTAACAGTTCCGATAATAATATGCCGCTTATATCGGGTGTCCATTTGCCGGAACCGACCGAATACGAGTATTTAAGAAATATTTTATTTGAGTTTATGATCGGACGCGAACCTGTTGTATGTGTTGTTATCCTTTTTTTAATAATTAATTTAATTTTTATAAAGATAATTGTAGTTATAATTATAATTTAATAATTTTCATCAGACATTATCAAAAGTGATTGCAGCTGTCATGCGATATACTGGCGATCAAACGGATCAGATAATTAAGAAACAGGAATCAAATCAGATGACTAGCGCTTTAAGACAATTGAAACCTATTTGATGGATAAAATTTGATGGCATTTCCAATTGAATATTTTTAAAAAAAACTGATGATTTGGTTGTGCTGTTTGTGTATTATATGGTAAATAAAAAAATTAATTTTTTTGTCTATTTATATTCAATTATTATTATTTTTTATGTAATCATTTACTAAAAAAAAAAAATTTAAACCAGTTTTACTTTTAACATGTTATATTTGAAAATATATAGTTTATTTATAAAATTTTTAACTTATTTATATAATTAATAATAATATATGTAAAAAATAAAACTTTGATATATTTGTTGAATTTAAGTTTTTTTAAAAAATTCAATAACTCATCCGATGCTCAATATAGTCGCTATCGTTCAATAAGTAATTCAATTTAAAATCGTTTTTATTATTATTACAATTGATTGTTGAGTGAAGTCGAGGTTAATTATCGGTAATTTAAAATAATCGTCATTTAATACAAAATTAAAATATGAATTAAGTTTTTATTTTTTAAATTAATTAATTATTAATAGTTTATTTGTAATAGATTACACACATATAGATAGATAAAAAAAATGGTTGTTATTTATATACTTGTAATTATAGTCCAAAAATATATTCTTCAGATAATTTCGAAAACTTTTTTCAATTCAATAATCAATTGCCAGTCAGTCTTTTGAAGATCTTCGCGAAAATACTCTTTAACACAATCAATGGACTCGCGAGTCAATCGCGAAACAAGCAGGTCTTGATGATCGAAATGTCTTCCGTAAAGTTTCGGCGCATCCGAACCAAAGTGTTCAATACGAAGACATACTTCTTGGCCTTTGCGGGCACTTTCGACGTGTTTGTGGTTCACTTCAATGGACGTTACTTTGCCGATCTCCAGATTCTGTTTGGAAGGCACGGCCAACGGTGTTCCCGGTACTACCACTCCCTCTTCAATTGAAACGCCAACAACAATCGGATCGCGTGTATTAAACACACAGTTGGGAAGTATACGTAGTTTACAGGGAAATACTGCCAGATGTTTGTTGGCTTCTCGTCGCTGTTTTCTTAGGTCATCCTTATAAGCGGTAAACTTGTCGAACAAATGATAGATAATTTCTGCGCTAAATATTTTGACACCCAATTGATCGGCCATTTCTTGTGCGTCTCGTTCTATGCGTACATCAAACGCCAAGATTACTGCATAATCTGGTGCCGACTCCAACATAATCGATGCCTTCATTACGTCTCGTTTGACAACTGGTCCGATACGTACTCCACAGTAGGGTATCTTTGATGACTTGAGAAACTCGAGGAGTGCTTCCAAAGAGCCTAAAGTACTTGCCTGAACATAGACTCCCTTATCTGTACATTTGATTGACTTCATCGCCTGACCGAATTCGTTCCAAATAAATCTCTTGTGGCTCTCGATTTGCGGCTCGTTTTCGGCAACCAATAGCTGTAAGCCAGCAATTGCTTTGTCCAAGTCGTGGGCAGCAATCTTGACGCCCATCGATCCGTACACTACTTTCAACTCCTGGTATGGAGTTTTAATTCGCAACTCTCTGAGCGGTTGCGGCACAAGAATGGATCTAATATGTGTAACAAATGGACCGTCGTGTCCGGCCAATACAATTTTGTCGCCCTCTTTCAGACGTCCGTTAACCAAAATTACATCAATAGTGGTACCCAAACCGGGAATGGCTTTAACCTCCAGTACGGTAGCGTCCAAATTGATTGGATCGAATGCAACTTTTTTAGCCATCAATGTCTGTGTCAACGATATCAACAGTGATATGAGATTTCCCATTCCGTCGCCCGAGTGGGCAGATGTCGGCACCAATGAGACATAGGATCGAAAATCTTGGTTATCATAATAAAGAGCCGCATTGATAGACTGTTCGGCCAACTGAAGTATCACATCTTCGGCGCGTTTCTTGAATTCAAGTTTAGTGTTCGTTATTTGGCTGTTGATGACGTCCTGGACATCCTTACGGGAATTACTTCGCCACTCATACAGTCTGTCTATTTTATTTAGTGCCACAATAAATGGTGTCTTACGAGACTTTAACAGATTTATCGATTCAATAGTTTGCGGTTCCAATCCGTGCATAATATCGATGACAAGTATAGCAATGTCACAGAGAGAACTGCCTCGAGAGCGCAGATTGGAGAACGATTCGTGTCCTGGAGTGTCGATTATGAGAAGACCCGGAAGAAGTAGTTCTTTTTTCTGGTCTTCTTTCACGCCTTTAGTCTGTTCGTGTATAGCCGACGGCGGAACATAAGTGGCGCCAATTTGCTGCGTAATACCACCGGCCTCTCCGTCCTGGACGTGACTTTTACGGATGTAATCCAATAATTTAGTCTTTCCTGTGTCGACGTGTCCTAAAACGCAGACAACTGGTGACCGAAATTGACGTTTCGGTATATCGTCTGCCAATGACTTATCCTCATTAATGCTAATATCTTTGACACCTTTTGTGATGCTTTCACTTCTTTTGATTTCTTGTTTTTTATTATTTTCAGTTTTTGTGTCGACTTTTTTCACTTTCTCTTCGCTTATTTCGCTTTCACTTTCATCTTCTTCATCACCACTCGATTCTTCCCAATTCTCTTTCACGTCATCACTAGAATCCTCGGACACACCATCTTCTGCATCATTGACGTCATCGTCATCTTTAGCCGATTCCGATTTCTCTTCAGACAATTGCGGTTCCAATAATGACTTGACTTTACCATCGGATTTATTAATAGTGTCGTCTTTGTCCCGACTTTTCTGTTTGCCGACAATAATTTGGCCGCCTTTGAGTAGAGCGGCCAGACTTGCCTGAGCTCGTTGTTTGTCTGCCTTTTGTTTTGGATTTAACAGTTTTCCCTCTTTCTTCAGTCGTTCCTTTCTTTCCTTATCTTTTTGTTTCTTCTTATCCTTCTTTTCCTGTTCTCGTTTCAACTTTTCCAGTCGTTGTCTTTCGAGCTCCTCTTCCTGTTTGATACGTTCCTCTTCTTCTCGTTCCAGCCTTTCTTCTTCATCTTTCTGTTTGGCTAACGATTCCTTCATCAGAGCCAACATCTTCTTTGACGGTCCGCCTCCAGCTTTTTTCGGCGCCTCTTTCTTTGCCGGCTCTTTGGCCGCCGGCTTCTTCTTCTTCTTTTTTGGATCCTTTTTGTCTTCGCCATCAGCGCCGCCATTGTTGTCATCGTTGACTTTCGCCGGCTCTTTAGTAGTCGACTCTTGTTGTTTGACCGCTTGTTTATTGTCGGTTATCTTCTTCACATCGCTGGCATTGTTGTCGCCTTTAGTCGTATCCTCGACTTTAGCCGTCGGCTTCTTCTTCTTGTTTTTACTTTTACTGTCATTACTATTATAAAAAACACCAAATATTATAATCAATTTAAATCAATTCAAATCAAAGTAAATACCTGTTGTTATTGGCGGCGGCGGTAATCACCGCAACGGGTCCTCCGTTTGCATCAGACATTGTTTGTTGACAATAATTGTTTGCCTCTTTGATGGTAACGACAAATATTGGGGTTTAACTAACAAAGCGATCATATGGTCGGTCAGTGATGTGATCACTATCTGCTGGTGTTGTCAGTTAAGGTCACTACTATTGTATCATCAGATTTGATGGTCGGATTCACTTCAATTGGTTGGTTAGGTATCACTTGGATGTCCTAATAATCATCTAATCAATCAAAAATCAAAACAATTGTCTACTTTTATCTTAAAACATCAACTTTTACTGAAGTAAAACACGTGGCACTCAATATGTCATCAATGGATCCGAAAAACATGTGTTTTAAGTGATAATTCAATTTATTTTTAGCGAAAATTTTTAAAAACAAATATTTAACTATAAATTTGTAAACAATTGACGATTGAATTCAATTGACGTTCAATTGATTCAAACATTTATAATATAATTCGAATTATTTGTGTATTTATTAATATTTTTGGAATAATATGTTTGTTATTATGTTTTTATGTATTTTTCGTATTAAATAATCTAATAATAATGCGTTCGCTTTACGAATGCAATGGAAAAATCATATGTTGTTTAATATACTGTATATTACTAGTAGTGATGTTAAAAGTTTTTTTTAAAACTATATAATGTAATAATTTTAGTAAAAATCTATGGATAAAATTTATTTTATTGAAATTTAATTAAAAGAATAATAGATACACACAAAAAAAAACAATTAATTAGCAGATAATTATATCAATAAATTTAATAACTAAAATAAAACAATTTTAACTAATTATTATGTACCGGTAGTACAGTTTGTTTTTTATTTACTATAATATACGAAATTTTTTATGACATTTAACATCACTGACTAATTATTTTATTATTGCAGTCAATGTTGTAAATCAATGACGTATTGATAACGTTATGTTAATAAATGAGACAAAAAAATATATAATAAATTCATTGATAGAAACATTAGTTAAATAAATAATATAATTAAAGTTTTTAATTCAATTAAATAAGTTATTAATATAATTTTATTTTTTAAAATTGTAATAAAACTAATTTGAATGGATTATCATTAAATATTTTTTAAAAAATATCATTTAACATATTTATTGCTAACATTTTTTTTAAAAAAAAATGTTTATTACTATAATAAAAAATATATATAAATTGATAAAAATAAATTGAAGTTAATTTTTTATAGATAATTAATTTATATTATTAATATTATATATAAATGATAAATATATGATATGTATTTAAGTTTTAAAAATATTTTTCTAGAAATTTTTATTTTGTTTTTATGATTCAATATAAATGAATGAATATTAAGTTATAAATAAATTGAAAATAAATTGATTAAAAAAATGTTTTATTTATTTTTTAATATTTCTTTAAAAAATATATAAATTGTTTTTTATAAATAATACCGGTCATGATTTAAATATAAAATATGTATCTTCAAAAATATAAAATAATACTAAAATTATATAATTAACATAAAAAATATTTAAGATATAAATAAAAAAATTTATATTTACTATTATATATTTTTTTGGTGCATATAATTACATAAATAAGACTAGCTTTAATAATTGTTAAAATAATTTATATAAACAATAAATTTTTATATATTTGCAAACAATCTGTAAATTATAAATATATTATAATCAAAAAATATGATAAATTTATAAAATATAAATTAAATATTTTAAAAATGTTTTTTTTAATATATGTTTATATTTAATAAATTTGTATCACTTGATTGTATGATATTTTATAAATTATAATAATTAGATTTACAATTGATTTTCAAAAAAAAATATTTTAAGTAATATTACTGTAATTTATATAATAATAGATAATATAAAAACTATCTTGTGCATTTTAATGCATTTTATTATAATTTAGATATCATAATAACTGCAAATAATTATTATATTTTAAAAAAGTATTTAAATATAAATTTATGTTTTATATCACTATTTTTTAAAAATATTAATTGAGATCTATATGACTAAAAAATATAACCGATTAAAATTATTTATTATTATTTTTTGGTATAACTATAATAATTTAACTGACTTGTGGTGTATAACTATAATTTTTTTTTATAAAAATATGATAACATTATATAATTTTAATATATAAAAATATATACAGTATAAATTTTTGGTATAAAAATAAACATATCATCTATTTATAAATTTGCATCATTAATAAATTTTTATATTTAATATTGGACGGATTTTTAAAAAATATTTGTAATTAATATATATTTATATATATAAATAAACAGTGTTGATAAAATAATTTATCAATATATTATAAATATATATATATATATATATATAAAAAATTATGAATGATATGATAATTTTAAAAAATAATATTTTTGCTATTCTCTCTATACATACATTTATGGTATAAAATAAATAATTTAATATAATTTTTTTGTGTTGAATAAAATTTGGTTTTCATTGGTAATGATATAACTTTGGTTTCTTAAACGTTGGTTTGGTTTCAATAAATTCAATGTCGATAACTTCGGTGCAAATATTCATTTCATAATTGATATAATCATTATTATTGTTGTTATTATTATTATTATTGTTAGTTTTCGGTATAAACTTGTGGACAAACTCGGCCGCTCGGGTAGCGACCAGAGACTCAATTTGGTCGACACAAACACGAATGCGACTCTATTTAAAAGATAATTTAAACAAAATGTTATAATTTTATTATAATTTAAAAAAAAAATAGTTTAGTAAAATATTCTTACAGAATCAATGTCCAGAATTTTGGATAACGATTGTACAGTTGTTTCAAATGTTTTATTTTGTTTATCATTATTATTATTATTAGTCGACTCTAAACCGTGAACTGCGGTCGCAATACTGGCCGCCGCTATCAGCGATGGTGTCAAACATGAAAACTGAAGTTCTATATTAAGAAATGAAAATTACAAAAAAAATTATTATAATTATTTCTAAACTTTGATTTCGATATATCTATATTTTAAATCAAATTACATATACAGTTATAATAATTATAGATTGCAATATCTAAATATATATATAATTATTTTAATGATCATTTTTAGTGGATTAATAAAGCCATTCAATGAAGAGAGAGAGAGAGAGAGAGAGAGAGAGAGAGAGAAACAGAGTATAGGGATTACTATACACACAGTTAAGCCTAGGTATGGTTTAAACTTCCTGTGCTTCCAAACAATTAGATTATAGTAGAGAGGGGAGAGGGATGTGTGTGTGTTTGAATGCCTGTGTGGTATAAGCACTGTTAACAATGGATTTGATCCAAAGATTGGCATTGCTTTTACTTTTTTATTTTATTTAGTTTATATCAAAAGGACTAATATTTTGTTAAAGAGAGAGAGTTGGATATATAGTTTGCTGCTCTGGTAGACCAACAGCTGCTTTAGGCCACAAGTCTCTGGTCTATAGGTTAGCCTCGATATACTATTAATATATAAGTTATATGACTGTCCCTATGGTATTGACAACACCTGCGGAACTGCTTCACTGGTGTAACCAAAGTAATAAAGCATTACTTCATTTGACAACAACATTGTCATATATATATAACTATTGGTAACTGTAAGGCAACCCTAGTTTGCCAATCAATTGTTTGAAATCTAGTTTTTTAACAATAAAAATTTGTTTTTTTTAAATATAATGTATATAATAAAAAAACTGATGCAAGAGTTTTGTGGACCGAAAACATGTTTTTTTAAAAAAAACTCTCGTTTACATAATTAAAAAATAAAATTTATATAACTGTTTAGTCAATTAGTATCCTATGATTTTTAACTGGCAATCAACTTAACGATAATAACATAGTAGTAGTAGACATAAGTTAGAAATAATAATTTTGTTAGTTTCAATTTGCAAACAAATAGTAGTAAAAATTTTTTTTTTTTTATATAACAATTGTCACGAATATATAGTAGAATATTAGTATAATTGTATTTATTGAGAATAATACAACAACAAAAATGTAAAATTTATTAATGTAATGTAAAATTATTTAGTATTAATTGTAAATTTTTTTTGTGTATAAAAATTCATATTTATTTAGAGATTTTTGTTGTTGTTGTGAGAATTATCAATAGGTAATCAAATTAATAGATTTCATTGTAAAACCATATGATGTCATATCAATAGCCGGTTTAGATAATAACAACAACAACTAAAAGTCAATAATATTATAAATAGCTAACTTTTTTGTGTTTTTGAAAACATTAGTTAATAGTGAAATACAGTAATCATTGTGTTATAGTTTGCGTGAAACAAATAATAAAAAGCAATTAGTAATGAAATTAGTGGTGGATTCATGAGATGCGTGTCAAACATGTTGTAAAACGATATGATAACTACTGTTATGTTTGGCCCATCATTTGCATCTGTATTTGCATCCAAACAATAAACATATGAAAAATAATTTTACGTTTTCAGTATAGACAGTGAAAATTTTCAGTTTATTTTTCATAACTAGTAAATAATTTGTTTTTCTTTCAAAATAAAATAAATTATTAAATTTGGGATTTGAGGAAACAAAAAAATAAAACATAAAAAAGAGAAACATTTCTAAACTAAAACATTACTAAAATAGTAATTATAATTAATTATTTTTATTCAAGTGTTTTATGGAAAAGGGTTGCTGTAGTTAATCATTAATATACTATATTATTAAAAAAAATATTGTCATTGAGTAAAAAAAGTCAGTAAATTACATACAGAATCACATGAGTTTCAAATGTAAATATTTTAATATTAATATAATTAGCAAAAAAAAATAAATTATACTATCAGTTGACTAAAGTCATCGCTAATATTCATTTAGAGTTATTGTATATAAAAAAAATATTATAACAAATAAAATGATATTACTGTATGAATAATAATAATCTATTTTCGGTTGCATATGTTGTGTCGATTTCATTAAATATCATTATTTACTGTTATAGTTATGTACATTTAGATAGGAGATAAATACATAGCTATAGATAGATAGTTTGTAGATAGATATAGATATGAGTGAAGCATAAATACAGTTAGCTTTTGGATGGTTGGGAGTAGCAGATGGTTTGGTGCAAAATACTGGGCGATAATAATAATAATAATAATAATCATATTATACTACTGTTCATGTTTGCTGACTATTCATTCATGACTACTTCAATAATAGTATATAAAAAGTATATACTTATAAATTTATATACCATTGGTATTGATATCAATATCATTAATAGGGTTCTCATATTAAACATATGTAAAACAATTTGAATATAGATATGCATCTGAAAAAAAGTTTAGCGGAAATATATTATGTTTTTTGTTTTGTTTTATTGATTAATTTTTTTTGTTTTATATGACATTTTTATTTTTGTTTTATATGACATTTTTATTTTTGTTTATGTGATAGTATTTTATTATTAGTCACTATTTTTATAGCTATTAAATTTATATATTGAAAAGATAAGGCTTGGTTTGAGGTGTGGGAAGGATATACCATAGGTATTGTGTATACAAAGTTTGATATAATGTCTAATATATGAGTAAAATATCATAAGAATTAATTTTCTGTGAAAATATGTATACAAATTTGATATTCACTGGAAATTTTAGCTTTTTATATAAAAAAATTAAAGTTTCATTTATGAAATGATTTCCGTAATCGCTTTACTAAAAATTTTTACAATCAATATGAATATATTTTAATACAATTGAAATACAAATTTTTACACAAAAAACTAAAACTATTTTTTCCTTTCGATTTCATTTCATTTAATTTTTAAGAGTCGTTTCAGTATTATATATATACTGTATATACTGTACTGTATTATCATTTTAATGTATTCACCAAATGGTATATAATATTTAATATTATGTATGTATGCATAGCTATGTAGAGAATAAGAGGATAGGATGGGTTTCGTATTCAAATGGTTAAAAATTTTGGGGAGTGATTGGGAGATAATATGAAAGAGTGAGCCGAGAGAGAGAGAGAGAGAGAGAGAGAGAGAGAGAGAGAGAGACTTTATGATGACTCATACCATATTGAGAAACCTTTTCTTTCTTTAATAATATCAATAATAAAAAAAGTTTAGTGAGAAAGGAGAGGAACACCCATTTAAAAGTCTGGTAGCGTTTTGAAGGATAGGAACCCCACATGTCTTTCCTGTGATTTCTCAAGAGGTGCCCAAACGTATAAAACATTGGATATGTATTATTGTTAGCCAAATAATCCCAATTCAACACGTGTTACGTGCGCTTCTACAGTATATGCGCTATAATACTCTACTTAAGCAATCGTTTTACTTTATAATTTTATTTGGCAATAACTTTAGTTATAGATATACTGTATATTTTATTTTATTCCCTAATTTATATGATATTTTATTAAAATTATTGTATTTTTAATACAAGAAAATTTTTATTATACTACATTTTATTATATTATATTGTATTTTATTAATCTATAATTAAATAACAATAGTAATAATATAAACCAGAAAAATTATTTAAAAATTAATATATTTACTCTATAATATATATATATATATATATATATTAATTATTTGATTATTTGATAAAATTGTATGATTTAAATATATATATATTTATTTATATATATATTTAAATTATACAATATTATCAAATAATCAAATAATTAATTTACTGTATTAGTAATCTCTAGAGTTAAGATTTTATTTTTGGTTTAATTATTTATATATACTATATTTTCTACATATATAATTATTCTGGTCTAATAAAAAAGCAAACTGATTGCAATAATAAAAAATAATGATATTTACGCAATTATTACCTAATATACGCTGTATATACAAATTAAATTAATCGTTTTGTAAAAGTTAATAATTGCATGAATTTTGTTTTTAGTATATCTGATCAAATTGATGTATATTTTTAGATTTGTATGCTCTAATGGGTCCGTTATTTTTGATGTATTAATACAATAAAAATAATGAGTAGTGATGTGAATAACAAAACTAGTTTTACCTATGATTTTGACTAATATAATGAATGAAAAGTCAAACTAACGGTCCAATTGTTTGCATTATTATTATTATTATTAGTATAGCAAACAGTTATATAAGAATTGAATGAAGAATATTAAATGTTTTAAAAGACATTATGAAAATATATTAGACATCTGGCTTTAGGTTAGGCTCTCGTATTTTTTTTAGTTCATAGTCTATACTATATGTACTGTATATATCAATATAAATATATATATAAAATTGGTGTCATTTCACATATCAGCTGCTGTTTAAGTCACACAATTCAATTGAAAGCTAATATTTGGTATGATTTTGATGTTTAAATATGTTAAGCAATATTGGAGAGGAGTCGCACGTCAGACGCGTGCCACGAGTGATGCCCTATAATATAGTATAGTATATACAATAAAAGCGATGTTCAACTAAAAACTTATATATCAACTATATATCAATCCTCCAGTGAATCAAATGAAAATTGCTTCACTATTTTTAATATTATCGTCCATTTCTATACACAATTATAATACATTGTGTTTAAGAGCTGTACAGACATCGGGGGACAGGGAGAGAGGGGGAGATCAGTCTGACATCACCTGGACATCAGACATTTAGACACGAGACTAACACATATCTATGCTATACTACTCTATGACACCATTGGAATGATGGGGAGCAACACACATACATCCAGTATTAGATAGAGAGCACAGGGAGGACAGGGCACACAGGGCCGATGTGTGGGTAAGTGTGTGTATGTGCTGAGGCACGCGACACAATAGTCTCAACAATTTTTCGCATCTATTGTTCAAACCAGAGCACTATTACTACAAGAGAAATAAGCAGTGAATATCAAAATGTATTATCAATTTTAAGGGAACCGTATGTTCACTCAAAGTTTTGTAAGTCACTCTCTCTTTAGTTTGTAATACATTTTGAAAAGCCATTACACAAAAAAACTTTCACTAAACTCAACCATCACACTGGAGACCAACGAACCCGAAGAACAAACAATTGAAATACGAGAGACCAAAGGGTGATATATATAAAAATTTTATATATAATATCTATAGATATGGCATATACTGTACTAAACAGTATTATTATTAATAGTACTGTAATATAACTATAGATTCCTATGCATTAATGGGCTTAATATTTCATAACATATTTCAAGTCTGGTTTCGCTATTTTTTATGTCAAAGTATTGTCTATTAATAATAATAATAATAATAATATTTTTATATACTTTGTATTTTTGTTTATATTTAATTAATTAAAAACACATTAACATTACCTTATGTTTCATTGAACTGTTATCTAATTATAATTCTAACTCTACGTACACTTAACTTATTCGACAATTATATTTCTAATACTTAATGATTAACTATTTTTATATTAATTATTTATTTTTCATTTTTTTGCTTAATTCCTGTTTAATAACTAATTAAAACTAGAAAATACCAGAAACTACTTCTGGTATAACACTTAATATATTTTTTAAAAAGCATCAAAAAATACATAATTTTTGAAACAATTTGATAAAATTCTTTAATAAATAAATATTTAGAAATAAATAAATAAAAAAAACTTCTCACCAATTCATGGGAAGTGTATATATTCTATATATACTGTACTAATGTTATATCTATAATAATTTAAGATAATTTATATACATTGTATCACATATCAACAACAAAAAAGATACTGTATCACATAATAGCTGGTTAATGGCCTTCAATTTAAATGGTTGTAAATAAACCTACACATACACATGTATTTTAAAAAGCATTTAAATGTATATAAATATTGTCAAAGATATGTGCAACAACAAAAAAATAAATGTTATAATCTATATATAATTAGCAACATAGAAATGTATCATTGAATTTTACATTAAATGAACTTGGACAGTTTAAAAAAAATATATTTGATGGTCAATTAATTACATTGAACAGTTTATGAAGGTATCAAATTTTAGCTAATAAAATATTGAGTCATATTTAATTATAGTATATTTTCAACACACAAAAAATTAAATATGTATAATAATAATAATTTACATTATTATATTTCTCAACTATTTATAAAATATTTTATCAATGAGACAGATAAAAATTTTAATTTACTATAATAATATAAATTATAATATAATAAATTAATTTTCCCAACATTGTAATATTATATTAAATTTAAATGGCTCATTTAAAATAAAAATATTGTTTCTTATTTTCAGTACTATTTAGTAAAACCATTGACACATTAAGTATAGATAAGAAATAAAAGTGTATTTAAAAAATATATATATATTTATTTCACATTACCTGTAGTGCACAGTGCGATAAAAGTGGATGAATGCCTCCTAATGATTGAATCGTAACAATTATGTGATGATGTATTGTCGGTGTTGTTGTTGTTGGAGACAATTGTTGGCAATCTGATGAACAAATGATCAAGGTAATCGGTGGCCACCACCGATGATACATCCCATTGTATTCTACGAAGTATTAATAGCTCCCAGGCCTTAACAAACAAAACAAAAATTAAATTATAAAAATAAAACAATGTTTCAAATGGTTTTACTTTTATCTCATCCCTAACTCTCTCGCTCTCACATAAACTCATTTACAATAGACTAAAAGATTATATAAAATCTTATGTAACAAAAAAACAATAGCTCTGTTATATAATTGAAATCCTAAATTAATTAAGTAATTAATTGTTTAAAAAACTATTAATTGTTAAGCTATTAATTGTTTTAAACTAAATAATAATTATTATATCTTTTATTTTATTATTATTATTATTACTTACAATAATCTCTTCAACGGTTACTGAATAATCTGTAAAATAGCTTAAGACGTGTGGCTCTAATGTCTGGCATTGTCTTAGTTTGGATGCAATGAGCAGACAGACGACACCGACGAGTTGTAACTGACTTTTTCTGATATCAGTTGAGACCAGAAATCTGTCCAAAAAGTTCATCGCAACCGGAAATACTACTTCTTCACAATTGGTTTCCTCGCAGACCTTCAACATTATTATAACAACAGTTTGTATTATGTTATACAATATATTCAATATATCAAAGATTGTATTTTCTTTAAAAAAAAGACTATTGAATACAATATACAGTACAGAATAATACTGTGAATATATTGAACTTTTAAATGTCTAACAATAAGTTTTTTTTAAATGTCAAATAAAATCATAGTTTTTTTAAAAAATATTTCTATTTAATAAGTTTTCTCAAATATTTAATTTAATTATTATTATTATTTAAAAAAATAATTTAAGACTTACTTCAAGCATCCAATTGGAGACAATTTTTCTCATATTAGGCTCGACTTCACTTTGTATACATTTATACGATTCGAGCACTCCTTTCGGTACATAATTGTCTTCAATCTGAAGCAACTGTTTTAAGATCCGGTCGTCGCCGAGGATGTTGTTGTCCAGTGCTGTATAAGTGATACCAAAAGAGTTACTATCACTGGCCTCTGGGATCATAACTTGCGAATCGTCACAATTTAAAGACATATTTCCAATTAAATTAATTTCAGTTGTTTTCAAAATATAAATAACTAATAAAAATATTCTTAATATCTTTTGATGATATTTAACAAACTTTTTAAATAACAAATTGTTTCTTATTTAAAAAAATATTAGGAAAACCCGAGAGATTCTCTTACTCTCGGTATGTATGGTTTAGAGCACTGGTATGCAGTCTCTCTCTAAAATCAGTGCTCTCTGTCTATCTCTATCTCTCACACTGTCTAACACTACACTACAAACACAACACAACTTCTGTTGCAAATTCTGTGAACAAATGTTTTTAATATAAAAGAATTTTCTCTCTTTTATAGTCTCTGTGTTCAACAATAGAGATACGGAATGGTTGTGTGTATGTGTGTGTGTGTATGACGTTGCTCTGGGATGCCGTTTGTATTGGAGACATGCCTTTACACACTCATTCACTCACACACACGGCACACACACACACACACACACAGTCCCATATTTGCCGACATGTGGTCCCACAATAAGGCATTTAAATAGGGAAAAGCATTTGTCGGTAGCCTACGAGTGCCAATATGCCAATACTGGGTATTCAGGTATCATTGCCTCATAGGGCTGTGCCATAACAGCCAGCCCTCTCTCTCTCTCTCTCTCTCTCTCTCTCTCTCTCTCTCTCTCTCTCTCTCTCTCTCTCTCTCTCTCTCTCTCTCGTCTATGTCTATGACACTTAGGCCCTACAAAAAATAAATAAATAGTTGTACCAAATGATTGATTCCCACGAACCGTACCATTAATTTGTCGCCTATTGTCTCAGTTGATTGCATCGTCTCTCTACACTATTTGGTCACTGTTTTTGTTTGTTTGTTGACTTCAAACAAATATATATATAAATGAAAGTAAACTTTTGATTACACTATATATAATCACATTTTACGGTTTGCATTCACACACACATACATAACAATTTACAGATATTACTACTCTTTTATGTCAAAATCGGTTATAATTAGCTAAAGTAAAGTAAAAATAATCATTCATTAAATCAAATTAAAAATCTTATATAAATAATTACAAACAAAAAACTAATAAAGCTTAAGTCAATATTTCTAGTGTAAAGCAATAATTATATTATTATTTATTACACACAACTGATAGCAATTAATAAGTTTACTAAAATATCTACTAAATATATTGTATGAATAAAAATCATATAAATAAAATAAAAATTTGATATAATGTGTAGTAACCCTAACAAAAATTATTGAATGTTGGGCCTCAATATAAACTAAATACAGTATATTTGTCTTCAGTTATAATTTATTTGTTTACTTATATCTTATATTATGTAATGCTTTTTTGATTAGATAACCGATAACTTGACTTTTCTAGTAATTATATAATAAATCCATATGACTTTAGTTATTAACTAAACTGTGGTTATTTAATAAAAAAAACATATGATATTATTTTTTATTTTTAATATAATATATTAGAATTTTTGTTTTGACAAAATTAAAAAATAATTTTCTTAATCTATTAATATTAAATAAATAAAACTATAAAAATTAATAATTTTTAAATAAATATATTAACTATTTACAATAATAACTTAACATAAATAATTCAGGCTTAGTAAACATTATTGTCATAAGTATACTGGTATTATCTGTATTATTTTAAATGTAAATTTTAAAAATTTATGGCAATATAGCAACTACATGAATAGTTATTAATAACCGGATATTAATTAATTTTTCCGAGTTTTTCAAATTACATATTTAAAAAAATATTGTAAATTTAAATCATGGTTTAGGTTTCGAAAAATTTTTTACTCAACATTCACTATGAATATTGTGCAGTATATATATTGACTTTATATCAAATAATAGATATGATTGGAAAATAAGTTTTGGTTTTTTTAAATTTATCATTATTTTCATGTCTAGTTTTAATAGTCGTAAAAAAATATTTAGGCATTAATTTTCTGGTCTTTTATGATAACTTTTTTTTCTAAAGTCCATTGGGATTCATATAATTATCAAATGATAGTACTGTATACTCTATACCTGCTATTAATGTGAGAAAATTCAATACAATAACTATCAAATCATTTTAGAGTTGTTGCAGAGGTTTTTTTTTGGGTAATAATTTAAGCAATTTTTGTGTCACTAATTAATGATATTCACTGTACGGGATAGTAAAAGATGACATAAATATTTAAGAGATGGCTAGTAATCAAAGGAGATAAGCATCACTGAGCTCTCTCTTTCAGCAAATCTCTAATCCCTGGCCATTGCACACACAATCTCAACACAAAAAAACACATCCCATTGTTAATGAATTTTTATATATGAAAATCAAAGAATAATTTGTTTTGTGTGGAAAAATCAAAATTAATAACTTATAGACTTATAATTATTAGCATTTTTTTATTTGCAATAATAGGAGATATTGAGTGAGTGAGTGAGTGAGTGAGTGAGAGAGAGAGAGAGAGAGAGGATCTCATTAAACAAGTTGTCCACTAATTGGTGAGAATTCAGCTGCACTTCTGAAGACTAGTGGATCCAACCCATCACTGATTGTTTAGTCTTTTCGTGTCTGTCCTTCAAATATCCGGATTTTTTAGTGTCAATTATTTTTAGATTTATTGCCTGCTTTTCATACAGTTATTTCCACACTTTTCAAGCATACACACAATGAGAGAGAGAGAGAGAGAGAGAGAGAGAGAGAGAGAGAGAGAGAGAGAAATGTAAATATTGATGAATTTAAATGAAAGTTTACAATAAATTTATCTATCAATAGAATAGATTATTTAAGGGAAACTTACGGTACAAATGTCGGTAATTTATAAATATCATATGTCAAGTTAACATTGCACTATATATAAATCTCGTATAAAATTGCATCTAGGTAATTATACTGCATATAAAATAATATATTTTTGACATTGTATTTAGTTAGACTATAAAAATAGGTTCAAAAATACAATACAAATAAATTTGATTAAAATAAAAAGTTTTTATTATTAATGTTTGATTTTTAATTTTTCAAATAAAAATGAACATGGTACTTTTTAATAACATCATATTATTTTAACTATAGATAATTTATTAGAATTAAATGTATTCATTGGTTATATTTGAATGTTTTGTTTCAATAGACTTATAAGTTATAACTGTATCCCAAATGTATTGATTTAGTAGTAATTAGAGGGCATCTGAAAAGTCCGACACTGTCTATATGTGCAATCAGTCATGAATACCGGTGCTCATCATTGAGAGACTTATAACTTAGTTTTTCATTGTCAAACTCAGTCAAGTCGATTCATAAATAATTTAAAATTATTAGCTTTGAGCTAATATATTAACTATCATTTTAGTTATAATATCTCAAAATATAAATATATTTCATATTTAACAAAATTATATTTAAATATATTCAATCAAATATACACACAATAATGACATAAATTATAATATTTATAAGTTATACTGTATATTGAAATTTTATTATATTAGTAGATAAATTTATTAGAAATTTATTAGTATTATATACTTTATATACAGTTTATGTTAAATAGTCAATAATTTGTTATGTCGTAAACCCCTTAACTATAATATATCAATATATAGCTATATTTATAAATTGTAAGTCACGTTAATTTTTATATAAATAATATACTGTATAACCTGTAGATTGTATAGTTATATACAAATGTATGTAAATAATAAAATACAGAAAATCTAAAAAATATATTTAAAATAACAAAACAAAAATAAAGACATTTACTTATATTATTATATCAGAATTGTGATCAAACCTTATAAAGTAAATTAATTTTAAAAAATTATATATTCATTTTTCTTTTAATTTTAAATAAATCAATTAATTTTTCGATATATTTTTTATGCAAATCAATCGTTTTTCACAATTTTTACTTTAATGTGTTTTTTTAGTATAAATATATGGATTTTCATAAACTTAGGAAACCTCTAATATGGAAAAATATAATCAACAAAAAATTAGTCAATTTAAATATCATTAATAACTTTTCCATATATATAATTTTTTTTACTAATATATAATTTAATATTTCATAAGTTTTAAGGTAATGTCAAAATAACTAAAAGTAAAATTTCCTTATGTCACAACTTTTAAAACATATAATTGTATATTACACTATATATTAATTTAGCTAGATTATTTAACAACATTTTATATTAACTTTTTTAGGCATACGATTATTACTAATGATACTTACACTTAGACTTAAAATAAATAAATTGTCTAATATTTTAAAATGAAGGAATTTTGTTTAAATTTTATTATTTTTAAAATTAATTTAATAAATCATTTAGAAATTTAATTAACAACAAAACTTAATGTATATAAATTATATATCAATATAAGTATATAAATTATCATATATAAACTGTATATACCAATATATTAATACTGTATATAAATATACAGGTATATAAAAAATTATAATATTAATAACAAGACAATTATCTATTATTATTTGTAAATATTATTTAAATCCATATAATAAAATCATTTTTTTAATAAACAAACAATATCGATTTATAAAATAAATAGTTAACAAATATTTTAATGTATTTATATATTAATATTATATAATTATCTAGATAAAGGCATAGGGAGCTTAATCAAAAATAAATGGTATTAATAAATATTGAATACCCGAAAATAAATACAATTGCAACCTTACATAAAATAATTTATATAATTAAATATATATATAGATATATATTATTATATAATATCAACCAAATTGCCAATAAAATTCAATTATAAATCCTGAGGTTTGGCAATGTCTGTAAGTTTTATTTTCTAAACATAAATTATATATTGTTTTTTAAATCTATTAATAATTAATTTTTTGTGCAATTAATCAGTTATTTTTTTCATTGTATATATGTTTTGAGGTAAACGCTGACAACAAAATGTTTATTGGTTTTTTTGATTAGCAATAATATTAATTAATATTATCGTAATTATTATTAGTATTAACAACAATAAATTATAACAATATATGTATATTTTAAAATAACTCTTGGTTTAAAAACAATAAGTTATAAATATTGCAATATATGTTTAACAACTAAATCTTATTATATATATATACTGTATTACAATTATTTTATCATTTTTATTGTTAACATTTATATGAAAACAATGTGTTTTGTATTTTAAGGTCAAGAGATCAGTCGTGTAAATAAAAATTCTCTAAATATTTGTATATAATATCTGTATATAATTGCAAACATTAAATATATATATTCATCTAAAATAAATAATATATATAAATAAATTCCTTAAAATTTAATATCAATATATTATTTATAATAATTGCATTATTTTGTTTTTGTAAGACTCATTTAAATTGGTTATATCAATCAATCACAATCCAGACACTAATTTGGTCACCCGATTGACCATTAACTTCGGAGGTCAATCCAATGAACCAAACAGTTGGTCATTCATATACCATAAGACTAAACCACAAACAGTCACCGGGGTATGAGTTAATAATAATAATAATATATATTGAATATATAATATTAATTACTTAACAGGAGAATGAAAATCTCCTTAATTAATAAATATATTAATATATACATAATATTTAATTTTTTTATAACATTAATATTTCATTAAGTTTTTAATTATTATATGAAACCGAGTTCAATGTCAATACCTTAATGATTGTGTCTTATTGTAAAATTGCAAGACATTATAATTTTATTTTTTCAATCAATTTTCTTTTCAATAAAAAAATTGAATGTCAGCAAATTATTAGACAATAAATTAATTTATAATTATATATATATATATACAGTAGTGTATATATATAGTCATATTTTATGCATTAAAATATGTGATATTGAACTCGCTTTTAAGCTAAAAAATATTTACAATCATTGTTATCGTATAGTTATTATAATAATAATTATTTAAAAACAATGGCAGTGTGTCTCCTAAATGGTAATGTAATTAATTAATAAAAATTTGCATGAATTTGTGTACTATTGAGATATATTTATAATGACAAATGGTTTGTTTGTTTGTTTTTTTCAATTAGTTTGTCACACATTGAGGTCCAGTTTTATCGTTAGTTACCCAGTTGTCGTGTTGGGCATCAAACCAACATATACTCAATATAAAGACAATAATATCTAAATATTTAATTAGTGTCGACTAATTTCATGTCATTATTATTATTATATGTTAACACCTATTAAATCATACGCTGATTATTATAATTACCATATAATTAACAATAATAAATATATATATATTATAAATAACAATTGGCTAACACCTAGACATATAGTAACCCAATACCCAAATTTTTCTTTAAGTCTAATGATATTATTGTTTATGTGAATAATATTGTATAATGAAATAACAATTGCATTATCATTTTTGGGCAGTGTTTTGGTGTAAACAATCAATTGAGATAACATGTATTAAAAATTATCTTTTTTCATCTAAAAACATCTAACCGATAAAACAACTCAATATACATATAATAATAATAGTTAAATATTTTTTTTAACAAAAAAAAAACAATATGAATAAATTAAAAAGCTATGCAACAAATTATATATATATAATATTAAACTAATTAAAACAACAATAGATAATAAAATTAATAATAAGCTATAAATTATTTTTGCCTAAATTATGTGTTCGTTAAATGAGTGATATATTGCCAGAACTTGAGTTACTGTTGGCATCTTCGGCGTCGATGAGCGACGACGAGCCAACTGATCCCGTGTCGGCATCACTGCTACCGCTGTTGCCAATTGATGACAGCTTTGGTTTTAGCAGATTTGACTTTCGCCTACGACAATAGCACGGCTCAAGTAGTTTCGGATATATTAGCACTTCATTGTCGGGCCCTTTGAATATGATTCCGCAGCAGATCTTCTCTCTTTTTTTTGAAACAACAAATCAATTGTCAGTAAAATCAAATGTCAAATAATAATCTACAGATGAATGTCTTAATCAAATAAGTAAATGACATACTTTTTCCAGAAAGACATGTCCAAGAATGAAGTGATTGCTGTATTTGTTGGCGAATCGCATTCAGTCTTGCGGTTGATGTTTGCAGTGGCTTTCGTTGACCGGCCGGTAGTGCGACCAATAAGCGATCGTTTGCTGCACTCTGTTATCTCTTTTTTAGTGATACTCCTGACCTCCATTTCCTCGTCAATGTCATCGATGTCTTCTTCCATGTCATCGTCCGTATCGGACGAATCAGAGCCCTCAGGACTCGATGTCTGATCACGAATTGGGTTACGACGGCGTAAGCCTTCAATTCATATAAATTACGGAATCAAATGGTCAGCAAATATGTCAAACAGTTTTATTAAATAACAACAAAAAATCCATACCTTTATTGCTATTATTGGTAGTATTCTGTTTATGGTGACAATTGACATGAGGTTTACGATTGTTTGAGCTGTTGTCCAATTGATCCAACGGTGTCGTTGTACTTCTCAGTGAGTTGTCATTTGTGTTATAATTAAGTTTTGGCTTAACCGACTTAGTTCCCGGACCTGCCCGGGCGTCTACTACATGATGCCAATTGCGGGTCGTATTTGACGGCAACTTTTTCCAACGTTTTACCTGAAAAAAATCAAAAACAATTCAATGATTGATTGACACTTGTGTCCGGTTGGGGTCACAAACATACAGACTGTCACAGTTGTCGGTGACAAATGACAAATCAATTAAAACATTTAAAACAAATCAATTACCAGAAGAACACAGGCATTACATATCTCTCCACTTCTGTGTTCAATAATTTTGAAACATTTTTCAAACTCCGGCTCATATTTCTTGGAGTCGGTAAACCTCGACGACGACGACTTGGCCTTACAGATACAACAGCCGTGTATCGATCGGTAAATTTTCGGCTTATGAAAGCTAAACATTGCTACAACTCATCACCTGAAGACACTTCCAACAATAACAACAAAACACAACCGCACAGCAGTTTACTGTATTAATACAACAATTTGTCGCTACTTCCACATCAACGTTATGGTAATTGTCACTCTCTCTCTCTCTCCCTCTCTCTCTAAAGAATAATGGATCACATATGGGGTGATAACTGTGTATTTCCAGACTCGCAGTACTGATATATGATATTAAATCGGAAAACTACTGACTGACTGACTGGTGAAAAACAAATCAATGATTTTGATGGTCTGGTTGAGGAAATAGGTTCACTGCTACTATTGAGTGCACAGGCATTAGGAATATATTGGAAAGGCATACATACATACATACATACACACAGGCACTTCACTTCACTACTACAGTACATACATGTATGACAGTCATAGTGACCCAGTTTTATATTTAGCTAACATTTTCTACTATAACTTCTAGTATACTATTAAAGCCACTATCTATCAAAGTGTGTGTATAGTATATATATTATACTACTAGTATGTACTGAATTCAATGAATATACTATAGTGTTGTATATATAATATATTGTATTATACAGAATCTAACAGTACAGTAGAGCCAATGCCAACCCAATGCCAAACCAGTCCTAACAGTCCCTTAACTGTATAAACAGCTAACACTTGATTCCTACATAAGTATTAACGTTGCATTTTTTTTACTTCATCATTGAATGCTTAATAAAAATTAAGAAAAATTATTTTATTTTATATTATAATTTGATAAATATTTAGGTTTTTTGTGTTGAGTTGAGTTAACTCATTGAGACCGAGAGTTTACCGTTAAATATATATTATATACAGTAATATACGGTATATATTCAGTAAACAGTTGTGTGTTATATTTGAAAAATCTATTTGCAAATCAAATCTAAAATTTATTATTTTTATTATTTTTGTTAGAAAAGTATTGATTAAAAGTGGTTTGATGTTAACACATATATAAAATATTTTATTATCAAATTTTTATTATTTTTGTTATTCATTAGCAGCGCCTATATTTCACTATAAATTTTATATATTTCTAAATATTATATGATATATATACACATATTGTTTAATTTATAAAAATTTAGTTTTAATATTAAATATATATTTTTTATCTTATAATTTCTAAATAGTTAGTGAGTGTTAAATAAATTTTCAATGACATTATGGTTAATAATTTATATGTTTTTTTGGTGCCGATTAAGTCCTTCACAATTCATTACCCCCAAGGTGATTTTTGGATAAATTAATAGCTATTTTATAGGAAGAGTTCATTTATATACAGTATATATATATTAAATAATCAATTTATTAGTAGTTAGTTATTTTTATTACACACTGCATATCAAAACTATTTAGAGAGAAAGAGAGAGAGAGAGAGAGAGAGAGAGAGAGAGAGAGAGAATTATAAAAATGTAAATTTTTTTATATTTTTATTTAATAGAGAGAAAAAAACAAGAAAAATATTTTCCAACAAAAAATATTTTTAAGTTCGAGTTTATTAAACTGTTAATGAAGTTTAATACATACATATCTATTATATATTGAGTCCATTGACTTAAAATCAATTAACTTATAAAATGAAAAGTCGTTACACTTTTTCTTATCGCTGAAGAAGAAGAAAAAACAAAATATATGTTAGTATTCAACAAATGTATTCAATATGTATGTTGTTATCGAAAAAAATATTTGTATATGTTTTATGCAAAGTTAAATAATTATGATTAAAGAGAGAGAGAGAGAGAGAGAGAGAGAGAGAGAGAGAGAGAGAGAGAGAGAGAGAGAGAGAGAGAGAGAGAGAGATTTAAATTAGGATTTAAATTTACTTTAATAGCATTAGCTATTTATTTGATGTTTATTTGTTTGTTATACATAAATTTATTTATTTTTTTAAATTTATTATAAATAATAGAACAAATATATATAAATATATACATGTAGTAAATATAAGCAAATAAAAATAATTTTTCGCGTTTTAATGAGATTGTGGTTCAAATAACATAACATTAATAGTATATATATATAAAAATTTTATACAAATGCAGTATAGATATCATAAATTTATATAAAATGCATACAATATATATACACAAAAAATAATGTTATATCAATTATAGTACAAACTTACATAAACTTTTCCGTATATAATAGTTGTGGTAAAATGTGATAAATACCATTTGGTATAATGTAATTGTTTATTATATTAGAGCCACAATTGTTATGTGTGTGTGTTGTGTCGGATATAAAGCTCATAATCAAATAAAAATCTACAAAATGTTATGTCATAAAACTTTGTTGTTATTGTGTTTTTTTTATTTATTTTTGTTTTATATAAAAATTTCATGACAACTATCATAAATGACAGCTATTTGTTTGTTTGCTTTTTTCACATGCATTTTATATTGAARCATACATTTAAAACACACACACACATAGAAAGATAGATAGATATAGATAACAAACAAATAATTTTATTTGGATGAAAAATTTTCTATAATAATAATAATGAAATCAATTTATCTCTAAATTGATAATTAATGAAAAAAAAGAGTGAAATAATTTTTGTATTGTTTTGAATGCTATAATATGCTTATAAATAATAATAAAAATAATAAAATAAAAAATTTACGAGAAAGCAGTTTAAGTTTAAGAGTCGAAAGGATAGGAATTTAGGACATTATGTGGGAAAACAAGTGAAAAAATGGGATCAATCTCTTCAATGATCGTTAACAGAGAGTTAAGTATTTAAGTAAAGTTTTAATTGCCAAACAAAATGTTAAGCTTTTTTCTGTAAATTTATTTAATATTATAATCATAATAATAATAATAATAACATAACTTTTCAAACAAACAAAAAAGAGTTTTTTTAGATAAACCACTTTATTTTTTGAATGAATTGAATTGATATATTTTATGTGTGTTTTTAAATGTTTTTTTTTTTAAATAATCCAAATTTTTTTCAGTGAAATTGATTGATACAACAACTCAATATTTTTTTTAAAAAAATAAGTTAAAATTTTCAAAAGTGAAATATTTTTGTCAAATTTTGTGTGAGTGTCTGATTTGAAAGTAGTACACAAATTGTTAGTTATTATTATAGAGGAGTGGATCGATATTAGACACAGAAAACCCAAATACGATATATAATGTTATAAATGGGAAAACACATCCTTAGCATTGGTATTGATCTCAATTCACTTTGAAGTACAATCCAATGTCACATACATTTTACGAGCCTATTGTATATATAAAATTATATATATATATATATACTGTATATATAGATATATAGTTTACTAGGGAATGGTATATAATATAAAGTATATATAAGTAGTGACTATGGGTATGATTTTTCTGGTATGCAGTTTTTGAGTACCCGATTGCGCAAATAGTTTGACCTGATTTTTGGTCATAAACTTTGCATTCATTTATCAAAATGGTATATAAAAACCAGAGATTTCTTTTGAGAAAAACATTGTATTTATATAAGTGTTTATTCAAACTGTTTTTAAATGTACTATAAATACAGTATAATATATTCATATGTATTAATATAATTTTAGTATTTAAAGCACATCTACAATATGTATTACATATACTGTATATTATTTGTAATCTCTTATTATTATTACTGGAAAAATAAAAACTGATATACACTTTGAAAATGTCATATTATTATTATTATTTTATCTTAAGGCTTATTAAAAATAATAGTAATAATAATAATAATAATTGCCAAATAAATACACTTGAAATAATCTGAAATAAATTATATTATAATAATATTTAGGTCTCTTATAATAATTTTTTATAATAACGATAATAATAATAAAAAAAATGAATAAATAAATTAGTATGATTTTTATTGTTATTATAAATTACATTATATTATATTTTTTTCAATAATAAATTATTTATTCGCAACTTTTCACAATAATAATTTTATGTAATCTACTAAATCAAATGAAATAAAAACAAAAACAAATTAATTTTTTATTTTATTTATTTGAAAATAAAATAATGCATTTTATAGTTGATATCTAATTTTAATTTTAATGATAATATTAAAAATAATAAGTGTTCCTTATTTTTAAATATATAGATAAATTATATAAATATAAAGCATTAAAATTCTATTAATAAATAATATATAAATTATTTAATATAATAAATGCAATAATATATTTTTTTAAAAATAATTTTTCAAATTGGATAAATGATTATACTTAAAATAAAATTGTGTCTAAATGAGTGAGTGAGTGAGTGAGTGAGTGAGTGAGTGAGTGAGTGAGTGAGTGAGTGAGTGAGTGAGTGAGTGAGTGAGTGAGTGAGTGAGTGAGTGAGTGAGTGAGTGAATCAGTGAGTGAGATGTACTGTAGAGAAGGGTATTGAATGTGGAAAACCCGGAAGTGTTTAGAGAGAAAAAAATCGATAAATCTTAGTCCGGATTGTAAGCTATGGTATGGTATGCGATGTGTTTTAACTATAAATGAAGTTATGATGTGTTTGCGCACATCCCAGTCCTCGTCAACTATACTACAGTATATAAACTGAAATACAAATGTATAGAATATACTGTTATTATTAAATAAATGAAATTATTTAGTGAATGCGTGCCATTGAATGTGAATTTTGCAAATCTCCGGTAAACTAAACTATTGACTAAATTATAAATAAAATATTGGGTTACCATTTAATTGACATCATTTTACCAGTTTTTTTTATTATTCAACTTTTTTTCATTCAATAAAGTTATATACCATTAATATTAATATTATTAATAATAATAATAAAGGTCACACCATTTATTATCATTAGGGACTTAAATATCTTGTTATCACTTTTTATTGATAGTATTTCGAGAGAGAGAGAGAGAGAGAGAGACTCATGTGATACTGTATGATATCATCATATCTTAAGTTACAAATTTTGATAGCAATAAAATTTAGGACAGTTATCACTATCACATCCAAGTGATACAGATATTAATAATATTTATTATTATTATTAATAACTAAAGAAAACACTAATAAAAAATCATATAAACAGTATATATCGCACCATTTAATTAAGTCTAATATGATATATAATTTTATAAAAAAAAGTTTATATGAATCATAAATTATGGGAATAAATAAATAAATAGATAGTTAATCAATAAACAAAATCAAACAAAATTATAAATAATAATAATAATAAAGTAATAATAACATACATTTACGCTACAAATAAAAATTAAAATAATATATATTTTTTGTCAAATTAAATATGCATAAGATTAAGATAAATTATACATGTTCAAATATTGACATCGATATAGCAGTTAAAAACAAAGTTTATGTTTATTTGTTTGTTTGTTTGTATGTTTAACCTGCAAATTGTAATTATAAGTTATAACTAAAAGTAATTTTCTTAATGTGTGTGTAATTAAATTTGGTGTCAATATTTTATGTTTATACTATTATACTATAATATGTGTAATTTATAAATATAAACATATTATTAATTAATGATAATAACTATTTTTAATGAGTTTTCACTATCTTATTAATAATCATTATAATCTTATAAACTTAATTTTTGTTTTTTTTTTTTAAAATTATATTATTAATCGATAGTTAAATTATATGTAAAGTAATAATACCCGTGAAATGTAGAGTAAAAATAATGATAATAATCTAAAATTATAATATATTTTTTATTTTTATACTTATTTTTTAAAATCAATTGAAAAATAGTTTCTTACAATTATAAATTAAATATACAGTATATATTTAAATATATATATATAATCAAAAAAAAAATCCAACGACAATTATTTATATATAATTTATATTTTAATGTTATGATTAATTAAAAAATAAAATAAGTCTCTCTTTCGTTCATCAATTTATATCAATAAATATAAAATAAAATTATGAGGAATATGTAAAAATGTAGATTTTTTATTATTTAATTAAATAACTTAACATTTATTATTATTATTTATAAACAAACTATATAATCTAACTAATTTCAAGTTTTGATTAACATTTTTAATGCAATTTACGTCAAAACTTCTAATGTTTTTTTGTGTTTTGTTTTTTTATAACTGTAAGAAAATTTCGATTATATTTTAATCAATTGGTGTTTTTTTAATAGAAATTAAATATCAATAATAATTAAAATTTAAAATCCAATCTTTTTAGTTTATATATATATATACACAATATATATACATATAAATAACAAGCATTGGTTTGAATTGTTCAAAATATTTAGTATCACCGCTAAAAACAATGATTTCAACAAAAAAAGAAAAATAATAAAAACAATTATATATAAATTTAATTATTTTGTTGTTGTTGTTGTTGTTTACGAATTGGGACCGTTAGCTATGTATAAATCACTTGTAGAAGAAGTGACCGCATTTTCCTGGTCTGCTGTCACCAGCGAATTGTTGACCGCCGAAGCATATGTTGCCACAGTTGCTTGTGATGATGAGTTAATGGTCGTAGTCATCGTCGCCGGTGGTTTCGGGCCGCCAAAGTCTGCCGCCGCTTCCGATGATGATAACACTGTTGCTGTCGATGGTTCGCAGGACGTACTCTCAGCAAATGCTTTTTATTTATTAAATTATAATTTTTTTTAAATAATTATAATTTTAAGCATATTTTTTTTGAACTACAAATTAGTATAAACACAATTACCGGTCGTTGAATGTGATGACAACGACGATTCTGTTGATGTATGTCTAGCGGTAGTGGTGTTGGTCGTGGATGTGCTTATCATTGATGAGCTAAACTCGTTAGAATTGAAATCATTATTGTTTGAAAAGCCACTAAAATCGGCCCACGAGTCGGCCTCTATGTTCGAAGACGCCGCCCCCGACGTACTGGTCGGCAATACTTGTGAACCACTCGAACTACCCTCCCAGGGGTTTGATGTTTCCATAGCTACTGGGCCACTATTTGCACTATCAGACCAGGCTATATATAGAGTATATATATTGATTATAATAAAAAAAATATTAATTACTATCTAATGGCTATTTACTAAATAATTATAAGTAAATAATTACATAATCAGATACTATGTAGCAATGTATCATTATATTAATCAATAATTTGTGTATTAATAAACATTATCATCATTGAATGTAAATGTCTTAAACAAAGGACGATATAGTATACAGTAGTAGTAATAACAACAACAACAAAATCATAGCTTACGATCACTTTGGTCGACATCCATGGGATTAAAGTATCGATTATTGGAAGAATTAAAACCAAAGGCTTCGTCGTTCAATAGAGAGACAGACTTCTTGGGCTCCGAATTCATGGTACGATTATTGAATGACTGGTCTCTATCTTCCCAGAGATCTTCTTCATCGCTACTGTTTGTGTCGATACTATCTTTTGCTCTTTCGGCGCATATTTTTTCAAACTGTAAGCTCTTGTCTTTTTGTTGCTATTGAATCGTAATATATATATATATAGAGAAAAAATGATAAATTAAACATTTAGAAAACAAAAGTTTTGAGTTTTTTTAAAAAAAGATATCAAATATTATTACCAAATGAGTGTCAAAATTAAAATTAATTCTTGTAAATGAATCAATTTGATTGCTATAAATATATATTTTTTAAAAATATATTAAAATCGCATTATTAAAATAGTAATATTATTTTTTTCGACATACGGAATGTTGTCATTCAATTCGGTGAACTCATTGGCTGAAAACGTAATCTGTTGGCAAAGATTTCTTGTCATTTGCTGCATCTGATAGTCCATAAATACCTGACAATAGATAATAATTTATAAATTTTAAGTTTAATTAAAAACTCAATTAACTGGTAATATATTTGCTATTTATATGATATAATACCTGTTGAAGTGTAGTGTCCTGTTGTCGACGAGATTCTTCATCCATCGGCATATTAGGCATTTCATTGACAAGCGGTGTGCTATGAATTTTGTTAATCTTATCTAATGTCTGATCAACAAAACTCTTCCACTTATCAAACACTTCGGCCGACAAATATTTTTGCAGACACTGGTCGTCACATTTGTCTTTAATTAGATTTGCAATAATTACTAAGTGTCCCATATATCCCGGTTTCGGTTTATAACTACTAGCATTCGGTTCTACCGATTCATTATAACTACTGTTTGTTGTATTACTATTTTTCTCGTCAAACACATCACATAATCGATCAATGAGTTGGCACTGAGTTAACAGTTGTATGACTAAAGAAGAAGATTCAATGATCGGCGTCGAAGACATTGGCTCATCACCAGCCGATTGAGTGGAACAGTTGCTATTTGAACCGGATTTACAATTATTATTATTATTGTTGTTATTTAGTATACAAGCGATTGATTGTTCAACTTGTTTGTGAAGAAAATTATTCCACTGATACTCGAAGAATAAGTTCTGCGATTAAAAAAATAAAATAAATAAACATAACGTAACCATAGATATTGATATTAAAATTATTGTTCACAAAAAATACATACAATAAGTATCGGCAATGTATTCATTTGCGCCAATTTCTCTCTGATTGACTCATCATTAGTGCTCAGAAGAGCTGTGATCAGATGAGCGACTTCGAGACGTATGGCGCCCAATGGCTTCTCAATGAGACCGACAGTGGTCTGAATTGGTTGCTGTTTCGGTGGATTCTCTAATAGGTCCGAAAACGCTTCCAATCGCGGTAGTATAGCTGCCTCTACTTGTCTAATACTTTTGGCTAATCTCTCGGTGTCCAAAGCAGTCGGTTGGCCGCAGCCGTCGACTCTGTTGGCCATTTGTTGACTAAAACATTGGGGCATTCCTTCGAATTCGGCTGAAGACTCGTTTATATTGTTCTGTGGACTCATTATGTGTTGTTGTATATTGATATTCATACTAATTGGGTATTCAAAAAAAAAAAACCATATCATAAATATAAATATCAACAAAAAATTAGACATCATTTTCATCAATCAATACCAGTGCCGTTTGTATTCAAGAAGTGATTGGATAATTGTAAGGCCACTAACAAGACTACTCTCTGTCCGACAGCTTATAATGTTGTCCAGTAGTGCGGCCACTGTATCGGTACTATAAAAAATATACATAAAATATTTTCATATATATTTCAATCATATATTTTGAAGTCAATGAAAACACAAAATAAAACAACATTTATAAATCTCTTTTAGAAGACAACATACGATTCGAGTGTATCTAAAAGCAGGTCATTGTCCACATTGTCCTGATATTGCGATTGGTGTTCACGGGTTATCTTAATTATGTCACAAATCAGTTGAGCGGCATTTATATGCTTTTGTGACGAACAATTCGTCTTAAATATGGCCAACAGTTTCGGTATCAGTTCATTATCGTGAAGCCATTTAATAATAATGTTTCTGAGATCCAAATTATCGACACTAATGATAAGCTTAAGAATCAGATCCATGACCGCCGACGTCTCAATATGAGTCAATAATAAACTAATCAAGTCTTTAGACTTTAGAAAGTCAAACACAAAATCGGTTTTCTTAACAAACAACACACCCATGACTTTACTAAAAAAGCTGGCCATCAATGGATTCAATGGGCGGTCTGTATCGATAAAGTTATACAATTTGTTGAGCATCTGGTCGTCGGCAACTAAGGCATCGGCAATGGCCATCACATCGGTGGTCAGTATCTCGCAGGCAATGTTAGCGTATTTGAATCGTAACCGTTGATCCAAAGAGACTGGCGGCTCATTTGTTATCAAATTTATCATTTCGTCAATTATTGGCGGACGAGTTAGACTGTCATCAAATAATTATTAAACAAAACAACAAATATTATTAATTGTCGTCAAAATAATAGATAATACAAAAACAATTGTATCAATAGATTTGAATAAATTATATGACAAAACAAATATCATATATAAACAAAAATTAAATGACAAGAAAAACTGTGGTGTCTTTTAAATTTAAAAACAACACAAACAATACATACAAATCAATGAGCTTCTGGGTCTGCGCTTTGCACTCTTGAAGAATATCGTCTTCATCCATAAGCTCCTGAAGAGTGACATTCTGGTCAAACAATAAAAAAAATCATTAAATAAGTCAATGGTAATGACGTTAATAATTGGGAACCGATTCATGATCGCAATTATAAATGGATGAAAACTAATTTACCTCTTTGTCGAGTATGGTTCCGATCTGTGAGACAAATCCGTTGTCAAACTGCCAGAACATTCTGCTCAAGAAGTTTGTGTGTTTGTCTGTGTGTTTCAAGCGATGGCAATCAAAAAATCAATCAATTGGTCCAACCAAATGATGGTTTGGTTTTTTTACAAAGAGTTATAGAGAGAGAGATAATGATTGTGTACAGTCATCGGATTAGTTCATTGATTGATTGATCCAAACAATCAGTTAATTAATTATTTATTTATACAGACATTACATTCAAGTTATTACTGTATTATTATTATTATTATTTAGTATGAAATCACATGAATGTCACCAATCAATGGTTCACTCAAATGGTAATGCATTCAATCAATCATTCATTCATTCAATACATACAAATAGATAGAGACGTCTAAAACATGGATGACTGTAGAGATCAAACATTTTTTGACACGTCTTCCATACAAAACGTATGCATTTAGTTATCCTATAATTTAAACTCAATAATAATTGTATTGTCATTTTGTTAGTGGGTTTAACTCAATACTATAATACCGGTAATTCAACAAAAAATAATAACTAATAACTTAACAATCAATCAGTTATTGAATATCAATTAATATTCAATCAAATAAAATAATTAAGCAAAAAAAACCAATTTATGTGCTTAAAACAAATGTGCATTATTTCATTTTTATTATAATTAAGTATTCAAATTAATCAAAAATATATAAATATAAAACGACATTAGAAATATAAAAATCAGATTTGTTTTTTTAGGTGCACTAATCATATAATAATAATGTATTCAATCAATCAATTGTAATGTATTTTTATATAATTAAATAAAAAAAATCTGAGTTTCAATTAAAAACATCGGAGAGTTTAGAACTCTTCTCCGCCCTCGTCTTCGCCGGTTTCGGTCGAATCGAGACCCACTTCTTCGTAGTCCTTCTCGAGAGCGGCCAAATCTTCGCGGGCTTCGCTGAACTCTCCCTCTTCCATACCTTCGCCGACATACCAGTGCACAAAGGCTCGCTTGGCGTACATCAAGTCGAACTTGTGGTCGAGTCGGGCCCAGGCCTCGGCAATGGCTGTCGTGTTGGACAACATGCAGACAGCACGCTGTACTTTAGCCAAATCACCGCCGGGAACAACAGTCGGTGGCTGATAGTTGATACCAACCTAACCATTACAAATAGCCGATTAGTTTAATCAATTACTTCAATTGATTCAAATCCAAATCTTACCTTAAAACCAGTTGGACACCAATCGACAAATTGAATGCTACGTTTGGTCTTAATGGCAGCGATGGCTGCATTGACATCCTTCGGCACGACATCACCTCTGTATAGGAGACAACAGGCCATGTATTTGCCGTGTCTTGGGTCGCATTTGACCATTTGGTTGGCCGGCTCGAAACATGAGTTGGTAATCTCCGAGACTGTCAGCTGCTCGTGATAAGCCTTTTCGGCTGAAATGACCGGAGCGTAGGTCACAAGTGGGAAATGGATGCGCGGGTAGGGAACCAAATTAGTCTGGAATTCGGTCAAATCGACATTCAGGGCGCCATCGAATCGAAGTGAGGCAGTAATACTCGACACAATTTGGCCGATCAGACGATTCAGATTGGTATAAGTGGGGCGTTCAATGTCCAGATTTCGGCGGCAGATGTCATAAATAGCTTCATTGTCGACCATAAAGGCACAGTCGCTGTGCTCGAGAGTGGTATGTGTGGTCAGAATACTGTTATAGGGCTCGACTACGGCAGTCGATACCTGTGGGGCCGGATATATGGCAAACTCGAGCTTTGATTTCTTTCCGTAATCAACTGACAAACGCTCCATCAATAGTGAGGTAAAACCAGATCCGGTTCCGCCACCAAATGAGTGAAAGATAAGGAAACCCTGTAAACCAGTGCATTGATCGGCCAATTTGCGTACACGATCTAAGACCAAGTCGACAATCTCTTTGCCAATTGTATAGTGACCGCGAGCGTAGTTGTTGGCGGCATCCTCTTTGCCAGTGATGAGCTGTTCCGGATGAAACAATTGACGATAGGTACCGGTGCGCACCTCATCGACAACAGTCGGCTCCAGATCGACATAGACTGCTCGGGGGACGTGTTTGCCGGCACCGGTCTCCGAGAAAAACGTATTGAACGAATCATCGCCGCCACCAATGGTCTTATCGCTGGGCATTTGACCGTCGGGTTGAATGCCGTGCTCGAGACAGTACAGCTCCCAACAGGCGTTTCCCATTTGGACGCCGGCCTGACCCACGTGTATTGAAATACATTCACGCATTTTGTCTTCAAATTAGTTGATAATTAATAATCAAAATTTAAATTGAATTGTAATTAATTGACACAAAAATGTCTCCGCAATTGAAATACAAAATTATTTAGACTTTTAGGTAACAAAAGAGTCCAAACAATTGTGTGAAACAAATAGTAAGTAAAGCGCTCAACAAATACAGTCAATCCTTATATAGAAATATATCAACCAATCACTGGACGACTACACCCTAGGACTAGAGGTCCGCATTGTTTGACAGTTTGAGTTACGCATTTCAATCGACCAATGATTGTCAAGTATTTGTTAGAGAAATTCAATTTTTGAATTTTGAATCAAAAATACACACAACGTATACATAGTTTATGCAGACCTCTAGAACAGTCTTGTATGCAGTAATAGTAGTCATCATCTAATGATTGGTCGATAGCGTGCTTTGAACTCTTGAAATATAAATGTATTACAGTTTAGACAACATTACAGTTGTAGACAAACAACACTCAAAGTCATTGGAAAAAAGTTTTTACACTCAATATTATCTAACACTGTATTACTCTATATTAGAGTCTATAATGTAATGGTATTAATATGTATAGCACTGAGTCATCATTAATACTATTTTATACACTAAACATTTTCAGAACAAACTCGGTACTTTTTTATTTATGTTACTTATGTTTTTTATGCTACATTTGATAATTATAAAAGATACCATATTGTCATGTGTTGTTTAAAAAAATGCGACATCATTTATGTAATTATATAATTATTTAATAGAGATATAGTTACACAAAAAACATATGTAATATACATAAAAAGGGCCCGAGTCTTCGGTAGATCATAATCCGTGTATATACTTCTAGTAAATGTAAAAATAATTTTATTAAAAATCAAAATAAAAATATTTTAAAATACTTTTTAAATACACTTAACGTATAAAACAAGTAAACTATAGGTATTATTAATATTAATACTAAAAAAATAACATGTTACAATTTGTTGGTTTTTTTTTATTAAAAAAAACTTCTACCCATATATAGTTTAGTTTATTTTTTTAAATATTTTATAAAAACATTGAATTTATATTTATTTTTTACAATATAATAATTTTTAAATATGACTAAACTTTGTGTTTGAACTTTTCTATTATTTATCATAAATAAATAAATAATCTATCTTGATGATAAGTTAATTAAGAGGCTGTAATAATATTTATAATAAAAATTAATCATAAAATATATTATTAAAAAATCATATTATTTGGTATTTTTTAAAAATAAATTGTTAAATGTATCGGTAATTAGTTATTATTATTATTATTATTATTATTTTTCGGGTAATAAACCTAAAGTATAACTTTATAGTACAACTACTGTACTGTACTTTATATACATACAAATACATCATAAAAATAGTGTATTTTTAATGTTTAGTATTTGACTATTAATACAGAAATTAAAGGGGAGTTCAAAAAACATGTTTTCAATATATAGTAATTATTATACAGTGTTTACATATGTGTTGACGTTATTAGTGAATAAAAAAAACACTATTTGATTGCCAAACGCAATGCAATTACAGTATTATTATTAATATATTGTGTTTACAAATATACAGTGTATTTGTCATTAAAATACAATAATTATTTATACATATAGTGACAGTCAATGTATTGAATGAATCAATTTATTAAATATATTTAATATATAATTAAATATATCTATTGTATTGTATTAAAAAAATTTATCAATCATTACATCCATTAGTTGTAAATATAATCATTTGTTTGTTTGTTTTGTGATAATCATCAGCTAAATCATCAGATAAGACAAGAGATCCAAATGGAGTGGTTGTTCGGCAAGAAGAAGACGCCCGAAGAGTTGTTACGCCAGAATCAGCGGGCGTTGAACAAAGCGGTACGCGATTTGGACAGAGAACGGACCAAAATGGAGGCACAAGAGAAGAAACTGATTGCCGACATCAAAAAGATGGCAAAAGACAATCAGATGGACGCCGTCAAGATTATGGCCAAAGATTTGGTCCGTACGCGGCGTTACGTCAAAAAATTTATACTTATGAAGGCCAACATACAGGCCATCGGTCTAAAAGTACAGACACTGAGGTCACAGAATGCTATGGCAATGGCCATGAAAGGTGTCACCCGAGCACTGCAGTCGATGAATAAACAGATGAATTTGCCGCAAATTCAGCGAATTATGCAAGAATTTGAACGTCAATCGGAGATAATGGATATGAAAGAAGAGATGATGAACGACGCCATCGACGACGTAATGGGCGATGAAGAGGACGAAGAAGAGAGTGAAGCTGTCGTCTCACAAGTGTTGGACGAGTTGGGCGTTCAACTGAATCAACAACTAAACGATTTGCCACAGGCTATCGGTTCGCTGAATCCATCGGCTAATAATGCAAAAACTCCCGTTGCTGTGACCGATGCCGACGCAGATCTTCAGGCAAGACTCGACAACTTAAGACGAGAATAGACCAACAAAAATAAAGTTTTTGACGACAAATAAATTAAAAAAACCATTATTTGTATATTTTTACATAAATTTAAAAAACAATATTTTAATTATTATGGCAATTGATTTACCATAAAATATACAGTAGTTGTTGTAATTTATTATAATTATTATTAAAAACATGATATAACTAATGCGCTAAATAAATATTTTTAATTATTAAATATTAAGATAATATATCTTTTTAATGGTTTTTTTGTTGATATTATATAAAAACAATGGAATGAATTATTATTATTATAATTAAAAGGCCGAATCAATCAGCGATTGAAGTGAAGTCGGTATCCATTTGTTGTCATTACTATTCATAATGAATAGGACTTGTCTGTCGATAAAAATGATTTGTTTACCAAATTTGTACACTTGTTTGCCTTCGTATAGACGATTGGCAATTGGCATAAACAGTATGCCTTTATCTTCAGCTCGTCGTTCGACTAATTGTCTAAAATTAATGGATGTATCGGATGATAAACTTGTTGTTGAGGAGGAAGTCTGTGATGGCGGAGGCGGCGGTGGTTTTATTGGAGCATAGAATGCATGGAAAGGTTTAACAGGAATACCAGTATTATTAGTAAAGGCACTCATTATGTCCAGAGCTCGTCTGAGACTGTCTTTAACAATCGGATGGTCAAGAAGTTGTGGCGATAGCATTGATTTCCAGCCGGTATACCATTTACTTACTTCGTCTAAATTGGCTTTATTTGTTAGCCAATTGTATAAGACATTAAGCCATCGGGGAAAGAAATTTTTATCGAGAATGGCGGCCATCATTGTTGTCGATAGCATCTCCTGCCACGACATAATCCAGTGCCAAATATCCAGACACTGTTGATGTGGATTAATAATAAGCGACTGTAAGGCCAGTTCCAACTTTGGCACAATATTTGTATTGAGAAACCCTTCCATCGAGCCATAACTGAACACACCTTTCCACGGCTCGAGAATCAATTTCGCCGAACTATCGCTGGGATGCCAATTGATCAACGCTTGGGCCAGTTTGTGGCGAATCGGATCGTAAATGTGTTCCAATGATCTGTCGGCCATCAGCGGCAGCCACGGATGTAACCACGAATGAATAGGCATTGTATCAGTTAATGGATTCCATTCATCTACTTCTTTCTGAAGCAATGGTAAAACTATTTGTTCGATAATATTGTCGAACAACCAAATCGGCTGAATAGGTTTCCACGATTCGAGAAACGCAATGATCTCATCGCACTGTCTAATGGATGACCAGTCGAGTAGACTTCGTCGGACAACAGGCATCCATAGTTCCCAAAGAATTATTTCAAAAATAGAGTCATCAGTTGTGTCCAACATTTTCTTTAACTTCATAAACATATCTATCTTTCTTGAGCCTTCACTATCTGTCAATGGTTGCCAATCTGTAAGCAATTGTCTAACCAATGGAAAGGCTGTCGGTATAATTAAGTCTTGTAAATCTAATGAATAAAATTCAACCGAATAGTCACTTCTTAACTGATCATATTTTTCAAATATCTCTTCAAATGTCAATTTATTGTCATTCAATTTAGTCGATAAATCATCGATTAATCCGTAAATAAACTCAAGATTTTTATATATTTTAGTCTCTTCTTCATTAACTTCGCTAATTCTTTCGATCTCTTCCTCTAAAGTCTTCAATCGATACGATTCTTGTCTCAATTCTTTAGTATTCTGAATAATTTCACTTTCGGTGCCGTCTTTTAGTGAATCAATCAAATCATCATTCATTTCATCTTCAAATGACGGATTTGCCGATTGACTGATCTGATGGTAACCGATAAGCACTCGTTGTTCGGGTCCCGTCATATCAATCACTTTCATCTTACTTGTCTCATTCGTATCAATCGGTTTTACCAGATTCTCAGCAATGATATCATCAGCACTTTTGACCAAATTTTTTGCCCGTTTTACCGCTCTTTCAGTTTGTTTCCATTTGTTTTCGACTTTCATCTTCTTTTGTGTTTTCAATTTGTCATCTGCTTCCTCCTCTTCGGTCATCACACGGTGCTTGTGTTCGGGTCCATAGAGACCAATAGCGCCGCTGCCTAGCCTTTGCTTGGCCTCAATCGGCGCAGCGATTCCCTGAAGATTTTTACCCAAACCTTTTCCCGGTTTGTAACCCATTTTGGCCAACAATTTGGCTCCGATTCCCTTTGTATACGACTCCCAGCGACCGAACTCGTTATCTGTTTGACCACCGAATCCAACTCCTGAAAAATATCTCTCATCTCTTGTGAAACCTTTTTTCTCGTCTCTTAAATCTTGTTTTCTTTTCAATTTTAAGCTCTCGCTGTCGTCGGCGAGCATTTCATCGACAAAAATATCATTTTTATTATCTTCACTAAACTCTTGTTTAACTTCTTCACTGATTTTCGTGGCCTTTTCAAAGTTAAGATAACTAAATGCTTTTTGTGGTTCATTACGGGTCGACTCGCGAGAACTGCCGCGACCACCACCGCGGATGTTATCATCTTTACCGTCATCGCCATCACTATCACTGGTGGCGAACACACCATAAATGGCTTCCTTCTTAAGCTGTTTTTTCGACTTTGTCTGTTGTCGACCTCTTGCACCGGCAAACTCGTTGTCGATATCCCAGTCTGTGATCCCAAACTCAATCCTACCGTCTTTCTGGTCGTCGTCAGCCATCACTGACTCACAAAATGTTGACACTGTTTGGTGTTGTATTCACTAAAGAGAGAGAAAGTCTTTGACACCACTGAAGTCAATGTAGAAGAATATGTTGACAAACGAAATGTTTTTGTTTTTATTTTTGTTTTGTTTTTTTTTTTGAATGACTTCTTCTTCTTTAGTGATGAAAACCAAAACACAAACATAGCGTTAGTGTCGAGACATGCGTTGTATTGACTCTTATATTAAAAGTATTATTATTACTGAAGACTCTGCGCGACTGATGTCGTCATCGATGACTCATTTGGTGACTCATTGGCTGAAAAAAACAGAGATTGACGTCTGTCTGGGTTTGAGATCATTGATTGTGTGTTAAAAAAGACAACAAATAATAAGACAACTGTTTTTTAGTTAAGATTAATGCGTTCTTGTGTTTTGTGAAGACAACAACACAACCATTGAAAACGTAGTGAAGAGTTCACTGAAGACAACAACAAAAATCACTTTACCAACTGATCCCAAGTGGTTTGCCAGCAGTAAGTGAATGGCAATGCCGTCACCGTTGAACACACCAACAAATGAAAGACTTCCCAATCAGTTATGGAATCTGAAGACAAATGCCGATAAAGAGATGAGTGAACTAAAACTGAGCGCACAGTCAATGGATGGAACCGATGGAAGCCATCATCTGAATCACAATAATAAGAGCACAACGATAATAACGACGACGTCTTCGCCGACTTCACACAACAACACCAATACACGCCTTCTTCTAAGTCATCACTTATCGAAAAATGGTTTGAAATCACAATAAAACTGGTAATCAATATATGTGTTAATTAAACCTATTTTTTAATTTCTTCAATAGACATATCACCGACAGAGAGAAGCCATACGAATATCCCATCGCGATTGGGTCTCAATCTGAATCTTGGTGGTGGTGGTGGTGGTGACACAGCCTGTCATCTGCAGAGCCGCAAAAAGATTACCATAGATTTTGGATCCAATGCTTTGCCAATATCAGAATGCGAAGAGATTGACGAAACGGTTCCGCTGGAAAAACAAGGGTATGTGTTAATATTGACCATCGGATTGATTAATTGAATCCTAATTGACGATGTCTTTGACTAAGACTAGTAACTAATTGACTGTTTGTTTGTCTGTCTATTTTTACAGTTGGTTTCACGGCTACATCAGCCGAACCGATGCGGAAAATGTGTTGCGCGCCACCCGACCGGGCAGTTATCTGGTCCGCCGGTGTCTGAGCTCTAAACAACACTATCTACTGTCGCTTAAGTGTGTCAGAGGTTTTATGCACATCAAGATTGTCGAACAGAGCGACGGCACCCATACATTGGGCGCCAATCATACCATGTCTTTCACAAGTATACCCTATCTTATCAATCATTATAGCCGTAATCGGCTGCCAATCCGTGGCGCCGAACATATGGCTCTATTATATCCAGTTATCGATCAATTGCTCTAAAAAAATAATAATATTTAACGACAATATATTAATGATATTTAAAGACGTCAGACAAACAAAAATGATATATTTTTTTTCTCTTTGAAAATACAATTACAATTGTATACACAAAAAAGTCATTCATTTAATCGACAATTTAATTGAGAGTTTAATAATTTATTTTTTTCAATCATTATTATTATAATTGAAGATAACGTACAATATTTTTAACGAAATTATTATATCATTTATTATTAGTATATAAAGCTATGACTTTTTTTTAAAGCACAAGTCATAAGTCTAGCCTTTTTACTTTAAGATCGAGTAACCAATGATTTTGATACAAAATAATTATTAAAATACCCGATTATTTAGTCAGTTTATCGGCCGTTCTGACCGTAACGGACTGGCCATTAGTTTTTTATCCAGTAATCCCGTGATGATGTTATATACAGTATATATGTTTACTTATTATTAATTTATTAATTGATTGAAATCAAGACTCAAATTACTATCAATTTATATTAAGTCATGGATTTCCTAAATGTTTTTGAATCCCTAATTGTTTTTAATTTTTATAAATTTATTGAAATTTTTAATGGTTTATATGCCGGTGTATAGATATATATATATATATATATATTAATATATAATGTTTTTTGGTACAAATAAGATCAAACCTATTGTGTTAAATAATTAGATTAATTTTCCTTAAATTTCTAAACCATTAGTTTAAATAATATAATTTATTATTATATTGTATTGTATATTATATAGTTGTAATTTGCTTGTTGTTATAAATTAGTTTCATTAGTGTTATAAATGTATTGATTTAAAAAAAATAATAATGTCGATATATAGTTAGTGTTTATATTTACCTAATAGTTAATAATATAATTTATATATAGAAAATGTAATTTTATAATATAAATTGATGTCAATTTTGTTTCTCAACATTGCATCGATATCAAATGTGATTATTATTATTATTATTAAAAATATATGTTATAATGACAATAATTTATTTAATCTGTAAATATTTGATATTCAATATAATTTATTAAAAAAATACTTTTTTCCAAAATTTGTGTTAAAAATTTTATTATTGTAAAGTATATAAAAATTTTAAAAAATAAATATCAAATAAATTAAACCTATAGTATTAATGCCTATATATGTAATTCATTACTATAACTAATTGAATGTTTTATTTACTTTTTTATGTTTTTCATTGATTATGTTGAGTTAGTTAACGTTTAATTTACTTTTATAAAAAAAATTTGATTTAATCAATAAACTTAGGTAAATATTAAAATCCAATCAATCAAACAAACAATTATCCAAAAAAGCAACTTTTATTACCATATATGTACACAAAAGTATATATTTACACAATTAATCTTCAAATAAAAATTAATTTCATTAAAATTATAATAATATTAAGTAATTAATGTATATATAATCGGATGAAAAATTCTTTATAATAGCCCTCCCATTCAATTCATTAGTTAAGATCCATAATCCCGATGATGACCCATAAAAATGTTGATTTTGTTTTCATACATGACTTACGGTACGGTAGTTTTTTTCTGCTTAAACATCCAATGCTAACGACACACACACCCAATCAAATGTATTGAGTATTTGTTTTATTTTGATTGAAATTTATTGATAAACGCGAAGAAATTATTTCTTATCGATTCTGTGGTACTGTTTGCTTGTGTTTTTGAGTGCGAATTAACTGTGGCTTAGAGACAGTCAGTGGTTTCATATCATATCATATTCATGGCTATCGATGCTATATCTTAACAATTATTTTTTTTAAAAAGGTTTCGACTCGGAATTGGTCACAAAATACACAGATTAATGAAAAGCATAGATTATATATGAGATAATTATATGGCATTTAAATTTGGATCTATAAAGACAACTGAGTTTTTCATGAGTCGGGTTTTGTTTCCCGTATTAAAACCGCATTTTGCGAGGCTTTACAATCAATGAGGGAATCGGTCTGATATGTTATCTCAAACTGTGACAAAAACTGTCGACACTCGTCTATGGTGTCAATAGAAAGCTCTTGCATTAGAAACGACACGGTTATTGTGGGCCGATATCTGAATTATTTATAGATTTCATAATTAGATTATTCAATTCATTACATCAATTAAAATCAATCAATTACTGGTAAATGTTTTTTATATGTTTGCATTCATTTACTATCATTTTTTTGTTGTTGTTGTAATAGTATCAATACTTACCATCCAAATCATTCAACACAATAAGTTTTTTTTATATAAATTATATTAGTTTTTATGTAAAGGGAAAGGGATGTAAAAAATAAAATAAAAACAGATACTAATTGGGGATAAACGTAGTTATGTAATAAACTTATAACAAATACATACGACTTTATCATCGCTTTTAACGCTTGTTTGCGCTGTCTTAAGATAAACCAATCCATAATAGATTTGGACATTTTAGGCGCGGATTGGTATAGTTTCATAAGCTTATGATAATTACTTAAATTCCATGCACTTCGCACATGGAGTGCATGTGATATTACCTCGTCTTTTAGGTCATCTCTACTCATATTACGTACCAATAGTTGTAAATCTGTTATTAAATTAAATAATAATAATTAATAGAAAAATAGTTAATAAATCATAAAATTAAATATATATATATAATTATCTATCTATTAAGTTAAGTACATACCCGACTGATTTTGCATAGCAATGTAATAGAGTAGAAGATAACCGGTAAACTCTGGCCGATTGATACTATCAATGCTCTCATACAGAACTTTTAGTTGACTTTGACATTGATTGAACTCTTCGCGATCACCCTAAACAACGACAAAGATTTAAGATATAAAAACAATTAAATATTTAGTAAATTTGTATTTTAAAAATAACAAACCTTTTCTAACGCAATCAGTGCATGACTTTCGTAGACCTCAACGGTAAACTCATCGCGAATACACTGAACGGTAATGTCTTGTCTGATGGACTTCATTTGACAGCAGGCGTAGTAATAGTCGTGATTATCGTTCCAATGATTCTTCACCATTACCAGCGACTTCTTCAATACGTGAACGGGCCTAACTGTGGAAGGATCGGGTGCCGATGTTAGCCTAAGGTATTGTTTTTCGAGATCAAGACACGTGCCAACAATGGCACCAGAAGTGCTAAAATCAAATGTCATGTCGTCGGACATGTTATTGTTATTAGAAGAAGAAGTAGTAGGAAAGGGATTGCCGTATGAATCGGAATATGACTTTTTGGTCTTATTCTGACTGTTAGCTTCAAAGCGGGCCTTTCGTAAAGCCATTCGCTCTGGTAATACAGGCATTTGAGGAATGGCTGTACTGGCGGTCTGTATATTATTGTTATTAATCTTATTATTAACGGTATTATTATTGTTGAAGTTGTTATTATTATTCTTATTTCTCCCTTTGCCTCCTCTCTTACGTCTCTTTTTAGGAGTCGTTTCATTTGTCATACCATTAGTTTTATTATTATTATTATTATTATTCTGCAATCTATTCTGATTTTGTTTACCACCGAATGGTATGTAATCAGATGTAGGACTCAAGTCGGGTGACGAAGATTTTTGGTAATTATTACTAAATAAATAGAAAGATAAAAAACATTAATAAGTTTTGAGTCAATAACTACATTATCTGTAACACAACAAACCTCTTTGATTTCTTTCGTTTTTCTCTATACTTATTATTTGGTGAATAATCGTAATCATCAGTTGATGGTGACGAAGAACTACTCCTACTTCTACTACTTGTCTTACGCTTTCGATCAAACTCTTTCTCTCTATTATTGTACTTATCCTTTGTAGTGGTAGTAACTGACTGACTCAATGGTCGGCTGCTATTATCTAAAATCGATGGTTTATTATTGGGTGTCAATGAGAGCATCGGTAACGGCTCTTTGGACCAGTCTTTGGTAAAGAGAGAGCCCTCGTTATGTGCTTTGGTTAGCTTTCCCTTCAATATAATCTCAATCCTATCCTTATCTATTTCGTTAAAACAGGCAGAAAAGGCTCGGTTAACATATTCCCTAAGACTTTCGGGCCACTGATCGGGTGGCATATCATTGGCAGATATCGACTTGTTTTTAGACTGTTTGCTATTGTTTTGCGTTTCATTTATCTTCTGCTGTTGTTGTCGTTTCTCGTCAAACGAATTGCTGCTCTGCTGTTGTTTGGCTGCAAATGAGCTGTTGATCATTGGTTTACTATAAGGAGTCGTTGACTTCGATAATTGAAAACGAATCCCAGTGTTTGCCGTAGAAGAACTCTGCGAAGAAGCCGTCGGCGCAACTGTTTCAACAGTCTCGCTCTTCGGCTGCTTCGCTGGATCGCTACTGACGACAACAGTGGAACCGTTGGCCGAAGAATAAGATACTGAATGGGATACTGGAGGTGGTGGTGGAGGCGGAGGTATCGATGAAGTGTTCGAGACTTTCATAGTATTTATGGTTTGATTGGTAGACATAGTTTGGTTGGCATATGTTTGGCGAACACCAGTAGATTCGGGTGCAATATAGGGGTAAGAATTAGATACCATGTATGACGTCAGTGGCGGCCACTGACCGGTTGTAACGGACTGAGGTGTTTGCGGAGATATAAAACTCGTATAATTGTTGCCATATCTGTCCACAAATAGTATCAAATATTATAGACTTTAATCATATTATAATTATATATCGCCGAAGACTTACCCGTACGGCGAACCATAAGCATAGTTGTAGTTATAGGGAAGCGATGTCTGAGACGTGTGTTGTTGTTGTTGCTGTTGACCACCTCCTCCACCACCTATAACTGGCGACCTCTGAGGCACCACTCGTGCCAACGATTGTCTGGCCTTAGCCCAGGCCTCCGGTTCAGCGCTTTCGTGACTACTCATCATCTGTATTACCATTCGAGTGAATCAACGGAGAAAAAAACCTGTAAACTGAAGAACAAATAGATTAAGAGTGTCTTCAATTGTTGTCATCAACCAGTCATCTGAAGATATAGCTAAACAAAACTTACCTAAAAAAGTGTTAAATTAATTAAAAAAATAATAAAATAATGCAAACAATTATTTGATTGTTTTTGAAAATATAATTTAAGCAATTGTTTTAAAACAAATTAAATTGATGTCAATTTTTTTGATGATAATAATTGATAATTAAATTAAAATAACTGTCAGTTTAAGTAAATATATATAAAATTAAGTTAATTATAGTAATCATTGTTTAGTTTGTGTTAAACATTAACATAACGTATGAATAAAATACAAATGTCTGACAAATTTTATTGTTATTTATCACTCAAAACCAAACCATACATTGCTATCATGTGCTGCTCTCTCTCTCACAACAATTATAATACAGTGTGGAAAAGTATAGACACTTTTATTTAAAATTTATAATATTGTAGTAAAGTTTACTAAGCTTTATGTGCAAACATTTGCACTCATAGTTCGACTGCATTCTACACATTCTACTGCTATATTAATAGTCAATGTTATGCTGAGCTTTATATCAACTAAACATTTACTCTTACTTACAGTACTGTAGTGTTTGTCTCTAATGTACACAAAATACTGACTAAATGATTGGTTTATTTCTAAATCAGTATTGACTCAAACATTGAATTTGAAAAACAATATATATATTATAGACAATCAATCAATGGATTCATCATTTAGTTGTTTGTCTTTAACTACTAAACATCGACTGAAACATAGATTATTTAAACCGTTATCAATGGCACCACAATCTATGCAACAGTTAAAGACATTGTTGTCTTTACTTAAAGCTTTAAATGGTTTCATAGATGTCAATGATATAAAGTAAGTATATATGTGTCACTTATTTATCTTCGGTAACAGTTTTTGGACCAGTCTTTAGACTGAGTCCTCGTTATGTGCTTTTGGTTAGCTTTCCCTTCAATATAATCTCAATCCTATCCTTAACTCTATTCTCGGTTAACATATTCCCTAAGACTTTCGGGCCACTGATCGGGTGGCATATCATTGGCAGACATCGACTTGTTTTTAGACTGTTTGCTATTGTTTTGCGTTTCATTTATATTCTGCTGTTGTTGTCGTTTCTCGTCAAACGAATTGCTGCTCTGCTGTTGTTTGGCTGCAAATGAGCTGTTGATCATTGGTTTACTATAAGTTGTCGTTGACTTCGATAATTGAAAACGAATCCCAGTGTTTGCCGTAGAAGAACTCTGCGAAGAAGCCGTCGGCGCAACTGTTTCAACAGTCTCGCTCTTCGGCTGCTTCGCTGGATCGCTACTGACGACAACAGTGGAACCGTTGGCCAAAGAATATGATACTGAATGGGATACTGGAGGTGGTGGTGGTGGCGGAGGTATCGATGAAGTGTTCGAGACTTTCATAGTATTTATAGTTTGAATGGTAGACATAGTTTGGTTGGCATATGATAACGATAATTGAAAACAAATATATGTCTTATACTGTATTAACTTTGATTTCCTTTTTTTCGATTTTTTTTTATTAATTTAACAGTGAGTTCAGAAAATTAAAGGAATCGGTAATTGGCTTTATTGGACATGAAGTTGCGATAGAAGTACAGTCTAAAACGATTCCCGAGGATGACCAACAACAGGTCTATTTGGACTCTTTTAAACTTAATGTTTACTCCATTTATAAGGAGCTACAGAAGTCTGGACTTCAAAGGTATCCATTTCTTTCAGTCATATATACAGTATTTATAGAACCAGACCCTCAACCCCAACGACATTCCTTTATTGAACCCAACTTTAAGACCTCTTCCCAGTCCTCCTTCTATTCTAATTGATTGACAATAATATCTCTTTCTTTGTATATATAGTGCAAAGCAATTAGTTGAAGACATCGAGCATTTCTTCCTAATGAAACCAAATTATAAATTAAATTTCAAAGATTCAGATGAGTCTACGGGTGCCACTGGAAGTAGTGACAGCAATGATAGCCCGTAAACAATCATTTAGTGGCTAATCAAACGTTAAATTAAAATTATTTGATGCCTTCATATCAATAAATTTACTTATAATACATTTTAACACAAATTAATGAATTATTGTAATAATATATATATTTGTATGGAATGAATGACACAAAACAAACAAAAAACAATCGGTTTTATTGCTATTCATTTAAAACATATGTATTGTCTTTAATATTATTGGATCTAATAGTTGTTATTAATATTCATATCATATATGTGTTGACATATATCCCGACGCCAACCGATACTAACCATTCCGTATATGGACGACACCGACGACAATCTCGATACTGTTCTGCAAGAGTTTGCCGACATTGGCGCCGAACCGCCAAATAAGCGACAATTGTGTCCGAAATGCAGGTAATTATCATTACTTTAATTTGTCAATAATTACCGACATTTTTTTGTTGTTGTTAACCGATTCGGGTTTTTATTTCCTTATATCATTGGACATCAGTCGGCCAATGAGGGTGTGTTGGTGTCCACATCTGACCGAACGACTAATTGAGACCAAAAGCCGTGTCGTAATACTTCAACATCCGAATGAAGAGAAACGATGTCTTCGGACGGCAAAGATTCTCGAGTTGAGTCTCGCCAGCGGTCGGTGTCTTGTGATTAGAGGCAAACGATTTACTTCGTATAAATATCCAGTACTTAAGGAACTAATCGATGGCCAGTCGGTGATGACAACAAACGGCTGCGAAACTATTGCACGCAAAACGGTTGTCGTCTATCCAGGAGTCGGATCACAATCGTTGACCGATTCATTCATTCATTCATTCACTAGATTGACAAACATCAAAGTTGTGTCGATTCATCAAAAAATTTCAAATAAATTTGACATAAAATCAATTTATTTATTTATTTTTAAATAAAATTTTACGATTTATTTATAATACATTTTTTTATAACAAATAAAACAAATTAATTAAATGTTATAATTCTATGTGTTTAACGTCGTCAGCGATTACTGTCTGACTTTTATCCTCCGCGGCTAAAAACTCTTGAATATTGGTTCCATTGGCTGTCAATTGTCTGAACTCTTCAATCATATCCTTAATCTCTGTGTCGTACGGTTCCCACTCATGAATGATACGCCGGGCGGCCGTCAGTTTAGGCTCTTTGGTCTTCGGATTATTACAGAGATCTATAGTCTTAGCCGTGGCTTTTGATCCGTCATCACACCAGGTCTCGCACCACAACCACTCCTGAGGTAAGGATTTGATGCTAACCTTTAAACAACAAAAAGAATATCAAAATTAATAAACAATATATTAATACAGATGTTATGCCAACACAATACCTGATGAATCATATTATTAGGCAAATCCTGATCCAAATTGGACAGTGAGTTCGGGTCCTGACTGAGTCCCTGGTATTGACCCCGTAGTCGGTCGCCGGCAGCCAATCGGCGAAACTTTTGGAGATCAACGACATAGAGAGCACTGATGTGATACCTTCTTCCGTGCAAATGTGTGGCCCAATAGCCGGACTTCCAGAACCGGAATCCGTCCATATCTTTACGACTTTCGCAAAACGGTGTGTAGCCATAGGGCGCACCCTCTAAGTCAAGATCGCGTAGCTCTTTGAGATCGGCTCTGACCACTTGATCGGCGTCGACAAAGATAATCTTTTTGACGTCCAACGGGAACAGTACGTCGAGAAACAGTATCTTATAGCCCCAAATGATGCGCTGCTTTTCGGTTTGCTGGTGCAGCCAACGCGGCCACTTGTATTGGACAAGAGAGTACTCAAAGTTATACTTTTTGGCCATAAATGGTAATATGTTTTTGAAATTTGGTGATAAATAGTTCTTCAGAAACCAGAATTTGACGGGTGTTTTGGTATTCTTCAGTACACTTAAAATCATGATTCGCATCAGTCGTTCGTAGAGATGTCCCGTCGCTAATGAAAACACATTGATTCTGTCCGGTTCTTCATTGACAGTGGCGTTGGTCTTATCCTTCTTCTTCGATGACGACGGACTCGAATTCCATGAAAATGAATTCCACAAACTGTTCATATCGTCCAACTCGTCGTCATCTGAATCGTAAAGAAGTTCTTCATTTTGTTTGCCAGGCTTTTTATTAACACGTATTTTGATGACATTACTCTTGAAACTTGATATCAATGCCAGAACTTGCGGTGAATTGGATGGCGAATCGGTTCCCTCGTGACTGACAATGCTATAGATGTCGTCACTTCTTCCTTGTCTGAGATTAAGATTCCAGAGACCGGGATTAGCCTTGAGTTGAAAGTAACCCAAGTTTGCCATAACTATGGTATCGCCGACTATTGGCGTACTGTTTGTGCCCAAAATAAACTGAAGACCTCGCGGCGGATTTCCTGTCGACTGTTCAAAACAGTGACCCTCAAGAAGCAGATACTCTAACTCGAACTGAGCCGAAATACCGGTGCCATCGACTTGTTCTAAATGAATATTATCCAAATCGTATACAGAATCTGTAGACTCAACTAACCAATTGTCGGGAACAGCCATTCCCAGAGTGAGCAGTGGTGTCGTAGGAACCGATGCAAAGTATGCTTTGTTATCAATCAATTGATTGTCGTCAGAGAATTTGGGTTCGCTTTCGATGACAAATCGATAAAAACTTTTTAACGGCATTTCCGAGTGTCGATCGACACAATTGAAGAATATTTTTGTATTTATATTAAATATTTTTGTTAATGTGATTAATATTGGCGTCAATTTTTGTGCGCCACTGGAAAATACCAACAAAAATCAAATAAAAATTGTTAAATATAATAACCATTGAATATAATTTTATATACAAAATACATACCGCGTTAATGGATCCATAATAGCAACAAACTGAAGACTAGGTTCGTCGGGTCTGATTGGATCCAATTGAAGAACACTGTGTTTGTCGCTGTGATACTTGACATCGTGTCTGGCCTTTGATTGTGGATTCGACAACAGGATTGCACTGATTTTCATAACTAAGTCACTACATCGCTGCTGATCATCTTTAATACCCAATTCACGGTATATTTTGTCTGCAAAACTATTTGTCACATATTTTTCGATAAGACTGAAGTCGTCCTCAACGAATGTATCGCTTTCTGGTATTGCAATCACTTTGCCATTGATGACAATAGCCGTGTCTTTGTTTCCAATTCCCAGTGATCTCACTCTGAATGCTTGATGAGCTTTAAATATCTGACTATCGGACGTCAACTTCTTGTAATTTTTTTCATATTCTTTGATATATTCGTCGGCAATGAATTGTTTTGATTTTTCTAATACTTTTAGCTCATCTGACAGTTCATCATCAGATGATGATTGGATTGAAGATAAAAATTTGTTCAAAAATTGTAACAAATGATTGGATCGACTAATGGATGCGATGGCTGTTTCGATAACTCTTCCGATGGGTCCATAAGTATTGTGTATAATAGCTAATCTCATGGACAGACTATTCTCGCGTAAATGCGAGACAACTGCGTTCAACATATCTCTGGATCTTTTGGTTTGCAAATCAGTGGCCAACCAAACGCTAACCGAATCACATTTGTCTGATTTGGTTGTAATATAATTCAACGAATTGGCTAAACTATGCTCCAAGTCTTTCAGATTTAAGTCATCAAAACTGTCGATATCTGCAAATTTCAACGACTTTCCCATAAAATCAATGTATTTATGCGGAACTGGATTCGAACTGTCGATATTGAGTATCAAACGATTGAGTCGCGGCATAACTGTCTTCTGTGTCATCAGCCATTCGAGTACATCATCCGATTCACTCAATTCGGACTTATAAATGGCTTTTTGAATAGCATTTGTTTGTTTCATGATCTCAGTTAAGACCACTTCTTCAAAAAGTTCTGCATTCAAATGCGAATCTTTCAAAACTACACCATTGAGTAAGGCTTTGAGCGGATTTCCAATGCCTGTCCTTCGGATGAAATCCCAGGCAAGTTTGCGACCGGTGTCGTAGTCAGAGTCTGAACCAAATATCATATCAATGTCTTCGTTCTTATATTTCGACTTAAATTGGTTGATGACATCGCCTGAGGTTAGATCTCTTTGGCTATCTTTGTCGGCACCGATAGTTGCGATGACATCAGTCAAAAACGATAGGCCTTCATAGGGATGACCCTTGTCTTGATTGATAAAGTTGAACGCCTCGAGACAGGCCAGACCAGCGTCGTCACGACCAGTAACCGATTCGTCCGGATTAACGGCAAACACAATACCAATTCTGACGGGCGCTTTGTGGACATAGAAAGATTCGGCCAGTTTTATAATGTCATGGGCTTCACGTTTGCTCGGATCGACCACAAGAACCAAATGAAACATATTTTTCCTGATATTCCTCAACATTCCCGGATATGTCGGCCGAAGCATATCCTGTAGACTTGACGGCCAATTTCGATAGAGTTTGTCATTTTCAATATCATTGACATACATAACTGCACCGTCACGGATATCAATTTGAAAGTCTTGTTTATCTTCATTGATATTCAAATTAATTAAACGCTTCAGTTTTTCACTATCGTCGCCACCAATCAATCGGGACAATCCTTCCGTTAGTTTTAACTCTTTTCTGATAACATCGAGCAAAGCAAACACATCCATAGTGTCCACATCATAGTACATACCGTTGATGAAAAGCGCCGCATCATTGGTGCCTAAATTCAATGTCTGTGAAAACATTTGTTGATTTCTTTCGATTTCTTTGCGCAAATCACTGTCGACTTTGATTTTGATTAGACTTCGAGCTTCTGTCGGAAAGTTTTGCGATATGTCTCTCAATAGATTCAAGGCATTGGTTTTGTCTGTCGTCAATAGCTTTTTCGTTGCCTGTAAACTGATTTCTTGCAACTCCCAGACCTTCAACGTTGCGATCTCTTTAGTTTTGTCCAACAAATGCGTGTGAAACTCATCCAACTTATCCTTCTTATCGGGAAATTTTTCCTTTAATGTCGAGAATACAAAGCCCTCGGCTTCATCCTGTTCTTGACTCTCTTCTTGTTTAAGATTTTTGGCATCCGAAGTGACCTCTCCTTTGACCCGAGTGTCGTCCTGTGCCTTATATTCGGTACTTTTGATGGCCAACTCTACGCCATAACCCGATAAACTTACTTTTCGATCACTCTGTGACCTAAGATAATGTCTGACAACATATTTTATTGAACCCTTATTTGCCAATTGCAGCAAATTTTTGTGCAACTCTTGGAATGCTTTTGTTCCGATCTGTCCGTAAAGAATAGCTGTCACCCGTGGCTCCGATGAACTTCTATATGTATATATGTGATCACTTTTGTACACATTTGGATGAATTAACTCTTGGCTAATGTCTTTGTTGAGCACATCCAATGATTTTCGCAAATCGTTTAGATTGCAAATGAATGGCGAAAAGGCATCGACGGTTAGTGAGGTGTCGTCGGCCGGTCGGCTCAACTCAATGAAAACATCACAACGTTTAAGACTATGGCGTTGTAGTACCACTTGATTTGATATCTGATTGAACATCACCACCGATGGCGAAAAGATGCGCAACGATAGCGAAAATTTCACCACCGATTGAAGCGTTGGTGAAGAGGCGGCCAACAGCCGGTCCGATAGCTGTAATATGAGATCGTACTGTGCTTTGGCCGACAGCGAGTCAATGGACGCCGTGTCCAGTGTCTCGTGAATGGCATCGATGTAACGCCAGAAGAGTTCATTGTTTTCTTGAGCTAATAGTTCGGCAAACTCTAAATACAGCGGCGTTTCCAACCAATTGGTCGACAAACCAATCGATATGGACTTATGGCTCGGTTTGGCCGTCGATGTTGTCGTCGGTGTCGGCGACACATCGCATGTACTAAACTGAAGCAAACATTTTATTAAAATGAAACAAATCGGCAATAAGTGAATCGTCGGCTTTGAATTGATCGACAAAGACATCGGATAAAGAAGTGGTAACTGTGAAGACAATACACAAAACACTGAATCAAATAAATAATAAAAATATGATATATTTTTGTTGTCAACCAATTAATGTTAATCAATAAGTCATTGTAGTATTATTTGATCATTTAGTCTATTTGTTACAATACTAACTAATATTAATAATAATATTAATTAATTATTAATAATAATTAACTATTGATTGATTTGCCGGCTATTCATTCAGCAATGCATTCAATGGACAAATGCACTGATAATACACGTAATGTTTAATAATATTTATAATAACAAGCATTCAATTGTCGTGTTGTACACAAACTACAGGTCCTATTGTATAACTAATACAGTAAACTAAACATTAGATCACATATGATATACATTTGATATAAAAATTATATTAACTTATAATGACTATTAGTAATACCTGTATTATTAAAATTATTATTAAAACTAAACGATAGGTATTATTATTATTATATAAGTAATAGTGTTTAAAATACTAAATATTGTGTGTGCCATGTGTTTGATATAATTTACTGAATCATATATGAGAAAAAAGTTGTATTTTAAGTTATATTTTATTTTTCAATTTTTATTAGTAGAGTAAATGTTATAAAAGTTTATAATAAAAAAATTTTAATTTATTAATCTTATAATTTTCATTTAATACATATTTTATTTTTGTTTAAATAATTTATTGGCTTACGGATAGAAATACCAGTTTTTTAATTGTATTTTTTCTTAAATTATGTTCACAAAAAAAGTTTATAATTAATTTTTTTTAACAATATTTTTTTAAAAAGACATTATCGTTAGCTATATATATATAATAGTAATTAATCATTAATTATTTTATGATTGGTAAAAAATAATTATGTATTTATAAAAATAATAATAAATTAATACATTTAAAAAAAATTCAAAAATAACTTTATTTTTTTTATAAATTATAACTTTTTAATAAAGTTTTTTTTTTTAAAAAAGTGAATTTCAAACATTATATTCATATATTTATTTGACGTCAGGTCTCGCTGTTTGTCAATACAATCAAACATTTGTGTTATTTATTGCAATAATATATATATTTGTATGGAATGAATGACACAAAACAAACAAAAAACAATCGGTTTTATTGCTATTCATTTAAAACATATGTATTGTCTTTAATATTATTGGATCTAATAGTTGTTATTAATATTCATATCATATATGTGTTGACATATATCCCGACGCCAACCGATACTAACCATTCCGTATATGGACGACACCGACGACAATCTCGATACTGTTCTGCAAGAGTTTGCCGACATTGGCGCCGAACCGCCAAATAAGCGACAATTGTGTCCGAAATGCAGGTAATTATCATTACTTTAATTTGTCAATAATTACCGACATTTTTTTGTTGTTGTTAACCGATTCGGGTTTTTATTTCCTTATATCATTGGACATCAGTCGGCCAATGAGGGTGTGTTGGTGTCCACATCTGACCGAACGACTAATTGAGACCAAAAGCCGTGTCGTAATACTTCAACATCCGAATGAAGAGAAACGATGTCTTCGGACGGCAAAGATTCTCGAGTTGAGTCTCGCCAGCGGTCGGTGTCTTGTGATTAGAGGCAAACGATTTACTTCGTATAAATATCCAGTACTTAAGGAACTAATCGATGGCCAGTCGGTGATGACAACAAACGGCTGCGAAACTATTGCACGCAAAACGGTTGTCGTCTATCCAGGAGTCGGATCACAATCGTTGACCGATTTGTCGGCCGGCGAGCCGTACAATATAGTGCTAATCGATGGCACGTGGAGTCAGTCGCGATCTCTTTACCACAACAGTCCTCTACTTCACGATCTGCCAAAGATTGAGCTCAATGGCACACATCTTAGCAATTACGTGATCCGTACGCAACCAACCGACGGCTGTTTGTCTACTGTCGAGTCGGCTGCTCTGGTGTTGGCTCACGTGGACAACGATCCGACCATTTATGCGAAGCTAACGAATCCACTGAAGGCGTTGTGCGACTTTCAGCTATCATTTGGAGCCGTCAGTCATCACAGCAAAGAGTTTCTGATTGTAAACGGTTTGTATAACAAACCGCTGACCAAACGTATCAAACAAAAGTTGGAAAACAATGAAGATATTAAACAATTTATTCGTTGACAACAAGTTTTTTTTTATTATTAGTTAAATATATTGTAATTAATTGTTTTCATTCATTAAATTGATTGTTTGTTTTGTTTTTATAGTAAATGTTATTAATTTATCGTAAATTAATAATATTTGCTAATTATAAATATATATATATTTTTTATATATAGGAAATACCACTTGTATTATAAAGTATATTATCTATTATTACAAAACAAATGTATTATATAAAAAAAATGATTTACAAAAGTGTTACAAATATGTATTTATATTATCATTATTTGGAAAATTAAATTCTTTAAACTAATGAAAGCGAAATAAATATTTATTTTTTATGTGAAAATATCTTTAAAAATGTTTTGTTCAAATCAATAGACATCAAACTGCATGCAACCGATTAGTACCCGAGATAATTGTTGTCATCAACCAGTCATCTGAAGATATTATTAAACAAAACTTACCTAAAAAAGTGTTAAAATTAATTAATAACAAAATAATGTAAACAATTATCTGATTATCTGAAATATAATTTAAGCAATTGTTTTAAAACAAATTAAATTGATTTCAACTTTTTTGATGACAATAATTGATAATTAAATTGAAATAAATGTCAGTTTAAGTAAATATATATAAAATTAAGTTAATTATAATAATCATTGTTTAGTTTGTGTTAAACATTAACATACAATTTTCATTGTTATTATCACTCAAAACACACCAAACCATACATTGATATCATGTGCTGCTCTCTTACAAACACAATATGTTTGTTCAAAGCTTCGAAAGTACTATAATATTATAATTTATAATACAGTGAAAAAGTTTACTAAACTTTATGTGCAGACATTTGCACTCATAGTTTGACTGCAATCTAGTGCTATATTAATAGTCAATGTTGTGCTCTCTCTCTCTCAATGATTGGTTGATTCCTTTAAATATATTGAATCATAAATTAAATGTTATATAAAAATATTTGTTTTTTAGTCACCAATTGTTGACAACTTATAAAAATCAAAAATGAATCAATCATTCAGTAAAAGACATTCAAAGTATTCACGACATAAAAAATCATTAATTGATAAAATCTTATCAAAGATGTCATTCAGTGAACCATTGAAACTATTGAAACTAATGAAGACTATTGTCAATGTCATCCCAGTTGTGGATAGAAAGTAAGTACTGTTTTATTATCTTCATATTATGGGAACAGTTGACTAAAAAAAACATTTTCATTGATATCTTCAATAGTGACTTCGATTCCCTGATGGAGGCAGTGGTCACTTTCATTGGCATAGACACTGCCAACCAAATCGCTTCAATTGGTGAACCAATTGACGATCAAAATGAATTGGCGGTCTTCTTAGTCAAGGCATTCAAACTACAGCTCTTTGAGACTTACAATCTGCTCAACAATGACGCCGATTATCGGTATTTATCTCTCTCTCTCTCTCTCTCTCTCTCTCTCTCTCTCTCTCTCTCTCTCTCTCTCTCTCTCTCTCTCTCTCTCTCTCTCTCTCTCTCTCTCTCTCTCTCTTGACATCAAATTTATGATTTTTGTTTTAGTCATCAACAGCTGATTTCAGCTATTGATAACTTTTTGTTGCACCGACACAACTATGCTGTTGTTGTTAACAATGTTGATGACGAATCAACTAGAGCTCAGGCGGGCAGTACTCCTGAGACTACATCAAGTAGTGGAAGTGATGACAGTCACTAAATGATCAATAATAATAAATATTGAATTTTGATACCAGTTTTTAATTACAATAAAACAAATTAATTAATTAAATGTTATAATTCAATGTGTTTAACGTCGTCAATGATTACTGTCCTATGATATGATGCAAATTGGACAGTGAGTTGGGATCATTGACCCCGTAGTCGGTCGCCGGCAGTCAATCGGCAAAATTTTTGGAGATCAACGACATAGAGAGCACTGATGTAATACCTTCTTCCGTGCAAATGTGTGGCCCAATAGCCGGACTTCCAGAACCGGATTCCGTCCATATCTTTACGACTTTCGCAAAACGGTGTGTAGCCATAGGGCGCACCCTCTAAGTCAAGATCGCGTAGCTCTTTGAGATCGTGGATCTTTCATAAACCGTGGACAACGATCCGACCATTTATGCGAAGCTAACGAATCCACTGAAGGCGTTGTGCGACTTTCAGCTATCATTTGGTGCCGTCAGTCATCACAGCAAAGAGTTTCTGATTGTAAACGGTTTGTATAACAAACCGCTGACCAAACGTATCAAACAAAAGTTGGATATTTGTGTTATTGGCAATAATTATTATCAATAACTTATTGAATTGCATTTTGCAAACCAATCAATTAGCGTAAAATACGAAAAAATAAAAATTTAAAACTTTTTTTCAATTGTATAATAATTATGACATTTTGTCATATTTATAACAAACATTTAATTATAATTTTTTGTGAAAAACTTTCTGCAATGTTTTGATTTATAATTTTTATAAACTTTTTTTTCATTTAACTGTAAAAATAATATCGTATAAATATAAATTTATGTTATTATTATATTATATTATATAATCTACATTATATACATATCTTGTATTATCTTTTTATATATAAAATTTTTAACTGATTTTTAGTTTGGTTACAACAATGATAATCACATCGATAATACTGTATATTAATAATAACAACAATAATGTTATGCAATGTTGTTATTGATGTTCGAAATCATGTGTTTTTGTGTTTACATTAGTTTTCGAAAAACGTTTTCAATAAAAATAAATAAATAAATATTTTTACAAAACTTTGTTTTTAGTTTTTATTATCTAAAAAGACACGAATCTATTGATTAGAAGATATCCTTTATAATCAACAGTTATGACCATCGATGACAAGTCGTCGCCACCAACTGTACTAACAATACTTCACTTTAATGACTGCTATAACGTAGATCCGCGCGAATTGGAGCCGTCGGGTGGCGCGGCCAGAATGGTGACGGCTTTTAATGCACATCGACAACAATGCAATCCATTGATCCTCTTCAGCGGTGATATAATGGCGCCGTCGATCAGTTGAGTTCATTAAACATATCTTATTTGATGAAATCTAATGATGATTTTGTTGTTGTTGTCCATCACTATAGTGAGCACATTCACCAAAGGCGACCAAATGATACCCGTTTTGCGGTCACTGGCCGTGGATTGTGCACTGTTTGGAAACCATGACTTCGGTATGTTTATTGACTTTATCTTCATTTAGTTAAAGGCTTTTAATTACCGGTAAATCTTTAAATAATGTCTAAAGACTTTGGTATTGAACATCTCAAGTCATTTGCGACCAGAACTGCCATACCATGGCTTATGTCCAATGTATTTGATCCACAAACTGATCGTCCATTAGCTGATGGCCTGATATCGCATATTGTCCACAAAAATGACAAAAAAGTAAACAATTTATTTAGTATTTTTTTGATAAATTTTGTTATCATTATTTTGATTTCATAATTACCGTAATAGATAGGTATAATAGGTTTGGTTGAGGAACAGTGGGTTACAGATCTAATTGACGATCCGTTTACATATAAAGACTTTATATCGGAAGGCAGAAAACTGGCCAAACATTTGAAAGAAACAGTAGATTCTATTTTTTAAAAATATTTTTTAATCGGTAATCGATGTCTAAATTGTTTATTATTATGATTACAGGAAAATGTAGACTTTGTAATAGCATTAACACATATGCGTTGGCACAATGACTATCGTTTAGCCGAAAATGTCGACGAAATTGATCTAATACTCGGCGGCCACGATCACGACCATAAGATTACTTGTGTGGCTAATAAATGGTGCATTAAAAGTGGTACAGATTTTCGGCAATTCAGCAAAATCGATGTCGAGTTTACCTCTGATGATAATCATCAACAAAAATATCAAATTAAATGTCGAGAAATACGTGTGAATTCATACGATTTTACAGAAGATCCGGATCTGAAAGCCAAACTAAGGAAATACTCGACTATTGTTGACAAACAATTGGACACCGAGTTGGGTGTTATCAATGAATCATTAGACGCCCGATTCTCGGCCATCAGATGTCGGGAAACAAATTTAGGAAACTTTATCTGTGATATCGTATTAGTCACTACCGGTGCCGATGCTGTTGTCCTGAATTCCGGTACGTTTCGTAGCGACCAAATACATCCGAGTGGTTCGTTTAAAATGGCAGATTTGGTACGTATCTTACCGATGATGGACGGACTGGTAGTTTTAACAGTTACGGGTCGACAGCTGTGGCAAACACTCGAGTGCGCTGTAGCTCATTGGCCAATACTGGACGGTAGCTTTGCACAGGTCTCACGAATTAACTATGCTTTTACACCAAACCGACCCGTCGGGTGTCGAGTGGATCCTAAATGTGTTTTAATTGGAGGACAACCTCTAGATTTAGATAAAAGTTATCGTTTAGTAACCAAAGATTTTCTATTCAAAGGAAAAGACGGTTATTCTGTACTCAAAGAATGCGAACCATTAGTCACAGAAGAGATTTGTACTAATCTTTTTGATTTAGTTAAGAAGTATTTTGAATCTGTGGCTAATCTGACCACTGATTCCGAGTCTAATACTCAAAGTCTGGTCTGTAGTGTTAGTCATCCAATGGCTTCTCCTAATCCAAGCCATGATCTCATTGCAAGTGAATATCAATTACGCAAATATGAGCCAAAACTTGACGGACGTATCACTGTTTTAATCGATAATAGTGTTTAACTTATTTTTTTAGAAATTAAACAAATTTAGTTAAATTTTTTACAATTAAAGTTTTATTGTTTTTTAATATATAAACAAATTTTAATATAAATTTAGTATATGATATAATAATAATAAAAAAATGTATTTACAAATAAAAACACTGTTTGTATTTAAAATTATTAATTGTCTTAAAATTGTTTTTAAGTTGACACTTTGTTTTAGGTTTAAATTCAATTTTCATTATTATTGTATATTTGAGCCTTAATTATTGCAACAATATTGATGTGAATATTATAAATATTGATTAAAAAAAATTTTCGTATAGTTAAATGTGAGTAAATATGGTATACATTAATATACCGGTACAGTATATCAATATTACAAATTATTATATTTTTAAAAAATCTATAATGACTTGACATGTAATTAATTTTATAATATCACTTAATATTTTATATATAATATATATTTAAATTATTGTATTCATACAAAAATTTATTAATGATAGTTTGTTTATCCCTAAAATTGACATTGATAATACAATAATTGCTAATATTTAAAAAATGTGTCAATTAATGACAAATAAAATTGCTATTAAAAAATTGTTTTATACAAAACAGTATAATTTATTATGCCATATATAAAAAATGTATTATAAATACAAATAAATATATAATATTTTTAAAAAATTGTTAATGACTTGAATTATTTTTGTTAATAAAAAAAATCACATAACTTATCAAATGAGTCCCTTTTCCAGTAAAATACTTAAGTCTCTGATGATATCATCTCTCAGATGTTTAATCTCTCCGTCTGTTTGCCGGAAGAATGTGTCCAAAAATTCTGGTTTTGTATAGAAATTGAAGATCATTTCGATTCGATCCATGGATTTATTAGACAAATACTTCTTCAGCAGTCGTTTGAGTGTTTGTTTGCATTTGTCCAGCGATGAGATCAAATAGTTTCGGTCGTAGGAAAAGTCCAATTCATGAAACGATACGATAGTCATACATATCGATCGGAATTCTTCTTTCAATATTTCGGCATCTGTTAGGTCATCGTCAGTGAAACAGTCGTTTTTGGCAATTATTGCTGTTTTTATTATCAACTGATAAACAAACAAAAAATTTATAAAACAATTAATTAATTATAATTAATAGTTATTTCAACTGTTATTACACATATGTTATATTAAATTATTAGATTTTTTTAAACAACTATTAAAAACATATAGAGTCGATATTCAATTGATTGATAAAAAATAATTAATGGATTAAATAGTTTTTTTTTTAAATTTATTGATAATACCTTAATAATATGTTTAACAATTTTGTTTGACTCCTTTTTTTCGTACTGTCCATTAAATTTGGATAATCGGTGCAAATTGTCCAACAATTGGGCCGATATGTCATCGATGAACAGTTTGGCCAAACTTTTCTTTGCCATCTTTCCCAACAGTTTCTTCTGAAGAGAAATACTCAGATCTTGTGCCTTAAAGTCACTCATTATTATTATTATTATTATTATTATTATTATTATTATTATTATTATTATTATTATTATTATTATTATTATTAAACAGTATATTAGATATCAGATATTTTATGTTATTTTTTTGTTGTTTATTACTTAAGATTATTATATAACATCACTTAAATTTTTATTATCATATAATACAATATATAAATATATATAATGATAAAAAAAATCGTTGTAAAATTTTAATACAAATAATCTGTATAAAATTGATTGAATATTAATTATTATTATTAATTTAAAAAAAAAATTATTTAAAAATTTGAATTCAAATATGATATCAATATGAAAGATAAGGCATCAAAACGTTTGTAATATCATATATTCAACAATTATACTCTCTTTGAAATGATTTTTATTTTTCTATGACTGAGCCCTGAAATCTCTCTCTCTCTCTCTCTCTCTCTCTCTCTCTCTCTCTTTCTTTCTTTCTTCTCACTCATTCACTCAGTCAGTCCACACCACAAAATACAACGGATCCTAAACATATGTCATAAACTCCAAGACATCTGCGCTCAGATAGGATATCAATAATAATACAATACTATTATATTGTATTTTATGCAATCACTGGCAGTAATACTACTGTACAGTATATTCAGTGAATATTATTCACATATTATTTTTATATACAAATTATTATTACATCAATTTTTGTAATATATTATTATTATAAAAATAATCTATTTATTTATGATATATGATATATAATCTGATAAAACAGTATTTTAATAAATCATTACAACAAAAATATGCTACAAATATTATATACTAATAATTAATTAATTAATATAAGAGTGTAGTAGTAGTACATACGTATAAAAAATATTGAACTGACAAACACATTGAACGTCACATTTAAATAGCATTTATTATTATTATTATATTAATTAATACAACAAAAAGTTTTCTATACGTAAACGTCAAACATTTACAATAAGCACAAAATCATTTACACAAAATCATTTACAAACAAACAAAAAATTAATACAGTTTATTATACGATTGCTTTTATACTATTTATTATATGATGAAACAATCGTATAATAAACTGTACTAATTTTTTGTTTGTTTGTAAATGATTTTGTGTAAATGATTTTGTGCTTATTGTTAATATACAGTATATATTAGAGTGACGTATAGTTTAGTGTTGTTTACTGTAGTGTATAAACAAGTGATGACATCAATAATCGCTACAAACAAAACATGTGGCCATCAAATACATGGATCTATTACTGGTTACTAGTCTTTTATGGTGACCATAAAACCGATGTCAATGACTTGGGCCGAAACCAAGCCATTGGTACCAATCAGCCAGCTATCGGTGGATCAGCTGATACCGACTTATTGTATGACAAGACCCGTAACAGCCGCCGCGTCGATCACTTCGTACGGAAATGTCTGACCCGATTGGTGGATAAGTTGGACACCGTTATAACTAACACATCGTCATCGTCGCCATTATCACCCGATGATGACCACCGCATACGACTAGTATCGACAATTGCTGGGCGCGATGTGCACCTACTAAGACATTATCTTTCGCAAGACTATCATAGACTCAACAGTGAACAACTGGAAGAGTTTGAAGAGACAATACACGAATTCATCAATGATCTGGTTTTGGCTGCAAATGACGACAATCATTGGTCACTATGGATTACATCGTTGTTTCAATTGATGACCAAACTAGTCATTTATGCGATGATTACATTCACGACATTTGTTATAATCAAATCATATCTGTTGAACTCAATCAAGACATTGATATCGTCGACGACAAACTTTAATAGTTGTTTGAGTCCGAAATCTCTTGTAATTGTGGCCACAATTTTATTAATATCAGCGTCGATAGTGTGGAAGTGGCGGCAAAAATATTTGCTTGAACTGAGTCGCAAACAGTGTTACGTCTTGCAGACGCCTGAAGACTGTCTCTACCGACACGAGTCGCTTAGTTTCATCTCATGGATTCGCCACTATGTCTATGACTACGAACAGCGACGCCAGGATTACTACCGGGCCGTCACTGTTGATCCCATTTGGGAGATAAACCCGTTGACAATTGTCGGCGAACTGTTCGCCGAATTAATCTTTTTGCCACTCAAGGCATTTGGCGACTCGTTTGGCCATTTCATGGCCACAACATTTCGACAAATACCTCTCTATCTGGTGATACCAGTCTTCGGATTCTTGTCTTTCAGTACTGTATTACTTACTCTATTGATGGCCGTATGGCTGCTGATGCCCAACAGCTACTCGATTAAAATACCATTTTTGATGACCATTCAGTTTGATCGACGACAACGACAACAACAACGACTACAACAGTCACAGAATAATAAGTCTATTGTTGACAATGAGCCGAAACAAGCTGTCGGCCGATCGTATCAAATCAGAGCTAATGTGGTCAACGTTTATCATCAGTTGTGTCCACCAAACAGTACATCATTTGGCACCGCATTTGACAACTGTTTAAATGAAAGTCAAATGAAATTTGACGATAATATGTGTTTTGAAACCAACCAACCGATAGTCATAACCGATGCTGAACTCGACTGATCAACATTTGTTGATATTGTAATTATTACTACTGTAACAAACAAACAAACAAAAAACCAACAAATTTATTGTATAGAAAAATCATTTTTAATATAATAATTTAAAGTTTTATTAATGTCATAAAGTATTATTAAATTTTATTCACATAAGATCTGTTACATTACATTATTATTAATTCATAATCATTTAACATTTATTTTTCATTATATATCTTATATATTAATTTTATTTTTTTATATACCGATAATTTTTTTTTATAAAGTAATATATTATTATTGTTATTATTAATTTATTTTTAATATAAAGATACTGAATTATTTTTTTAAAAACATAAATAAAATAAAACAAAAATATAATTATTAAAGATATTATCTATTTAAAATAGACTATTTTTGATACTACAATACTTTTGTAACTTATTTAAATGATATACTGTACAGTATATAAATTTGATTTATTGAATATATAATTAAGTGTATAAATTAATATCAAAATATACTTTTAATGAAATCTTATTATAATAAAATAATAAATACAATAACACACACACACACACACACACACACACACACACAAATAAGTAATACACATAAACAAATTATACACAAAATAAATTTGATGATAATTTATTTTATATACTGTGTAACTGAATATAAATTTATATCCAAATGATAATGATTATAATCTATTTTTAGCACACCTTATAGGTGTTATCATTAAAATTATTTTTAAAATTCATTAAAATTAACTTTTGCAAATTAACTATCTACATGTATTAATTATATAAATTTTATACAACACAGGTATTACAGGTATAATAAATTTAATATTAAACTTTTAAAACTTATAATATCATTTCTGATTGTAATGATTGAAAATTAAAAAAAAACATTGTATTTAAGTTCAAAATTTATCTAGTTCATATTAAATATAAATATTAATTATTAAAATATATAAATATAATTAATAATTATCAAGTTTTTACAATATTAAGCTGAGTTGTGGTCGACTCACTTACAGATCTGCTGGTGCTTGTGGTGATGTTGTTGTTGTTGTTGTTGTTGTTGTTGTTGATTGAGTTAGTAGTAGTTGTTGTACTTTTAGGACATGGCTTCTGATAAATACATTCTTCTGAATCCAAAGGTTTTACCGTAGCGTCACATTCACTGTTTCGGAGAGCCAACTGTTCATCGGAATCCATAGATCGGACACACAGTACCGATCTTTTGCGGACACCCTTATTACTATCACAGGTAGCGTTACAGTGTTGCCACGGACCTGACCACCATCGGGCCGGACAGTTGTTTTGATTGCAGATTCGCTTCTCTTCTAACGGTTTCGATGACAATCGGTAACAGTATTTATCTTCAACCAGACCGCCCTCTTTCTCATAGCAGCGAACTTTACGGATTTGAATGCCTATTGAGAGAGAGAGAGAGAGAGAGATATTATTTAACAACCAATAAATTAATTGTTTTACAACTTAATTGTTAATAAACACAAAAATCAATATTAATTTGTATTCCCGAACCTCTTCCGCAAGTTTGCGAGCAAATGCCGTATTCATCCAAAAGCCACTCAAACTCTGGACTACGGCTATGGTTAACATTAGCCACAGTATACTCCCATTTGATGCCACGATTTTCCGATTGAAATAATAACTAAAAAAATAAATAATAAATAAATAACTAAATTTTGTATACAATTAATATATATATGATGACTATTATATACCATAATCGTGATATTGCCGCGCAGTAGTCCCGGCACCTGCAGTGTCTCCTTACCGCCAGAATCTCTATCATAATAGACTGTAGTGTCGTATAATGAATATTCACCCGTCCAGTCAATCATGAAATCGCCGTTCAATATATACTCTCCCTTATTGTCCATAACAGCCAAATAATTATCGTCGGCGTATAGTTTTTCGACTTTCAAATTGGACACCCCTTCCGGTAAGTATAATATTTGGATGTAACCTTAAAAATGATGATTTTATTTTATTTTTAAAAATAAAATAATATATATTTTATAGTTTTCTCACCAAATCCTTTAGTTTGATTGAAATTTCCTTTGATTGTTAAACATTGAGTACTATCGCCGCCACAAATACCACACCTGTCCTCTTGAGATTCAGAGTCAAAATTCCAGTCACAGGAGACACTCTTATGGACAGAAAGGGGGAGAATGACACCAATTATTAGTTTATTTTTTTATTATTTACATTTACCCTGAATAACATACCCGACACATGCCATTGACGCACATGTCTTTACTGCCCCGACGACAGGGCGTACCGTCGATGACAGTGTCTGATAGACGTATTGAAAATGATTTACCTTCGGGTTTGCAATAGAGTTCACACGGAGTGGCTATTAATTAATAATTTATGTTTTTTATATATATTAATAACAAATATTTTAAATAATGTTTAAAAAAATACAAACCCGGTGTTAGCACGGGTTGCCATTTATAATACTGTCCTTTAAATTCAATGCCATCATATGAACTACATTGTATGGCACGAAATGTTTTATTACTATAACCGCACGGCTAATGAAAATTTTTAAACAATTTTTGTAATTATATTATTTTTTTGGTGTACAATGAAATACCTGTGTATTACAAACTTTATATCGTTTTCTTTCGCCAATACAATATCGGCCACCATTTGATGGTCTTTTAATATGAAATATTTAAAAATTTCGATAAAAAAAATTTCTTAATTGTAAAATATTGTACACAAATGGATGAATACATACAATGGATTATTGCATTCCCGTTCGGAATACATAACTCCGGCCCCGCATTCCCGGGAACAGTCCGACCAGTTAGACCAGGGACCCCATTCGCCGTCAATGGCCGGCGGGCGTTCACCAATTTCCACACATTCACCCAAATAACACCACCGATTCTGTCCGCAAATAGTTCCTTCGGCCGCCGGCTTTAGCTTAGATATACATTGGTCGCCAGTTTGACACCACAACGTCTCGCACAGGTTTACGTCTTGCATTTCGTTGCAGTACTTGGATTCGGGTCCGTATTGGAGTCGGCACTGATGGTCGGTGTTATACATTGTGCCTAAGTATCCCATATATCAATATATAATGGATATACAGTTATTTTGTTAGTATAATATTATATAAACAATGATTTAATAATAAATAAAATTTAATTATAAACAAAAATAACTAATAGTGAATCACCTGCCGGTAATTCTGGATAATTAAACACGTGTTGAGTTGGCTCGTCATCCAAACAATAACCCCATTCACGACTTCAGAGATTATAGTTATAGTATTTTTTATTTAGTAATATAAATATTTAAAAATTATTATAATTATAATAATAAGTTTCATAAAAATATATAATTAATAATAATTAGTATCATATATCTTACTCGAGAAAATTAGTGATTTCAGTTCGGCTACAATTAGACCAAACGGGTATTGTATCCAATGTAAGACTGGGAGACATTATATGATGTTTGTGTCCATCGGATGTTACACAATGATTATGGGAACCGTCGTGACTCATACCGAAACTAATCACCAGAAAAAACATAATACCGAGTATTATATTGAAAATAATTGTTTTTTAAGATTTAATTATAAAAATTAATTAATTAATTTTTTCTCAATACTTGTGTCCAATTTCGTGAGCAATTGTGAAAGCGAGCGATAGTCCGGTATCTTCAGTTAGGGCACAGCTTCTCAGTGGTTGACACTATAGTTATAGATATTTTTTTTAATAATATCTATTACAAAAAATTTTATATAATTTTTTTGGACTACCATTCCTGCAATTTCTGCCAATCCCAATGAATTGCATAGTTTATCATTTGGTGTCCGACATATATTATTTCTATTAATTAAAAAACCAATATTTTTAAAAACAATAAAAACAAAAATAATAAATTTTTTCTAAAAATATTTTAATAGATTTGTGATATTTTTTTAATCATTAATTTATTTCACTAATCAGTTGGTAATTTGATAGATTTAATACTAAAATATCAGTAAATAAACTAATAATTAAGTATTGAATTTCTTTATATAGGATTTAACTATTTTGTGTTTTTTTTTGATAAAAACTTTGTCTATAATTTTATGAGTGTGTTATTAATACCTATATTTTTTAATTGATATTTTTTTAAGATACCTAGTGATGAGTACAGCGGTGTCGTGATGATTGGGATGTCCTTCCTCTGGCGGATTGATTACCTGTTGCCAGCGACAAAAGTTTTTCAATGTAGCATTGGGTGCCGTACTATCCGAAAAATTAGTGGCCAATCGATGTGTGGTCGTAGTGGCGGTAGTGGTCTGATTTTGCAGCAAAATCACCCGTACTATGATTATGTTGATGGCATTTCCTATACTGTGGTCGTGGTATAGTCCGCTGACCACATTCATGATTGTCAATATATACATCTGTAGGTCTTCATCGGTATAATAGTCAACCTAATAGATAATAATGATCTGACTATCTATTTATCGGTAACAACAAATCGGGTGATGATACTGACCATTGTCGGGTCGGCCACTATGAGTGTCTCTACATTCCTCTCAAGGCTGACGGATCTCTTTCTAAGAGATGTATAGTTTTGTTGTTTGTTTTGATGTTTTCTTTTTGTTTCCCAACGCTTACGTCTTTGAATTCCTGATTCATATTCATCTAAATGTTTGACATTTATTTCAGTTAATAATATATTGAATATATTATATAATTTATTTAAAAATTTAATTATCGTTTTTGAAAATTCTCAAACTGACAGTAAAGACCCTATTAATTATGATTTATTAATTTATTAAATCATTATTTATTATAGTCATAAATTTCTTTTAATTAGTTTTTAATTTCAATAATTTTTTAAAAAACAATTTACAATTTCCTAGTATTACTAAATTTAGTTTAATTCCTGGTATGTCTAAAGTTTTATAAATAATTGTAAAATACTTAACAGTCATAAATAAATAAATAATTTAGTAAATATTTTGTTGAAATTATCAACAAAAATAGTAATTATCATATAATTAATTCAATTTTTAAAAAAATCATACTTTTAACTCCACATATTTTTTCTGGAAAATTATTGTTGTTTTGATTGTATTGTTCAACTGATCTTTTGGTGATTTTATGATGATTTGGTTGCTTGTGATTGACATTAGCCTCAATCGGCTCAATAAACAGATCATTTCCATCGATACGAATGACTCCTCTCTGGAGAAACAGATTATTTTGTTTAAAGAATATTCTTATTGTTGATTAACACAAATAAAACACTTTATTATTATTATGAATATTAGTAATAGTATTACCAGTCCATCACAAGTTGATACTGAAACCAAACTGTTGGTAATATTGCGTATAAATCCTTCGTAATAACAAAATTTCTTTATCGGATTAAATAAATGTGACGATAGGTCGTCACTGTTGGATCCGATTAGTCCATCATCGGTCCATTTTTCTACTATTACCGATGGCGCCAACAATCGCTTATTTGGTGACAATGATAGTACAAGTTTGCCGTATGATTGTAACGGAATTGAATAGTAGACATCATCTGATTGACTGTCACTGGATCTGGTCTTTCGAGTCGACAACTCGTGATTCAATGTATAAGATATGAAACGTCCGTCCGATGAAATCTTTTCAGGAATTTGTATTTCATATGATTGTACTTTTGATAAAATATATTCAATAGTTTTTTTGTTGTTAAATATATTGATTTAAAAAAATTATATCTTAATATATATAATCTTGAAATAAATATAAAAATTAATTATTTAAAAAAAAATTTACATAAAAAATACATAAGTCATTGATTTACTAAGAAATTTATTAATCTAAAGTGTATATAATAAAACTATTGTAAGTATAGTAATAACATGCAATAAAACTTTCATAAATAAACTTATGACATAAAAAATTTTAACATTAATTAATACAGACATTAAATGATAACATTAATATCGACTGATTTTAATAACTGGTTGTTAATAATAATAATAATAATAATAATAATAATAATAATAATAATTCATGGAATTTAAATAATATTAAATTATATATAAATATATAGATATATATAAATAATAATTTAATCGTAGACTCACCAAAAATAAAATGATTTATTATGAAAAAATGCAAAATTAATGAAAGCCATAGACAAACATTTGACAAAAACATTGCTAACGATTTCTATTTCAAGATATGATCCAAAAACTTTGAAAATAACATATTTTTAGATTTGGCTAAATAGTTGCACATTTGAAACATCAAATTATATATTTAACTATCAAAATATAAAAAATACAATATTTTTTAATATATATATTTATAGTATAGTAATTAAAAACTTTCTTATTATTGACGGAAATATACAGTATATATATATATATAAAAGTCACTTTCAAACAAATGTCTTTTAATACAAAATAATAATAATAAAGTAATTTTTAAAAAAAGATTTATAATATAATGTTATAATTTATATATATACGTAAAAACACTTATATATACACACAGTATATAATATAACTTAAATAAATATATATTTATTGAACAATTTTTTTTGCAAAAGATAAGAGTCAATGAAATGTTAAGCGGTTTTCCACGAAATGTGCGAAACTTTTTTTAGACAGTTTTGTTGAATGAAATTTGAAGTTTGCTTTAGATTTTTGTTGTGTGGATGATATTGAATGACAGTCTCCACAAAAAAAATGATAAATAAATATAATACCTGACAGTAATATACAAGAGTCCCTCTCGTTTTCTATCAAGTGATAGCACTGGTAGTTATTTGTTGGCGTCCGACGGCTGGGTAACAAAAATATACATATATTTATATACAGTATATCAGTATACACAGTATTTCACACCATAAAAATGCACGCAATTTGTTTTAAAATGAAATTAATATATTAAATGACATAAAGTTGAGTGATTTTTGTTGGCTCCCACTCACTAAACATTGCTTAACTTTTTTTACATAAAAAACGAGAATCTTAATGTCTTATAAATATAAATATATATATATATATATATATATATATATATATATATACCGTTAAAATTTTTAATATAATTTATGACTTCCTTTTTGATGCCGTTTTTTCGATGTCTTTTTTCTCAACTCTCTCTCTCTCTCTCTCTCCCTCTCATGAGATGACTTTATTTGAATAGTTTTGAAAACAAAATTACTTTTTAGTTTTATTTTATAAATATTTTGTTTGTGGTCTTTCTCTGATAGATATTATAGGAATTCAAATTTTCCAAAAGTTTTTTATAAATAAATATTGTTTTGTTATTTTTTTGTTTGTATTTAATAAATTAGTAAATATTTGAAATAACTTTAGCTAAAAAAAATCGCTAAACATTTAATAATTGTTATTCGTTTAGTCAAAACTATAAGTTGCTTAAACATTCATATAATTATTAAATATACTGTATATTACTAATTAAATTTAATTTGTTTATTTAAAAAATTGGCTTAAAAAGTTTATATTTAGCAATTAGACCAATTAAATGTTGATTGTTGTCAATATATTTAATAAAATTGTATTTAAAGTTAACAGAATATTCTGTATGTCTTTATATTCTCTATAAACTAAACTAATAACTTATTAATATCTAATATAAACTATTTTTATTTGACTCCGATCAAGCATTTCAACAAACATTTTAAATAAAACTAGAAAACCCCTAAATTTATTTACATAATTTACATTATTTAAAATAACTCCTCCCCGTCACAATGTAACCAAAAAGTTTTTTTTAAAAATATTTTTTTATTTTTCATGCTTAATACATAGTATAAGTTTGGCCAAAATAGGAGACAATAAATAATAATTGATTCAAAATATGTTTTTATTAAATTATGATTACTGGGAAAAATGTGTCAACAAAACTATTCTCTTAAATTATTAATTTGATTTATAATATAGTTTTAATTAAAATTAAGTAATGGATTTTACTATTTTCATTTTTAAAAAAATCAAAAATATCAATTTATTAAACAACTTATAAAATAATAATAATAATAATGACAAACAAATATTTATAGTGTAAATACAGAGAAAGAGAGGAATGCATTTAACCCGTTAATGAAATAAATATATATATATAAAATGAAAACACTTATTACATAACTTGAAAAAATGTCATAATATATTGTATCATATTTTACATTATTTCATGGAAATGTGTATATTTATATAATTTTTTTGGAGGACATATATTAAATAACTATCAATATATCTCAACAAAATATATAATATTTGAATTCATTATTTAATAATTGAGAAGAAAAAATACTAATAAAATTTATAAGAAATTAAAAATTATATCACAATTCGAGTTTTTCTCATCAAAAAAAATAATAATTCAAATTTTACACAAATAAAAACAACTATAAAATTCACACCAATAAACAAACAAACAATTATAATACCAACAAATATATTAATATTAACTATAATATTACCGGTAATATCATAATTACTAATATAAGAATACCTGTAATTACTATTATATTGATAATAAATAAACTATAAAATAGTGAGATAATAGAGACAACAATTCAATATACTGTACATAAGAATATCTATCTATTTATATATATATATATTTATATATATTATATTACCTGTAATTAAAATTAAAAAAATAAATAATAAATAATAATAATTAGAAATCAAATTTAAAGTATTGTAAATTTAAATATTTTTTTCTGCGATTTGATTGAAATCTGTCCGACAAAAAATGATGTACTGTCTGCCGAAACGGCCAAATCGTGCGGTTCCTCCAAGTGTCCAGTAGTTGGCTCCCAAACGTCCACCAATTGCTCGGTGGCCAAGTCAAGGCTCAATCCTTTTGGCGGAACACTATTCATGTCGGGTCCGTTTACGGCCAATAAAATATCGCCTAATAAATCCAACAAAAATTAATTATCATTAAAAAAATTGCCATAAAATTAAAAAAAAATCAGAGCTAATGCCTACCGATGTGGTCAATGGCAAAGACTCGTCCCAATTGTTTGTGTTGTACATTGAATACCAGTTTTCCGGCACTTTTTTCTCCATTAAGTCCGGCCGTATAGCAAAGTATTCGTCGGTTTTCTGTAAATAAATAACAGATTTTTAATATAAATCCATTTAAAAAAAACAAAAACATAATACAGATATCAATATTTGATAAATACCTCTATCAGCCACACATATCAAGTCATCCGTTTCCAATAGTGTCAGACTGTGCGGAACCAACATCTGGTCGTTTGTACCGAACTGGCCAACAAAGTGACCCTCGGGCGAGAACATCATAATCCGTGAATTACAGTAACCGTCGCTAATGTAGATCATTCCCGACGACGATATGGCCACATCTGTCGGCTTACAAAAGTGTTTGTCATCATTACCGGGAACAAAACGTTCGCCCAAAACCAGATCCGGTTCGGCCAATTGGTCGCTCTTGAAACGGAACACCTGATGCAATGCCACGTCTGTTAGCCATACGTTTCCCTGAGGATCAACACTTATACCGTGCGGCACATAAAACCTGTTGGCGCCCCACGATTTCATCACTTTGCCATCGTTGGGATCCAACACTAGGACAGTGTCGTTGGCAATCGGCGGTCCATTTTTGTTATTATAGATATTATACAAATTAAATGTTCTGTAAATTTGATCCAATATTGTAATGATAATTGTAATTATTATTATTATTATTATTTGATACAAACCTTTGGTCCCAAACTCTGTCAACTCTGTGAAAGACATGTACATTGTTGTCCCGACTGGTGGCCACACCGGACACCTGACCCAATCGGTCTAACGTTTCTTTTTTTGGCCAATTGTCTACTTCTTTGGCTGACTTTCTTTGCTGCCAATCGTTCATTCTTTCGACACGAAAATTCTAAAATCGAAAATAATAATCAAAGAAAAAAATGATTTCAATATCATAATTACCACATAATTATTTTTCAGAAAAAAATTTCAGATCAATTGATGTCGAAATAATGGACAAACCTGATCAACATCTGCTAAGTCTGGCAACGGATCGCCATAAAAGGCAGAATCGCAACGACTGATGACAACTAAAGCGATGGCAATCGCATAGTAGCCAAACATCTTCTTCGGTATTGATTTTAATTCCGAATGATTTTAAGTCGAAATTAGAAACCAATTATTTTTTTGTTTTCTGACACTTTCGACACCAAATCACTGGTTGAGTGTCTGATGTTTTTTTTAGTCGAAAATGTCAAAAATTAATTGAACTCTCAGTTATATATAAATTATATATATATATATATATGTCTGCTCTCTATCAGCGACTCAGGTATTAAATTCAGTCAATGAAAACTTGTTATTACATATAGTGTTGTTTGTTGAGCGCATAGTCAATCAGTTTTTATTGGCAATAGGTTTGCCATATATTTTCAAAAAAAAAATTATAATTTAATACATATATTGTTATAATTCTGTCAATAGATTCCTTATATTCTTGATTTATATAAATAACTTTTTCAATGTAATAAATAATTAAATTTTATATACAATATCTATAATTATAAATATATATATACCTGTATTTTATAGCAAACAATATAAGCAAAATTAATTATATAAATAAATATTGACATATGTTTTATTTTTTAATACAATAACTATTTAAACAATATAATAGAAATTATTTTTTCTAAGTTGAAGGCAATTCAAATTTAATAACAAAAAAATACTTAACATTGTTTAATTAATAAAAAATATATATTACAAAAAATGACATTGATGAATAGATAAATTTTTTAAATAATATATCATATGATTTAGTAACAAACATTTATAGTAGGAAAAAATATTTGTTAAATAATTACATTAATCATCAAAAAAATAATACAAATATTTACAATATATTTTGTATTTAAATTATTAATTATAATAATTATCCCATATTTTTAGCCATCAATGTTGTCCTCAGTTGCCGCCGAAGACGACGGTTGATATGCTATCCGATGGACCAAAAGCGAGGTCTCGATATCTTTGTGAGCGCTCTCGATATCGCTGATCAGCCGCTGATTGGCTACCGATGATAATAATGATGAACTTGTCGTCTTCGACAACTGTCCTCTCAATTTGACGATCTGTTTGTTGTGATGAACGGCGAGCGCCTTCAGACAGCCTCTGATAGTTCCCGACAGATGAATACTCTTCAGAAAACAGTCCAACTGATTGATACGTTTGACAAACGGCAGTGCCGTTAACAGTATGGTATGAACCGATCGTTTAATGGCCAACACACCGGTCCGTGTCGTCTGATTGAATCGTTTTAGACTAAACGACAGCTGAACCGATGCCAATCCGTAGTCACCGTAAATGTCGGCAATTGTCTGGCGAACAGTGTCGCGAACCTGTCGTTCGGTGATATCTAGCTTACGATAACCAGTAGTCAAGTTGTGGTCCCCACCATTCGGCACCACTTCAAAGCATAGATAGCGACGCTTCACACGAACCATGTCTTCAAATTTAAATATAAATACAAAACACAGAAAACACGTGTTTTGTTTCCACACTTTACACGAGTTGTTGTTTTATTGAAGTTTTATTATTAATGTTATATTTTTTGAAATACAATCATACAGTATGTATGCAATCATATTGTTATTGCATTTTTCAAATCAAAACTATAGGTAATTTAAATTTTGTTAAAATAAACATTATTTATTCAAACTAATTGCTTAATTATATGAATTATTACTTTAAATTACTTAATGTATTATAAATTTATACCTATAACTGGTATTAAATATATACAGTATATCATATGGTATTAATTTAATAATTTAACTTATTTAAATTTAAATAATTAATTTAATTAGCATATAATTTATTTTAATTTATTAATAACAAAACACACAAATTAATTTAGTAAAAAACAACAATTTTTATTTGTTTTTTTCATGACAAAAATTGTGAACAATTTCATAATACAATATATATATAATTATCATCATTTTTATAATAAAACAATTTTTCATAATATCAATAATCGAAATATATAGGTAATATAATATAATATCTGGAAAAACTAATAATAATAATAAATATATATTAATAATAATAATAATTAATAATATCAATAATAAAACATCTTTTTTTAATAATTAAAAAATCATATCAATTGGCAATCAAGCGATAGCCTTGGCCTCGGGTAGGAATGCCTCCCAGTATTTAATAAGTTGTTGTTGGCTATCAAGTAGAGACTCCATGTATTTAATGATACTATCTTTGAAATCCCTGATCCGCGACACCTCAAAGCGCTCGACCTCCAGGCGTATAGTCTTCGAGATGCTCTCAAATTCTTCTTGACCTCTGCTGACCTTTGATTCCCACTTGAATTACAGAAACAAAACAAAACAAATAAAATTTAGATTAAATTAGTCAAACAATAGTCATATGGGTATTCAAACAACTTTGTGGGCAATGAAATTGAATCTATTGTAAACACAACTGTGATATCTAATCAATTAAATCAAAATAATATTATTGCCTTTAAATAAAACAATTTGTCATTTATATCGTTATAATGTAGTATTATATATGATATCATAAATAAACTAAACATTTGTCAAACAAAAAGGGGGAGTAATAATCAAAATGATTACAATATAAAACTGATGAGTAAATACCTCAAGCACTTCATCATTTGCCTGCGATAACTTGTCTGTCTTGAGGGCCAACTCGAGCTTAGCCTTTATCTCCCGTTTTTTGGTCAACATTTGTTGCGAGTGTTGCCACATCTGAAACACTTTGACTCTCTGATGAAAGGCGTCTTTGACGGCACCGATCATTGCTATGTAGTCTTTGAGTAGTTCACCCAAATAGACAAAATCGTTGTCCACTTGTTTGTTGTACAACTGTTCAACTTTTTCTTGAGTTTCGGCCAACTGTGACAATGCACACGATAGTGATGTATGTTCTTCGCAATTGCCAAGCATTGCAGCACTTCTGGCAAACGCACCGGTAGTCTGTGTCAGTTCTTTGCGATGATGTATAAGCGCTTCGACACTTGTGTATAGTTTTCTTAACTGTTGGTCAAGATTTTCAATTTGGTTCTGTTTTTCTTCAAACCACTGGATCATCAAAAAAGAATTATCATTAAAACAAAAAAAATCATAAAATATTTAGACATTTTTATCAAAAAAGATATCATAGTTTAGATGAAAATAAAAGCAACAGTTGTTTACCTGTAGTGAACTAACATTAGATATATATGACTATCGAGGTTAGCGTGAAATTACATTAATTAAGAGTAAATTATTTTGTAATATATATATAAGTTTCAAGCAATAAGTAAAAGATATGATTTTTTTAGAAATTCAATTGAAAAATATGGTATAATACCGGATCAGATTCATCCATACGGAATGTCATTTTGTTAACAGTGTCGCCGACACGGCTGAGCAACCGTTTGACGCCGGCTCCGCTCAATGCCGACGTATTGGTCGCTTTCGGCAAATCGGTATCTAATTCGAGAAACTCGCGAAAGTCTGGATCGGCACACAGTGTCGGATGTAATGCGTTTCGGTTAAGATAGCGCTCGAGTGCGGCTCTTCGACGTTCGACAAACTGCGACGACGATAGACTTTCCTCTTTGGACGACATCTTCACTTTAGCCATACCGACGGCATTCTTTTCGGGCGTCGGCGGAATAATACGACCCAAATGTAAGTGTTTTTCCGACAGTTTGTCGTGAAGACCCAAAAAGTCACTGAACCGGCGATTCACAGAAAAATGAGATCTTCTGAAGTACGGATAATCAGTTTTTGTTTCCACTTTGTAGACAACATACGATGACATGCCTTCGCCAATGCGTTGCGGTTCACCAACCGTTACATTAATGTGTCGTTCATTGGAACTGATTTTGTTTGTGACCGACGACGACGATATCGATGAGTCCTGATTTGGTTTGCGTGAATCGATTGCACTCGAGGTAATGGATGAAGTGGTCGACAAAATTGCTTTCGTCGAATCAATTGGTAATGTCGACGATTTGTCCAACAGGTCATTGGTGACAACTTTGCGACCGCCGATACCGTCAATGCCGTTCATCACTTGCTTTGAACTATTATTTGCCGCATTGGATGTACTGTTGCGTTCATAGTTGCTGTCGTCGTCGTCATCCAAATTGATCTCATGGCTGACAATCAAATCGCCGATCGGATTATCAAACGTTGTGTTGTTGTCGATAATGTTGTTCTTGGGCTCCAATTTGGTCTCATTTGAATCCACCACTGGATGACTCTGTAAACAAACAAAAAACCACAAAAAATAAAATACAATTTCTTTTTTTTAAGACAAATGCCGCGCAAATGAAGAAGTAGTAGTTTTTTTAAATTTCTTCTTCACACGACTCACCTCAACGGTCGACACGAATAGATCTTCATTGGTATCGCTGTCATCGTCGCCGTCGGAGTCGAATAGGTCTCTTGTTTGACGATGTCTTGGGGGCGGAACCGTTGAATGATCACCAGTTTCTGCCATTTTTTTCTGCCTGTTGTCTAATAAACACAGACTCTCTCAGACTTTTTCAATTCAAACACAACACACACTCTCTTCACTTCAAACGACACTTTAGTTAATAATTTGCAATCAATTGACTACTCATTCATTGAATGCAATGACGAGTCAAATGTGTTAATACTTGCTGTGTATATGTGTTTGTGTTGTAGTGTTGTTGTGATATAGACTTGACGTTTAACTCAAAGCTTTTTATATACGAAACTCTATTTAATATGTATTAGTCATTTGGTTTGGGTTTTTAGGTATCATATAATTTTCACTGCAATACATATGCGCCTAACAGTCGAGTCCAATACATAAACACTACTAAATACACTGTACTGTACTGTAATAGTGTAGTCAATAAACAGTGTGTGTGTATTACAGTCGAGTAGTCTTCAAGTATTTACTGTCGCAACTATTTGTCGCTAACTATTAAAAATAAATAAATAATATATTTATTAATTATTTGTTAATTTTTGTTATAATAAATTTATGATATATTATTATTATTATAATTATCAGCCTATAATTTAGTTTTTGTTTTGGTGTATGATTTATTTTTTACATTTTTATCAATTTATTCATTAGATTTAAAATAAATAAATAATTTATATGAAAAACTTATGTGTGATTTATATCATTTGCAAATATAAATAATAGATTCTTAGGTTATGTAAAAAAAGTGTTATAAAATTTACGGTATATATAAAGTGCTATAAATTTATTATTATTATTATTAAAATGGGTAATAAAGTGACCACTTTTACTGACCAACAACTTGAAAATTATCAAGTAATTCATATATATATTAATTAATTTTTAAAAAAAATAATTATCTCATTTTGTCAAATAATACCTGCTTTCAGTTTAAAAAATTATATTTATTAGATTATTAATTATTTTATGTAGTTTAGTTATACTTACTAAATTAATTGTCGTAAATAATTAAATAACTAAATTATTTTGTAATTTAATTAAATTAATTTTTTTATAAATATCCAATAGGATTGCACTTATTTTACCAGAAAAGAGATTTTAACGTAAGTTTCTGTGTTTTAATTTATAGTAAATATTAAAAATAATTAATTAAAATAAAAATACAATATTATCGACAATAAACATCAGGCGATTACTATGTTATATTAATTGATATAAATTATTACTAATATTGGACGCAATATATATATTGACACTTATATAAATAATAAAACAATTGAATATAATTTATAATAAATATATAAAAAAAATTAACCCCAAAAATAATAATAATATATGAAAATGTTTGGGCGTTTTTTATTCATAAGTCAATTTTAGGCGACGCCTCAAATCCTATTAATAATTCAATAAAATTCAATATTACCTGTAATAATCAAAATAATAGTAAAACATTTTTTTTAAATCATATTATGGTTTCTGGGGATCACCAAGTTGTCAAAATTGCTGAATGTTTTTTTAGAAACTGTCTATTTAGGAATATAAAAATTAATAGCTATTATATGCTATATATTTATAATTTTCTAATATTTTTTTTTGTATTATTAGAGTATTTCAAAGATTTCGTGAATTAGATCCCAAAAGAGTGCCGCAAGTGATGACCTGCGATGAGTCTCATACTATAGCGGTTCCCATCGAGAAGATCGAGAAATTGCCGGAATTGAAAGTAATTGATTGAATATGTGATTAAAAAAATAAATATTTTTTATGACAAAAATAAATATGAAATATATATTGTCATAATATTATAGGAAAATCCATTTAAGACACGCATATGTAAAGTGTTTTCACACGACGGCAGCGGAAATATGACATTTGATGACTTCCTCGACATGTTATCGGTATTCAGTGAACAGGCGACCAGAGATGTCAAAGCTTTCTATGCCTTCAAAATATATGGTAATTATTAAATCATTTATTTAATAAACTAATGTTTTCTTTAATTAATTAATTATATAAAAAATTTATTAATTAATTGATTGATTTTTATTGTTGTTCGGTTGAAGACTATGACGACGACGGCATTATTAGTGTACAAGACTTGCAGCAAACGGTAACAGAATTGGTAAGAAATGAGTTGACTCACGAAGAAGTGTCCATAATATGCGAGAAAGTGCTCGAAGAGGCCGACAATGACGACGACCGTAGAGTATCTTATATGGAGTTCCAACACGTTATCACTCGAGCGCCGGAGTTCTTGAGGTATATATATATTTACGGTAAAAATCAAATTTATTTTTAAAATGTAATATTTTATTGATATGACTAACGAAATATTTAATTTTTTATATATAAATCTTTTTTTTGTCCGTAAAATATCAGTACATTTCATATGAGAATATAATGGAAGACAACAATAATAATTAAAAAATAATAATAATATCATAATAACTATCAATATCTGGCACTGGGATCCTCTTTCTCGTAGAAATAGATGACTACATTACCGCTGTCGGTATCGACCGTTTCGGACACTTTGGCCAGAAATCTCGCTGCCGTTCCATACATTAGCGACGGTATACCTAATAATATAATATTAATAATAATAATAATAATTATACTTTGAATATAAATATATGATTTTTAAAATTGTTATAAATATCACCAAAAAAATAAAAATATTTCTTATTAATTAAACTCAAAGAAAGTGTACCCAAATTAAGCGCTTTAAGACATGTAAACAGTTTGTCTTCAACAGTCAGATCTTCGACTGGCCGTCGACTGCAGTGATATTTGATGAACGGATAGCAACCGATTCGCAGTATATGATAGTTGTCTGAACCGACCGACCAATTGAAATGCGAATAACCGAACTGATCGTTGACTACGGAACGGTATCTAACAAAATATGAGCTCCAAAATGGTTTTCTAGTTTCCAAATAAGTGGTCAACACTTGCGATGCCAACGGCTTCTCTGTCTTTAATGTCTTTATCGTCTTATTCTTCTTTGAGTTCAAATAACGACTGAGACGAGTGAATGGTCCATATCTTTGGATTAGTTCACAACTCATCTGTTTTTTGTTTATTCAAATTATGATTTACTTTTTATGTCAAATTAAATATTTTAAAACTAAAACTTTATCAAAAACTAAAGTTAACTTAACTAAAGCGCTAAAATTTTTTATATAAATTATTATTATTTTTTAATTACCTGAGGGATAATTATTTTGTTATTAATAAATTAGTTTTTAATAAAAAAAGATAAGTTTTAAAATTTAAAATTTAAATTTTAAATATTTTAATTTTAAGTGAGAGAGAGAGAGAGAGAGAGAGAGAGAGAGAGAGAGAGAGAGAGAGAGAGATTTAAGGCATCTGTTTTGACATATCAAACATTTTTATTTAAAACCTATAATCAAGTTTACGAAACATTTGGTTTAAAACTTAGTTTTATTTTTTGTCAAAAAAATCGATGTATTGTTTCTATAGTATAGATTGACAATTGATTTACAATTTAATTAATACAAATAGCAATAAATTCGCTTACAATTTGTCATTCAATCGATGATATTATTTACTTATATTTTTATATACACTAATGTTGTCATCGCTTTGCTTAACAACACATAGATGTCGCTATAGTAACCATATATACTCTAATAACGCGCACCCATATAATGTTAAATAGGATTACCAAATAATATATATCAAAACTTTATATTTTTATTTGAAAACAATCTAATAATAATTATTACTACTACTATTAGAACTTTGCCTAGATCAGTTTTTAAAAAAAATAAATTATTAAAATTAAAAACATAATAATTTTCATTTACTATTTAACTGTTAGTTTGACAATAATTTACTAGTGTTTTAATACACTATTATTATTATTATTATTATTATCAATAGTTAATAGTGTCGGATAAAAGTTTTTATTTTATAATTATTAGGTCACCATAACTGCTGTTGTATTGAGTTATTGTTATTATTTGTTGTGTTTGTGTTTGTGTTGACTGAATGACTGTTTGATTGCAATAAACAATATTTACTTTACATTACAATCACTTCGGGATTTGATCCGTCATTATATTAATTGTTGTCTTAATTATAACAGTTTGGTAGGTATTGTCCGCATCTAATAACCGAAATCTAAAAAATTGCATTCATTTGTCATGTCTTTGTCCAAAAAAAAAAACAGCCGTCAGGTTAGTGATCAACAAACCGCGCGCGCAAACAATGGCCAAACGTAAGAGTAAACGAAAGCCCGTGTCGTCGAAAAAACCGACCCAACCGTTGGACATACAGTTTAACTGTCCGTTTTGTAATCACGAAAAATCGTGCGAAGTAAAAATGGACAGAACCCGCAATTCGGGCCGCATTTGGTGTCGTATTTGTCTCGAAGAGTTTCAGGCGACCATCAACTACCTGTCCGAACCCATCGATGTCTATTCCGAATGGATCGACGCCTGCGAGTCGGCCAACCAGTAAACGGACGGCCAGTGAATGCCGAGATTATAACCGAAGCGAGAGATAGAGTGAGTGAGTGATAGAGAGATCACTAAAAAAAAATTTAATGTTATTTCTGATAATTTTTTTTAAATTATTATTATTATTATTACTTCCATTTCATTCAATTATATAATTCAATTAAATAGTTGGAAAACTTTATTTTCAAAAAAAAATTTGTGTTTTTAAAATAATAATAAAATTGTTTTTTTTCATCACAAAATTGTGTGATTAAAAACATGCGTCCAAAATAATTTTTTTTTTTATAAATTAAGATTAATTATTTAAATGAGTGATTTGATTGATAGATTGAAAAAAATGAAATGTCATTTCGCATCGATATTGAAGGGTATGAGAGAGAGAGAGAGAGAGAGAGAGAGAGAGAGAGGAAAAAATAATCAGTTATTATTAGTGACGTTTAGATTCAATGCGTCCTTAAACATAAAGTTTCTCAGAGCCCACAGCGCATTGACAACATTGCCGTGATTGCCGGCACCGTTGGCCAACCAATGAGTGGGCAATCGGTTGATGTCCTGTTGGGGTATAGTTTCGGGCGATGCATTCAACTGTGTCTCCCAATTGCTTATATGGCGACCCTCTTTGCCTTCAGCACTCAATTTTTCAATATATCTAAATTTTTTAAAACAACAAAAATAATAAAAACAAACATACAATCAATTTAAAGATAGTTTAAATATTATTTAAATAAATTATGATTTAATCTTTTTTTTTTAAAAAATAAATAACACAAACTTCATGTATGTGTGCGTATGTAGTAAACGATTAGCCCGGGGAGGCGTTCCCACAAATACTGGTTCAATAGGTTTCACTTGAACTCCGGTACCTATAATTAATTAAATTAACATAAAATTAGTCGCTAATTATATGATAATTATAGATTTAATTAATTTTTAAAAAAATTATGACAACACAAAGCAAATAGTAAAGAAAAAAAAACACAGAAAGACCGGGAAATTAAAACCCCTAACATTAAAGCCTTTTAGTATTTAAATCGCACGAAGATATGCCACACCAATAGATTGAGATACAACAGTATATGCGCCACACAAATGTGTTGTGGTTAGGTTTAGGTTAATTACCGTACTTACCTCCCGGTACCCAAAATGGGCTTAACAAAGGCATATTTGCTTGTTGTAGGCCACCAATGGCTTGCGATAGTGTCGGGTGCATTGAACTAATTGTTGTTGAATTACTATCAACTATACTAATTGAGGGACAGGGATGTGATTGCGATTGAAGTATGTTATGGTTAACTACAAAAACAAATTGAAAAAACCAAATAAAATAATAAAAAAATATGAAAATCGCATGCAAAACAATAAATGGCTAATAAAGTTAATAGTGTTAATTGAAATTAATTATTTTATAAATTTGATATTACATGAAAATTAATTGATAGTCTTTTTTTACCGGTAATAAATAAATTTCAAAATTATTGTTTAATATAATTCAAAACATACTATTGAGTTGCGGTGCAGTTTGCGGTACTATTGTTATGTTGTTAGTTGCGGACACCTGATTGTTGACCAATTGATTTGCGGCCATAGATTTGCGACTTTGTATGCAATTTCTATCAAACAAATTATTAATATCATAGAGATTATCGGTCTAAAAAAAATTCGGTTAAGTAATGGGATGTCTGTCTCACTTGTTTCGGTTTTCGGGTGCAATCGATTTCGGCGTTTGTTTGGTTACGTGAATCTCTTTACAGTGACGAATGAGTCGCTGAAAATTGGGAAATGGTCTGAAAATATAAGAAATATAGATGAATATGAAATGAGTTTTTTTTAAATATACAATTTGATGCGGTTATTGATAGACAACTTACGGCATGCCTTTCTTCACACGACCGCATCCTTGGAAAAGACATTGAAATTCCATTCCTTCTTTATCTTTGTTGGCACCGAACGATTGCCAGACGTGTCCATTAGGTTCCGATATAAGATGTTCGAGAAGATCGGACGACTCTTCAAACTGAAAGTCGCATTTGCTTTCCCATCGACACTCGTAGACAGCATTCTCGATACCAGACGGTGTCGATGCCGGCGAGTTTGGCATATCATTGGCCAAAGCGGCTGCAGCATTGGCAGCGGCTACCTCTCTGGCCGTTTCCTCATTTTGTCGTTGAGCCTTCTGTTCGTATTCGGCCTTTTGAGGTAACGGCAAATTCTTCCATTCGGTTCCAATGATACGACTAACGTCACCGAACGAACATTCAGGGTTGGCCTGAACCACAGATTTTCTTACTTCGCTGGCAAACACTATATAACCGGTTACAAGACGTTTGGGTAATCGTTTTCTAATGACAGTCGGACCGGGTGTCGGAACTGTTGGCTCGACAATTGTTGTGATAGTCGTGTCGTTAGTCTCTTCGCCTTCGGTATCGGCCGAAACTCGTTCAATAGTAGCCGTCAAGTTGTCAACTGGCAACGACTTTCGCGATACTGCCGGCGACACTGGCGCTCCGTTTTCGGTGGTCTTTTGCAAAACTAACGGCTTTCTAAAGTAATAAATCTCGTCTTCAGCTACACCGGGACGATTGCCAGCAAATGTTGGCAATCCTTTAATCAGTTTCTGAAACTTTTTCTCGTGTTCGAGATATCGCGACTCACAGACATAGATATCTTTTTCCGGTATTTCTGTCGGTCGGCGAGCAATAAAATCTTTGTACTCAACAACAGCGCAACGCTCGCAGATACTCAACAATGGATTCGTGTCCTCAATCGAACTCAGAAAGACTTCTTGTTCGTAAAATGATTTGAATATCAGTGGTGGCAGTTCTGGCTGCTGGACAAACCACGGCCCGTGAAAGTAGGCGTTGCCTTCCTTGTCGACCCATATTCGGTCGATACGACAGATTAGGTTACGCCCGGTATCGGTTCGGACATAACTACAGTCACCTAATTTATAGGTTCCCGACGGTATGGTAAACTGTTCGTAATAAGTATAGCCATCGTCAGCCGAGGCACCTTCCGGTAGATCGCACAAGACATTTGGCCGATCAATGTCCAACACTTTGACAGCACCTACTTCTTCGGGTTCCTCTTCGACTTCGATTTTGATTTTATCGGTCTGATCTTTGAAAACCGACGGCACTCTAATCATTGGCAACGGTGTCTCTCTGGGCGTCATCATTAAGTTCTGCAAGAATGGCCATACCTTGATCTTCTTGAACGTCTTAGTGCGCGTAAAATAACGCGATTCGCAGACATAGATATCTTTATCGTCAAATTCCTGTGGTTTGCATCTGAAGTAATCCTTTACAAACATTACACAACATTTACCCACCACTTGACTCAATGGCGTACTATTAAAACTATCGCTTTTGAAGACCTCTTTTTCGAGAAACTTTTTCGACGCAATATGAAACGTTTCGTACGGCCTGAAGAACCAGCGGCCATAGATCCAGTGCTCGCCGTTTTCGTCTTTATTGAATTTTTCAATATAAATAATATGCGGTTCGAGATTCTTTTCGCGCGGTTCAATGTACACAAAATCACCGACTTTTATGGCCATATCTTTGACAGTCATCTCATTTTCGACACTACTGTCACCATCCGTTGGCAGAACAGAGAGTATACTTTCTTCCAACTCTTTTTCCGACTCTTTCGAATCGTCCAGTGTTTGCTCTGTTCGTATCTTTTCCTGTTTGAGTGCGTCCACATCGGCGAACAATGTCTCGGCCGAGTACTTCAGTGCCAACGATTCCAGTGTCTTGCCGTGTCTGCACAGTTCGTTTCGCAGATAAATGAAATACGTTTGCAATTCCACCGAATCTTCGAATGCCTGCGAATCAGTTCGACTGACACGACGAGCCCTTTCGAACACTTCGAACATGTCTTTCTGGAAGCGATCCAATCGCCGATATTTTCCTTTATCCAGATTTCGTTTAATTGTATCCAAATTAAGCGATGGTAAACTGTGTAATATACCGTAAAAATAATAGCCGATAATTATTATTTCCGATCAAATATTTGATTATTAATAATTTGAACTAACCTTTCAGTAAATGATAAATCAGTAGTTTTCTGATCAGTTTCTGATAATTCAATAATAGAGTCACTATAACAACGTCCCTCTTCGTCCTGATCACAAAAAAAAACAATTATAACATCTTTTATATTATTTTCTAAATAAAAAGTATTTTGTTTCACTTTTCTTTCATTTAAGACAATACCTGATGATTATAGACAGAAATAAACAGATTTGTCAACAACTCTTGGATAATAGCTTTAACATCGGGAATACCGGTACCGTTATCTTCGGTCAAATCAATTTTAGTCTGAAGAGCCACTTGTTGTAGTGTTAGGGCGTCTTTGTATATCTGAGAGTCGGGTTCATTATATTTACAGGCATTGTCTAACATCAATATAATATCCGATAGCAGATCTTCAAGTGTTTCGTAGATATTATTTTTCAATCGGACACCAATTTTCTCTAAACCGACTGGTTTTTTGATTATTTCATAATACTCTGGCATTTCTGTCTTTAACGGAAGTTTCATAAATAGTGTCGACAATTGACGTCCTTTTGCATCGTTATAATCTTTGACAGTATTGTATAGAGTTATCAGCTTTTGTTTGATAAGATTGATCGATGCCTTATCTTTAGTCCTAATTAATAATTTGAATTCAATTAGTGATTCAATAATTTAAATAATAATCTTAAGAAAACAAATATAAACTATATTAACAAACTTTTTAGATTTCGGCTCAAATGGTCCCAATTCTCTGAGCTTATCCATCAATAGGCTCTCGAGTGTTACACTATCCTTATATATCTGTGAATTGTCTTCATTATATTGTTTACAATTACTAAACATTAACTTAAAGTCGTTTATCAACACTTCTTCATTGGGATACTAATAAAAAATTATCATTTTATATATAATATTATATTAAAAATCAATTTTAATAAAATAACAATAATTCCTTCACTAAACAAAAACTACTCACTCTTTCCCATTTGATATTTGATTCAATAGTTTTCATATCAATCGGATTAGTAATCACTTCATAATAGTCGGGATAAATCTTTTTCGACGGCTTTTCCATAAACATCTGGATTAGTGAACGTCCGCTATCGTCGTTATAATCGCAAAGTGCTTTATAGAGTGCTTTCATACGCTTCTTGAGCTGAGCATCGATATCCATCTGCGAACGCCTGGCTTTCTTCAGTTCGTGTGTCAACGGATTCGACGACTGTTTCTTCAGCCGTTTGACACCGAAACCGCTTTTACTATTGTCGTCGTCGCTGTCACTGTCATCGGATAGCGTGTCCTTAATAGTGATGTTCAGTATCTCTTGTGCTTTCACTTGAAGTACTTTCTTCAACTTCATGGCGTCCTATCGTTTCAATGGATATATTTTAAAAACAAAAGAAATTAGTAACAAAAACAATGTCAATGACATCGCCTCTCTCTCTCTCTCCCTGTTCACGGATTCAAACCTTGAATATCTTGCTGTCGGGTCTGTTGTATTTCATGGCATTTTCAAACGTCAAACTCAAGTCCTCTACCAAATTGGTCACATTGTTGTAGGCACCGGTCTGTCAATCACAGGTCACATATGATTTTCGGGAAAATAAAATTAAATCCAGACAAACAAACCTTAATTTTGGCTCTGATTTTGGCCAAAGACATGGGACGTTTGATCTCCTGATAGTAGTCCGGATAGAACCGTCGCGACGGTAACCTCATGAACGGATCCGATAGTGCGGTTCCCGCTGGCGTCGAGTGATTACAAATGGCTTCAAACAGCTGCCACTGCGGATTGTTTTCGGCGTCTTCCGGATCGGAAAAAGTGGTCACATCGTCGTTGGTAGTTTCATCGCCGTAATTGCTGGTATTGGTACTCTGGACGCTGGCGTCCATATCCGAGTCGGTTTCGTACTTGAGTGCCGCTACCGCTGCCGACATTAGTCCACCCGAGAGCATACGTTTGGCCCGAATTCGTTCGCTACGGACATCACCGCTGCGACCGTTTCCGTCGCCGGCGGCTAACTCATCGATCGAAGATTTCTTACGCTTTGACATCAATCGTAAGAAACCGGACTAAACTGTGGCCACAATTGTTTGTTTGTTTGTTTTAGTGACCAACTAATCAATTGATTTTACTGTTAATATTTGATTTAATTAACCGCTAAATACTAAACACAATAATAACAGTAATAATAATAATAATGCAAACAATAATACAGTACTGTATTGTTATTAATACATAATATGACAATACATACGAGTCGTTCACATATGACGTTACAAAGTAGTTGGGGAGTGACTACACAAATGAGTTGACTATAAGTTTTTTGCCAATAGTTTTATATTATAAAAAAAATAATAAAATAATTTAAATTGTGATAATTAACATTAATTTCATATTAAATATTATAGTTATTTAATTTAATAAATAAAATGTTAATAAAAATACTTTTATTATTAAACTTTTAAATATAATTTATTTTTTATTTATGTAACAGATATTATTGTACAATTGATCATGATAATTTTTTAAAAGTAAATATATATCTAATTAATCTAATGTATCTAATTGTATGCGAATTATTTAAAGTTATTATTAATTTGAATTATTTAAATTAAAAATTATTTTCTATTATTATAATTAACTATTTTTTATCTATTGGTCCTAAAAGTATATAATTATTTATTAAGTCATCAATTAGTTGTGAGACATATACCCTAAACGATACTTACAAATACAAATTGGTTTTACCGCTAGATATCAGGCAAACAACAAATTTATTGTTTAAAAAAAATATTTATAGCCATACAGTAGGTGTCGGTACTATTATCCAGACCTCCCAAACCTCCCTGTTCAAATAAATAACAATAATCAAAACACACACCCACGCAATATATAATTTTTTAATATAAAAAATCTTTATTTAATTTTATAAAAACAATGATAAATAAATTAAACGATTCATTTTGAGAAATGATGTGAATAAATATGATAAAAATTTATACAATTATTGTTTTTCTTTAATTAATATTAAATTACAATATTAATGGTTTGATTAGATCACAGATAAAAATAATTCTCTCTTCATTTTTAATGTTAATTTACTTATTTTTTTATCGTTTTTGTTTTATTATTTGCAAATATATATATATACAAAATGGCAATAATATAACTAACAGATAAATATATATATATATATCATATAATAATAATATTATTATACATTCATTTGTAAAGTCAATTTGTTCCCCGAAAAAAATCAAATTCACAGTTTTTTTTGTTGAATAATTAAAAACCTATAAAATTAGTTATCAAATAATTAGAGTCTCATTATTATTACTATTATTAAAATAATTATTATTATTCATTATTGAGAGTTGTTTTCTAGTCATCGATTCAATGATGTCTTTCCGTCGCTATTGTGACCAAAACTTCTGCGGCTATTATTATTAGTATTATTATTATTATTATTATGGCTATCGTTAATCTGATTTCGTTGATAACCGGATGGCTGACTATCTCGAGGACTGTTAGAATATGATCCCAAATAGTTGGATGAGTTGTTTGATGAAGACGACAATGACGATGACTGATATTGACTGTTAGGTTGATTGATGGGAACAATTACTTTACTGTGAGAGTAGTTGTGATGTTCGTACTGTTGTTCATATGGTTGTTGTTGTTGATGACTACGACTGGCGCCCATAACCGGCGGAAGTGTATGCGAATGACTACTACTGCTACCACCGTATGAACTCGAATGCTGGAGACCTTGCGATGAATTTTGTTGTGTTGAATACCAGCGATCGTTAGAGTAATTATTATTATATGGTTTACGGTCAGTCTGGTCACTATATTTCGGCTTCGAGTAGTGATCGGGCGGTGGTCTTCGATCATAAGGCATCGGACGTGACGTATTCGTGTCGTGTTTATTATTCCACGAATGGTTCCGATAGTTTTGAGTGTTTGCGCCGCCGCCGCCACCGCTACCACTACTTCCATACATATTGTTGGAAGCTTTCAAATCGTATGACGCATAGTCTTCACGTTTTATCATCTTATTGGACATCATATAATCAGCAGAAGATTCTCGTTTTATAGGCGGATAACCACCACTACTAGTCGTGTTGTGTGGACTACTATTCAGCGATGATTTACTATTGAAATGTTTGTCGTGTCTGTCACGTCGTGAACTGTGTCCGCCACCGGCAGTACCGCCGCCGTCCGAATCCTTTTGTTTGTCTTTATTTAATCGTTTGTAAAGTTTATACAATTTCTTTGGCGGATATTCAGTAAATTTCGACACAAAAGTCCACAAATAGTTACGCCATTCGCGAGCTTTGGTTGAATCGGACGCTAACTCACGCAAACACTCATCAATTCGGGCGCCAATTGCTGACAACAATTGACTTTCATTTGTCTTCTGTTGGGATTTCGTTAGACTAAGATCTGGTTTATCTAATGCTTTCAGCGATTTCTTTACGGGTCTCATCTTTTCCTTGCATTCTTCGAATATCTTCGGTTCTAAATCGTCGGTAATTTCGCTCAACACCGACGACAGACCTCCTCCGCCGCTTCCTTTGCCATCTGAATCGCGTTTTTTCTTTTTCTTTTCTTTCTTATCTTTTTTATGTTCTTTATTACTCTTTTTATCCGATTTTGTCTTTTTATCGGATTTGTTGTGTTTCTTACTACTCTTGGAATCGTTACCTCCTTTGGAATCAATCGAACCTTTAGTTTTGCCATCGATTTTGGCTTTTGTTTGCTTCTTCAGTCGTGGTTTCTGTGCCTCGTCTTGCAGTCGCTGAGCTATTAACAGCTTTTGCATAAACTTCAGTAAATACTCGACTCTTGTCTGCAATTGTTTTGATTGCGGCGTTTGGTTACCGTCGGACAAAATCTGAAGACAGATATATATATATACATATGATTTGCGTTAATATAATAATTAAAATTATTATTAATAGTATTCATAGAAACTAATATCAAATTATAAAAACAATATTTAAGTGCAAAATATTTTTATAAAAAATAAGTGTTTGTAATATTTACTAATAAATCAAATTATATATTATATATATATATATCGTGCATATTATATATACAATAAGCGTAAAAACTAAGTAACCATTATATTAGAATGCATTTTCAATAACATAAAAAACGTTTACTATATTTTTGCAATTATCAAGATATTGCAATCAATAACGATAGAATTATTAAATTCAAAAATTGTAAATTGTTTAAATTTTAGGTAATTTTAAATAAAATTTATTAATTAAATGTAATTAAATAATTATAAAAATATAAGTATTAATATTAATTTAGTTTAATTGATTATTCTGTAAAATATATTAATTCCAATTAATAAATTACGTTGATTTTTACAAATAAGTTATTTAAAAACGCTTGTATTACGTGTAATATCATTCACACTAATAAAACGTTATTGGATTGTCGTATTCTATGCTCTAATATGTAAATTTAGATACTTATAATTTTTCAACAAACCATTTCGTAATAAATTGTTATAAAAATTAAATTATTACAATTGATTTACTTGATTAATATAATATATACAATCTATAAAATATAATTATCCAATTCTATGCGTAATTTTAATAAATAAACAGTAAATACTCATTAATTTATTATAGTTTATAACTATATTAATCATTAACTAAAACTTAAAATACGTTATTTAATAACACTTTAATTATCGCGTAATACGCATAAATAGTAGGCATTAACCAGCGGTAGAAAAATTATGTATAAAATATGATAATTAATGTGATCTTTGAATGATTGTAACAACTATTTAGACGTTTATTAATTCTTTCAACTAATTTAGGGAAAGTAATGCATTTTCACAGATAAAATTTATTTATTAAGTATCTGATGGAATCGATTAAGTAGTTTACAACCAATTATGGATCGATTACTGACACAATTTGTAGTTGTTTTTAAAAGCATTCACTTAACTACAGAATATGATCGTATGACTCAATTGCTGACTTTCAAATATTATTAGATAATTGAATGATATAACATTTTATTTGTTGTCTAATGTTAACTCTGAAAGTCAGCAAATGAGTGATTTAATCCATAGAAATACGTATTTATTGAGAACTATAAACGCATTTAGTCTATTGATAGTAAGTCTGTTATAACAGTTAGGAGAGAATGTTAATATAATTCCTTTATAAAAACTATATTATTAGCCCGTCGTGTAATTGGCCAACAATTAACGACAATTACGACAATGTACGTTAATAACATTAATAAACATTTATTGAAATTTACTAAATGTTTAACGTACAGAATGTCGTATAATATTGAATAACTGATTGTTACTGATTATTATAATACAAAAACATAAGTATATATACATATAAAAAGCGGTCAAATATGTTATTTATGAGTAGCCATCTGTTATCATATTAATGGATAATATAGTAATACGTTAACTTAGCTATCAATATAATTTTGTTTACATTTAAGTTAACGTATTACTATATTATCCATTAATAGGATTTAAGTTTGCTCTAAAAGGTATGCAAAATATTTATTGCAAGTATTCTGTTTAATTTAATTTTATTTGCATAAAAATAAACGTTTTATTGATAATTTTAAATTACTTATAATATAATTTTTAAAAATTCCAATTTACATTTATGTTAAACAATAAAATTAAGTTTAGGTATTTAAATAAATTAAATTTAATGTTAAAATAAAATTCTAAAATTTTATTTTAATATATTTATATTTACTTAAGTAAATATATATATATATATAGACAATTAAGTAAGCTTATGCACTTAAATATTGAAAAAATATATAATTTGATTTTAAATAATTAAAATTTATTTAAATATATATTTAAAAAATAAATAATTAAAAAATAATTACAATTAAATGAATTGGATTCAAATATTGAAAATAAATAACGTTACAATAGATGCCTTACACATATGTACCCATAGTTATTAACACGACTGTATTAAACCAGTTCTGGCGCCTCAATCAACACAACAACCGATACTTTTTAAAGTCAATTATTACTTTCTATAAGAGAAAAGAAAGCAATTGTTTTGTTATATAATTGACATCAATATCACAATTAGGATGTCATGTCATTCACGGCTATTATTACAATATTGTTATTTTTTTGGCAATAATAATAATAATTAACATTTAGATTATATATAGCATTAACTATACATTATATAATATAATATACTTTATATGTAAATAATTTGTTAATTAATATTTTGATAATAATAATAATAATAATTAGATGAATAAATAATAATTATTTATTTAATAATTGCTTTAATACTATATAAATTTATTATTAATTTAATTATATATAACTTATTGAATCGTTATTGAAGGCAACACTTGAAATGCAATATAAAAAGTTAATAATAAAAAATAAATAAAAGTTTTTTAAAAAAAATATTCCAATAGTTTTGTATATCAAAATAAAATTTGAAAAATAAATAAATAAATTTCTATTTAAAAACATAACATTAGCACAGAATTAACAACAAATATATTTTATAACAAACAAACAAAAACAATAATAGATTCAATTGACTCACTTTATCTGCTAAACCATAGGACGGATCCATTTTGATGGCTTCCCAACTGCCGAACCCATACTCATGAACGCCGGCTAACAGTCGCGAGTCGTCTTCAATATCCCATAAGACATCCCAGTGCGCAGCCTTCACTTTTCCTTGTAATAGCCATCTAATTATATACAGTATATAATTGACAACAATTTAATATATGTATCACAGTTTTCTGTGTATTAAATTTGTTAAAAAAAACAATTATATAAACAAACCTTTTCTTCTCCTCGAGAGTCGGCGGCAACAGTATGTCCAACGGTTCCAACTCCTTCTGACACGAAAGGATATTCTTCGGAAATACAGTCACAGCTCCTAACCTAAAGTTAGGTCCTCTGTTGTTCTTCTTGCTGACGATCACTACAGCCTCTGATATATAAATAAATAAATATTATTGAAAACAATTCAAAAATACAAATCTATTGATTAAAAAAAACAATTTATATAAACATACGATTCTCTTCGTTGTCCTTCTCATTGATCAGCTTTTCGTTGTGCTCTTTGACTGCATTCTCACAACCCGTTTGTAATATCTCTGCAATTCGCTTGAGATCAGCCATTGGCTTCTCTTGGAGTTCGGCGTCGATGGCTATCGATTCCAATCTCAACATAGGTTTTGAAAATTTCTTGAAACTCTTAATAAACTTCCGAAGCTCTACTTCGGTAAAACCTTGCATCGAATCCTTAGATCCAGCCTTTGGTCGGCCGCGTCTGCTTTTAGGTTTACCGTCGTTATCCGAGTCATCACTTCCATCATCTTTATCTTTCAATCTGTTGGGATCGTACTCTTCACCGCTATCCGAATGTTGTCCGGGTTGTTGAGCTTTGTTACGATTTCTTGGCGGTAAAAACATTTCAAGATTTTCCTTTTGTCGCTCCTCTTCTTCGATTTTCAGGCGATCGGCTTCAGGTATAATATCATCCCAATCCTTATCCCTGTTAGTCGTATCGTTGTTTGCGTCGACACGAGGAGAGTGCGAACTCAATGCACTGACGTCGTCGTCTTCGTTGAAGTTAAAACTGGCCATTTTGAAGGCCGACAACAGTTCGTTGCCCACCGTATGCGGGCCTTCATCAGTCTCTTCGCGAGTCTCGGCTCTGCGCAAAATCTCGTCGATATCACATTGAAGATCATCGCCATCTTCTTCATTATCTTTGAAAAGATCTTCGGCACCGAATTTAATAATAGCTGTCAACTCTTCCTTATTAAACGGCGTTGAATTAGATCGCGAATCTGCTCCCTTCGACAATACTGTTCTACCCGTAGTGTCCATTCTCTGTATGACCAGATGGTCTAAAACCATTTTTCTCTTCGCCCGCTCAATAATATCTTCTTCGACACTGCCTTTTGTCACTAACCTATAGATATTCACCTGATTTTTTTGGCCAATTCGGTGAGCCCTGGCCTGGGCTTGAAGATCATTTTGCGGATTCCAATCGGAATCAAATATAATCACAGTATCGGCAGTGGCCAAATTAATGCCGAGGCCTCCGGCACGAGTGGACAGTAAAAAACAAAAATCAGGAGATCCGTCGGCATTGAAGTGATCCAATGCTTGTTTACGAATCTCTCCTCTAATGGATCCATCGAGTCGTTGATATGGAAACCTTCTGTATGATAGATATTCACCTAAAATGTCTAACATTCGGACCATTTGTGAAAATATTAACACTCGATGACCAGTTTCACGAAGTCTGCACAACAGTTTGTCGAGTAGTAAGAGTTTACCGGAACCGCGAATTAATCGCTGCAATGGTTCCAAATGAGTCAAATCATCGACTGGTCGGACAAGACTTGCGTGATTGCAACACTTCTTCAATTCCATCATAATATTGGCAAAACCGCTAAGACTGCCTTTGAGGCCTTTGGTCAACGCTCTGTAGTTTTTCGTTAAAATCCATTTATAGTATTGTTTTTGAATGGATGTCATCTCGACTCGAAGTATTTGCTCGACTTTGGCCGGCAATGACTTTTCGACATCTTTTTTAACACGTCTTAGTAGAAACAGTTCTAATTGTTTATGTAATTTTGAATAGCCTTTGTTATCGCTGTCTTTGTGTTCGGCTTCGAAGTTGGCCCACGAATCAAATTTTTCGTGATTAATAAAATGAAGTAATGCCCACAATTCGCGCAAAGAGTTTTGTAATGGTGTACCAGTTATAAGTAACCGATGATTTGTGTCAAATTCAAACAATGTTTTATATAAAAGTGAGTCATCATTCTTGAGCCGATGAGCTTCATCTACGCCGAGAACAGCCCAACTGACTGCTCCCAGAAAGCTCTTGTCTTTTAATAGAATCTCATATGTGGTCAATAGTACATTGAATTTGAGTCGTTTGTTTCCCGGATGACACCATTCGTACGAACGGATCATATTACGGCTGCCAACGTCACCCAAATAAACAACAACATTGAGTTCGGGTGCCCACTGTTCAAACTCTTTCTGCCACGAAGCCATTGTCGACAATGGTATTACTAATAGAAATGGTCCGTACAGACTGTGCTGATTGAACAGATAGGTCAGGAAACTGATAGTTTGGATTGTCTTTCCCAAACCCATTTCGTCGGCTAATATCACACCGTTTTGTTTCGACCAGGAATGGGCCAACCAATTCAATCCATCCAATTGATAGTCCCGAAGCTCGAGCTGATTAGGGCCACCAATATAGTCGGGTTGGGCTTTTAGGCTGACAAACTTTGGCCGCTGTTTGAGTACACGACACGTTTTGGTCGGTATTCGTTGAGACTTTTGCCGCCGATTGAATTCGTCGATATGATGGGAAAACTTCTTGTCGATTAGGGAACCGTCTTCCCACGTACACTCAATATAGGGCAGACCTTCCCATTTACACAGATACTCGGGCTGTTCGGAACCGCTATTCTTCTGCTGTTGACTGGCAATAATTCGTTCGATATTCAGATGAAGATGTCGTAATTGTGTGGCCATCTCCTCTTGACAGTCGAAATAGTCGATGTCTTCGGGATTGGCAGTGGTTTCACGCCTTTAATAATAATAATGGTAACCATTTTTTTTTTAATTATTATCATTAATTGTCATTACAATTATCATTTAATTCATGTCTTAATATACGCAATCACTTTGCCTACAATTACCACTAAACACCTAATCCTATAAAACAATCCGCCATTTTGTGACATATGGTAAGCCATCTTGAATTTGGGGTTAATTGCGTATTAATTATATATCCAAGAAGTAACCATTGATTGATCAAATCAGATGATTATCATAGTCTAGAAGTTAACTATCTGTTGTTATTTTTGTTATATATCAACAATTTTGGTCATTGTTTTCAATTTTAGCTACATATTAGAGGACACGCATTCAGTTAATTCAATTGATGGTTAAATTGGCGGTTAATATCCGCGGCCATTGCAGAGATGGCTAATCAACTGTCACAGACAGATATTGTCATAGGATATACCGGGGATTTGTTTACTATAGTTATACACTTTTCAATTGAATCTCTTATATTTTTGATGCCATTTAAGGTCACCATATTTTACACTAATTAAGACCAATTGATTTAAATCAAAGACATGATTAACAGTAGAATTGGCGGCAAATATGAATGCAATGACATATAAACATTCAACACGTGGTTCAACAATAACAACAACAACTGAAAAGACTTACCATATTTTCAGTTCGTCTTCTCGTTTCAGATAATTCTCTACTTTTTTAATGCCTTTGGCTTTAACCTCCTTAAGAGATTCTTCTGATTCCCAGGTATTGTGCAAATGTGACCATCCTTTCCATTTAATCAGAAACTGTGGTTCCTTTTCGACAGCATCCGGATCATTGGGATCGCCATCGATTTCGATCTGATAGGGTGTGGTCGCAGCGCCTGAGGCACCCTTTTTGCCCATACGGTGATCGAGTATACGTTCAATGGTCTCACCGGTATCTTCTTCCACCTCTAAGTTGGTATTATCGACTTCGATGAGATCATCAGAGTCTGTGTGATCGCTGTGTTCCTTATATGAAACCTTTTGCTGTTGTCGTCCTCTTGTCTTTCCTTTTGACTTACTTTGTTTGCTATTGTTTTCCCAATCACTTTCGCTATCTGATGAAGAACTGGCCACCACTTTCTTATTCTTTCCATTATTGCATTGTCGGCCACCAGTTCTTGATCTGGTTTGCCTCTGTTGAGGTGCTCTGCGTTTGTTTGATGCCTTATCGTCATCACTGCTCTGTTCCTCTTCTTCTTCTTGTTCAGTAGAAGAAGAAGACGAGGACGAAGAGTCAGATGAAGACTTATTGTCATCCGGTTTACTATTATTATCGGAACTGCTTTTATCATCGCTGGTTCCTTCTTCAGTGTCTTCCGATTCACCGGAACTGTCGAGATTGAAATGACTCTTATATTAGACTATATTTTGTTTAGCATAGGTTATGGCATACGCATAGGTATGTCCACTGACTAACTGTACGCCAACTAAACTAAAACATAACTAACCTTTCGTTCAACTCATTTGATGACTTCATTGCCCTAAAACAGCATTCATTTAAAAGGCTTTTTAATAATAATTATTATTATTTAGTGTTTTAGTTGAGACCTAAAAATGTCAGTCAAATGGGAAACACGATTACATTTAATGCACACAAAAGACTGTTTCACTATTTGTCGACTTTTTTTTCAGTAACTATGAGAAGCCCTATACATACATACAGTATAACTTAGATATAGTAACATCAAGTTATATAAGCTAAATGTTTTGTAACTTGTTTTAAATTAATTTTAAATCACTTAATCGGATGATAATTATAATTATATATATCAATAAAAATATATATAAATTTTTAATTAAATTAAATTTGAAAATTTGTTAATCACTTATCGTATATTAATTTTTTTATAAAAATTATGATTTGCTATATTAACGGGAATATAGTGTATAATGTGACGGTGCGTGTGTGAGTCGCACTGGTATTACTGCCATTACTGACTATATAAGCATAGTGTGTATGAGTGTGATGTAGAGGTATTACCCCCACTGTTCAATAGCATACATAACTGCACACAAAATACGCTAAAACTTTAAGCACAAGTATGGTGTGTGACATAGGCTTATATAATACAGTGTGTGAAACTGTGAGATACGCGCACAGGGATGTGAGGTTATGGGGGGGTTAAGGGTATGTAAAAATTATGGCGTTTTTGTTTTAAAGAGAGAGAGAGAGACTGAGAGCATTTAAATGCCATACCATATGTATCAATGATTTTTACTTTTAGACACAAATGGACGGCTTTTTTATAATAATTAATACTGTATTACATTTACATTAAAAACTTTTTGATTTTTTTTTGATAACAGATACAGTATTATAATAAAAATGATTATTATTGAGAGAAAAATAGAAATATTATCACATTTTTGTGTTAGATTTGATAATAATAATAATGAAAATATAATTTCTATCAGAGTTGTATTGTTTAGTTAATAAGTTTTTATTTAAATAATAAAACTAAAATTTTTTTAATAAAATACACAATTTTTATAATTTATGTATTAAATGATCAAAAATATCAAAACTAATATTTTTAATGACAAAACTGTAACTTTTTATTTATGCAAACATTTACTGACAGTATATAAAATAGCAATAGTTTTATGGATGGGATAAAGTATAGAGTTGTTATAAAAATTTGAAAAATAGTCAAATATATTACAATAGATTTATCTAGGATAAAATATAATTTAATCATAATTATAGATAAACTAGGTAATAAATAGTAATCGTATATATCATATGTGATAATTGTTTTTAAAAACCCAGATTATAATCTTATAAGCTAGCTAAAAAATAAATGCTAAATTGTGGTAGGTCTATTTTCATGATTTTAATTAACAGTTTATATATCTTATATATATATATATATATATATCAATTTTAAATGTGTTGTAACAAAAATTTTCAAAAATAATTTCATTATAATTGTTGCGACAAATAATAAAATCTAAATATTATATTAGTATTCAATTAATACAACAAATACCTGTCAAATACAAGTAAATGGTAATAGACTTCATGTATCATAAATACGGACAACACTTGTTGTTGTTGTTGTTGTTGTTGTTGTATGATATCTATGCTGACATTGTTGCGGACAATGGCATAACACAAACATGTCTTTTATTTCTTCTTTTTTTGGGATCAATTTCAGTGACAGATGAGTCCCATTACTCGCGAGTGTTACGCCATTGGGCTCTAAACAGTCCTTGACTTTAATCATAACTTTTAAAACATTTGATAATAGATGTCATTATTAATAGTGCGATATTTGTTTTTAAAAAAATGTTTTATTAATACAATTAATTTGTTTCTTTTAAATAAAATATTTATAATCTTATAATATTGGATTGAATTTTAATTGTAAAACACAATTAATTAATTAATTGTAATAAAACTTATTATTAATTACTAATTATTAACTAATTATAATTATGACATTTTAATGGCCAGTAGTCGCCAGAAATCACTGGACTATACGTTGTTATTGATGAACGACCCGATCGTATAGAAAGTCAATTATTTCATAGGATTTCATACAGCGATTGGATTTTTTCCACAGAAAGAGAGAGAGAGAGTTGTCCGCGAAATCAGTGGTCAAATCACCGCAAAAATCTAGTCTTTTACTATCACATACACACACTGTCGACAATCACTATTACTTAAGACCTACTTAAGAGGGAAACAATGCATCGACAACTGGTTTGTCATTTAATTGATTATTATTTTATTATTTAAATACAGAATTTATATCAAAAATTCTTATCTAATTTTATGATTCTTCATCTGAAGAGACCATTGCTATCAAACATATTTCGTTGCAATACAAACAACTCTGTCCGCTATGAATCCACTGAACGAGTGGTCACATTAATACCGGGCGATGGTATCGGACCGGAAATATCGGTAGCCGTTCAGCAGATATTCTCGGCGGCAAAGGTTTGGGACACAAGAACTTATTGATTCAATTTTTTCTCAAATGAAAATAGTTATCAATTAATTAATTTGCTGTAATTAGGTACCGATTATCTGGGAAAAAGTAGATGTATCGCCAGTCAAGTATCCCGACGGCAAGTTTGGTATACCTCAAAAGGCCATCGACTCGTTTCTCAAGAATCGTATCGGTCTTAAGGGACCATTGGCTACACCGATAGGCAAAGGTCATCGATCGTTGAATCTTGAGATCAGAAAGTATGCAATTAATTGAATTGAATTTTAAAAATGTGATTATTGTTATTCAATAATAATAATAATTTTTCGTTTATTAAGAGTTTTCTCGCTGTACGCCAATGTTCGGCCATGTCGTTCAATTGAAGGACACGAAACACTCTATGATAACGTCGATGTGGTCACCATTCGGGAGAATACCGAAGGAGAGTACAGCGGTATTGAACACGAGGTAAAACTTTATTTATAATTATTAATAATTATTATTTTGTCGATATTACCGGTAATAATGAGACAAAATTCTTTTTGTGTATCTATAGATAACTCCCGGTGTTGTCCAGAGTATCAAATTGATTACCGAAAAAGCCAGTCGAAGAGTGGCTGAATATGCATTTGAATACGCGAAGTCAAACGGCCGCAAAACTGTCACTTCCGTACATAAAGCAAACATCATGTAAGAGACAGTAGTAGTAGACAATGATTTAGTTAAATATATTTACGGTACCCCAAAAAATACTATATTTATTACCGATATTTAGGCGTATGTCCGACGGATTGTTTCTCAGCTGTTGCCGACAAGTAGCCGAACAACATCCAGATATTAAGTACAAAGAGATGTATTTGGACACAGTTTGTCTTAATGTATGTCTTTTTTTTGACAATTTATTTAATTGATTGGTTAAAACAATTTTTGTTTATGTAATGATGATAACCAGATGGTCCAGGATCCATCCAGATTTGATGTACTAGTAATGCCCAACCTTTACGGCGATATCTTAAGTGACTTATGCGCCGGACTTATCGGCGGCTTAGGTGTGACGCCCAGCGGTAACATTGGAAAAGAGGGCGCCGTCTTTGAATCGGTAAGCTATTCAATAGCTGATCTAATTAAAAAAAAAAATATGTGATCCAATTATTGTTGATCCCGATTAGGTACACGGAACAGCACCCGATATTGCCGGCCAAGACAAGGCCAATCCGACTGCATTGCTATTATCAGCGATAATGATGTTAAGGTATTTGAATCTCAATCCATACGCCGACAGCATTGAAAATGCCTGCTATAGTGTCATCAAAGCGAAGAAAGTATTAACCGGTGATTTGGGCGGAACAGCCACTTGTAGTCAATTTACTCAAGAAATTATCTCAAAACTTGCATAAAAATTACAATTTTTAATGTTTTAGAATTATTTATTCAAATGTGAAATTCAATAATAATAATAATTAGGACATATTATGACATCAAATTAAGTGCACAATTAAAATTGCAAATTAATCATAAATAAATATATATATACTAGAAAATCTACCGGGAATTTCAGCTAAATTATACATAAAATAAAAACTTAGTCTTATTTGTTTTTCTTTGTTTGAATTGGATTTTAAATTATATTAAGTTTTTAAATTAAAGATTGTTTTGAGTTTAAATGACAAATAATTATTGATAATAATAATAATAATAATTTATTACTAATCTAATAATTACGATAAACAGATAGTAGTAGTAGTGAAGTGTGTAAATGAGTAAATAAATTGTGATTTTTAATTTTATACAGTTATTTACAATTGCTATTAATAACAAAACAGTTCGTAATTTTTCCATTACATGATAACGTCGTCAGGTTTTCTGCGGAAACGATCGCATATACTGTTGGCTTCCCGAAGATAGCCCTCCCGTTCCGCCGGACACGAGAAGCAATGCGATGGCAAATACTTGGCGCTCAGTGTCAGTGCACCGGCAAAGTCGTGCTGATCGCTAAGCGATGGTATATTGTTTTCTTCGTTTGTATTGCAGATGATCTTTGGCTGAACATTCAGACGTCGTTTACGTAGTGTTCGCTCGAAGAGCAGTTGACTTTCCAGCGGATTCGAGCCACAAATGAGTCGATAGGAGCCCTCATAGAAGTATAGTTTGGATTTTGCGCTGGGAATCGATTCGACTAAATAGCGTAATGTCGACAAATCTTTGCGAAAGCCCTTAATGTGTCGCAAATTGTTGCCATCGTTCTGGTTGTTGACATTGATTTCCCATAATTTAACTCTTGTCCACAAAATCCAATCACAACAAAGCAATTCAAACGCTTCGAACACTTGTTGATGACATTCATCTTGAATCGGACCGATTCGGGCGTTTTGATCGGTCTCTATCGAGCGCCACAATTCATAACTGGATCTGTCCAACAAATTTCGGATCAATTTTGTGTCTTTCGGTTTTTTATTGGTTATATATTTTCTTAATTTCGATATCAATAGCAGCGAAATAACCAGCGAATTGTTTTTCATTTGTTCGGGTACTTCAAGATGTGTTTGTTTGACTGCTTCGTCATCGTTGGTCAGCCAACTGAACGCCAATTTGATAACTTGACTCCAAAAATATGAAACTTCGTCGCCATATTGTTTGGAATTTCCAATCAATTCTTGAATAACATCTTTAATTGTAATCGTTTCGGTCTTCTTCGGGCTATCATTCAAATGGTAGGGATCTTTGTTGGAACCATTTCGCGGATTCATTAGCGTAAGAATACATTTCTTAATCAGATATCTTCTAAATTTTACCGATAATAATAAAATTGAATCTTTGGAAATAAACTCAGTTTTCGTAAACATTGAATTCTTGTCCACCGAATAGTCCCATTTGATGTGTGATTTGTTGAAAAATCGTTTACCAATTGGTTTCAATAGAAAGGTATCGAACGAGTCGTTTCGAGTTTTAGCCGATTTATGTAAGAAATATCTGGCCATCAAATTGGACTGACTCTTGAAGCGAAGTGCTGTCATTAGATAGCAAATGGATTGATAGCCAAACTTCGGTGCGATCAGAAACGACTCGTTCAGTGCAGTCAATGAGTGAATGTAACCGATCAGCGATGGTTTGCCTTCGTTTTCGATTAAGTCCAACGAATTGAGTTTACAGTGAATAAAACAAATCGATTTCGATAGTGTCTGCTGATTGTCTTCGTCTTTATTGGACAACCAGATTCCTACATAAGTCATGTTCAGCCAATACCTGACCAATTGCCACAAAAGGGCCACTATTTTAGTCATCAATGTCTTTGGTGGCAAATGACTACCAGTGATCTCGAAGAGCGCCAATTGATAGTTGTTTTTCGCAGATTTTACTTTTCCAGATTTCATGTCAGCGTTTGCCTGAATCAAGTAGTGGCCATACTTTTGATGATTTTTGCCGCCACCGTTGTTGTTGCTGTTGTTAACAGTTCCGTAACTATTGTTTTTTAATGCTTTCTTGAGAAACAAAAAACAAATATATGCATTGAATATCCATATCAACGCTGTCGACAAACTACTGCCGAACCAGTACTTCCACGATGTATTATCTTCGGAGCCGAAAAAATTCAGAATAGATCTTCCGTGACCTTCGGGACCGGATTCGTAGTTGAAAACTGCATCGGATGTAGACATGAGAAGCGATATTGGATTGAATGTCAGAACAGCCAAAACAACTATACAGAGGACCATTCGTGAGCCATCGCTGGCATAGAATAGTGACGAACTAGACTGAGAGCTCTGATCTGGCGATGACGGCGCTGATGAACAATCAGAGATGGGCGGTGTCATGGCTGGCGAGTTGGGCTTCGATGGCGAATTGGAATCACTGTTAGTGTTACCATTCTTCAGCTTCAACTGAATGTTTTCCTGTTTGAGCTTTGCGTTCGCGTTCTGCAGATAATGAATGTAATCAATGACTTTGCGAAGAACTGCTGATTTGTTCAGTTTAGCGTCATTGCCGACAATCATGTTCTTCAATTCAGTTATCTTATCATTAATCGATGACCGATAGCGCCGTTCGATGGCATTGTGTGCCGACCTCTTTTCGGGAACGGCTCCGTTACCAAAATTATTAATATTATTACTATTAATAATATTAATACCATTTTTGCTATTCTTTGACGACGACTCACTGGTTGTGCTCATTGGTGACTGTGTTTCGCGTTTAACAGTCGACGAAACGGTTCCAAATGTACTGTTGTTTGTAGACAATCGTTGAATCGGTATTTTGTCCACAACTTCTTTCTGTGGCTGCTGTTGTTGTTGTGGTTGCTGTTGAAGAATAAGGGGAGTTGTTGTCAACAAAGTTGCCGTCGGATTAGCGACAGTAACTGTAAGAGAAGTTGGCGCCACTGTTGTCGGTGTCGTTTTGAAAGCTGTGCTAACATTTGTGGTTATAATTGGTTTGTTTGGCTGAAGATTTGTCTGCAAATGTTCGATGAGAATCTGTTGGACTTTCTGTTGCATTAATAACTGTTGTTTCTGTTCCTGTTGTTCGCGAATAATGGTCATCAGATCCGTGAAACTTACGGGAACCGCTGCCGCCGTAGTGGCTGCCGTTGTCGACACATTCAACGGTTGAGTCACTGGATGTGGCTGTACTTTGAGCGCTGTCTGCGCTATTGTTGTTGTTGTTATCGGTTGTTGTATTACTTGTATTGGTTGTGTAAGTTGTTGTTGTTGTTTCTGAACAATCGTTGGCCGAACTAATTGAATCTTTTGGTTGCTCTGAAGCATACTCTTCAATGTCAGACCACTGGTGTTCATCAGTGTATCAAATGTTTGTATCGGAGGCTTTGTATCCATAGGCTGTTGCGGTGCAATTGTCGTATTGACCACCGATGCCAGCGAATCGGGTGACGAAGATTTCGGTGAAATATCGTTGAATGAAATGTCATTCAAAATGTCGTACGAATTGTCAAACAAATAGCCGTCGGAAATGTTCAGTTTGGATGAGTTGACCAACGAGTCATTCAATTGCATACCGTTAGTGTTTAGGACATCCATAGTGTCCGTCCAGAGATCTGTGCAACCAATCGACGATAGCATGTCTTCGAAATCTTCATCAGTGGTCACACAGTCGGTCAACAACGGTGTCGAGTCGATGGCCGTCGTGTCCATCGGCGGCGACAACACATGAGACGCTTCCAGCGACGACTGCAGTGACTCTAAATTCATGTCTATTATAGACGCGCGTCCAGTGGTGGCCAACAAAATCGGTGACCAATTAATAGATTAAATAATAATAAGTTTTTTTTGTGATTTTAATCAATGATTACAATGAATGGCAAAACATAACAAATAATAAGTGATTACAAACATTGCGTTTAGTTTTATATAAGACTCGTATTTATTGTGTGTTTAATACACTGTTTAATCATTGCGTAAACAATCATACGATACGATTGTAGGCGTGAATCATATATGAGGAGATTTTGTATAACTCGTTCTCATTGGCCAATTATGAGCGCCACTCGCACGCCATTGGCTACAATAACATATACCGTGATGTGTCATACTATTGCATGTACTCTTAAACACTTACTGCATGTTAGCAATACATAGATATACTGTATATATAAATTGTATTATTCGTTTTTGAACTAACTGTTAGCTCCTCCCACTTGTAGGCTATGATAGTTGTAACGTGCGATCAATGCCTGTAAAGGTTGACTAATCAAAATTATACACATAAAACGTTACATATTTTTTTTGATTATTATTATTCCCTTTGAAGTTAACATATGTTTTACATTTATTAGCTATTATTTACACCTATTTATTAGTACTATTCAATGGTTTGTTTTCCCCTGTTTTAGTGTCACAGTATATAAAATTGAATTAAAAATTGTTTGTCGTTGTCATTGACAACCATTTAATGTGATTTGTTGTCACTTTTTTTAAGCCATTCATTGATTGACACATTTGTGTTGTTATTATTGTCGGTATTATTATTGTTGTTGTTGTTGATGACCACCATCTAAGACAATGACCAGTTCATCGTCTTCAGCACCGGACGTGTTGTTTGAGTTGCGAAATGCTTTTTATTTGGGAAACTATCAACAGTGTATCAATGAAGCACAAAGAGTTAAGGTATCAGTTTCGGTGACTTTTTGTTTGTTTGTTAGTTATCTAATGTCTTCTTCATCAGCGGTTTAATATTTAAATGTCTTATTTGTCGTCTGATTCTCTCATTGTTTTAGGTAACGTCTGATAACAAGTTGGACAAAGATATCTTTATGTACAGAGCATATGTGGCACAGAAAAAGTATGGTCTGGTCTGCGATGAGATCAACTCATCGATGGCAACACAATTACAAGATGTTAAATATTTGGCCACTTATTTGATGGCCGACGATAACAAAAAGTAATTTTTATTGATTTTTACAGTATATATATATAATTATAATTATAGTTTAAATTTTTATCAAAAAATGTGTGATTAGTGTTTGATTTTTGTGGTATTTTTAAAAATAATTTGTTTACTTTTTTTAGATCAAATATAGCGCAAGACTTGGAGTCGAAGATCCAGACATTGGACGCCACCGATTGGGTCCAGTGTTTAATGTTTGCCACAATCTATTATCACGAAAACAATTTGGAGACTGCATTGCGTGTATTGCATTCAAGCGATAATCTTGAGTGGTATTGAATTTTTTGATGATAATTGTTATGTTGTATATATTTTTTAATAATAAATATTGTTATTATTATTATTATATCGGATCAGTTCGGCAATGGTATTGCAAATCTATCTAAAGTTAGATCGATTAGATTTGGCCCGAAAAGAGTTGAAACGAATCCAAGAGACGGATGACGATTCAACATTGTGTCAGTTGAGTCAGGCGTCGGCCAATTTGGCTCAGGGAGGCGACAAACTACAGGATGCCTACTATATCTATCAAGAATTGGCCGATAAGTACGGTCCGTCGCCGTTGCTTCTCAATGGTCAGGCCGTCGCACTGATCGGTCAGGAAAAGTATACCGAAGCCGAAACACTAATACAGGAGGCTATCGATAAGGACAGCAACAATTCGGAAACATTAATCAATTCAATTGTATTGTCACAGTATTTAGGAAAACCACCCGAAGTGACCAATCGCTATATGAATCAATTGAAAGACTCCAATAGTAGTCATCCCTTTATTCAGGACTATTTGGCTAAAGAACGAGAGCTACAGAATCTGATAAAGAGTTATCAAATTTAAATATTAAGTTAACATCACTTCCAGTGCATTAAATAGGAATAATAGAAAATCGTTTATTTAATCATATAATTAAAAAAAAAGTTTTTATAATTTATTGTCTAATTTTTTCAAATAAATTTTTTTTGACAAAAAAAAATCTAATTTCAATTATTATCTATTTATAGTTATCACTTATTATTTTTGACAAAAATTATTTGTATAATAATTATGCACTTAATAATAAATTATATATACAGTATATATTTTAACACTTTACTATTGTATTTTCAAAATGTGCATTGAATTCATAATTTTTTTGATAATAAGGTAATTAACTGGGTATCGTTGATTCAAATAAATTATGTGATAAATTATAGCCTTATTTTAATGATTTGTGATAATTACAGTAATTGTCGTTTTTGTTGTTGTTGTTGTTTTTGTCGTTTATTTTATATAATAATTATTATTACGATAATATAATAGATTAATATATATATAGTATATAATTATTTTTATATATAAATTACCTTACTCATAATCTAGATTTTGTGTGGGCCCACATAATTTCCCACATTTATATTAATGATATAATGATGATTATGATGTGTGTGTGTGTTTGCGATTACCACTTGATTATACTTAGTTTATTTTATTTATTTTTTATTATTATTATCTATAATATAGATTCTGTATAAGTATATTATTATTATTTCATATAATATTTTTTTTAAATAATTGCTTTTAGGAATCGATATCTTATACAGTATTTAATTAATAATTTTATGTTTTGAGGCATTTTATACTTATTGGTAAATAATATTTTTAATTAACAGCATATTAATTGATTCGGAATAAATTATATCCTATTGTATAGTAATTATTGTTTATTTAATGATTGATTGTTTTTGTCGGATATTTTTATCGTGTTATATAATTTCATTATAATGTGATAAATCATTTAACTTCATAAATCACTCGTTAAATATAATAATATTAATAAAATTCAATTGATTTATGTAGGCGTACAGTATATTACCATAAAAATAGTTAGTTACGCAATATTATAAATGTTTAGGTTTAGTGTACTTTTAAAAAAAACTGTCTATTACATTTTTACATTAAGTTAATTATAAAATATTTTTATGCAAAAAAATTATCTAGATTAAAAAATATTTTTATATAATTTAAATATATTACGAAATTTTATATATTTAAAAATATATTTAATCTAAAAAATAAGTTTGACTTTTAGTAGAAAATTTATGTAATTTATATACTATGTATATATATATAATTAAAGTAATTTATTGAAATTAACTTTAATTAAATATTCAAAATAAATGTTTAGTTTAAAAAAACCACACAAACGAAAATGTAATAAATCTTTTTAAAATTTTGTTGTTTCAATAGATTTTAGACATTTATCTCATAATAATAATAATAATAATTAATATTATTATTAACACTTTAACTATAAATTTGGCATTGAATTTGATGTTTATTTTCTTTTTTATATATTATTTATTATTGAGTATAATATAGTTAATGATCTGTAAATATAGTATTTTTTGACGACAAAGCATTCGGTGATTTAATATTGTTGTTCACAATCACTACTATTAATATAATGATTGCTATTAAGTTACAGAAAGTAATATTATATACAGAATATATTTATACTGTATATTCTGTATATATATTATTATAAGTATATATTAAATAAACAAATTTAATTTTATAAATTACACTTTGATTTTATACTTAAACATTGTATAATTGAAAATCCATTGTACAATATTAGTTAGTGACCTTTAATATATATTTATTCATTTATTTAGTTATAATAAATCAATTTAATTATATTTTTTTCTCTAAAAATTTTTTTTATAATAAACTATTCAAATATCAACTGAAATATTGAATTATTTCGTGATTTCTAAAAATTTATTATTTGAAAGAATCACAGAATCCTTACATTTAAAAAAAATTAATATAATATAGTATTTCAACTCAATATATATATAAAATTTAATAATACAGATATATAATTCATGTGAATTTTCAAATATTAAATAAATAAATTTAATACTCTTTTATATTTACTTTATTTATTGAATATATATTGATATATGAATTTATATATGAAGTTTTGTATATTTATATATATTTTTATTTTTATTTTATATCCTAATATTATAAATTATTATGAGATACCTAATATTATAGTCTATAAATTATTGGAATATTAAATTAGATATTTAATTAAATTTGTTTGAAATAATACTATTATAAATATATTCCAATATATTGAATATATAAATTTATATATAATATAATAATGATAATAATAGTAATACTAAGCTTATCATATTAGAGGATGATATTACAGATTGTCTTAGAAACTAAATGACGCCTTTAATGTATATGTAATGAATGTTTAGTCATTGAATAAAATAAAATAAAATGAAAGAGAGAGAGAGAGAGAGAGAGAGAGAGAGAGAGAGAGAGAGAGAGCAATAAATAGACATACGATTCATGATATTTATCGACCAATTTTTTTTGCATCCACTCAATGAGTTTATACTGTAAATACTTTATACGATAATCAGTATAACAGCAATCACATTGTATATCCTATACTACTATACTGTATACTAAACAGTGTATAGTATAGTATACAATAAATGACACAAAGCTATAGACATTGAATTCATACACAAAAAGCACAGAATATTCTCTCTCTTTCTGTGAACGGATGGTTGTAATGCCTTTTTGTGTGCGTAAAGTCTGTAATACTGTATGTGTATACTATACACAGTAAGACATCGATAATACTACCAGTGCTATACCAGTATATAGACAGACAAACATACATTACTAGTGCTCTGAGCCATTGAGGCCATGTTGTAAAGTGCTCTTTGAGGAGAGTTTACGCTAGAGTTTTAAGTTTTTCATCACTAAAATAAAACAAACAGATTGTGTCTTCAAAAATTTTTATCATCAGTTTATCAAAAAAAAAAATTCATTTATTTTTTTCAGTGACACCCATATAATCGTCTGATGTTTTTTCTTGTTGTTGTTGTATATAAATAATAATATTTTTAAAAAAAAATATGATATGAAGAGATTTGATCCCAAGATAAGACCACCACATTATGGGCCCGAAGTTGTTGTCGGGTCATCATTACATAGTGTCGATAATAATAGTAATAAAAATAATAATATAAACCAGACTAACAATCGTAAGTCATATATATATATATATCTATTTATTAATATTATTTTTGAAAACATCTATTTATTAAATAAATGGATTTCCTATTTATATATTATAACTATCACTTATAATATATTCTGTATTATAACATATTGTTTGTATCTTTTATATTGAATTCCGCAGTCATTAATCAAAAAAAAAAAAACAAAACAAAATTTGTTTGTTTTATTTACTGATGACTATAATTTTTCGCAATTTTTAATATATTTAATTTAATTTTAATAAAACTACTCATTATCATAACACTTATGCTTTCCATTAGTAGATTTGTTGTTATTGTAATAAAAATAATAATAATAAGTATAATTAGAATTTTTATTATAATAGTTGATATTAGCATTGATAACAACAAACAACATGAATAATACAGTATAAGCTATTATATTATTTAATAATAATAATAATAGCAAATTAAATATATAGAGTATTATATGAATATTCCTAATATTAATTATTTAAAATATCGTTAAATATTATTATCGGCTTTAGGTTTTTGAATATATCAAATAGAGAAAAAACATATTAATATTTAAGCAATTAGTAGTATAATAATTATAATCACATATCGTATTATAGAGTTATTAAAGAAGAGATTTCATTGTAATTTCAAAGATTATTATTTTTTATTATTATAAATAATTTATAATTTTTTTGAATTTTATATATATATATATATAATTAAATCTAATGAATATTCTGCGATAAACATATACACACAGAGTCTGCGGCCACGGCTGTCGTCGCCGTATGTTTGGGCAGCGCTTTCTTCATATTGGTCGTAGCGGCCACTACGTGCTATTTTTACCGTCGGCGAAAAAGTGACCAATTTGGCCACAAGACACTGTTGATCAAACGTAATATACCAGTTGACCAGTCGCTGTCGTTTAAGAAATCATCGGCCGTCAAGAGTCCCGGCTCTGGCGGCGGTCTACTCAAGAAGAGTCCGAGTCCTACGGGCAATAAGAGTCCTCCCGGTATGTCTTGTATTTATTGATATATATATTTTAAAACAATTATTGCTCATTAGTATTAACTTTCTAATACTTTAATTATTATTTATTTTATTTTTTTTTGAATGACAAACAATATAAATAGGATGTAATAGTAAATCACTAGCAGATAGACATTCCTCGTCACCCAATAATACCAGTCCTATAATTGATGGCATCAAAGAAGTAGTCATTCCTATTGAAAATCATGTACTCAGCGATAATGTGAGTGAAAATTATTTAATTATTCATAATATTTATTCAATTTAGTAGTAAATTATTTATACATATACTTTATATAAACCAATTTAAATTATAGATCGTATATATATATATTTGAGTTTAAATAAAATATACTGAATGTGTTGCATTTAAAATTAAATAGAAAAATATTTTTGTTATTGCTCAATATAATTTATTTATGTTTTATTTTTTTATTGTTATGTAAACCAATTTTCAAATTGAAAATTTTGATTAAATAATTATATGCAGAATAAAAATCAATTTATATAATGCATAAAAGATTTGTTATAAACTAGATTGACATTTAGCTTATTAAAAAATAATAATAATATCAATACATATATATACTAATAATATGTAATTAATACTGTAGTTGTAATACTATATTATTTTTTATTATAACAATCGTATTAATAATTTACTATAATTTATAACTTTAGTTATGTTCAACTGTACTATAAATACAAGTTTTTTTTTATTAATAAATAATTAATTTTTACAGTAAACTAGCGTGACTTTTTCAAATTCAAGTTAAAATATTGTCTATTATTTTAAATTAAAAAAAATGTTGTACACCAGTTTTAATTAGGCATTAAATCATTAACAAAATAATTAATTAATTATATAATAATCTATATTTGTATCAAATTTTGAAACACGTTTATTAAATTTTTTATTAAATCATTTTATATGAGATTTTATTAAAACTTATTGATTAAATCCTTTACTTTTTTTTGATCAACAATATATCTATAAATTGTGTTGACTTTTTTTTAAAAAGATAAAATGTTGCCTAAAGTCATAAATAATACATTAAATTTTTTAATGCAATAACTGTGTTATCACTGGACGCAAACCATAAAAAATTTATTAATAGCTTTTTTCAAATGTTTGAAAGTATAATATACGGTAAATATAACAATATGTATAGTATGATATGAAACTGACATTGGAAAATTTTCTAATCGCTAAATTGTCTAGTACAGTTTTTGACATTTAAAAAAATACATAATTATTTTAGTTTAACGTTCAACTAATTTTTCAAAACAAATATTTTAACAATTTTTTGTTTTTTTTAATTATTTTTGTTTTAAGTAAAATGTTAAATATAATACAAAATTTATTTTGTTTAGTATTACAAAATAGTTGCTAAATAGTAGCAAATTGTATCATAAATTGCTTTTAGCAAATGTTAATGTACCGCAAATATTATATATTATAAATTATAAAATAAAATAAATTACAGTACAGTACACTATCTCACTATTTAGTTTCTACAAAAATAAATTATTTAGTTAATTAATTTAAATAATTAAACTACTGTACACTGTACCCAGTACTATTTATTTAAATGGATATTTTCCTAGTAGACTACTGACTAATTATCATATTTAATTATTGTTTATATATATATACAGTATAGTACATTGTCTGTATTACACATGTTATATACAACAATTAAATTAAAGTTAATTGAAATTTTTTTGTTTGTCTCTCACGAAAATAATTTCATTATATATATTATATATCTATATATACTGTATATATACTTATATTATAGTTTGAAAATGAAGACAAAGAGAATGTATATAAAGACAAAAACGAGACATATTTGGGTAAATTATACTTCAAATTGAAATATAATTACGAAAAGCGAGCCCTTTGTGTAACAATAATCAAGTGCTCGGATTTGCCGCCGAAAGACCCGAACTTCGGAAGTTCTGATCCATATATTAAGCTCCAGTTGTTACCAGAAAAACAGCATAAAGTATGTGAAAACATAATATATATATAATAATAATAAATAATAATATCTCACACAAGAAATGAGTTCATAAATAATTTTATTTATTTTTATTTATTATTTTCATTTCCGACAACGTCTTCGCCCAAAAATATTTGTTTTTTAAAAGGTTAAGACACGAGTATTGCGTAAAACCCAAAATCCCGTTTACGACGAAGACTTTACTTTCTATGGCATTAATCCAAACCATTTGCAGACAACTGTTCTCCACTTTATTGTCCTCAGCTTTGATAGATATTCAAGAGATGAAGTCATCGGCGAAGTCTTCTGTCATCTGAATTCCGTTGAATTTGATTCGCTTGAAAAACAAATCCATTTAACAAAAGAGATATCTCCACGAAGTCATAAAGTATTATTAAAAAATATATAACATTTTTTTTGTTGATTTATTTATTAAAATAAAAGTTTATTAATTTTTTGTTTGTTTCTTTAATCTTTAAAAAAATATTTATTTATTTTTTTAAATTTCAGATGAGATTACAGGGAAGGGGAGAGCTGTTAGTATCCCTGTGCTATCAACCGGCGGCCAATCGACTAACTGTAGTCATACTGAAAGCCAGAAATTTGCCAAAAATGGATTTGACAGGACTTTGCGGTAAGAGATTAATATAATATACTATTACTAGAAATAATAATAATATTATTAACTAAACTGTTATGTAATATACAGTAAAGCTATTAATATATTAGCGGTACAAAAACCCACACACAAAATATATAATTATTTTACTCATTAAATTGTAAATGAAATTTTATGTAACTTAAGTGCTATCACTATAACATATCAATATAATTAAATCAATATAATATAATTATTATTATTATTATTATTATATACTATAAAATGGGATTTTATTGATTGAATGAAAAAAAACAGATCCATACGTTAAGATATATCTATTGCATAACAATCAGCGTATTATTAAAAAGCGAACTCACGTTAAGAAGAGGACCACTTCGCCGGTCTTTAACGAAAGTTTTGTGTTTGACATACCCTATAACGAGGGTTTGGATAACGTTAGCATCGAGTTTATGGTACTGGACTACGACCGGCTGACCAAAAATGAAGTCATCGGCAAACTAGAGTTAGGACCGAAAACCGGTTCACCGACACAACAGAAGCACTGGCAGGACGTGATAGCATCGCCCCGAAGACAGATTGCCGAATGGCATAAACTTAAAGAGTGACTTTATTTTCAATTAAAATATTTATTGATATTTTTTAATTATTATTATTAATTAATTAGTTATTATTAATATTATAATTGCTGTTTGGATTTTTTGTAGTTTGTGTTTTCGACAGACGTTTTTTTTAAAGATTTATCCCACAAAAAAAAATTATGATATAATTTTTTAAAGTAAATTTTCTCATCATTTTTCATTTTTTTACTAAATTGTATTTTGTCTGTCATTTATAATTTTGTTTAAAAAAAATTTAATTTACCATTTGTTAAGTAAATTATACGGAACAACAAATATGCGATTTTATATAAGCTTAAGCTTTTAGGTTGGCTTTCATTTTCAATTATAAATATTATTATTATTATTCAATGACAAAACAAAAACTATAATAACTTTTTAAATACTACAGTATTTCTCTCATGAATTCATAGCTTATTTTCACAATTGGTTTTTTTAATACTTATATACCTTAACTTCAATATAAGATTATTATTATCATCATTATAATACTACAGTATAAAAATAATATATATAATAAACAATTTGTTTGTTGTATTCAACAAAAAAATATATATATATTCCCAAAACTATTACCTGAAATCCCTCGCAATTTTACAAACACATTGCTCTCAAAAAAAAACAAAAATATTAGATTATATTATATAATAGCAAACAAACATAAAATCATTATATAATAATAATAATATAATGTGTTTTATGTGTTATTCATTGAAGACATTTAAAAAATTAATGTAATGTAGATTTTTGTTTTCCAAACAAAAAAAAGTAATCGACAGATAAAACCAAATAAATAAATAATTATAAATAGTTTTTAACACTGAAAATAAATAAATTAATAATATTGATAATAATATATATATATATATAAGTGTGTGTTTACCGTAAAAGTTTAAGCAGAAAAATAAAATTGTAAAGCCATTGTCTCCTATAATATAATTAGGAGTAAAATACATGAATGACTTATTGATTAGTGATTATTATTATTAATAGGTATCTAAAAATTAATAGCTATATATTGTGTGTTGTTTAGTACAAGAATTATTGATGAAATTGTTTGACATTTATAGTGCAAACAAAAAACCAAAAAAAATTTAGTTTTATTATTGTTTAATGTAATTAATAATCCCAATAATTCTTGTCTTAAACATCACATCATAAATTATAAGTCAAAATTCATTGATTCATAGGAATGTGCGCTCAGGTATGTCATTGAATTATATTCAAAATTATAGATATTAATCACAAAAAAATATAAAACACAATATACTGTATGATTTAAAAAATGCTGCTTTTAAAAATTAATCATCATCAATAATAATAATAATAATAAGGCCAAATAATTGTTGTTTAAAAATAAAACTAGCAGGGTTATTTATTTATTAAATATCAAAAATTATAAATTTCTATTCAATATGAAAACATGCCTGAGAATTGCAACAAAACATGTTTTTATTGTTTCAATGTTTAATTTCTAAAACAAATTAATTTTTAATATTAAAAAAAGTGTTTATATATAAGTGTATAACAATACAAAAAAAGTATTAAATAAAGTATTGTATTATTTAGTTTATATATACGGTATATATATACAGTATATATATATACCGTTTATATTTAAACTCAATAATAGTAAAACTATTGATCGATTTTTATGTGTTTTTTCGGGTCAAATAAAAGTTATGTGATTTTATTAACAATATATTGTCATTGAGATACTAATACTATTGAATCTTATATATTAATATATCTATTTAAAAAAAGCCGATAAGATATCAAAATTGTTATTTTCTGTTTGTTTTTTCTATCAATCAGATGTAATGTTTGCACATAAATATTGATACAAAAAATAATAATAAATAAATCTATGATTTATGTCGTCTCTTAAAAAAACATTCACTGTTTGTATACTAAAAAAGAAAGTTATTATTATTATTATTAATTTAATTAATTTAATAAAGACTTTATCAAAATTCTAATAATTAATTTTTTTTTATTTTATTTCATTATCAAATATAATTAATAATCTAAATTATTATAAAAAAAATTAATTTAAAAATAATTAGCCTAATATACTTTATATATATATATAAATTTATATGTATGAAATATATAAATTTTTTTATTATTATTAAATATGTAACACACAATTGTCATCATTTAACGCAACAATCAATAATTGAATGCAATTTCGTAAACATCTTTATAATGATTACAAAAATGAACGGTAAGTCCATTCCTAATGAAATCGGGTAAATCGGAAAAATCTTTTTTGTTTTCTTCGGGCAAACAAATACAGTCGACGCCCACCCGTTTGGCTGCGATTATCTTCTCTTTGATACCGCCAACGGGTAGTATTTTGCCGGTCAGCGATAGTTCGCCAGTCATTGCAAAGTTTTGTCGGACTGGTTTATGTAGTGCCAGCGACATCAGTGCCGTAACCATTGTACAGCCAGCACTGGGACCATCCTTGGGTGTGGCACCTTCGGGAACATGCAGATGCAGACTAGTCGACTGTAGAAAACTATTAGTCGAATCCAATTCCAATAGAAACGATTTGGCAAACGAATAGGCAATTCGGGCGCTCTCTTTCATTACGTCTCCCAAATGACCGGTCAACTGGAGAGCACCGTCCGGTTCGATGTCGACATCAGATTTTTTCGGTGTCATTCGTTTCAATTTTGCCGTTTCAATGAACAGTGTCGATCCGCCCATTGCAGTCCACGCCAAACCCATGACAACGCCGGGCGGTGTTTCCGAATAGAGTCTATCCTGTGTGAAGATAGGCTTTCCAACAAAATCCTGAAGATTACTGACGTCGACAATGACATTATCGGCTACTTTATCGACAATTTGAAGGGCACACTTCCTCATTATCTATTTAGATATATATATATATATATAAATTAATTACCGGTAATACCAAAAACATAATTATAAATACATTACATAACTATAATAAATAAAATGCTAACCTTTTCGATGTGTTTCTGGAGATTTCTGACACCACTTTCCCGACAATAAGATTTGATTACTGTTTGCAATGCATTGGCAGTTATAGAAATCCTTTCATTGTTGAGACCAGTGATGTTGTGGGCTTGAGGTATGAGATATTTCTGTAAAGTATAAGTTAATTATAACTATTTATAAAATCAAAGCGTGTATTAAATCGAAAAATACTTCAGCAATGGATATCTTTTCTTCGGCCACATAACCGGACACTTCAATCATTTCCATACGATCTTTCAGCGGTTCGGGTATCGTATCAGTTGTATTGGCCGTACAAATAAACAATATCTTCGACAAGTCAACGTTGACATCCAGATAATGGTCTAAAAAGTTGGCATTTTGTTCGGGATCTAGTAGTTCGAGTAAAGCGGCCGCCGGGTCGCCCTGATAGCCGCGTCCTATTTTGTCCACTTCGTCGATCAATACCAACGGATTTTCGCTTTTTGTTTTCTTCAAGCACTGTATGATTTTGCCGGGCATTGCGCCAACATATGTACGTCTATGACCTTTAATCTCTGCTACATCTGTCATACCTCCAACACTGAACCTAAAATACTATCGATTAATATTTATAAAAAAACACAAAAATTCATTATTAAAAAATCAATGTTTAAATATTTAATAATTTTTAATCAAAACTAATATTACAGTCAAATAAAACAAACCTCTCTATTGATTGCCTTTGCTATTGATTTTGCAATACTAGTCTTACCGACTCCGGGCGGTCCATAAAAACACAGTATCTTTCCCTGAGTGGTGCCCTTCAATTGACTAACAGCTATGAACTCGAGTATCCGTTTCTTGACGTCTTCCATACCGTAATGATCTTCGTCGAGCACATGTCTGGCTTTTGCAATATCCAAGTTTTCAATAGTCGACAGACCCCACGGCAACGATGTCAGCCAATCCAAGTAATTACGGGTAACACTGAACTCAGACGAATGGTTGTCCAAAAATGACAATTTATTCAATTCTTCGTTAATCACTTCCATAACATGTTCGGGAACTGTTAGTTCTTTGATTTTTTGTTTAAACTTTTCTTCGATGGCATCCTTGTCGTCCTTTTCGATTCCCAATTCTTTTTTAATAGCTTTGAGCTGTTCGTGAAGCATATACTTTCGGTGCTGTTGTTTGACTTTTTCTTCGACATCTCTGCCAATCTTGTGCTGCAATTTACTCAATTCGTATTCTTTTTTCAATAAATTCAACGATAAATACAATCGTTTGGAAACATCTGTTTCATTGAGAACTTCTTGTAATTCTTGAGGTTCGGCGGCCGTCAGTGAAGCGCCCAAATCGGACAAAAAACTTGGATTATCAATGACTCGCTGACCAGTTTGAATCATCTGAAGTATTGATTCGCGATAGAGTGGATTCAATGTAATAATATCTCTAATTGTTTTGACAATTTCTTGGGTCAGTGCTTTGACCTCTTCGTTTACAATCAATGGATCGTCTTTTAAGTTTTCCACTTCAACCATAATAATCGGATCTCCTTTGACAATAATATCGCCATTAGTTGTCACCTCTTTCTCCACTTCTTTGTTATTATCGTTGACAACAACAACCCGGCGTTTGCGTAGCGATTTGCGAACAGATTTCGTTGACGTCGGAGGCGACGGTTCCGTCGGTGGTTTCTCCACTTCTTGTAATATCTGTTTAACAATTTTAATCCTCCGGTGAGACATCATTATAATTCTTAACTTTGTGCCCAAGTCTTGCATTTCGTGAATTTGTGCAAACGAACCAACAGGATATAAGTCGTCCAATTTGTCGACCACTTCCTGATCTTTGGTCGAGTCTTTGGTCATAAAAATGCCGACAAACGGATGATTCAGTTTAACAATACGTCGGATACTTTCCATGAGATAGGGATTTGTTATTTCAATGATTTTGATGAAACGCGGAAACACGGGATTCCTGTTAATGGCAATAACAGGTACTTCGGGCCACTCTTCGGGTACTGTAATGGCGGCCAACGATGACGATCGTTCGTTGTTTTCAATGAGTCGATCCAATTCTTGATTCATCTCCTCCTCGACCGATGTCTGAGCGTCCGGTTTGTCGTCGGGCGAGCTATTATTGTCCGATGATTTGTGTCGTACTTGTGTTACGGTAATTGTCGGCGCATTGCCACCTAAAACAGTACGATTAGTGTGTCCTAAATGATGACCTCTCGGTCGGTGATAACATAATGAAGACAATGTGCGGACATTTAATGAATGTCTTGAACCGATGTATGAGTTGCGGTACAACAATGTCGACGATTCGTGTCTTAATTTGGACATCAATCGACTCATGTGTAGCACTCGTGAGGCCATATTTTATGCCGGCTTTGTTGTCCACTAGTAGTCAAATAATCGGTGATAACAATAATGTAAACAACTGTGAACTTCTTCACTCATGTAATGATTGGTAAACACATGTGTTGTTGATATAAAACTTTATGTTTTGTTGCAATCAATGCAATAATAGTATTGTATTTCAATTGCATATATTTAGTGCAAACACATTGTTGATGCCATTGGTGTGTACTTTACATTGACTTTACATAGACTTTACATTGAAAGTGAGAAAATCATTGCTTATATAATTTGGTTTATACTGTATTTTAAAATATACTGTGATTTCAAGTATTTTTAATAAAAAGTTTTTATTAATAAAAAACTATTGCTTTAATTAAATTACTAAATTAATTATTTAAAAAAATGTATTATTAATTTAGTTTAATTTAGATTAGTTTAGGTTGACTTTAAGGTTAGGTTATAAAAACTTAGTTAATGAAAAAAAAACAAAATTTAAATGAGCATGCTAAAATATAAAAATAATAATTAATTAATTGTTTGTGTGGATCATATAATATTAATTGTAATGATTATAAACATTTTATATTAATAATATTTAATGTTTTTTTAATAAAAAAAAGTTATTAATTCATTGATAATTCATAAAAGTTTTTACTAACATTACAAACATTATTGTTTGTTATTATATGCACTCGATTTAAGTGATCGATAAAAAAAGCCTTAACTATAATACCAAACATTATGTCAATTAAGCCCTTATTATTGAAAATTATTTTTTTTTAAATTTTTTATTTACATTTTGAGTGCAATATTTGTCAACAATATATATAAACAACAAATTGTGTCATCGATTTCAGTGACAATTATAATCACAATTTATTTATTGATAAACAAAGATATGTTTTGTTAGATCTGATCTGACAAGTGGTCAACCGATTGGTGGTGTCAACTGACAATTACCGGCGATGTCGTCACCGTCGACGGTGATGAGGATGAAGAAGAAGAATGAAGAAGATATGAGTTTGTCGTCAACGGCGGACTACTTGTGGTACGAATGTCAGCACGAGTTGCTTGAAATGCGCCACAAGATTATCACTCTTGAAGCTCGTCTTCAGACATCGGAACAGCTTAACAAACATCTGACAGTTTGTAACGTATCGTTGGTGGTCATTGTCCAGTTAGCTCGTGTGATGGACATCATCGATACCGACGGCGGCGACAACACACGGCTGTTGGCTTTAATCCAGTCGATCAAAGAAGAGGAGAGCCGTATTGAACACGAAAAAGAAAACTTGCGGTCAGTTATCGACAATTACGAACAACAAGAAGAGTTCGACGACAAGAAAATCTGTAAATTGATCCAAGAGGTGACCCGCAAACAACTTAGCAATATATTGGTTGCCGATAAAGGCGTTCAAACTGTTTTTGGTGATAATAATAATACTAATACTAATTGTGGCCAAAGGTTTCGGTTAATTACCGAAAACTTGGGGTCAATACCGATAACAAAAAATTCAAATATTAACTCATTTAATACATCAATGATCAGTGTTGACAGTGATATCAAATGTGAACTACAGAGTGATCACGAAAGTGATAATTGGATTAGTGATGACATTAATGTTGATGAAGAAGACAGTGGTAATGATGACAATAATAATGAATTTAATGAGACTATTGTTGAAACAATCGGATTATCAGATAAAGAGAAAGTTATTAAACAAAGAGATAAAACATATCATAAAACACATCAAATGATAACCGAATATAACGTCGTTAAACATAATTCATACGACAGAGTCTCACTTGAGGAAGAAAAACGAATCTTCGAATTGATCCAAAAGTATACAAAAGTCGATGATTACTATGAATGCGATGAGACTATCGATTGTACGTTTAGATGTAAAAAAGATATCACTTTTTACAATCACTTACAACAACACAAACTACAAGCAAAACGATTGTACGAAAAGATGGACACGTGTTTGACGGACGATAAATATATCTGTGATGTAGTCTATTGTCAATTCATTAGCGAAGATAAGTACATATTCTACGAACACTATCGGCAACACGTCCTAACAGTTCCGACCAAAGACGACACTTACCGTCCCTATAGGTGCGATGAGTGCGGTTCAACATTCGTTATGGTGGCCACTCTGAAACAACACCAAAAGAAAGTACATCCGGATCAGCTGCTGATGTGTCCGTATGACGGTTGTACTGTTACGGTAAAGTCGGCCTATAATCTCAAACAACATATCAATAATATTCACTTAAAACTGAAACCCTATCCGTGTGATTGGCCCGGTTGTGAGTATTCAGCATTTACGCCATCAAATCTTAAGTCGCATAAACTGAAACACTCGCAACTGAAACACCGTCGGTGCGATTGGCCGGCCTGTGAGTTCACCTGTAAAGCCAATTGGACAATGATTGCCCACAAGCGTACCCATACCAATGAAAAACCGTTTGCTTGCGAGTGGTATGTAAATGATTGTCTCCCACACACACACACACACACACACACACTCACCCACCCATATATGTTTTAACACCAAAATTTTTCCTATTATTATTATTAGGCCGGGTTGTGTGTACCGGTGCTCGGTTAAGAGTACACTCATAACACACAAACGTATACATACGGGTGAAAAGCCGTTCAAATGTCTCGACTGTGATCAACGATTTGCCGCTCAGGCAGGTCTTCAATCTCATCAAAGACAACATTCGAAAATCCGTAGGCCATCCAAACGTGTTGGACGACCATCAAAGATGGTGATACCGACAACCCATTAATGATTGATTAACTATTTTATAATCTACTTAATTATTATATTATACATTATTATAAATATATTGTAATATACTTTATATATCATTATAACATTAAAAAATATTACGGTAATTAAATTATTGTATATAAAATTAATCAATGAATAAAAAGTTTATTGTTTATTTAATAAACACAAAATACATAATAAGTGATTAATGAAAATAATATTAATTAAAACTTTTTATAAATTATTAATAATGATTACTATTTGGTAAAAAATTATTATAAAAAATTTTATTAAAAAAGTCTTTAATCCGTTGGTTATATCATTTGGACAATTTGTTAGAAATGTATAGTAATCTAAATGTATAGATATATATATATATATATATATATATTTATTGATATATATTAAAAAATTATTGATATATTAATATATATATATATATAGTTAAAATTTTATAATTATACTAAACATTAATATTGTTTTAAATTTATTTATTTTTAATTACCATGAATTCCATTTCATTGCCAATAATCATAATAATAATTATGATAAGCTCTTCTACATCAACCAAATAAATGTTTAATATCACATAAATAACACCATTATTATTATCATTAACCATATCTTGATTATTGTTATCAAAGTTAAATACTTTTGCCATTTTAGACCGTTTAAGGCTAAGATTATTTTTTGGGATTATTTTGTAAACTTTATTTTTTTAATAAGATTACTTAATCTAATTGCGATATATATTTAGAAAATTATTATTATTATTATTGTACTATTTTTCATAAGTATTTAATTTATTTAATATAAATAACTAAATAATCAATAAAAAAAACGATATAATAATTTTTAAATATAAATTGAGTTTTACTATTGCTATTTAGTTAACTTATCTAATAATACAAATGTTATGTATTAATATAATCAGAAAATTTTATAACAATATAAATAATAATTTTTTGAAAATTAATTACATATTTCTGTCAATTATTGCTAATTTTAATCGACTTTCGATTAATAGTTAAATATTAATTCACGTATAAGTAGTTCGGTATAAGTTTTAGATAAGTTAAGATACTAGTCCTCACCTACCGTTCCTTTCCTCCTTATACACAAATCTCAACCTAACCATAACCATAACCATAATACCCACCATAACCTAACCTAATATAAAGTAATAAAATAGTATATAATGTAATATAATATAAATATAAAATAATTATAATAACTCTACATAACAAACAAATACATAAAAATAACTATTAACTATAAGATAACTATGTAATCTATTAGCTAAATATATTAATTGTTAAAAAATTGTTAATTTTATCAATAATTGCGAGAATACATACCAATTGATTATTTTTGTTTGTTGTTATTTTTATGAAATTTTTATGATTAGAAACAAAAAATAATTTTTAAAAATTTTTTACTAAAATAATTAACAGTTAAAACAGTTTATCGATGAAACATAAAATATTTTTTTAAATAAATTAAATCATTAGATATGCTAAATGATGAGCAAATGCTAGTGTTTTAGCGCCAAATATTATAAACATTTGCTTTTTATAGTCAATTTGTTTAGACAGTCGCAGATCAGTACTAATGTTATACACGAAATGATAAGTAATGAGTCATTGTTTTACTGTTAATGACAAAAAAAGAGTGACATCACAGTCACTGATGTTTTTTTTTATACACTTTCCTATATTTTCCTATATTTAACAATTATATTAACAAATTGTCAGACATTTATATCAACAGTAAAATATTGTATGTCTTTAATACTAAATACTTAGCAAGTATTTACATTTAATATATATATTATTATTTATAATTTATTTATTAAACTATTTACGGCTAAATTAAACTTTGGGTCAAACAATTAAAAAAAGAAAGAGAGAACAACATAACACACTATTTATTTCATACAACTTTTATACAATTTTATAGATTTACCCATTTTTAAAAAATAAAATAATTAAAAATCAAAATCTGATTTAATATTGACTGAAAAAACATTTTAAAACAATTACAAAAACAATGGTTTATTAATTTGTTTTATAAGTCAGTAATGATTATATTTTTCTTCAACGGTTTCGATACAAACAGTTCTTTTGCCAGTAATATCAGGTATTAAGTGTCGGATAGTCCGGCATTTGAAAAAAATTTGTCCCAATGTTTAGAAAAAGATATTATGGACGGAAAATACATTATCCGGCAATAAAATTAAATAATTAATAATATTCTTAATATTTAAATAATTTTATAAAAATATTTTGCAATTGTTTTTTTTTAAAAAGTTAAACATTAAATATGAAAAAATAATATTTAAATAAATATTTATACATTTGATAATATGGCTAATGATGTGTTAATCAGGGTTGGAAAAAATACAAGGTTTTAAATTTTAACTTTGTATAATACAGTAAAATACAATGTACTACATGTAATATATAAATTTTAAAACTAATATATTGTATATATTTTTTAAAAATTACTTTAAAATATTTAGTAAAAATATAATTCATAGAAAATACATTATTATAATAATCGTTATTTCTAAGTTATAATAATCAAATAATATAAAATAAAAAATCTAATTCAATAAAAAATATTATATTAAATCTATATTTATTATAAAACATATTTTGCTTATATCAATGCTTTTAACAAAGTGACGCTAATTTTTTTTGTAAACCAAATTGGTCATGTATTTTACATTGTATTATAATGTATATTACTCTTTGTATTATACAAACATTTAGTCTCTGCCAACACTGGTGTTAACTCATAATGGTATCAAAATCTTATATCATACTAATTTTTGAAAATATTAATTTTTTTTTTAATTAACTGATTTATTTTAACAAAATTAGTTCATAATTTAATAATAATAATTAAACCTTTGATCACAACATAGAGCGGTTCCAACAGTTCTCTAACACTTCCATTTCGACCAATTTTTTCATCTTATCGTCGATTAGATCACATTTGTTGACAAAGACGACCAACTTTTTGACACCGATTTGTTTACTTAACATAATATGTTTTTTGTCATTAATTTGTCAATTATTCAAATTCTATTCTAGTTTAAGAAACTTTTAAAGAAATTTTTAAAAATTTATCAAAAAATTTGATGCGTGACGTATATGCGTGACGTTTATGCGTGACGTTTATGCGTGACGTTTATGCGTGACGTTTATGCGTGACGTTTGTGTGACGTAGACATTTGTTTAACAGGTCGGCTAAAATCTATTTTTTAGAGTTAAGGTTGCAAAGCATACATGAGGTTAAGTAACATTAAATAGATATTATTTTTCATTAAATAAAAATAAATATATGAAAATAACGCGTTAAGTCAATTAAATTGATTGAAACAATAGCGCATTTAAATAATAATTTAAACTTTGTTTAAAACATAAACCGGTTCTAACAGTTCTCAAACACTTTCATTTCGATCAACTCTTTTACCCGCTTTTACCGACATTTATTAAAATTAGGTTTTTTCAACAGAAAACCGATTTTTTGGTCCTTTTAAACATATATCGATAAAAATTATTGCGCGGAAACAACTAAAATCTACTCCTAAACCTAATTATAATAAATTATATTTATGTTTATTTATGTCATGTCAGGTATGTTAGACCAAATTTGATTAGGTTTTAGGTGTTTCCGCGCAAATATTTTCATCGATATATGTTTATTAGGATATAAATAAAACGTTTTCCATTGAAAAAAAATTTAAAATAATGTCGGTATAGTAGGGATTAGCTTAAGATGTTTTTTCAAATTCATTTGTCAATTATAATTAGTAAATAATTTTTGATTTAATTTTTATTTATAAGTAAAATTTGTAATATCTGCCTATAATTGTATTATTTAATATTTTTCTTTATAATATGTAAAACTACTACTACTACTGAATTAATTTTAATTAATGATTAACTGTTGTAAATAATCCAATGAATAATATTGGATAAACTGTAACAAAATTCATGAAATAATTGATAAATAGTTAGATAATTACAATTGGATTCAATGACAACATAAAAATGTTTGTCCGCTCTATACCGTCGACCTTTATATTTCAGATTTATTACAAGAATCGATATACAATTAATAGATATTATTATAATTAAATAATTATTAATTGTATTTAATATAATAATAATACTATAATATGTGTAATAATCTATTGTTTATTAAGTTTAACTGTTATAACTGTTGTGTTATTTTGTATTTATTTAAGTAATTCAATATACTGTGATTGTTTAGAGGTTTGCAAAATTAAAAAAAAAATTATTATTGTATATACAATGTCAACAAAAACAGCCCTATATATAGAGCTGTTGTCTGAAACTTTCGGACTGAAAGGCATTACATAATTTTGTTAGCATTGTATATATAATAATAATTTTTACCAACGATGACATTAGTATTTTATTGATAATTAAACAATCAATAAATAATTTAAAACTAAAACTAAATTTAACTATCAAACTTATTTACTATTCATTTTTATTTTAATACAATCATAATGTTATCATCATTTTTATTATATATTTAAATTATAAATAAAATTTTTCATTTAAAAATATAATACACTAAAGTATAATAAACTATTGCTTTAATATTATTTATTGTTATTTAATATTAGTTTTTTATATTCATTTTTTGTCATCATATGTTTCAAATTTTTAGATTGTATTATAATATTCTAATATATTATATTATATACTTTATAATTAGACTATTTTAAACTCTATAAATTGTAACATTTATATTAAATACCAAATAAAATACTATTAAATATATTATATATCAGATTCTACTGTATAGTTTAAGACACTATTTTTTTTTTAAAAAAAAGGTATCCAAAAACTTATTTTGCAAATAATTTAATTAGTTTTCAACTAACTATTTGATTATTGAATAATTTTACATAAAAAACACATAATTGATGTTCAAATGTATACAAATAAGTAATAAATAAATTTAATACACTGTTAAAATAATATCAGTGCATAGTATTGCATTACATAACATAATAGGCATTGCATTATAATCTACAGTACAATACTTAAAGTTATGTATTAATAATAATAATAGCAATAGAAATAAATACAGTATGTATTAAACAACGAAATTATAATTTTTTTTTTTAAATTTGAATAAATAAAAATAATTTATTATCATTTTTGTGTGTTTGAATATACTAATGCAAAATATTTTATTATTACTATTATTTAAAATATTATTGAAAATATACTAAAGATTTTTGTTTGACATATACATAACCAGTGAAGGCATACTAAAAACGCAGAGAATCGCAGAATCCTATCATAAGTTTGCAGTCATTCAAAAGTGTTGGTGAAATTGCATACTAACTGTCCGTATATAAAAAGTCTGTTCATTACACACATACTCACCAACACTAACAACACATATGATATATGTTTTATTTAAAAAAAAAAAATCAATCAAAATAAAATTGGACTATTTTTTCTAACCTTCCTGTTAACAGTTTATTATAATAAAATTTTGTATAATAATTATATATTAGGTTTATATCAATTTGTGTCAATTTGTTTGATTACATTGAATTTTTTTACAACAACAACAACAACAACAAAATAATTGATCGGTAAGTCATTAAACAAAAATTTCTGGTCACATATTTCTAAAAAAATACACATATTTTTTTAACTAAAATTATTTAAATAATTTTTAAATATATTACTCAATCAGTTTATTTGCTTAAATTTATTATAAAAAAAACATTTACTATTTTTTCATTCAACTATTTAATACAAAATATGTAAACTTTAAAAAAATACATGTAATAAATAGGTATATATATACAATATATATATATATATATATATATATATATATATTTATTTTTATATGATATTAAATGTTTTAAAAAATCTATAGATATCTGTAGTATATGATAAAATTTATCATATATTATATATCTCAATAAAAATCTATAACAATCTATTAATTATAGATTAATTGTAATATAATTTACATAATAATAGTATTATTTTTATTTAAAAAAATAGTTAACAATCACACCATTTAAATGGGTAAACGAAGCGCTTCGTATGCGTTCAATGGTGGACGAGGAGGTGGAGGACGAGGTGGTGGTGGTATTCATTGGGGACCCGATCGGACACAAAGATTTCATACAAGTTTTACATCAGAAGAATCGACCAGCGATTCGGAACAAGAGATGGATCAGAAAACACAGAAAAGGATGCGAAAAATGTTTAAAAAACAACACAAACGATGGCTTAAATGGGGCCGATTTGGTGGTCATCACCAGTGGCCAGGATTTCACGGACATATGGGTAGTCATCATTGGCCAGGATTTCCCGGACATCACACTGTTGGCCCGAGTGGTGGCCAACACTTAACCACATGCATACTATGTTGGCATCGAATTAAACCATTAACCGATACGGAAGTCCTTGACTGCGGACACATTTACCATCGATTATGTTTGAAAGAATTGTTCGAATTGGCCATCAGGTCATCGGACACACCATTACAAGTGTTTTGTACCCATTGTAAGGACAAGATTAACGATAATCTTATAAATGAGTTTCGCATTCGTTTGGGTGTTACCGGAGTACCGGCGGCCGGTGAGGACAGTAGTAATAATGGTCAGCCGTCGACCAGTTATCAACAACAGCACCACCAGACTAACAACAGCAACAACCAAGGAATGTCTGATTTAGGATCGACCACACAGTGTATGGTTGTTGACATAGTTAATAGTCCCTAAAATTAATGTATTTATTATTTAACCTATTTTTAAAAATTTCCCTAAAAAATAAACTAAGTTTTTGTATATTTGTAAAATAATTATACAAAAAAATAATAATATTTTTTGTATAATCAATATTATCTGTTATATTAAAATAATTACACTTTTATTATATGATATAAATACAGTATAATTAATATTAATTACTATTAAAATACAGTAATTTTTTTTATTGATAAACTGTTGAAAATAATTATCTTCATGTAAATTAAGAAAATATTTATTTTAAAAAATGTTATATAATTAAATAATTATTGTTTTTTATTTTTGAAATATATTTTTGTTTCGATCGGACGGACACACGGGTTGTGAGACCCGAGTCTCTCTCTCTCTCTCTCTCTCTCTCTCTCTCTCTCTCTCTCTCTCTCTCTCTCTCTCTCTCTCTCTCTCTCTCTCTCTCTCACAGTTAACACATACAGTACTTACTGTAGGATTCAACAGTCACTGAGTCTATGAATGGCTATACTATCACTTATATTCAGGGTTTTAAGAAAATAAATGCCTGCCCTGGCAATGCCCAAATAGATGCCATAAATGCCTGGCATTTATGGGATCTATTTTATTTGTCTGCCAATTTAAATTGCTAAAAAGCAACTGTATTTATAAAAATAATGTAATTTACTGTTTTAACGTGTTAATTAAATTTACAATTAATTTACTTATTTCCAATGATATTACATTTTAATTAAAGGTATACAAAACAAAAATACAAGCAAATATATTATAAAAACAATGTTTTATAAATTAATTAATAATATAAAATTAAAATAATAGGTGTCACCACCTGAAAATAGATGCCCAGGGCATGGCAGAGGCAGGGCAGGCATTTGGCAAAATTGGCATCTATTGTTTAAGCCTGCCATTTTTAAAACCCTGCTTATATTAATAATAGAGTTTCCAAATGTATATCTAAATGTAAGAGAATTAATAGTTTAAAAAATTTTAATTAAATTAAGTTCCAAGAAATAAATGGCTGACTTATGAATAACAATATATTAATATAAATATAAATAAATAAATATTTTTATTTTAGTAATATTTGTTAAATATAACAAAAATTAATATAATAATTATAATAAATTTTATAGAATGTCCGCATAATTAGTTGGTAACACTACTTATAGTATGAATTGTTTTGCGCAGACTATTGATGATTACATCATATGTTTTACACATAATTTAAATGAAAACAAAACAAACATTTAATTGAATTGTTATTCCATTTAAACGACAATTAATTTGTTTTGAATTCAATTAAAACAATCAATAAATCAATCGATGAATACATGAGTGAAAACATTGACTGAATGTAAACATTAAGACAACAGTTGTCTTATAAATACTAATATCAACACAAATACCATATAATTAACGGTAAAATTGATAAAAACTTTTTAATTAATTATTTTATTAATAGTTTTTTAAATATATAAATAGATTATCAAAACTGAGAGATAGTTTGAGATATGTTTCATATATTGAGAAATACATTGAATGTCAACAAACATGTCATGTCTTCACACAATAAGTGGACAATAAATGATTGCTTCAGAAGAAGTTGTTTTACAATTCACTCGTTGGTCAACACATTAGACAAGAATCAGTTCATTGAAGATCTAATGGATGAGGAAAGAGGTGACAATAAAATCAGACATTCGTATCAATAATGAAATACTTATTTGATTTTTAATATTGTATTAAATTTTAATGTTTTTTCTCTATTTTTTACATTTCATTGAAGAGATTAACTATGAAAGTGATGTCTCTCTGTTTGATATAAAATATTTTACACCAAAAACATTAAGTTTATTGAATATCAAGTTTAATGAAGAAAACACCAATTGTTTCAATAGTTTAATGACACGTGAAATCAATAGAGGTATTACTGTATAACAAGTTTTTATTTTACAATAATTTTTATTAAGTTTCAATTTTTATAGATTTAATTAATCATTTGTTTATAATATAAGTTTTTAAAATTGAGAAATTTTTTTTGACAATTAAATAGTTTAGTAATTATTTGTTTAGTATATTATTTACTGTAGTTTTTATTTACTTATTTCGTGTCATTTTTCAATTAATAGTTTTAATAAGTTTTCAATAAAATTCATTTTAATATTCATAAGTTTTATTATTTTAATTATTATTTTTTTTTTCATTCATCAAATTAAATACAATTACTATAGTAACTGACATTATTTACTGTATTATTATTTTAATTTTTAAATACAATTTTTGTCACAATTGTTATAATTACATGTATATATACAAACAATTTAGTAATTGTTTTAAAATCGAGTTATTTATTTCATAATTAAGTTATTTACCTATTTTTTGTGTATAATTTATTATTGATATAACTTTTTACACAAACATATCATATATTTAAGTCATTTTAATTGTTTTCAATTAATTTGTTGTTTAAGTCATAAAATGTTTAATTAGAGTATTATAAGACTTTTATTCTCATTTAAAAATGTTTTAGTTTTTAGCGATTATATCATTTTTTTTTTGTTTTTAATGACAAATCCAAATACATATTGCACTGACATTACCATCATTTTACAAAAAACTTTAAAGACCTCAAAATTGAAAGTTATTTTATATACTGTATTAATATTTTGATATTATTTTTTTGTTTGTTTTAAAAGTGAAGTTGTCTTCAATTGTGTCTTATAATAATTTTTTGGTTTTTAGTATTTATTATAATGTCTTTATTTGTAGCGATTATATCATTGTTTTATTCAAATACGTATTGCACTAACATTACAATCACTTTATAGATAATTAACTATTGATTAAGATATCATTTATAACATATACAGTATATCCTAATTTTTAGTAATTATTTTTTTTTAATTTGAATTGAATTTTTTAAACAAATAATTTGCTGTAAAATAATTTTTATTTATAATAGATTTAATTGATCAAATTTAATACTAACTTGACAATATTATTTTAAAATACAATTTCTTATTTAAATGATTGAAATAAAATAATTAATTTTTACTAATTAAACAATTGATTTACAATTATTAATTATTATCTATTAGATTAATGGTTTAACTGAATGCATAGTTTAATAATAAACACAAATTTATTGTAATTTAAATATATAATTATGACAATCAACTTATTTTTTTATTAAAATTTATTGTATAACTTTTAATTTACATATTTATATTGTAATAATATATATAAATAAATATATATATTTTTTTACGCTAACTAGTATTACTGTAATATTTTGCATCATTTGAATCGCCAAACAATGTAATGAAATTGATAATTAAGGCATACCTGAGCCCTATCTTTGCCAAATGAAACCGCAAATACTACTAATCAGTCTTCAATATAAACTTCAGATGGACAACAATTTTTTTCAATACATTCAAATAAATTTATTAAAACAATAAATATATGTCTCAATTGATTTAAACTATTTATTATACAAATTATTAATTTTATAAAAATCCCTATTACTATATCAAAAAAATTAAAATACAAAATAAACATAAAAAACATAAAATACATATAATAAATATTATTTAACATTTAATTTACTAGACTATTAAAAAATAAATACAACATATGATAGTCCCAAATGATTATAAATGGATATATACTATGACTAGACTGACCAACCATAGACCGAAACCGATGGCGGTCACTGTAAGCGACCATTTTGACGACATAATGGACTGGATATCGGGAAAACCCATTAGATTACAGTAGGAGTGGACCAGAATCGGTGTTACGATGTGTTGCGACCGAAAGTATAACAGCGATGCGTAAAATCCAAATAACGACGTATATGTCATCTGTTCGATGGCCAGCCATAATGTCCTCTTTGGGTGATGTCTTTGACTACTCCTGATGTCGTTAATCTCAAACAAGTAGTGATGCGAATGTGCAAAACCAAACAACAATGAACTGATGGCCAGCGTAGCGGTTAGTGGCCAACACTGTACGAGAATGGCGCTCAATACGGCCCTGAAGATGATCTCCTCTGTGATGGGCGCTATGATATAGTTGCGAATCACCATCAGATCCATGGCTGACACCATATATCGATAGTTAAAGCAATAGTCGCCCGTTTGAGACAAACTGATGATTATGGGACCCATGAATAGGACACTTGTCTGTAATAATGGTAGGAAAATACATTCAATAATAATTTGGCCGATCGTATAGTCTTGTGGCCAAACGAGACCCAAACTGGTGGCCAAACTGATGAGCCGATAGTCATCGTTAAAGACAACCAAAACTATTGTCGATATAATGATTGCGACAAAAACGCTTAGAAAGCGACGCTTTATTGTCGTCGGGTTATCACTGGAATCGGTTTCCAAACAAATAAAAAAGTGGTCAATCAATAAGTTCAATATATGATAAATAAATGTCTTAAACAATAGTTTGTTGGCCATCACTTACCGATGCGCTTGATTTGGCCAACAATATAGTGACCCGACATATAGTAAAGCGATTAGTGATGAAACCAATAGCGATGTTATTAAACACATGTTTAGTCAATGTTTTTGTTGTTTTTTATGTTTTATTTAAAATTAAATAAAACAACAAATCAATACATTTCGTAGTTTAATAGTAATAGTAATATCAATATTATTATTATATTTAAAAAATTATAATTTTAAATAAAATCATTTATATATCATCTAAAAATCAAACTCATGTTTATTTGTGACAAATGTTTGTTTATTTACTTATTATTTATTATTATGTTTGCTATTAAATGCAGTTTTTTGTTGTTATAATAAACACATGCGCTATGAATGCGATTATTATTTACAGAGATATTTAAATTTTAAATTATTTTTAAAAAATTATTGAAATATAAAACTTTTTTATAGTAAATGTAATTTTTTTAGTACAAAAAATATCCACAAAAAAAACACAATTTCATTACTGAATTTTATTGTCTGATCACTTAACCGGACGGGACGGACATACGGGTTATGGAGATACCCGACTATATCACTCTCTCTATCGGTTAACACATACTTACTGTAGTATTGAACAGTCACTGAGTCTATGATTGGCTAAACAAACAGTAATACTGTATAAATAATAGAGTTTCCAAATGTATATCTAAAATATGAAAGAATTAATAGTTTTTAAATTAAATTTTAATTAAATTAAGTTCCAAGAAATAAATGGTTGACTTATGAATAACAATATATTAATATAATTTTAAATAAATAAATATTTTAGTAATAGTTGTTAAATATAACAAAAATTAATATAATAAATATAATAAATTTTATAGAATGTCCGCATAATTAGTTGGTAACACTACTTATAGTATGAATTGTTTTGCGCAGACTATTGATGATTACATCATATGTTTTACACATAATTTAAATGAAAACAAAACAAACATTTAATTGAATTGTTATTCCATTTAAACGACAATTAATTTGTTTTGAATTCAATTAAAACAATCAATAAATCAATCGATGAATACATGAGTGAAAACATTGACTGAATGTAAACATTAAGACAACAGTTGTCTTATAAATACTAATATCAACACAAATACCATATAATTAACGGTAAAATTGATAAAAACTTTTTAATTAATTATTTTATTAATAGTTTTTTAATATATAAATAGATTATCAAAACTGAGAGATAGTTTGAGATATGTTTCATATATTGAGAAATACATTGAATGTCAACAAACATGTCATGTCTTCACACAATAAGTGGACAATAAATGATTGCTTCAGAAGAAGTTGTTTTACAATTCAATCATTTGTCGATTCATTGGATAAGAATCAGTTCATTGATGACCTCATGGATGAAGACAGAGGTGAACACACATTACAGACAAATAAACATTAAATGATTTATTTAAACAATATATATATATCAGGGTTAAGCAAGGTTTTGGATTTTAGGGGGGGTAGACCAGGGTAAAATTTACAAAATTCTCGAAAAATCTTGGGGGGGGGTAAGATTTTTATTGCATTTTTAAAGGGCAATTTATTCAAAAATCCAAAATCAAGGGGGGGGGTCCAGAGAAAATTCCCTAATATTCCCTTAAATTCCCGAATATTCCCATGTAAATTAAGGAAAATTCCCATAAGTTCCCGTATAAGTTCCCAGGAAAATAGGTAAAATTTCCAAAAATATTTAAAAAATTAAAAATTAATAAAAAACTTAATAAAAACTTAAATTTTAACAAAAAATAAATAATTTTTAAAAAAATTTTAAAAATTAATAAAAACTTAAATTTTAACGAATAATAAAATAATTGTGTATTTTAGATTAAAATAGTTGATAAAAGTATTAATGAGTTTTTTTAGTATTTTAGTAATTTTTAAATTTTAAAATAATTAATTTTTTAAATAATATTTAATGTTTATAGTTATAGGTATATATTATTTTTATACAAATACTGACTGAATACTAATTACTTAACTCAATTTTCGTTAGTTTTATCTATATTAATTATAAAATTGAAAATATTTTCAAAATTCTTATATAAAATTTTAAAAATTATCAATAAAAACTTTATAATATATGTATTTATAGTTTTATTAACTTCTTAAACTATCTCAAACTTCTATTTATAATGTAATATGATTATTCTTTTCAACAAATATGTAATTTTTAATTTTTTAGTTTAATATTTTAATTAAAATTATGTTTTTTTGATGAGTTTTAACGTTATTTTAACTTTTTTACTTATTTATAATCAATAATTAGATTTATATAAATTTTAAAAACAAAAACACATACTAAAATAGTTTTAATTAAAATTTTTAAAAACAAAAAAAAATTTTTTCAATTTGGTCAAAAAGTCTGGGGGGGTAAAATCCCAAATTCTCGATCTTAGGGGGGTATTTTGGCCTTACCCCCCCTACCCCCCCTTACTTAACCCTGATATATATAACTAACTTTCAATACTATAATTGAATATACAGTGCAAACAAACACTCATTTGTTTTATAAATTTCAATATTTTTTAGAGATTATCAATGAAACTGATGTCTCAATATTTAACATCAAATATTGGACACTAAAAACACTGTCGCTATTGAATGTTAAGTTTGAAAGTAATAATAATAATATGGTTTTGACTAACTCTACTACAACTACAGGTACTTGTAATATAAGTTTTTAAAGTTAAGAATTTTTTTGATATCTTTATTTTATTTGTAATTATTTGATTATTTACTATAGTTTTTATTTACTCTCATTTTATGTCATTTGTCAATAGTTTTAGTTTTGATATTTTATATAATTGCAATGATTTTAACTAAATTAAAAAATATAAATATATTTATACATAGATTTAAATCTAAGTTAGGTTTTAATAGTATTTATTTCAGTTCATTAAATGTACATTTAATGAAAAGTTTGTTCCCTAATGTTTTAGTAAACAATATCACAAACAAATGTGATTATCAATTAACAAACGGATCAATCAATGGTAACAAAAACAACAGTTGTATTTTATTTTATATTTAATTTAAAAAAACAATAATTATTATATAATTAAAATCTAATTAATTTTTTAGCTATTTTTCCGGACTATATAATCAACAAAAATATGAATCTAACTATCAGTTCAACGCAAAAGTTGTTGAATAAAACAAATAATCAGTTTTATAGGCCATTGTTGAATATTCTCAATATTAGCAAAAATGCTAAAAATGCAAACAAAGAAGTGATGACTTATGGACTTATCGATCAACTAATAGGACACTCTTTTGATAAGAAAAACACTTACAGAAGTGATAATTATTATCTATCACTTGAATTGTTTGATAGATATGTTAGTAAACTATATATATATATATATATCATTAAAATAATTGGTATATTTTTTTAAGGAAACGCCTGTATTTATAACTGGAAGACCTGACATTGCATTATTGACTAACGATATGATTTGGTTGACAATTGAATTGAAACCATTAAACAACAGTTTAAGTGAATTGCAGTCAAATAAATGCCAAACAATTGGTTATACAATAGCCAGTTATGTTCATAATTACAGAAACAAACTTTCGGCTATTGATTTGGATAAACAATTTCTATCACAACAACCCTCGCATTCAATATTAATTAGAGGAACAGTATTTTATTTTTTTAATATATCAATGAGTGAACAAACAATTTATCAATTATTCAAAATAAATGATAATTGTGTCGATAATAATAATAATAAGTTCAATACTAAGGTATGTAAAATCAATTTTATGTTAAATAATATTAATAATAATTAAGTAATTGTATTATTAAAGCCTCAGATTTTTGTTAACGAATGGCCCGTTGATGGCAAAGGTTTAGATTTTTGTCAATACAATGACAGACTTGAAATCCTTAAAGTATTTACTTATTTGCGTCAAATTAATGCAAAAAATCGATTTTAATTGTTTTCAAATAATTTGTTGTTTAATTAGAGTATTATAAGACTTTTATTCTCATTTAAAAATGTTTTAGTTTTTAGCGATTATATCATTTTTTTTTGTTTTTAATGACAAATCCAAATACATATTGCACTGACATTACCATCACTTTACAAAAAACTTTAAAGACCTCAAAATTGAAAGTTATTTTATATACTGTATTAATATTTTGATATTATTTTTTTTTGTTTTAAAAGTGAAGTTGTCTTCAATTGTGTCTTATAATAGTTTTTTGGTTTTTTGTATTTCTTATTATAATTATTTTTGTTGTTGTTATCCTCTTCGGTGACTAAACTAGTTGTTTGACTAAAACGGTCTCAGCTTTTATGCATCCGATAAATATCATTGATTTTGGACAATCACTAGCAGTTCATTATTATGGGTAAACCAACTGTCCGTCGGAGGAAATCCACCACTTCTTCGTTGTCGTGTTTGATCACTTCATCCAAGTTTTATTTGACTTTAAGAACTTTCAGTTTACTTCACTATAATTGTTCAAAACTTTACTATCATTATAGTGATTGTATTTGAATATATTTACGTATATTTGAAAATCAAAAAAATTAATTATTATTAACTCTAATAATAATTATTATTATCGTTTTATTTTGTTATATATACTAATGTTATTATTTTTATTATTCAAGAAAAAAATGTTTTTTTCATATTGTTTCTTGACTTTTGTTTTTTAACGAAAAAAGTTTTTTATAGATAAATATTTATTTTTTTTTGTATTTTTAACAAACAAAAATCCGATATTTTTTCTGACCCGATATTCTGATCCCGACAACAAAATTTGCCCCAAAAATGATTGCAACAGTTGCCTAAAACTCAAGAACCGCAACAACAACGACATTAACAGGAAAACGATAAAAGTTGGACAACTAGTCAAACAAACTATCGTAATAGCGATGGAAGTTATGGTAAAGATTTTATCAAAAAAGATAGTAATAATAATAATAATAATAAAAAGACCAACAAAGCAGTGGTAAATCACAAGAAGCAAACTCAAGAGGAAGAAAGTGCTGACAGTGTTCAAGAAGTAATTGCATTCAGTATTCCAACAGAATATTCCAATTGGGAGTTCACTTCTAGTCTGATGTTTGTGACCAGTGTTGTGACCACTATCGGCTACGGACACGTAACACCCATAACACCCGAAGGCAAACTGTTTTGTCTGATCTTTTCATGCGTTGCCATACCGTTTACATTGGTATTCCTATCCATTATTGTATCGTTGCTGAAGAACGGGCCGATCAGGATATTTGAGAAATGGCTAATCAAAAGCATTTTAAGACATTTTCATCAAACACCAGATTTTTTCATACGACTACTACATGTAGTCATTGTAACCGTTATTTTGCTTTTGCTAATCATTGTATTGCCAGCTCTACTCTACCATTATATGGATTTTTTTATTAGTAAATGATATTTTATAATCTTTTTATATTAGTTACTATACTTTATATTTTTTTAATGATGAATGTATTATAACTAATGTGATAATTAATAATTATCAGTAAGTAATTCAGTAAGTAATAATTACTTATCTTTACATTATTATAATTATGTATATGTACTGTAATAGCTGTATATAAAATTTATATTATAAATATCTCTAATATTACAAATTATTTTTTTATTAGATGATAGATTTGTGTCTATAACTTAAGATTAGCTTTAATAAACAGCAATTTCCAATAATAATAATAAAATTAATCACTAATTATTATTTTCATTTAACTACTTGTTATTTACACACACACACACACACACACACATTTCTATGTTGTATTTTATTTATTATTATCATCAATATAAACAATTTGTCAATTTTTTATGATCATTAATTTGATCCCAATTAATTTTTTACTGTAATGTCACAACTTTTTTTATTTATATATATATATATATTTATCATTTTTTTCACTTTATTATAAACGCCACAATTACGCCAATAATTGTGTTGTTAAAGCACTCAGTATTTATATTTATACAAAAAAATATATATATTTCTATATAATAATAAAAAACAGTAAACGGAAATTATATAATTAACAGCTCAAACTTTGTTGTAATTTTTTTTAGATGAACAGTTAGCTATAATATATACAGTATATAGGAAGGGGAACGCATACATAGACAGACACCTGGAATTAATGACTGGACACTAGCTTTCGACTATTAATTATGATGCAGTTTGGTTGTCGTCACACAAACTTATTGTCAATTGACAGTTCAGTTTAACCACAAAAAACAACAGACAAACAGGTTAGGACCGGACGGACGACGGGCTGGACGTCGTCGTCAGGTGGGTTGGGGAGGGGTAGGGGAGAGGAGTGGGAAGGATAAACATATAGTATATTTAAGGCAAGTAATGTATTTGACATCGATTTAGTCGACATTTGGATAAGCAGTGGATTAGGTGTTTGTTTTGTTAGTTTTATTGACAATGACTTTGGGTTATGTCTTCATAACAAAATGCTTATTCATTTTATGGCTCAGACTAAGTGTGGCCGAAGGTATAGATATTTTGTTTTTTTTATTAACTAAATAATTGTTAATTTAAATTATATATAAGTTTATAGTTTTTATGTAATATTTGTTTTCTAAAACTTTTTTTTTTGGTGGTTTTATAATAATAATAATAATAAAGTACCACTTCCGCCAATGATATCGCCAAACAATGTAATGAAATTAATAATTAAGGCATACCTGAACCAGATATTGGAGGCAAACCAGTTGAGTGAAACACATTTGAGAAGCAAATTATCAACAATGAGGTAATAATTATAAGTAAAAAAAGCAATTAATTTTGAGACATCTTTTCTTTTTTTTGCTTAACATATCGATGAATTTTTAAAAAATTATTATAATATTTTATAATTGATATTATTGTAAATTATTATAGTGATTATATATCAGCACATCCAGCATTACACCAAAAATACTTATGGGTCGGACCAATGCCGCCACACAATTATGATCCCGACTATGAAAAGACATTACCGGTATATTAATTTAATAAATAAAAATATTTTATATTAAATATATATATATAATATTTTTTTTATTAATAATGATATAATGAGATGAACAAACAAAACAAAAAAAATTGTTAATTTTTATTTTAGTCAAATGCTGATCAATCATCTTCTGAAATCAGTGTCAGAAAACGTAATTCCGGCGAAAAGGATGGCAGCGGACAGTTTCCATCGGAAGAGATCTGTAAGACAACTCGACAATGGGAACAGGTATGCAATTTTCATAATATTATAATTAATAATTTGTTTTAGTTTTTTTTAGGCTGTTGATATCCTACACAGTATATATAATTAAATTAATATTAAGTATAATTAAACAAATAAATACAATTTCCCTCATTTCCCCCCACTTTTCCCTCAATAGATTAATTCAACACATGATCTCTATGATAATAAAGTAGAAGTGGTACAGGAGGACGAATTGCAGCAGTTTGTATTTTCCTACCGGTGCGCTAATCTTAAGGGTAATAAACTGATACTGAATAAAAAATAATATACTGTATATACTGTACAAACACATTGACTATATATATATATATATATATTTATATATATATAGGTGTACTCATATATCATATTTATTTATTTTTAATATATAAATATATAAACTTATTTTTGAATTATTGATACAAAAAACAACAACAACAATAATAATGGTATGTTTTAGGTCAATGTTTGGGTATATCACCTCTTTATCACAGCGAGTGTACTGAAAGAAACGGTTGGATGTATATGTATTATAAACAGGCTAATAACAAACCGCCCCAATGGGGCTATGTGTCGGGTATGGTTACACAACGTGTTTATTTGTTTGTTTGTTGTTAATATATCATAAATTATTTAATAATTTTCTATAATCTAATATAATTTATTTATATATATATTTTTTTGTCAATTAATTTTTAACCGATAATAAGCACCCCATCATTGCGCCTGTAAATTGCAGCCCAAGTTTATACCGACGGAGGCCACTGAAGAAACTTAATTTTAAAAAAATTAAATGATTTTTTCCAATTATTATTATTTAACTAAATGTATTATATGTTAATTATAAATTTAAAAAAATAATACCTATATATATCATATATGTAGATATAGTTAGGTAATCACATATTAGTCTCATTTATTTTTTATTTTAATAAATTACATTAATTAACCAATTTAACTAATCGCACAATTTGGTTACTAATGTAATTCATATTTGATTTGATTTTAAATTGAAATAATTGAAATAAAAATTAATTAAGACTAGTATTTTGATGTAAAAAAACTTATTGAATGTAAAATTATGTTAAATAATTGTCAACTCATTTAAACTATTATTATAGTAATATTAAAATAAATGCCCAAAATATATATATAATAATAATAATTAAGAAATTTATTTTTAAAATTCAATAAAAAAAAGTTTTATCATATGTTTTTGTGTTTTGGGGGTTTTTCGTCAATATAAAATTATTATTATTATATATACTGTATATATTTAATAATATAATTATTAGTTATTTAACTTATAATTATGATTATTATTAATATGTGTATAAATATGTATTAAACTTTTTAAAAAAAAAAATTATTGTGATAACCAAAAGTTTTCAATAAATATTTATGCCATCAATAGTGAGTGTCATTATTGGTGAGTGCCGTCTGCTGTGCCATAATTGTTTGGTTTATTGTATCCCTTATTGTAATCATTTATTTTAATACTCTCTTCGATGTCTTCCTTTTCAGTTAATAAAAGTGGTTTCAGATTCAGCTGCGGTATCCTTAAGATAACGGCAATCCATAGCATAATCATTGCCAGACCACTGTATAAGTAGAATATAGTGCCTGAAAATGATAATAATATGTAAATAATTTTTTTTTATATATAGATATTATATCAAATAATTGATAAAATAAAACTTACAAATTCTGTATAATTGTAACGATTCGTATTGGCTAAAGTCGCCGACACCGGGAACCAGATCGCCCAGACCTACTGTCGTCAGACTTATGTAGCAATAGTAGACCGAATCGAGAAACGTCCAGTCCTTTTCCATATAATGGTAGAGTAGAGCTGGCAATACAATGATTAGCAAAAGCAAAATAACTGTTACAATGACTACATGTAGTAGTCGTATGAAAAAATCTGGTGTTTGATGAAAGTGTCTTAAAATGCTTTTGATTAGCCATTTCTCAAATATCCTGATCGGCCCGTTCTTCAGCAACGATACAATAATGGATAGGAATACCAATGTAAACGGTATGGCAACGCATGAAAAGATCAGACAAAACAGTTTGCCTTCGGGTGTTATGGGTGTTACGTGTCCGTAGCCGATAGTGGTCACAACACTGGTCACAAACATCAGACTAGAAGTGAACTCCCAATTGGAATATTCTGTTGGAATACTGAATGCAATTACTTCTTGAACACTGTCAGCACTTTCTTCCTCTTGAGTTTGCTTCTTGTGATTTACCACTGCTTTGTTGGTCTTTTTATTATTATTATTATTACTATCTTTTTTGATAAAATCTTTACCATAACTTCGATCGCTATTACGATAATTTGTTTGACTAGTTGTCCAACTTTTATCGTTTTCCTGTTGCTGTCGTTGTTGTTGCGGTTCTTGAGTTTTAGGCAACTGATCCTTTAGTTTGAGCATTTGGTTTAGTTGATGCAAATTGATGCCATTGTCATAGGATTTGATGACAACTTCAATGAACTGATCCAGTGATTCAACTATTTATTTATAATAATAATAATAATTATTATTATTATCATATCATTTAATTATTCAAAAGCATTAATTATTTTATACCATTAACTGATGGATTTTGAGCCAAAAACAATTGCTGTGATCTCAGCAACTGATCTCTCAATTGAAATTCAGTCTTCTGTTCGAAGAGCGAGAAGACAGAGGCACCCAATAGTATGAGCAATACATAGATAATGAGGAACAGTATGAGCAGGAAGTGATGGGGAGCTGATATGTAATTGCGATAGACTTCGCTGTGCTGTTGACATTGGGAGGCTGTTGTGGTGTACTCGATGGATGTGGTCGTGTACTGGCTATGACAGACACTAGTTTCGGCAGTACTGGCAGTTAGACCACCACCGCCGCCGTCGCGACCGTTATCGCCGATCAGTATATTATAATCTCTGTTGTTTGATGTTTGAACGCTGATTGACTTATTATGATAGCCATTATCATAATCGTCATCATCGGTGGTAGTGGTAGTAGTAGTAGTGAGTATTGGGAATGAATTTTGTTTGAATGCAATCATTTTTGTGCTATTTTTTCGGGTAAATTTTTTGTTGTCGGGGTCAGAATATCGGGTCAGAAAAAATATCGGATTTTTGTTTGTTAAAAAATACAAAAAAAAACTAAATATTTATCTATAAAAAACTTTTTTTTTCGTTAAAAAACAAAAGTCAAGAAACAATATGAAAAAAACATTTTTTTCTTGAATAATAAAAATAATAACATTAGTATATATAACAAAATAAAACGATAATAATAATTATTATTAGAGTTAATAATAATTAATTTTTTTGATTTTCAAATATACGTAAATATATTCAAATACAATCACTATAATGATAGTAAAGTTTTGAACAATTATAGTGAAGTAAACTGAAAGTTCTTAAAGTCAAATAAAACTTGGATGAAGTGATCAAACACGACAACGAAGAAGTGGTGGATTGCCTCCGACGGACAGTTGGTTTACCCATAATAATGAACTGCTAGTGATTGTCCAAAATCAATGATATTTATCGGATGCATAAAAGCTGAGACCGTTTTAGTCAAACAACTAGTTTAGTCACCGAAGAGGATAACAACAAAAAAAATAATTATAATAAGAAATACAAAAAACCAAAAAACTATTATAAGACACAATTTGAAGACAACTTCACAGACGACACTTCACTTTTAAAACAAAAAAATAATATCAAAATATTAATATATATAATAACTTTCAAATGAATTTAAAAACACTGTTTTGTTGTCCGACTTTTATATCTGGTGTCAGCCAATAGTTTTGCATTTAATAATTGTTATCTCACTTATACTTATACAGTACTGAATAAGATTCAGCAAATAATAATAATCTTTTTTTTTTTGGTTTTAATTATATTTATTTACGAGTATTTTTAATCGAAGCCAAACTTTGATACTTTTCATAAATAATTGATAAAAACAATTTTGTTGATAAATTGCTCTTCAAATGATTGGATATATTACACACTTACACATACATATACAAGTAATTTATTTATATATCATTAATAAATTAAATATAAATTTGCTAATTGATAATTGGTTGGACAGGGATGTGTTTATGGGACAGGGATGTATTTTTTTCAGTGAGAAATTCTTGTTAAAAAAACATAGTACAGGTACTTTATTAATTAAAAAAAACATATGATAAACAATTAATAAACAATGAATTTATTAATTATAATTATTATTACTGTATTTTTTTGAAAAAATTTCATATACACTGTATATGTATTATAGTATTTACATATTTCTCGATAAAAAGAAATTATACGATATATCTAATCAATAAGTTATTGACAATAACTAACTAATTGGTCAAAAACTGTTTAGATTTTTAGTATAACTTATACTCTATAAGTGGTCACAAGTTTATTATAAACCAAAGTCAAAGTATAAATATTATTATTATTATTGATTTGAATTCACAAATAATAATAATAATAATAATTTACAATATTATAAGATCAGTGTAAATACATTCAAATTTGAACCTAAAGTTTATTCTCTCTCTCTCTCTCTCTCTCTCTCTCTCTCTCTCTCTCTCTCTCTCTCTCACTCACTCACTCACTCACTCACTCACTCACTCACTCACTCACTCACTCACTCACTCACTCACTCACTCACTCACTCACTCACTCACTCACTCACTCACTCACTCACTCACTCACTTACTATAAATAGTCTTATATTTATCGTATATTTATTTTTCAGACACATAGGATCAATGTAGGAACCAGATAATATTATATACATCTATAATACTGTAGTATAAATTTTTATATAAATACATATAAATTTAGTATACAGTATATTGATATACAGTATGTATTGAGATTAAAGAGCAAAATAACCATTTTTTATACTACAGTATTAGTAATAGTCTATTACTTACCAATTATTAATAATACAAGTTTTTTATCGCATATGTTTGTACTGTACTGTATTTGAAAGCACTTGTGTTGTGGCTTATAATTACTGAATAAAAAATTATATTTTATAAATTACTTAACAACACAACTAAATGGGAAAAAATTTGCTTTTTAATGCTAAATCTAATGAGTTTTCTAACAATTATCATATTATAAATTATTATTAATATATAACTTATGTTTTTTGTGTACTATTGATTTGATCCTATTATAACATCATATAAAAATATTTGTACATTATTACGCAATTTATGTAATATTTCTAATAAATTTATCTGAAAAAAATATATTATCAGTTATTTTTTTTTGAGATGAATGATGTCATACCATTTTTTCCTAACAAAATTAATATTATAACTAACCAATTGTATTAATAAATTATAATGTATTATAAATTATAACTATCAAACATAACTTTGCAAAAAAAAAACAATTGTATTGTATATCATGTGTGGGGTGAGTGATGTCGAGCTTTTTTTAAATAAGTAATATATCACAAAAAAACTTATCTAAATATAAATTAATCAAATAATATCTAATACTGTAATAAAAAAATCTAAATTTATTTTTTTGTATAATATTTTGTAGTTTAGTCAGGAATTTACGAGTTTCTTGTTTTTTTTGTTGTTGTTGTAGTAAACGTATAGTTTATTTCAATAATACTATCATATCATCGTATAAATGAAATTTTTTGTCTAATATTTATTTAATATAGACTTATACTATTTATATATACGTTTACATCAATTAAATGTTTAACTATTAAATGAAAGTCCAATTAATGTGCATTTAAATTATCGCAATTTTATAGTACAAAGCATTTAATTTATAAACGTTTGCTAATTTTCAATTATCACTCTTAAACTCTTAAAAAAGGAAAGTTTAAAATATTTTTAATTAATTAATTATAAATATTATATTATATTAATTAATTAGTTTAGTATTATTCCATAATTCTTACTTAATATAAATTAATTATATATATATATTACTAAAAATATATTACAAAATTAAAAATGTGATAACCTAGATTATTTTAAACTAAATTGAAATTAAATGGTTTACAAATCCATTTTAAAAATCATATAAATTAATCTAGGTTATCATAAAGTTTATATCTTATATTTTTTCTTCACAAAAATTAATTTTATCAATGTTTAAAAAAAATTGGTATTTTAAATTGCCTAATTTATCAGGCAATTTAAATTATTAAAATAAACTTTTTTTAAATAGTTTTCGATAAATCAAAAATAAAATAAAATAATAATAAAATAAACATTTGTATACATGTACATCTATGTTGCTAAGTTGATTATTTTTGCTTGTTGTTTAAAATATGATATAAAAATTAAATTTAAACAATTAAAATAGTTTACTTTAGCAAATATATCAATCATTTAACTACAGTATATTATATGCATAAATATAATATCATCATATATTTTTTTCTGATATTTTTTATTCAAATAAAATATAATTTTATCATTTTATTTATTTTCTAACTATTGCTAGCTCATGACTATTTTTTAAATAATTGTTATATAAAATTGTTTCCAGCTTTAAATTTTAAACAAATATATATAATACCTGTATTATTAAAAACAAAACAAAATTATTATAATTATTATCTATGCAATGCAAATAAAAACATATTATTATTTTGCAGCTAAAATTATTTGATAATAACTAGTTATAACCAAATTCAATAATCTATAAATATTACTGTATATATGATAAATTAAATAATACAATTCTAAAAAAAATTATAAAGCTAAAATTAATTTATTTTATAAAAAATTAATCTTATATTTGCACTCAATAACCAATAATAATTAAAAGATAATAATTGTCTAATAAATTTATAATAATTTATATATAAATATATGATATTTCACGTGATATAACACTATGATAATAAGTCAGCAATAAATTAATGATATTAATGTAATAGCTGTTTACATAATTAATAATTGTTTAATCAATATAATTAACTTAAAATATTTTTATATAAAATTATTAATAATTATTTATAAAACTTACCTTAAGTTTGCAATACATTAAAATCAATTTCTTTATACTAGCAATGCTAGCAATAAATATACAACAAAAATTATTTGAGATATATTATAAATTATAATATATAAAATTTTGATAAACAATATATAATAAAAATTAAATATTTATTTATTTTTTATCATGAATTTTAATAAATGATAAAAAAATATATGAATTTAATAAATCATCGAAAGAAATGCAATTATTTAAACAAAACAAAAAATAATTTCTTATAAATAATATAATACTTATATAATTAATAACTTAAATAATATTATATATATATACAGTATATTAAGTAATTACTTTAAATAAGAAATAATTTCAAAATACATCATTAAAAAAATTTGAAATAATAATAATATAAATCATAATTAAATTAATAAAAAATATATCGTATTATAAAAATAAATTTAAATTATAAATATATAAAAATCAATTCAATTTAAGCGCACAAATAATAATTGAATGAAAACACTACTAATGGCAACACAAATGACGGCAAAACAACAAAAAAATGATTGAAAACAACATATGATAGCAATGTTTGAGTCAATGAATGAATGAATGATTCATTTAATTATTAATAAACAAAACAAACACTTGAATGATATGACGTGTCTATCAATCAAATGGACACCAATTTGATTGGCAATTATATCAAGACTACCACCGCTTCGGGCGCTTAACTATTGAGACAGATATATCTTAACCGATCGACTTTTTTTTAATTACCAGAAGACAGACAATCGGCAGAAGACCGCGACCTCAACAACAATAATGGCCAGAGAGCGGACCCAAGAGTTCTTCTCGACCATCAAATCCATTGAAGCCAAACCACAGTATATGAACAGTGAGTTAAGATCCCGACGGCAACAAAACCAAAAGTGGACAAATGGATCGGTTGGCCAATCGCTACAGTCTGGTCCGCACTACAAATCGTATGTACAGTTTATGCGCGGTTCGCGATCGGTGGCCAGGGATTTGTTTGCCACTTACCAGAAGTTAGAAAAGATCAACGTTTTGGCCCAAAAGAAGACCATCTTTGACGGTGAAGAAGCTTCGCGCGAACTGAACGAATTGGTATATATTGTCAAACAGGATATCACTTCATTGAACCAACAAATTGAACAATTAAGACAACAACAGCAAATGCAACAACAGAAGAACGCCGCCAACATTGAAAGCCACTCGAAGAATGTCGTACTAACACTTCAGCATCAATTGGCATCAATTAGTAATAATTTTAAGAACACTCTTCAGCTTAGGACACAAGTATGTCACCAATGATTCATTGTTACTGTTATTTATGTCATTGATTTAACCAATAATTTTGTTGTTTTAATCTCTTCAAGAATATGGCCCAACAGAAGCTCCGGAGGGAACAGTTTACGACATCGCCAGCTGCGGTCCAATCGAAGAATCACTCGACAGTCATTGATTTTAGCGACGAATACGCTCACAGTAGTAGTAGTAATGGTCATAATAGTAATAATAATGGCGACTATCACGACGATCAGCGACTACAAGAAAAACAGCTACTCATCTATGAAGACCAGAGCAATGATTATTTAGAAGAAAGGACTAATACTATGCAATCGATTGAGTCGACAATTGTCGAATTGGGCACTATATTCAATCAGTTGGCAACAATGGTTCAGCAACAGGAAGAGATGATCACCCGAATTGATGCCAATGTGACCGATACGGCACTCAATGTAGAGGCCGCACATCAGTCATTACTTCAATATTTTTCATCCGTTACCAACAATCGATGGCTTATATTGAAAGTGTTTGGCATATTGTTTGCCTTTTTCATACTATTTGTTGTACTTATATCCTAATTGTAATTTTAATTATTATTATTAAATACAGTAAATATTTTAATTATATTATATAGTATTTTGTTAAGTTTAATAGGTATCAAATTTCAAACTCATTTTTTATGTACAGTATAATACTTGTTAGTGTATACATCTATAAATATATACCGTATATATATATACATGTATAACTGTATCAATAACTGTATATTTTTATTTATAATTTCGTAAATTGATTTGTAAAAAAATAATAATCTAAATTTTAATCTAAAAACTAAACTCATTTTTATATATATACTGTTAAAAAATTTTTTTTAATTGAAAACAATAGGGAAACAATAGTTTTTATAAATCATATATAAGATATAAATAATTTATATATAATATTTTAAATAATTTAAACAAACGCATGTATAATAAAAATAAATAAATGACTTGTATTTAATTAGTTGCCATTTGCCCCGGGAATTGATTGTCCGGGAATATTGATTACCCGAAAAAATTGCTGTTTTTACTACAAAAAACAACGTTTGTGTTATCATAACGTTGTTTATGTGCACAACGCGTGTGTTTGTGTTGTGTATTGTATTTATTGGCAAATAATTTATTAACAATTGATTAATACATTTGAATCGATAATCAATTAAATATATTATTATTATTACTTTCGGGTAATCAATCATTTTGTCGGTCACTAAATAAGACAAACGTTTTTATTTATTTTTTTTAGTCACCAAAGACATGGACACCGCAGCCATCAATGCACTAAAAGTGGCGGACCTGAAGAAAGAGCTGAAAGCGCGCGGACTATCGATAATCGGTGTTAAATCGGAATTAGCGGCCCGTTTAACGTCGGCCATCAACGATGATGTTGAACAACTGTCGCCGCCGTTAGCCGCCGACGACGATGACGACGAACCCAGCGATGAAGATCTGTTGGGTGCCGACGATTCTGTAACCGATTTGTCAGTTGCGAAAGCGGCCAACGACGATGACGCCGCTGCTGCCGCCGATGATGATCATCTAATTGACGACGACTTGTTGGCCAACGAATCAAAATCGGCGACAATGATTGTTACGTCGCCCAAGAAATTGATTCACAGAACCTTTACAACAGTTTCCGATACTAACAGCAAAGCTGTTTCGCCGCAAAAGCCGTCAATTGTGGCGACGACGACGACGAGCGCTAGCAATGGCAGCGCAGATACAGCGGCATCACTGAAGACGACAACTACGACAAATGCCACTCAACTGACTGCCGATCAGAAGAAAGAGCTGAGAGCCCAGAAGTTTGGCGACAATAAATTGACCGAAAGAGCCCAACGATTTGGTATAAACAACTCGGCCACTGCCGCAAGTTCTTCAGCGACTACTACATCGGCATCTGCAAAGGTAACCCCCATTTCCGATGAGAAGCTCAAGGAAAGGGCCCAACGATTTGGAACTATATCGACAAAGTTGAAGAAGATTGAGGACAATGAAAAGCTAAGCAAAAGAAAAGAGAGGTTCGGTATCGTAACGAGCAGTCCTACTACCGATTCCGCTGTCACTACAGGCGCTAACAACAGCAACGACAACAACAAGAGGAAGATAACCTATTCGGACAGCGAGGCGAAGAAACAGCAGAGATTGTCACGATTTGGAACCGTCTCTTAAAATGATTTAAGATTTTGCCGACAATATTATAATTGTTTATTAATTTCATTGTCATAAATATCAAGTATAAGAAAAATATTTGTTTATTTAGCATAAATCATTACCCGCTATATATATATATATATATATATCTACTATACCGTAATTCAATATATATATATATATATATATATATAATTAATGTATTTTTTAACACATTTATTCCTTACACAACTTATGTAATATTGACTATTAATTTTTATTATAAAACTAATAATAAATTAACTATTGATAACATACACAACAAATCATAGACATTATCATTACGCGGTTGATGTTAATTATGAATAAAATATTCATTCATAGTATGTCTGTATAATATTTCTAACTAAAATCTATTAAAACAATAGTATTTAGTTTAAAGTACGGAAATAAAAAAAAACATTAATTACCTCATAGACCCGCATATATATTTATTTGATCTAAATTTAAAAATCAACATTTTGTATGGGCTGTATCTCACAAATACCCCCCTACTGGGGCTATATGTGAAGTCGTGGGGGTAAGGAATGATTGGCGGATAGGGTTATATGTAAGATCGGTATATTGCAATCAGAAACAATTAAAGGACGGTTAATAGCAATTATTGTTAAAATTAAATATTATACAGTAGTGATAGAAATAATAATTAACACAATAATCATTTTCCGATCGGTTATTAAATTGAAAATTACCCATTTGTATGGTATTATTTGGCATTAAATAGACCGGTCAATAGATTGCATTTTATTAAGAGGGGGGTAATTACAGACATTCAAAAAAAACTTATTACATAATTATTACAATAGTGGGTGTATTTGATAATTCATTAAAATAAACATTTGCTGGGGGGCTATATCTCACTTATTGCCCCAAGTTTTCATATATAGCCACTGATGGCTAGGGGTACTAGATATTGATTATTTAGAAATAATTGGCTAAACTATTATTATTTACAATATAATTATCATTAATAACTTTTAAAGTATTTCAAATCAATCTATTTTTATTTTAAAAAAAACTATTATTTTCATAATAATTTCAAACTTTTTGTTGTGATAGTCTGTTCCTCTGTACTCCATTGCTGTCCAATAATACACTGTTGTTGTCGATATCTTTTACCGATCAATACTATGTCGATGACAGCGAAAATGACAGCAATGATCACCAAAACAATTAGTATTATTACATATATTGTATTGTCTGTTTGGTTGTCGTCGTTGTATTTGTCTTCTTCATTGATGACACAATTAGGCAATAGATTTGACATTGTTTTACTTTATTTGCACTAAAATTTAATGCAAATATTTATTGTAATTATCTATAGATTACATAAAATACTTGTCTTATTTACGGTTTCATTTAGCAGGTGGTCCTGTAATTGCCAACAATATAGTGGTCGACCATTGATGACAAATACTAGTATATAATACTCGGATCCGTAGTCGACAATACTTTCGAGACTTTGATGTAATTGTTGGTTGAGTTGATCCAAAAATATCGGTTGTTTACACTTTGGTTCTTTACAATCATTGCATTTCTTTTCCCAAAGTTTTATCTCAGAGTAAATCATTTCTATTTGAAACAATTTCACACATATGTTGTTATGCTTATCATAAATCATATGATATGTTAGATCCAATTCTTTAGTCCATTTGACAACTCGTGGACTAAATATGATAGCGTTTGTCGGATATTGAATGTCAAATGTATTTCTATAATTTTCATACTTGTATGAGAGCTGACAGTTGGTTATTAATTTACTGCCACTACTATTTGGATCCTAATGTTAGTTAATTAAATATATATATATATATATATATATATATTAATAATAATATAATTAACATAATAATAGTCTGAATGCTAAAATGCTGAACAAATTTAATAGCAATATAGAGTTTGATTATAGAAAGGGATGACTAAATAGAGAGATTACAGATTTTATTTATTCAGTAAAAATAACATTAAAGTTATACAAAATTGACCGTAAAAGTGGTGTAACAATTGTAGGTGTTTTCCATTTCTACCGGAAATGGAAGCTTAAATATAGCACTAAATCTATTGATAATCGGTTTGTCCAGCGATTTGAATGTCGATTCATTCACCGATATACTGGTCTTATTACTGATTAGTTGCCACTCATGTGTGGTAGTGCTACCAACTCTTGTATATAACATCAACTTATCCAAGTGCCACTGTTTATCTGTCTTTACAGTCCACCAGTGTCTGTACATACGTGAGCCCCGGTATATGCTATTGGGTGCCACCGATTCACACAATGAATTGCAACTTATGTTGTCAGACATCGATATCAATATTATCACTGAAGTTATCAATGATTTAACAATTTTGGTACACATTGTCATTGGTTTTAAAGACTACTACAATAAAAACAAATTTAATGGATGTATTAATTGATGTTGAAATTAATGATAAAATTTTAGTTCACAACCGTTTAATTAAATGTTTTGTAGTTATGACTTAAATATTTATTATTGAATTTATACAATTTATTTATGAGCGCGTGTTTGTATTGTTAGCTAAATTGTATTAAATGCTTATTAAAAAATGAATTGTATTGATAATAATATAAATTATTTATAAATATAATGATTAGTTAGAGATAAAAATTGTCCAAATTATTGGTTAGATTGGGTTGAGTTTTAAACACTTCTAGAAATGGCATCAAATGTAAAAAAGTTGTAAATAGATTAAACAAATTTGATAAAAACTTTTTTGATTTTAATGTAAATACTTTTAATAGTTTACCAAAAAATATTAAAGAAGAAACTAATTTTAATAAGTTTTTAAATATGATTAATGATTTTTATAATTAATTTTATATTTATTTTATAAATAATTTTATATTTTAATTTTTAAATAATTTCATAATTAATGTATTGATTTTATAGACCTGTAATTAATAGTTATAAATGTAAATTTTGATTTTCATGACAAGTACATGAATAAAAGTTATTATTATTATTATTATATACTGTAAACACATGTATAATATACCTATAACAACAAATTAACTACAAGTTTATTAAAATATTATAAATTCAAATTTACAAAACCTACAGTTTTAGTGTACAGCCCTGTATACTGTATATATCCCTTATAATAATCGCTGTAGTATTAAATTAATATTATATTTACTAAAACAAAATAAAAAAAAACTTTGCAAATAAAATTGATGAGAAATTATATCTTTTAATTGATTATTTTTGATTTATTTATTAAATTTTATTATATATGTACATACAGTATATGCACAATATATTTGCATTTATAATTGCATTATTGTTTATTAATTTCATTGTCATAAATATCAAGTATAAGAAAAAAATTATTTGTTTATTTAGCATAAATCATTACCCGCTATATATATATATCTACTATACCGTAATTCAATATATATATATATATATAATTAATGTATTTTTAGACACATTTATTCCTTATACAACTTATGTAATATTAATTATTAATTTTTATTATAAAACTTGATAACATACACAACAAATCATAGACATTGTCATTACGGTTGCTGTTAATTATGAATAAAATATGCATTCATAGCATCTGTATGTATGTCTGTATAATATTTATAATTAAAATATATTCAAACAATCATATTTAGTTTATAGTACGGAAATATATTAATTACTAGATATTGATTATATGGAAATAATTGGCTAAACTATTATTATTTATCGTTAATAACTTATAAAGTATTTCAAATCAATCTATTTTTATTTAAAAAAAAACTATTATTTTCATAATAATTTCAAACTTTTTGTTGTGATAGTCTGTTCCTCTGTACTCCATTGCTGTCGTCCAATAATACACTGTTGTTGTCGATATCTTTTACCGATCAATACTATGTCGATGACAGCGAAAATGACAGCAATGATCACCAAAACAATTAGTATTATTACATACATTGTAATGTCGATTTCGTCTTTGGTTATGATGTCGGTATTGTTGAAACAATTTGGCAAAAACTTTAACATTGTTTTGCTTGATTTGCACTGAAATTTAATGTAAATTTTTAATGTAATGTAATTTATTGATTATAAATATATGTAATGTTTACGGTTTCATTTAGCTGCTGGTCTTGTAATTGCCAACAATATAGTGGTCGACCATTGATCACAAATAATAGTATATAAGAGTTGTTTCCGTAGTCGACAATACTTTCGAGACTTTGATGTAATTGTTGGTTGAGTTGATCCAAAAATATCGGTCGTTTACACTGTAGTTCTTTACAATCATTGCATCCCATTTCCGATAGTCGGATATCATTGTAGTGAAACAATTTCACACATTTGTTGTTACGCTTATCATAAACCATATGATATGTTAGATCCAATTCTTGAGTCCATTTGACAACTCGTGGACTAAATATGATAGCGTTTGGCGGATATTGAAAGTCAAATGTATTTTGATATTCTGGATGATGGTGTGGAAGTTGACAATTGATTATTAATTTACTGTCATTATCATTAGGATCCTATTAGATATTTGATTAAAAATAAAATATTAATAATTAATTAAAGATAGGGTCAATATTTTTTAAAAAGTGAGATTACAGTAGATTTGTTAAGATTTTATTTATACATTAAAACAATAGTTTTTAATTAATTTACTAAACAAACAAACAAAAAAAACTAACCGTAAAAGTGGTGTAACAATTATAGCTGCATTCGTGATCTTCCACTAATGAGAGTATTACTCGAAACCTAAATATACCATCAAATCTATTGATAATCGGTGTGTCCAGCGATTTGAATGTCGATTCATTCACCGATATAGTGGTTTCATTAATAATCAGTTTCCACTGATGTGTTGTAGTGGTATTTACTCGGGTATATAACACCAATTTCTCAGTAAAGTACCAGTTTTTATCACTTTTACCACTTATCATATACCAGTGTCTGTACATACGTGAGCCCCGGTATATGCCATTGGGTGCCACCGATTCACACACTGAACTACAGCTTATGATGTCAGACATCGATATCAATATTATCACTGAAGTAATCAATAATTTAACAATTTTTGCACACATTGTCATTAATTTTACAGACTATTACAATATAAAAAAACAATTTGATAGATATATTAATTGGTTTTAAAGACAGTGATTGAAATTAGTGATAAAATGTTAGTTCACAACCGTTATTAATTAGTTATTTGTTGTTATGACTTAAATATTTATTATTGAATTTATACAATTTATTTATGAACACGTGTTTGTATTGTTAGCTAAATTGTATTAACATCTTATTTAAAAAATGAATTGTATTGAAAATATAGTATATTTACAAATAAAATGATAGTTTGATGGAAATGCCATATAAGTGCCAAACTATTAGTCCAATAGATTTCATTGTATTATTGGCTGCTATTTGGAAACCAATTTGTTTGTCAATTGATTTTAATTGTCTAAATTATATTAACTGTTTAATAACAATGAATTATTTGGTAGAATATATTGACAAATAAAATATAATACATGTATATATAAATTTGTAAAAAAGTATTATTAATTACAACTCTAGTCTTACAACTATTAAAAATAATTTTTTATAGTTTTTGTCGTAGTATTAAATTTAGTTTAGATTAGTTGGTGACTAAAAAAAAAAAATATATATATATATATACAATAATGTATGTTAATATCGGATTTACGCCTTTATGAGAAAATTTTAGTTTTTTTTTTGACAAAAACAATTATTTCGGACCTAATAACTATATACTTAAAAACTCAATTTTATTATAAAAACCAAATTAACCAATTTTTAGTAATAGAAAAATATAATTTTGTTTTGTAAAATATGCTGATCTGGGTATTGATAAAATAGTACATAAAAATACAGAATATTAGTTATTACAGTATTAGTAGTATTATTTATAATAATTGTAAATAATTGTTTATAATAAGTTTTTAAAATGTTTTTTTTTTGAAAAACCAATATTTTGAAAAATCATATCACATATTTTGTTATATTAAAGTATAATAATATACTGTATATTGATTTTTTAATTTTATTTATTGAAAATTCATAGCAAAGTTTGTGTTTTTGTCGATGATTTTCTTAACATTGTATGAATAGTCTGTTCCTCTGTACTCCATTGCTGTCCAATAATATACTTTTGTTGTCGATATCTTTTACCGATTAATACTATGTCGATGACAGCGAAAATGACAGCAATGATCACCAAAACAATTAGTATTATTACATATATTGTATTGTCTGTTTGGTTGTCGTCGTTGTATTTGTCTTCATTGATGACACAATTAGGCAATAGATTTGACATTGTTTTACTTGATTTGCACTGAAATTTAATGCAAATATTTATTATAATTATCTATAGATTACATAAAATACTTGTCTTATTTACGGTTTCATTTAGCAGGTGGTCCTGTAATTGCCAACAATATAGTGGTCGACCATTGATGACAAATATTAGTATATAATACTCGGATCCGTAGTCGACAATACTTTCGAGACTTTGATGTAATTGTTGGTTGAGTTGATCTAAAAATATCGGTTGTTTACACTTTGGTTCCTTACATTCATTGCATCCCATTTCCAGTAATTTGATTTTAAAGATATTAACTTTTATGTGAAGTAATTTCACACATTTGTTGTTACGCTTATCATAAACCATATGATATGTTAGATCCAATTCTTCAGTCCATTTGACAACTCGTGGACTAAATATGATAGCATTTGCCGGATATTGAATGTCAAATCTATTTTCAAGGATTGAATAATTTGAATGTTGTTTTGGGATTTCACATTTAGTTATCTGATCTGATTTACTATCATCACCATTAGGATCCTAATTATATTTAATTAATTATTGTCAATCTCTTGAGTAATATAATAATAGACTAAATGCTAAGTTAACAACAATTAGTTAGATAAGAGAAAGGGTTGACTAAATAAAAGTAAGTTTACAATCGATTAGTTTAGGTTTTATTTATCAGTAAAACAACAGTTGATTTGTTTAATTAATTTACAAAACAAATGAAAAAAAACTGACCGTAAAAGTAGAATAACAATAATAACTGTCTTCTATACGAATTCCTAAGTATTGAAACCTAAATATAGCACCAAATCTATAGACAATCGGTGTGTTCAGCGATTTGAATGTCAACTCATTCACCGATACAGTGGTCTCATTAATGATCAATTGCCACTCATGTGTTGTTGTGGTATTAACTCTGGTATATAACATCAATTGATCCAGGTGCCCTGTCTTTACAGTCGACCAGTGTCTGTACATACATGAGCCACGGTATATGCCATTGGGTGCCACCGATTCACACACTGAACTGCAATTTATGTTGTCAGACATCGATATCATTATTATCACTAAAGTTATCAATGATTTAACAATTTTGGTACACATTGTCATCAGTTTTAAAGACAATTACAATAAAATAACAATTTAATGATTGTTTTAATTGGTGTTAAAATTAATGATAAAATCTTTGTTTACAACAGTTTAATTTGTTGTTTGTAATTATAACTTAAAAATTTATTATTGAATTTATACAATATATTTATGAGCGCGTGTTTGTATTGTTAATTAAAAACTAAATTGTATTTAAAATATAGTATATTTACAAATACCAAATGCCAAACCAGTGCTATACTATTAGTCCAATTGATTTCACTGTATATATTATACAGTATATATTATTGGCCGTTATTTGAAAACTAATCTATTTGTCAATTGATTGGTTGTATAGATATTGGCTGTTCTTTACTATAGCTGCCACTTGTTGTTCACGCGATTAATATTTAATACAATTTTAATGCTAAATATACTAATGTCGCGTGAATTACAATTAATTTTTATTGTTAATAAATGTTAAATTATAAAAATTTTCTACATAACAAATAAGTTATTAAATTAATTAGGTTAGGTTAAGTTAACATTTGTGTAATACCATTATAATTAGGTTAAGGTTGCGGATCGAACACCAGGTTAGGTAACGGAGCAAACACTAATACTTTTTAATAATTTATACCATAATACCAATACAGACATAACTTTCAAGACAGACATATGATAGAAAATATTCTCTAATTTAATGTATAATAAATTAATTGTAATTCACGCGACATTAGTATATTTATCGTTAAAATTGTATTAAATATTAATCGCGTGAACAACAAGTGGCAGCTATAGTAAAGAACCCCCTAGATATTATCAATAGATTAGAAATATTTTATAAAATAACTTTTTTTTAAATTTATTTATTGAAAACTATTTTTCAAAATCATAGCAAAGTTTGTGTTTTTGTCGATGATTTTCTTAACATTGTATGGATAGTGTCTTCCTCTGTACTCCATTGCTGTCCAATAATATACTGTTTTTGTCGATATCTTTTACCGATTAATACTATGTCGATGACAGCGAAAATGACAGCAATGATCACCAAAACAATTAGTATTATTATATACAATGTATTGTCTGTTTGGCTGTCGGTCTCGTCGTTGGCTTTGGTGTCGGTATTGTTGAAACAATTTGGCAAAAACGGTGACATTGTTTTGCTTGATTTGCACTGAAATTTAATGTAAATATTTAATATAATTATCTATTGATTAAAATTTTTTTTGTCATACATACTGTTTCATTTAGCTGTTGGTCTTGTAATTGCCAACAATATAGTGGTCGACCATTGATCACAAACACTAGTATATAATAGTCGGTTTCGTAGTCGACAATACTTTCAAGACTTTCATGCAATTGTTGGTTGAGTTGATCTAAAAATATCGGTGATTTACAATGTGTTTCATTACACTGTTTGCATCTCTTTTCCATTAATGTCATATTTGTGTTCATGTAAAGCAATTTATTACAGTTGTAGTGCTTATCATAAACCATATGATATGTTAGATCCAATCGTATACTAAATATGATAGCATTTGTCGGATATTGAATGTTAAATGTATTGTTATAATCTTTATCATTGTATGTGATCTGACAGTTGGTTATTAATTTACTGACACTACTATTTGGATCCTAATGTTATTTAATTAAAAAGACCAATAATCGCATAATTAACATAAGGAATGAAAGATTTTAGATTAGGTTTTATTTATTCAGTAAAATAATTAAAATAGTATTAGAGATGCAAAAAAAAGACCTGAAAAGTGGTGTAACAATTGTAAATGTTTTCTTGATTAACCCGATTTCTAAACTTAAATATAGCACCAAATCTATTGATAATCGGTTTGTCCAGCGATTGGAATGTCGACTCATTCACCGATATAGTGGCCTTATTAATGATCAGTTGCCACTCATGTGTGGTAGAGGTATTTACTCTGGTATATAGCATCAACTTATCCAAATGCCACTGTTTATCTGTCTTTACAATCGACCAGTTTCTGTACATACGTGAGCCCCGGTATATGCTATAGGGTGCCACCGATTCACACACTGAACTACAACTTATGTTGTTAGACATCGATATCAATATTATCACTGAAGTTATCAATGATTTAACAATTTTGGTACACATTGTCATTGGTTTTAAAGACTACTACAATAAAAAACAATTTAATGGATGTATTAATTGGTGTTAAAATTAATGATAAAATCTTAGTTCACAACCGTTTAATTAGTTGTGTGTATTATAGTTATGATTTAAATAGTTATTATTGAATTTATACAATTTATTTATGAACGCGTGTTTGTATTGTTAGCTAAATTGTATTAAATGTTTATTTTAAAAAAAATCAATGTTTTATTAAATAAAGTTTTTTATATAAAATTTATTTCTGTTGTGAACTATTTTTCAAATTCATAGCAAAGTTTGTGTTTTTGTCGATGATTTTCTTAACATTGTATGAATAGAGTCTTCCTCTGTACTCCATTGCTGTCCAATAATACACTGTTTTTGTCGATATCTTTTACCAAACAATACTATGTCGATGACAGCGAAAATGACAGCAATGATCACCAAAACAATTAGTATTATTACATACAATGTATTGTCTGTTTGGTTGTCGTCGTTGTATTTGTCTTCTTCATTGATGATACAATTTGGCAATAGTTTTGACATAGTTTTACTTGATTTGCACTGAAATTAAATGCAAATATATATTTATATCTATAGATTACATAAAATACTTGACTTATATACTGTTTCATTTAGCCGGTAGTCCTGTAATTGCCAACAATATAGTGGTCGACCATTGATGACAAATATTAATATATAATACTAGTAATAGTCAACAATACTTTCAAGACTTTCACGCAATTGATGGTTGAGTTGATCTAAAAATATCGGTTGTTTACAATGTGTTTCATTGCAATCTTTGCATCCGATTTCTAATAATTTGATTTGAAATGAATATACTTTTATGTTAAGCAATTTCACACAATTTTTATCATAAACCATATGATATGTGAGATCTAGATCTTGAGTCCATTTGACAACTCGTGGACTAAATATGATAGAGTTTGACGAATAGTTAAAGTCAAATGTATTCAAAAACATTTGATTATTAGTTTATTATCTGTACCATTAGGATCCTAATTATATTTAATTAATAAAATAAATTATGTATTCAATATACAGTATATATATTGTTTATCTCCTAAATAGCATAATAATATACTAAATGCTAAGTTAATAATAACAACAATTAGTTACATTAGAGGAAGGGGTGAATAAATAATAGTAAGTTTATATTAGATTAGGTTTTATTTTTTTATCAGTTGTTGTTTTTAATTAATTTTTTTTAAATAAACAAACAAAAATACTGACCGTATAAGTAGTATAACAATTGTAATTGTATTCTTGGAGTCCTGTGTATCGAAACTTTAATATACCATCAAATCTATTGACAATCGGTGTGTCCAGCGATTTGAATGTCGACTCATTCACCGCTATAGTGGTCTCATTAATGATCAATTGCCACTCATGTGTTGTTGTAGTATTAACTCTGGTATATAACACCAATTGATTCAGATGTCTTGTTTGATTTTTGATTAACGTCCACAAGTGTCTGTACATACGTGAGCCCCGATATGTGCCATTGGGTGCCAAAGATTCACACAATGAACTGCAACTTATGATATCAGAAATCGATATCAATATTATCACTGCTTTAAATACTTTAGCAATTTTGGTAGACATTGTCATCGGATTTAAAGACTACTACAATAATAATACAATTTGATAGATCTATTAATTGATGTTAAAAATAATGATTATATTTTAGTTCACAACCGTTTAATTAGTTGTTTATGATTATGATTTAAATATTTATATAATTGAATTTATATAATTTATTTATTAGCGCGTATTTATTTTGTGAGCTAAATTGTATTAACTTCATATAACAATCAACTATAATAGACATTAATAAATTAAAAAATAATAATCGGATAATTATAATGAAATAAATATAATAAATTTCTAGATAAAAATAAATTAGAAGTTTACAAAAATCATTAAAAATTTTATTTAATAACTTAAACTAACTATACAGCTATAGTTAATAGCAATTAAATGAATTTTTGTTAGTTGTCTCTGTAGTATTAAATTGAATACATTGAAAAACATGTTTAAAAATACATTTATTTAAAAAAAAATATATTTTAAAACTCATTGCAAAATTTCTAATCCTTTTATATATAAAATATATTAACAGTTATACCCAGATTTTTATCAATTTCTATACCCATCATTAAATCGAAAACTTTTCGCAATACAAGTATAGATATTATTCAATTAATTAGAAATGTTTTATTAAAAAAGTGTTTTTTATATAAAATTTATTTCTGTTGTAAACTATTTTTCAAATTCATAGCAAAGTTTGTGTTTTTGTCGATGATTTTCTTAACATTGTATGAATAGTCTGTTCCTCTGTACTCCATTGCTGTCCAATAATATACTGTTTTTGTCGATATCTTTTACCGAACAATACTATGTCGATGACAGCGAAAATGACAGCAATGATCACCAAAACAATTAGTATTATTACATACAATGTATTGTCTGTTTGGTTGTAGTCGTCATATTTGTCTTCACTGATGTTGACATTGATGATACAATTTGGCAATAGTTTTGACATAGTTTTACTTGATTTGCACTGAAATTAAATGCAAATATATATTTATATCTATAGATTACATAAAATACTTGTCATATATACTGTTTCATTTAGCCGGTGGTCCTGTAATTGCCAACAATATAGTGGTTGACCATTGATGACAAATACTAATATATAATACTCGGTTCCGTAGTCGACAATACTTTCAAGATTTTCATGCAATTGTTGATTGAGTTGATCTAAAAATATCGGTTGTTTACACTTTGGTTCTTTGCAATCTTCGCATCTGATTTCTAATAATTTGATATAAAATACATCTACTTTTATGTTAAGCAATTTCACACAATTTTTATCATAAACCATATGATATGTGAGATCTAGATCTTGAGTCCATTTGACAACTCGTGGACTAAATATGATAGAGTTTGACGAATAGTTAAAGTCAAATGTATTTTCATGGACTATGAATTCTGAATGTGGTTTTGAGAGTTCACATTTGGTTATCAGTTTAGTACTATTAGAATCCTAATTATATTTAATTAATAAAAAAATTATTTATACAATATATACTTAATGCTAAGTTAACAACAAAAACAACAATTAGTTAGATTAGAGGAAGGGGTGACTAAATAATAGTAAGTTTATATTAGTTTAGGTATTATTTATTTATCAGTTTTTAATTAATTTTTTTTTAACAAACAAACAAAACTGACTGTAAAAGTAGTATAACAGTAATAACTGTCTTCTTCACGGACTACTGTGTATTGAAACTTAAATATAGCACCAAATCTATTGACAATCGGTGTGTCCAGCGATTTGAATGTCGACTCATTCACCGCTATAGTGGTCTCATTAATGATCAATTGCCACTCATGTGTTGTTGTAGTATTAATTCTGGTATATAACATCAATTGATCCAGGTGCCCTGTCTCTACACTCGACCAGTGTCTGTACATACGTGAGCCCCGATATGTGCCATTGGGTGCCAAAGATTCACACAATGAACTGCAACTTATGATATCAGAAATCGATATCAATATTACCACTGCTTTAAATACTTTAGCAATTTTGGTAGACATTGTCATCGGATTTAGAGACTACTACAATAATAATACAATTTGATAGATCTATTAATTGATGTTAAAAATAATGATTATATTTTAGTTCACAACCGTTTAATTAATTGTTAAATTTATGATTTAAATATTTATTATTGAATTTATATTATTTATTTATTAGCGCGTATTTATTTTGTGAACTAAATTGTATTAACTTCATATAACAATCAACTATATAGACATAAATAAAATTGAAAAATAATAATCGGAAAATTATAATGAAATAAATATAATAAATTTCTAGATAAAAAATAAATACAAGTTTACAAAAATCATTATACAGCTATAGTTAATATCAATTAAATGGATTTTTGTTAGTTGTCGCTAAAATTAATTAAATTGAATACATTTAAAAACATGTTTAAAAATACATTTATTTAAAATATTTTTTAAAACTCATTAAAAAATGTGTAATCCTTTTTATCTATAACCTATAACCAACAGTTATACAATTAATTTAATAAATAATATAATTAATATACATCAATATAACAATTATACTCTATACCCCAAGATTTTTTTTATCGTTTTACCCTCCTATACCCCCCCCCCCATTAAATCGAAAACTTTTCGCAACTCAAGTATAGATATTATTCAATTAATTCAAAGTGTTTTATTAAATAAAGTTTTTTATATAAAATTTATTTCTGTTGTAAACTATTTTTCAAATTCATAGCAAAGTTTGTGTTTTTGTCGATGATTTTCTTAACATTGTATGAATAGTCTGTTCCTCTGTACTCCATTGCTGTCCAATAATATGCTGTTGTTGTCGATATCTTTTACGGATCAATACTATGTCGATGACAGCGAAAATGACAGCAATGATCACCAAAACAATTAGTATTATTACATACATTGTATTGTCTGTTTGGTTGTATTTGTCTTCATTGATGACACAATTAGGCAATAGATTTGACATTGTTTTACTTGATTTGCACTGAAATTTAATGTAAATATTTAATATAATTATCTATTGATTAAAATTTTGTTGTCATATATACTGTTTCATTTAGCTGGTGGTCTTGTAATTGCCAACAATATAGTGGTCGACCATTGATCACAAATAATAGTATATAAGAGTTGTCTCCGTAGTCGACAATACTTTCGAGACTTTGATGTAATTGTTGATTGAGTTGATCCAAAAATATCGGTCGTTTACACTTTAGTTCTTTACATTCATCGCATTTCTTTTTCCATAGTTTTAACTTTAAGTCACTTATTCCTATGCGAATCAATTTCACACATTTGTTGTTACGATTATCATAAACCATATGATATATTGTTTGATTCAATTCTTCAGTCTGTTTGACAATTCGTGGACTAAATATGATAGCGTTTGGCGGATATTGAAAGTCAAATGTATTTTCATGAAATGGATTCTGGTTTGTCATCTGACAGTTGGTTATTAATTTACTGCCACTACTATTTGGATCCTAATGTTATTTAATTAATATATATATATATTAATATTGATAATCATATAATTAACAAAATAATAGTCTGAATGCTAAGCTAACAACAAATATAACAACAATATAGAGTCAGATTAGAGAAAGGGATGACTCAATAGAAATAGATTATAGATTTTATTTATTCAGTAAAAATAAGGCTAATTCGGACTTTACGCACATTAGAAAAAATTGATTTTTTTTAACAGAAAATAGTTAATTATGATCTAAAAAACATATATCCATCAAAATTATTGCGCGGAAACACCTAAAACCAAACTAAAATCTAATTTAAATACCTGAGCTCTCATAACATAATTATACACTTATTATTAAATAATATAAAAAATTAATATTAAACAATCATTAAGAGCGTGATAATAATAAACATTTATAACAACTTTAATATAAATATATTGTTGTTAATACTTAACACACGAGAACTAAATTATATTTAACTATTATAATACAAGATTATTGATAATTATTCTTTTGTTTTGTTTTTCATACGTTGACTTTAAAGTGTTTATTTAAATATTATAATTTTTTATGCAAATTTCACTCATTTTTGATTAATAAAACCAATATTTGTATAAAATGTGTGATCGATTAAATCTTTTAAAGATTTACGACATCAGTAGAAGTGAGAATTGCATACAACAACTTCAAAATTGGGGTCTTATACCCAATGAGCCGAACTATTTGTGCCCAAAATGCGATTCTCCTCTACGTCTGTGTCCATCACCTGATATGTATGTCTATTAAAAAATAATAATTTACATAAAATTTTGTTTATTTCACATTTGTTTAGCGACAAATATTCGTGGAGATGTTGGGCTAAGGTTTCACAGCGAAAACAAAAGGCTAAGCAGTGTAACACAGAAAGATCATTAAGATCCGGGACTTTCTTTGGAGGATCACATCTAAGTATTTATCAGATACTTGGATTCGTTAACTTTTGGGTATCCAATGCTTCTCATCAATTAATTGCTGATCAATTAGATATTAATGTGTCGACAGTCACTGATTGGGCTAGTTTTTGCCGAGAAGTGGTATACGACTCTATGGTTAGCAATAAGGAAAAACTGGGGGGTACGGGACGTACAGTACAAATAGATGAGGCAAAATTTGGCAAACGGAAATATGAAAAGGGCCACAAAGTTGAGGGCCAATGGGTCAGAAAACATAGTTTTAGTTTAAAAATATTCTAATATTTTTTAATTTTTACAGGTTTTCGGTGGTATAGAAGAAGAATCTGGACGTGTTTTCATGATACCGGTTGACAAACGTGACTCCTCAACTTTGATACCCATAATAAAAGATTGGGTACATCCAGGAACTACTATCGTTTCCGATTGCTGGCGTGCCTACAGCTGTCTGACTGATAATGGGTACACACATATGACTGTCAATCATAAACTCAATTTCAAGGATCCATTAACTGGTGCTCATACTAATCGCATTGAGGCTTCATGGCGAGCTGCCAAGGATAATTTGAAGTCGGGAAGTCGCAAAAAATCCTTTTTTCCCAGTCATTTGGCGAAATATATGTTTCTCAAGATGTGTCGTTTACAATCATTAAATCCAACCATCACTTTTTTTAAAATGGCTGGTGAACTTTATAATCCTATAAATGCAAATGTAGAAACTATTCAAACTGTTGACATTGATAGTGAAATTGTTTTTAATGAATTTAACTAAAATTATATTATTTAGAGCTGTTGCACCTCTATCAGCAGTAAAAAAATGAGACGGTTAGATGCGACCTAAACAAAAAAGCGTGCTTAAATTTTCATTAAAATTCTTTATTTTTAATAATTATTCACAATTGTAATTTTCATTTATAAACTTTATAGTAATATTCCCCCACACCCACCCAAACAACCTAATTTTATTTTGCGGGCCCTGAAGTATGAAGTGTCTAATATAAGGTTTGATCGGCTATGGGATGAGTCGGCAAAGTATGTTAATAATGTTTTTATGTTTGTATGTCTCCCCTCCCATACATCCACACCCATCGCAACCCAATTAACAAACTTTATGGCCTGGAGTATGAAGTGTCTAATATACGGTTTGATCGTCTATGGGATCAGTTTTCAATGCATGGATCCAGGAATAAACAGTTGGCCCTAATTTTGGCCAAACATTACAATGAATTTGATAGCAATAGCGGTTGGTTTACTATTGAGGAATTGCTTCCCGAATCCCAACCAATGTATTATCAAATAATAATATACTATTTAATTATTTTTGCAAATTTTTTTCAATTAATTTATTTGTTATTAATTAAAGAGATATTGTCAACCAATTCGTAATGTTCGTCAACGACCAGCCGTTTACCGACATTGAAACCATACGTATGACTCTAGAGGTTGACGACGACGACGATATCTATCCGACTATTCAATTGACACTTAGGCCTCCAATACATATTATAGCTATCAATTTGATTGGAAAATTAACATTACATCCATGAGCCGGAAGAGGAGGCATTTGTTTTCAAGTTTATTTTTAATACTAATAAATATCTATATATTATAGTAAATTTATTTGTAATTTATTAGTAAACAAAATATATTTATTGTATTAAACAGTATTATAGATAATTATTTATTTTTTAATAATTATAAATCAAAATTAAATACTTATTTATTATTATAAATATAGGTTAGGTTAGGTTAGGTAACGAACAAACATTGATTCAGTAACCCCAGTACTGCATAGATTAGGTTAGGTTACTATTAAAATTAGGTTAGGTTGCGGATCGAACTCCAGGTTAGGTAACGCGACAAACACTGATTCGGTAACCCAAGTACTGCATATATTAGGTTAGGTTACTATTGAAAATTAGGTTAGGTTGCGGATCGAACTCCAGGTTAGGTAACGCGACAAACACTGATTCGGTAACCCAAGTACTGCATATATTAGGTTAGGTTACTATTGAAAATTAGGTTAGGTTGCGGATCGAACTCCAGGTTAGGTAACGCGACAAACACTGATTCGGTAACCCAAGTACTGCATATATTAGGTTAGGTTACTATTGAAAATTAGGTTAGGTTGCGGATCGAACTCCAGGTTAGGTAACGCGACAAACACTGATTCGGTAACCCAAGTACTGCATATATTAGGTTAGGTTACTATTGAAAATTAGGTTAGGTTGCGGATCGAACTCCAGGTTAGGTAACGCGACAAACACTGATTCGGTAACCCCAGTACTGCATAGGTTAGGTTAGGTTAGGTTAGGTTAGGTTAGGTTAGGTTAGGTTAGGTTAGGTTAGGTTAGGTTAGGTTAGGCTAGGTTAGGTTAGGTTAGGTTAGATTAGGTTAGGTTTGGTTTGGTTTGGTTTGGTTTGGTTTGGTTTGGTTTGGTTTGGTTTGGTTTGGTTTGGTTTGGTTTGGTTTGGTTTGGTTTGGTTTGGTTTGGTTTGGTTTGGTTTGGTTTGGTTTGGTTTGGTTTGGTTTGGTTTGGTTTGGTTTGGTTAGGTTAGGTTAGGTTAGGTTAGGTTAGGTTAGGTTAGGTTAGGTTAGGTTAGGTTTGGTTTGGTTTGGTTTGGTTTGGTTTGGTTTGGTTTGGTTAGGTTTGGTTTGGTTTGGTTTGGTTTGGTTTGGTTTGGTTTGGTTAGGTTAGGTTAGGTTAGGTTGAAAATAAAAATAACATTGCTATAAATTAAAATTGAAAATATATCAATAATTTTTTTGGGTTTGAATTAAAATATTGTTTTTGGGAAAATGTGTCAGACATATATACAAAAATCCAGAGAATATTATCTTAAAGTATTATCTTGATAGTCATTGACAACAATATTATTTTATAAAAGTTATTATAAATGTTTATATAGTTCTCGCGCTTAACAATAGATTAATATTAACTTTTTTATAATTAATTTATAATTATGTTATGAGAGCTCAGGTATTTAAATTAGATTTTAGTTGGGTTTTAGGTGTTTCCGCGCAATAATTTTGATGGATATATGTTTATTAGTTACCAATTAACTAATTCCTGTTGAAAAAAATCAATTTTTTCTAATGTGCGTAAACTCCGTATAGGCCAAAAATAACATTAAAGTTACACAAAACTGACCGTAAAAGTTGTGTAACAATTGTAGGTGTATTCGCTTTCTAGCGGAAATATACCATCAAATCTATTGATTATCGGTTTGTCCAGCGATTTGAATGTCGACTCATTCACCGCTATACTGGTCTCATTAACGATTAGCTGCCACTCATGTGTGGTAGAGGTATTTACTCGGGTATATAACACCAATTTGTCAGCAAAGTACCACTTTTTATCTTTATTTGTCAGATACCAGAATCTGTATATACGTGAGCCCCGGTATATGCCATTGGGTGCCACCGATTCACAAACTGAACTGCAACTTATGTTGTCAGACATCGATAGTAATATTATCACTGAAGTTATCAATGATTTAACAATTTTGGTACACATTGTCATTGATTTTAAAGACTACTGCAATAAAAATCAATGTAATGGATGTATTAATTGATGTTGAAATTAATGATAAAATTTTAGTTCACAACCGTTTAATTAAATGTTTTGTAGTTATGACTTAAATATTTATTATTGAATTTATACAATTTATTTATGAGCGCGTATTTGTATTGTTAGCTAAATTGTATTAACTGCTTATTAAAAACTGAATTTTATTGATAATAAAAATATATTTATAAATATAATGATATACTGTATGATATAATGTATAATATAGCTATAACAACAAATTAACTACAAGTTTATTAAAATATTATAAATTCAAATTTACAAAACCTACAATTTTAGTGTAGTATACTGTATACATGTATATCCCTTAAAATAATCGCTGTAGTATTAAATTAATATTATATATAAAACAAAACAAAAAAAAACATTGCAAATAAAACTGATGACAAATTTTATCTTCTAATAGATTTAATTATTTTTAATTTATTTTATTAAATTTGATTATATATTTATATACAGTATATATAAAATTACAATACATTTGTAACAAATATTTAAAAAACAACATTACTTTTCTTTAACTTTACTCTTCATTTTTATTGATATCAATGTTGTTGTTGACGGCAAATGCACTGAACCGGTAGTTTAGTAATACCAGTGCCATACTATCAGTCCAATTGATTTCATTGTAAATATTGTTGGCCGCTATTTGAAAACCAGTTTGCGGTTCGGACACATAATTTTTACCCCAAACCAACTGTTCGGAGTTGAATGCAAACAGAGATACTTTGGGAAACACTGTTTGAAAGATGGTATCAATTGATTGGTCTTCAATGATGACATGACGACCGAATAGGTAGGCAATGGTAATCGAATCGCTGGTATTGTCTGAGTCAAAGCCTAGAGCGGCCCGAAATGCAGTCAACTTTTGCTGATATAACTGGACGGTCGACAAATTTGTTGCCAACACAATACTGGCTGCCCGGACACCGGCGCCTCCGATTGTGATGACCAACGGGTCACACAAATAAGGCTCGCGTAGCCGAGTCGGCTCTCCTTTACGCCAGTGTTTGAGTCCGTTTGCAACGCCGCCACCGAAGGCCACCTGATTGTTGAACTGGTCGACCATAAGATGTCTCAAAGCGCCGGTAAACTCAAAGTTCATCCATTCTCTATGCGTCTGTCGATTCATTAACTTTCGCGACCGAAACACTAACACACACTTGACATCTGTACTGACAATACCCTCCAGCGATCGGTACGTCCGAACAGTTATGTCATTGCTGGCAGACATCAATAGTGCCATTAGATTTGTCTCTACCGGTTGTGGATGAAAGTGAATATATTGGTTCATATCATTGACCGCTTGGTTATAGTTAGGCAGCTGTTGCTCATTATTGGCAGTCAATTGTACACAATTTTCCAGATGTGTTGTCCTCGGCTGCTCCAGACCTATGTCGACAAAATGAATTTGACAGCCGTTCGGCAATCCTTTGGCCAATTGGTGGACACTATTGACAGTTTTGCGATCGTCTATTGACTGGTAACCCCTGACGAAGACAATGATCTCCGTGGGTATGATTCGCAGTCCAGTATGCGACCAGACGCTCAGTCGTGTGTATAGTGGCGACACTGATATCTCTAATTCATTGGTCGTACCGTTAATGGAGACCAATTGGATGCCTGTTCGCCGGCGTAGTCTGTATTGAGCCGCTTCTCGAAAATTATGATTAACACCCATACAGTTGTATAGAGACCTGACATCCAAATATTCGGTAATCATATTGAGTACATCCGGATGACCCAACACCTGATCTTTGAGTGCATCCATTATTCTGTGCGGATGTACTATACTGTCCAGTGATTGATTGATTTTTTTGTTTGTTTGTTTAACGTCTAAACAAAACTAACTGTTCACACAAAATGATTCAGTCTATCATTTCAATCAATTCAATGATTTTTTTTTGAAAGTTTTTATTAAAATTTTTTATATTACAACAATTGTAATGTTTTAAAAAAACATTTATCGTAATCTTAATCTACAATTAACTTAGTACTGTCTAAATACCAATAATAAAGTGGCTATTCATATATCATACATGTCTTTAAATTACAACATCAATTGATTAGTTAAATGAAAACTTGTTAAATACTATACAATTAATTAATTAATTTACATCAATATAACAATTATATTCTATACCCCAAGATTTTTTTAATCGTTTTACCCCCCTATACCCCCCAATTAAATCGAAAACTTTTCGCAACTCAAGTATAGAAATTATTCAATTAATTAGAAGTTTTTTTATTAAATAAAGTTTTTTATATAAAATTTATTTCTGTTGTAAACTATTTTTCAAATTCATAGCAAAGTTTGTGTTTTTGTCGATGATTTTCTTAACATTGTATGAATAGTGTTTTCCTTTGTACTCCATTGCTGTCCAATAATATACTGTTTTTGTCGATATCTTTTACGGATCAATACTATGTCGATGACAGCGAAAATGACAGCAATGATCACCAAAACAATTATTATTATTATAAATAATGTATTGTCTGTTTGGTTGTCGTCGGCATTGATGAAACAATTTGGCAAAAACTTAGACATTGTTTTGCTTGAATTGCACTAAAAGTTTAATGTAGTTATTAATAATTAGTGTATTGATTAATAATTTTTTATACTCTATTAAATAGTTGTTATAATAGTTGCTTAAAAAAGTCAAATAGTTTTTAAAATAGTTATTTAAACTGTATTAAATAGTTGTATATAATTGCTAAAAAAGCCAAATAGTTATTGAAATAGTTATTTATTTTTTTATAAATATTTCAACTGATATATATTCATTTGTTTGCAGCATATTTACAAAAATGATTTATATAAATAAACTAATTATTTCTATTGTTAAAAAAGTAATATGAGTTGATAACAGCTTACACATTTTATATAATTTATATAATTATTACTTTTTGTTTTTACATATATTTGTACTTAATTTTACAATTTAATGCTTATATTTTTCAAAATCAATGAAATAATTATTTATAAGTTTTTATAGTTGCTAACCTAACAAATAGTTATTTATAGTTATAATAAAATTTCGGAAATAGTGTCCACTGGTCAAGTTCGGTGGACATACTAAGTCCCAGTTATAAGCGTTGAACCGACAAAATAATTTTTTTAGTTGAAAATCAAGACACTATTAATAATATAATTATTTTGTTATGACTTACTGTTTCATTTAGCTGTTGATCTTGTAATTGCCAACAATATAGTGGTCGACCATTGATCACAAATAATAGTATATAATAGTTATCTTTGTAGTCGACAATACTCTGGAGATTTTTACGCAATTCATTGCTAAGTTGATCCAAAAATTTTTGTGCTTTGCATTGGATTTGATTACAAATATTACATCCCATTTCTACTAATAAAATCTTAAACCCAACCGTTTGGACTTTAAACAGTTTAATGCATTTGTTATCATAAATCATATGATAATTGAAAACATCAATGAATTTGACAATTTTTGGTCTAAATATGATAGCGTTTGACGGATATTGAATGCTATAATTTTGTTGAAACTCCGATGAATGGACAGTCATTTCACATTTTGTCTCTAATATATCGTTATTATCATCATTGGTATACTAAACACAATTGATTTGGTTATTATTAGTATTTTAAATAAGTAATGTAATTGTTTATTGACTTGCAATGCAATCTAATGCAATGCTAACTTTAAATCTTAATCTTAACCTTAAAACTGGTGATACAATCATAGGGATCCTGATGTGTAATACTATTGACTGAAAATGCAAATATACCACCAAACCTATTGACAATCGGTTTGTCAATTGATTTGAATGTCGACTCATTAATAGATATATCCAACTCATTAAACATCAATTGCCACTCATGTGTTGTAGTGTTACTAACTCTGGTATATAATACCAATTTATAAATTGGATACAATTCTTTACCATCTTTTTGTACAATCGACCACAGTTTGTACATACGTGAGCCCCGATATATGCCATTGGGTGCCACCGATTCACACACTGAACTACAACTTATGATGTCCGACACCAATAACACTGTTATCACTGCAATAACCAATAATTTAGCTATTATTTTGGCAAACATTGTCATTGGTTTTAAAGACTATTACAATATAAAAAAACAATTTGATAGATATATTAATTGGTTTTAAAGACAGAGATTGAAATTAGTGATAAAATCTTAGTTTACAACCGTTATTAATTAGTTATTTGTAGTTTTGACTTAAATATTTATTATTAAATTTATACAATTTATTTATGAACACGTGTTTGTATTGTTAGCTAAATTGTATTAACAGCTTATTTAAAAAATGAATTGTATTGAAAATATAGTATATTTACAAATAAAATGATAGTTTGATGCAAATGTCATACAAGTGTCAAACTATTAGTCCAATAGATTTCACTGTATTATTGGCCGCTATTTGGAAACCAAATTGTTTGTCAATTGATTTTGAATTGTATTAACTGCTTAATAACAATGAATTATTTGGTAGAATATATTGACAAATAAAAGTCGGGTTAAATAAGATATAATATCCTAAATAAATAAATTCTAAATCCGATAATTTTTTTTAATGAAATTTATTAATTTTTTGGATCAATAATATGGACAATAAAGTCGAGATAACTGGATATACAATATATTGCAGATATATTTCAATAATTAGCAATATATAGATAAATATTAATAAATAGATAAAAAGTTTATTCAAAATTTAAAATAATAATTTACAACAAATAATAATTATTATTATACTAATCTATCGATTGGTAAAATAATTATAGTTAATAAATTAAAAAGAGTGGAAACAATAAATGTGTATTTTTTTATTATAATATATAAAATGTATTAAAATATAAGATCGAAAGGTTTGTTATGAGTCCATACATACACACGCGCGGGGGTTGTTGTTGTTGGGGGGTTTGGGTGGCTATCATTCATTCACTGGCCGGTGCATTGTTGACGGTATCCAAGCGTACAATACGTAGTTTTTCGTTGTCCACGTGAATGACAGCGGCTTCGTTATTATTGCCGCAATAGTGGGAACTGGAGAATATTGTCGTACACTTTTGGCCAAAATGAAATGTAAACCCTTTGGCCGGTACTTCGTGAGCCCGAACTATATGAGTCAGGCCGTTGTGCTGCAAGAAATTATTGGCAGCCTCTTCGGCAAACAGATAGGCAGTGCCGCGCTTCTGGTTCGGTAGAAAACCTTTGGCCGATTCGGGCTTAATGTTCTGCAGTTCGGCCGCTTCGATGTATACCTGTTGACTGCACGGATCCGACCACAGGATTTGCCAGCAAACGGATGAATCAGTTTCCGGATTACGCAAATCGTTGCCCTGTTTGTTGATTTCGTCGATAAGTCGGCTGTCGTGCGGTATACCTCCGTGTGCACAGTAAATGGCGTCATCGATTACGGCACAAAACGGTAGTCTATCGAACACCCGATTAGTCATTTCAAACACTTTGCTGCCCAAACTGTCACCATATTTTCGGCAACATTCACGATAGTAGGTATAGTGTCGCTGCAGTTCCCGTACTTCGTGATTGCCTCTTAACATCACTATCTTATTTGGTGCCAACATTTTCATACACATTATATAAATGGCACACTCGAGACCCCACTGTCCTCTGTCGACATAGTCGCCCAAAAACACATAGTTGGCTGTAACTAATGGCAAATTTTTCCACAAAACTCTTTCCATTGTCAACAGGTCTTCGAGATTGCCGTGAATGTCGCCGATGATGAATGCCGGCGAACTGGCCCGTGCACATCTGTCTTCGTTGGCCACAATTTTGCCGATCTGTGCACACAATTCTTCCAATAGTTTAACAAATGCTTCTCTCTGTGTCGACTCGTGCTGTAATCCCTTTCCGTCTCTATGCGTGCCTTTAATTGTATTAAACTCCCGAATCTTTTGTATAAAATAATTGGCAATTGATTTCGGATTCCATACAATATCTTCGGAAAACTTTTCACTGCTCAGACCCATTATCGACGGAGTGCTCGTACTTCTGGACAATTGTTTTGACTTATCGGAGCTCTCTTTATCCGACTTTTCTTTATCGGACTTTTCTTTATCAGACTTTTCCTTATCTGACTTTTCTTTGTCCGGATTTTCCTCGTCTGACTTGTCTTTGTCTGATTTGTCCGCGTGTTTGTCTTCTTTCTCTTTTTCTTTATTTGATTTTTCTTTATCTGATTTTTCTTTTTCTGTTTTATCCGAACCGTCCGCTGACGAAGATATCTGTTCTAATTCGGGCAGTTTTCGGCCATTAGCGCACTGGCCGCCGATCATCATATGGACACTATGTATGGCGTATTCGTACTTCTTTTCGTGACACGAACTGCAAATGCCTTTGTATTTGCGTATCTTAAGCATTGACTCCAAACTCAACTTTGTTGTCGTCCTGTGCAACGTTCGCGAGGCCATCGATCGGGATATCTGCTGAACAATTGGCCGATTAGATCGACACAAGTTATGAGTGCCGCGAAACTTGTGTGCGCCGACCGCCCGATTAAAGTCTTCAAAAAACACACCTTTCGGCTTCTGTCCGATGATTTTCATGCTCTCCGAGACTTTCGCATCGATGGCTGCAGTACTCTCTTTCGGATAGATCTCAGTGACCATCGAAGTAAACTCCTTCTTATTCAGATAGCCGTCGCCGTCCAGATCGAAGTATTTGAATATGAATTTGATACGCGACTGTCCATTCTTGGCCATCGGATCGATGGATGTCAGGCCCAATAGAAACTCGTGAAAGTCTAGAAAACCGTTTTTCTGATAATTGAATGCCCGAAACAATAGATCTAACTTTTTGTCCATCTTTTCGAAACCGTATTTCGACATATAGTCACTGAACGATACGAGTGTCATATAGAAAGCGGGAAAACAATGTTCCATATAATCGAGATATAGGCGCTCAATGTCTTTCTCTGAATAGTTGGTCGACTTAAGCATCTCTTCCTCAAGATTTCTGGGCGGATCTCGTGGTACATAAGAAAATGCTTTGTCCAGACTGTATTCAACAATCGTCAGATTTTTTGGTTTTTTGCCGGCAAGGGTGGCAAAGTCGCACAGTTCGGGACCCCAAAGGTTCGGCATCTTTCGGTTCTTTGCCTCTTCCAACGATAGCCACCGAAGTCGGCCACTATTCGAACAGCATTTGTAATCAGACTCTTTGTCCGACAGTTTAATATAGTAGAGAATTCTGGTATTGAAGATCTGTGTCTGCGGTAACTGTAGCCGAAACATATTTATACAGATCCATTGGTCGATCACTTTGTTTGGTGTTTTCACTATTTTGGCCACATTTTCGTCGCCATTGGACAGTACAGCAACTGCGCCTTCGCGGGCGCCGTCACTCCAGGTTCGGTCAGCCGGTAAGTAGACATACGGGAGCCAAATGTATTTGTTTTGAGTTTCCTGAGCGACGGCTATCTTCTGGTGTTTTGGACAGTAGACAATGTAAGCGCAAACATCGTAAATGATTTCGCCTTTGGGCGCAGTGTTCACTGGTGTCAGTCTTGAGCTAAAGTGTTTCAATTCAATTGATTGTCGTTTACTTGAATCAGAGTCTGTCGACTTGGTCTTAGCTGGCTTTGATGCCGGAGCCGAAGCCCCAGTCGTAGACTTAGCTGGCGTCGCCTGTTTGCTATTCGGCTGCGCCTTCTTTGGCGGCGATTGTACCGCTTTGGCTCCATTCTTGCCATTCTTTGCCGGCGCTGGCGGTCTATTCGGAGCACCTCTGCCACCACCAGTTGCTCTGCCTCTACCTCTGTTCGGTTTATTACCCGTAAGCCAATCCCAAAAACCGCCGCCACCACCACTCGTACCTCCGCTGCCTTTCCCCTGTGACATCTCAGATGAATGATCAACAAAAAAAAACAGATGAAAAACAATTCAAAAATATATAACACTTATAGAGAGTAACAAAAAAACAGTTGAATTATCATAAATGAGATTTTTTTTTTAAATAATTAAATATAAATCAAATAATTTGAATTCACAGTATTCAGAATCGCACGTTAACTAAATTTTAAAAATTCAATTAATAATAATAATTATTATTATTATTATTTTCTATGTTTTGTCGTTATAAATATTTTTTTGTTGTTGTAAATCTCTATCGGAACCGCTTCCCAAAAAAAAACACAAAGCAAACAAACAAATAAACAAAAAAAATGTTATACATTTATCATTGGATATTATTAGTTGCGCTAACCATTGTCGGACGGATCACTGTTTTGGTCAAAAGTCAAAGTTCGGCATCGATTTGTACGGAACCGGATGACGTCAACGGCTGGGATACCGTACGGTTTATTACATTGTTTACTGTTTACGACAAAATCTATCTGCGTTACGGTTCGTCGGAAGATATTACCAAATACTGGGTCTACGATATCAAATTGCAACAAATTTCGGACAATTCAATAGCAGCGGGTGACCTGTTTCCCGGCTGTTTCAAACTGATCCGCTACGCCAGTGCCATAGTATGCGATGAATGTCCAGATGCGGTCAAAAATTTGGTGATAATCATCGGTCGCGACAGTTTCCAGTCGTACTATGGATTTCAGACGTTTCGACACGTAAGCGGTGACCAATTTGTTAAGATTAGAGATGGATCAGAGTTGCCGAAAGATTGGCAACTGGGCGACGGCGAAGGTGTGTTCAAAATGAATGGACAGTTTCCTAAGTTTTTCCCTGAAGAACTTGTCAACGAAAAGATCAATCACAGTATTATCAATGCGTTTACGTTTTATCCGAAACATAGGCTCGTAATTATGAAATACTTTACCGATGATAAAGGCGAACGACATTTAGTTCATAGAAAAGTCAATACAGATGGATCTATTAGTCCGTTCACCGATACTATGATCAGAGGTACACCACGTATACTGAATATGATGTTCAATATTGGAAGCTATCTCTATACCATCGACAACGATCCACAGTATATGCCACTGATTTCGCATCGTATCAAAGTTGTCGAAGATCCTAATGGACAGTATGTTTTTGAAATCGAAGATCTCAACATTGATGCCAGAGATTTCTTCCACTGTAGTCCACTGCAGTACGGAGAGACGTGGCCAACAATTGAAACTGAAGAAACAATAATAACAACGACACCGACAACAGTATCTACGACCGTTGCGACCACAGCTGAGACCACTGTCGAGACGACAACAACAGAAACGGAAACATCAACTGAATCAACGGTCGCCACCGATTCGACACCAGAGAAAACAATCGACACAACAATTTCGACGACAATGATTACTACTGAACAACCTGTGAAGCCAACAAATGATACACATCCCGAAACACCTCCCGAGTCGAATGATGGACCGGACAATAAGGAAGATGGTCTACCGGACAATGTATTTTGGTTGATATTGATACTAATTGTGGTAATTATTCTCATAGTCGTACTGTGCGCTGCATTCATGTGGATTTATTTGCGAAACAAATCCAAAGGTACTGAACAGCAAATAAATTCCAGAGGAATATCAATAAAGAGACAACAGTCGTTGTCCACACATCGCGGTTCACCATCTAATGCCAGTCTCAGATCGCATCACAACGCAAGACAATCGGGTCTCGCCGAACCCATGACTATCGGTGGTCGCAGTCCATCGACGGCTAGTCTGAGGACAACAGGTCATAAAGGAACGCCTCGTGAGCCGCTGACCATTGGTGTTGGTCATAGTCCATCCATGGCTAGTATGAGGACAACAAAAAAATAATATTTAATTTAAGTTTATTTTTTAAAAGTTTAACAAAATCTAAATATTTTTGTTTTATATAATTTTCTGAGTTTATAAAAATATTTTTTTTGTTAAATTTATTTACGTTTATATTACCGTAAAGTTAAATATATAGATTTTTTTTTGAAAAAAAAAACAAATTTATTGTAAACATTTAAATTAATAATATATATTTTTTAAAAATGTTTTATTTATATACTAATTTTTAAAAATTATGATTAAATATTAAAATCAATATAATCAGTTTTAAATAATATAGTGGTAAAAAATATATAATATAAACTACAGTATATTATTAATAATATTAAAGTTAATAATAGATTATATAACAGTGTACTGTATATTAATGCTTGTTTTCCCGGATAAGTATATCAACTAAAACTACATTACAGTAATAATAATAATAAGTACATTATACTGTATAATAAATCTCAACAAATATCAATATATTTTAATATGTATTATGGATACTATTAAAACAACTAAAAATAAGATATAATCATCACATAATTAAATCAATTAACCAACAAAAAAAAACATAACAATCCATTACATTATTACTGTATTTAAAAACAAAATCAATTAAACATTATTTTTCAAATTTAGGAGTAAATTATTGTGTAATAATAATAATAAAACGATTGTATATAAATTTATAGGTATATAACACATAATATATTCAATATATAAACTGTATATTTAATTAAATATGAAATATCTTTCAATCAATCAATCAAAGTCATTGGTGTCGGAAAAGACAACATTAAATAAGGCACTGATTAGCCAAACAAATAGCGTATTGATTGGCGTAAAGATAGTGTACTGTAGACTATAGATGAGATAACCGAGAAAAGCGCCGAAAACGGCATCAAACAGATGGTGTCGGCCGAGTAGTACGCGCGACGCGCACACCGACAGCGACCACAACCAGACGGCCAGCGACAGTAGTGGCGAAAGATTGCCGAAAAACATTGCCAAATATATGGCCCGAGAACAGTGACCCGACGGAAACGAATGCTTGTCCGGTCCGATTGTCAAGTGATCGTCTTGTCGGGCATAGCCGGGTCGCCGACGACGGGCCATAGCCTTGATTACGGCCACTGCAATAATGTCCAGAATAAGTCCGGTCAACAGCAGTGCCGCCGCCTTGTTGTTCGATACTAAGTACAGCGATATGATTGTGGCCACCAACCAGAAAATACCGTGACACGAATACTCCAGTGCTCGTAGCCATCGATGATAGGACGGTACCCGCGAACCAATGTGTCGGGTGGCCGACCGATAGATGTTTAACGAAATGTTTTGGTCGACGGCTTTCAGATTTTCCATTAGATTTTTATTTAGTTTGACCATCATTTTTGTCAGTCTATATATATGTGTGTATACAGTATATGAATCTCCGCGCGTCAATTGACCACTCAATCCAGTGGACACCCGATTGTTTCGATCGATTGATTGTTTTGATTGATTTAAACGATACAATCAATGACTCAACTGATTGATTGCATTCACTATAATATAAATATTTTGTATATATTTTTCTGTTTATCCAATCATTCACTTCAATAGTGATGTAATGTATATTTGTTTGACGTGTACTTCAATGTAGCGCTTAATTTGAATGACAGTCTAATTATTAGTATTTATAACGTAATATATAAACCAATAGTTTGAGAACAAGTATTTTAATTACAGGTTTTTTTTGAAATGATTATAACTTTTTTTTGAAATAAAACCAAATAATTTGCTGATTCATGAAATAATGACATTTTTGAAATATTTATAAATTTACAATACAATAGTTTTGTTTGTGTTTAAAAATCATATAAATATAATTAAACATTTATTTATTTAATTTTATCAAATGAGAGATAAAAATATTTTTAGTACAATTAGAGAAACTAATAGTTATTATAAATTAACATTTATTACCAGTAAATATTAAATACAGATCAAACAAAAAAAAATAGAGAAAAACAAATAATAAATTTATAACTAAATTGTGTTTAAAAAATTTGTTAAATCATCCAAATTATAGATTACACGATACGGTATATTCTTAGTGGACAACTGTCTTAGTTTGGTTGCCATCAAACCATTCAACTGTTGTTGTTGTTGTTGTTGAGTGATGGCTACCGACTGGTCAATGATTTCCAATGAAATGTCATTCAATAGGATCGATGCGATACCGATATGACTCAATTGATAAGACAATTGTGGATCATATTTGTCATTATTATTATTTTTATTATCTTTGAGCCAATGATAATATTCTTCAAGTTTTGGTCTAATTTTCAGCTCTTGGCTAATGTAATGCTTGATCTCTTTAGCAATTAATAGCAATTGATTTCGTCTTTCAAACTTCAACTCTGGCTTTTCAATGGCTATCGACTCTAAAATAAAATATAAATCTTTGGCCACTTTATGCCTTTCCGATGCAGAGTACTGTCTTAACCATAGTTTTGAATCAAGTGTTTGACGCAAAATATTTTCGGGATATATGTTTAGAATAATTAACGATTTAAGACTATCGATGAGATAATGTGGATATGTTTGAAAATCTGCTGAAATCAAGTTTTCCATATGTTTGAGTATATACTCAACCAACTGATCATTTAGTCGATGATTAACCCACGAGACTGACCATAAAAATCTCGACAAATCTTTGCTACGGATCTCTTTGTTTTTGGTGTCAGCGGTAGTCGTAGTAATCTTCAACAGTTGAACAGCTCTTTCATCGGCAATCAATTGATACATTTCTCTATCATATATCGATAAGCTGGCAAAAAATGCCAAATAATTGGCGCACTCTGTAAATGAAAATTGTTTCCAATTATTTGTAATATATTGTCTAATAGTTTGGATCAGATTCGAGTCATCAAATCTATTTAAACGCATATATTTAACAATCGACAGGACATGAGATTTACTCAATTGATTTTCACGAATATCTTTGCCAACAATGTCGGCAAACAACGATAAAACGGCACTATTTTTGAACATCACTTTCAACCGAAATAATGATAAACACATGACAGCAATATCGGTTGCAGTCAACGGTTGATCATCGGGTGACCATTCGTACAGAAAATAGTTTTCGAGTTTATCGATAATCTTCGACAATAGAAAATTGAAATCGTCTTTGTTTTGAGTGTTGATTATTGAACATAAATATAGTAATTGACTCAAAACGAAAATGTTTTGTCTTTGCAATTCAAATGTGATTTGCGGCTGAAGACTATCAAAATAGTGGACAGTATTTGTGTGATCACTTCCATAGATAATTATCATTGTGTCCAATATATAGAGTTTAGTCTTTAGTGGAAACTCATGTTGTCTTAAGATAACATCAAAGTTGTTGCTGTTGTTGTTGTTTGACTTATTCTTCTTAACGATACAATCGGACAGTTGTTTCATAAACAACTGTCGATCATTACTACTACTACTATCACTATTATAGTCATCACTACTGGATGGAGACATTTCGTTGTTATTGCGGAACGTCGACTCCTGAAAGTGATCCGAATCGTGGAAATACCAAAACGATTTGTTTGGCCGCCATTTACGGGACTTCAGGAATGGTTGCAACGAATTTGAGACAACACTTAAATACCGTTTCGTTAATATGTTTAATGTCTTCATTGATATAGTGTTTATGTGTTTAAGTGACAATCATATGAAAACTTATAATAATAATAATAATAATAATAATAACCACAAAAAACAACTGATTCTTGTAAAACAACAACTCTTTTTTGTGTTTCTCTCTCTTAGATCTTATGATTTGAATCAAACGGACACGAGTTCTTGTATTTGATTAGTAAATCTCTTTTCATAGACAACTGTTGCCGCAATGCGTCCAATGAGTTCAGCTGTTCCTCTTGGGTAACACCGATGCCGTTAATTTGGGTGACCTGTTGGCGAAATTGGCTGAACCGGTCCTTCAATTGCTGTAGTTTTTGATTGGCGTCGTTGGCCGCCGACCCGGTAGACGATTGTTGCGGTTCGCGATTAGCAATGGCAAGTGTCTTCTGACCCAAACTGGACACGTCGTGAGCGTCGCGCTCATAACTATTAGACGAGTGAGACAAAAATCTGGTCAGTTAGCCGTCGGGTGTCTGTGTCTATAATGATAACACATACCTTCGGATAATATCGTAGATGAGTGGCAGGAAATCGGTGTTCAGGTCGTCCACCGATAGCGTATTGTTGGACATAATGTTTGGTCACCCGCCCGAAAAATTGGCCAAAATTTACCGATACATTCAAACAATCAAATCCGGGGTTTTTTATTTGCCAATCGGTATATAAATGCAAACAACAAATGTCCGCAAACTGTGTTACAAATTAATTCATATAAACCGTATTCAAGTGTTGTTTGAGTGTTAAAGTGTTGGACTGTCTAACTGTTTATGTATTGGGGAAATGGGGGGTAAAACCTATGTTTTTTTGTGCTAAACTAGTGTTACCCTCTAGTGTTATAGAATTTAGCTTGATACAATTTTTAAAAAAATTTATACAGGTACATATTCCAGGTATTATGTTAAGACTAAATTAATAAAATAATAATAATAATAAGTTATCAATGAGTTTATATATAAAATTTAAATATAATTTATATCTATACTATAGTTATATTATTTTATGATTTTTTTTGGTTAACTAAATTTAATAAATTATTTTCTCATTTTTTGTTTGTTTGTTTGTTTCATTTTAATTAATTTATTTTATTATTTACTTAATATTTATATATTTTTAGTATATTTTTAGTAAATCTTTAGTGCGTGTGTGTATGTAATGTATATATATTTTTATAAAATGTTATCAAATTATCAAAGTGTAAACTTATAGCAAAAATACTAAAATTCAACTCAAGTGTGCGTATATTTGTGTGGGTTTATATACAGTATAATTTATTTTGAGTCAAATTTTACATGAATTTAGATAATTATATTAAAGAATATAAATTTATATACTATATATAAGTATTATATCACTGGCAATATATAATTTTATAAGCAATATGTCATATAAATTATTATACAATATATTCTGTAATATACTCTCTTATACTGTATATGTATTGTTGTTGAATATCATTTGTATTATAGTTTATTAGTTTATACTATAACTAAATCGCTTGATTTAACACAATTAACTCTATTATATTAGATCTAATGATGCATTTTATTAGTATATATATTTTTTGTATGTATGTGTGTGTATGTGTTTGTATGTGTTTGTATTACCAATTAATCTCCAAACAAATTGTCATTAAATAAGAATCAACAAATACAGTACATATAAATAAGTTACTTATTATACAATATAGTGTACAAAAAAAATAATTGTGGCTTAAAAGAATAAATTATCTTGCTTATTTTGTTTGTCTAGGACATACTAAATTAGCATGATAACTATATATGTTAATATTATAATATTATATACTGTATATATATTAATAAATTAATTTTAACCTTTAATTTTAAACTTAACGTTTTAACGTAAATTTATTATTATAAAATTCATTTCACATAATAATAATAAATCTAATTATTATATTTTTCTACAAAATAATTTATATTAATATTGCAATAGCATAATTATCTAGTAATTTAATTTATGTTATTCATTTATTGTTACAATTAAAATTATAGTTTAGTATATTTTTTGTTGTTGTTGTTGATTGTACTGATATACAGTTATATTCAATAGTAACCTTGAATAAATTATTTTAAAAATTTAGACTTGATTTATAGAAAAATAAAAATTTAATTAATATAATTGAAGGATAATTTATTGCTACTACTATTATTAAATTGCTAAATTACATAAAATAATAATATTAATAAATATTTCTACCTTATTGTAGAAAAATATTAAATTAAAAATAAAATTAATATTTTTATCATAATATGTAAAATGTGTACTAATATCATACTAAACATTACTTTACTATATATTAATATATATATATAATTTATATATATACAGTATATACAGAATCTATATAAAAATAATTTAATGTACTATATAAATAAATACACTGTGTATATTATACAGTAATACAGTAAAAAAAATGAATATATGTTTTTCTATAATATATACAATATTTTTATTTTATTATTTTTATTATATATATACCTTAGATTGCAAATAAAGTGCATAACATAAAAGTATATAAAATACAGTGATCCACATCAGCATCACTGGAGGCACTGTTGAGTCTAATGTAAAAAAAACTATAATACAGTGTACTGTATAACTGCTGTATATGTTATAAAAATTAAATACAAGTGCTGTAGTGTGTATTTTGTTGTATGTGTTTTGAGAGTATGTATGTACTGTATATGTCATGTAATGTAGTGAAATGTTGGCTAATATTTTTCTATGTATGTCTCTCTTGACTATGGCTATTGGTTTAGGCATACCTTTGCAAATCCCTTTTTGCAAAAAGCAATAGTGATTTTCAACATCAATGTGAAACGGTTTCTATGGATATATATAAATATATAGAGATATACTGTATATGGATATTCACCTAAAATGATGGGAAAAAGCGATACATTTTGGCAGAGCTTTTATTATTATTATTATTATCAATCGACGACTACTACTAGTATTTTTATAGAGCACTGGTATGTTATATACAATATTATATATATATAAGTATAAGTACCTGTTTTTATATATGTGCTTATATATGTGAAAAACATAAATATATTTAAAATTGTTTATCATTTTATTTAAAAGAAATTTTTTTATTTACTATATATTTATAATATAAAACTTATCTATAAAAAAGTGTCATTTATATATATAGTGTGTGTATGTGTATGTGAAATAACAATACATGTAAATAACACTATACACTATATTTATTATTATTATGTGTCAAAAATTATATAACGTGTAAACAAATTTTATTGTCGTCTATATCTATTCATATAAATAATATATAGTATAGTTAAAGCTTCATTGAATATTATATATATATATAATTTATATATAAATTTTATATGTAATGATTATAACTGATAGTAAAAATATGTGCCAAATATTTATACTACCACTCAATCATTTAGTAAGTGTCTCCCAATAAAAACTTATTTATTATTCATTAATAGCTTATTTATTTATTTATAGATTTATTATTATTATTAGTTTGTATACTTTCTATAAGGATTGATCTATAATTAGAGTTTAAGTAAAAAAAATTTTTTTGGTGGTATCATTGATATATGCCTATAAATAATTTCTCATAATGATCTAATACATCATCATAATAAAGAGCACCTGTAGCTTAGCAGCATCAGCTCAGCTCAGCCGTATATATATATAAATATATAAAAAAAACATGATTATCTTTTATTTATTTTTCTACAAAAAATGGTAATAATATTTATTTCATAATACATATTTAAAAAAATAAATAATAAATACTGAAAGTAATGCATTAATTATTTGTGTTTAAAAACTAATTGTTAGAATAATTAACATATACTTTCTGTAGACTAATCCACAAATAATGCTATAATAATAATAATAATAATACCATAATAGCTGAGTCTATCTAAAAATAAAATTTTATTTGTTTTATTTTATAAATTAATTATACCATGAAATCTACTTTGTATGCTTCTACAATGTTAAACAATTTATATTAATTAGTTAACTAAAATTTATTTTCTAATCAATTATACAGTATTCACTCACAAATTAACTCAAATAGCAGCACAACAATAACAAAAAATAATATAAATAGTTTTATATTTAATAATTTAATATAAAATATTTTATTACCAGATATTCAATAATAAAAAAAAATAATAATATCAATAATATAATATTGCATAACAATATATTTGCATAACTTTAAATATCGATTGTATACAACAACAACAAAATTCAAATTTTATTTTTCAATATTTTTATTTTATAGATAATCTAATTTTTAAAAATCTTAAATGCCTTTAAAAAAATCAAAAAAAAAATTTGGAGGAAATATTATTTATTTATATTGTATATACTATATACTGTATATATATTTAGAAAATAATAGTTATAATAAAATTTACTTTCTATTAGATGGCAATTTGATTGTCAACAACGCCAACAATGACTATGAGGTAAAAACTAACTCTTTTATTATTATTATTATTAAGAGGAAAAAACATATTATAGTTTTTATTAAATAAAATGTTTTCACTTTAGTATTTTTAGGTAAAATACTGTATAAATCTAATTATTATTTGAGTCACTATTCTCTCTCTTTCAATGTTATCTCTTTTATTTTATCATTTTTTTTTGTTGTTTTTTTATTTATACAATTATATAAATTTATATATACTGTGTACTGTGTATTATAAAAAAAAATTAGTGATCGCAAACACACAGATTGTAATCCAACTAATATTGTTAACAATACCGATGCCAACGATTATCGACAATTGGCTGCAATTATTGTCGATAATCTGCTGACAAAAGCTATTAGTAAAGCCAGTGAACAGTTACTACAGTCACGGGCGGCACAAATGAATTTACCGCAAAACACAACTAACTCAAGACATGGTCTCCATCTAAATGTTAGTATATTTTTTTGATTTATTTATATAATTTATATATAAATACAGTATATATATATATATATATATATATATATATATAGATTAAATATCTATGATAATAAAATACTAATTGCTTACCATTAAATTCAATTCAAATAATTCATCAATTGTCTGTGAAAATCAAAATCAATAATATTAGAAAATATTTATATTTTTAAAAAAATTATCTATAATTAAATCTTATTAATTTTTTTTGTTTTGCTATTTTATTAAAATCTATTAAAAGTTATTGAAAAATTTAATTTAATTTTGATTAGTTAATTACTAATTTATTTTCAAAATATTTGACTAAAACTACAAAAAAAAAATTCGACTAAAACTAATTTTTTTAAATTATATAATTATTGGTAATTAATAATTATTATTAATTAATGGTATATTAGTTACCGCCGGCCATCCAAATAGACTTAGCCGGTACCAGAACGCCCAGTCCAGAGGAAGAATCATTAATCGATTGGTCGGTCAATAAGAAAAATTATATATTCAAAGCACCGGTAGTGCCGACACCTGACCAACAGTCGACTAGCATTGACACCGATTTTTCTATCAATGATTACGAACCGAGTCTTAAGGATGTGGACTCTATCTTCACGAGTTCACACTTTGATATCTCATCGAAGGTAACTAAAAATTACTTAAAGATATATATCATATATATATTATGTTTTTATTATTATATGTTATTTAATGCAATAGTTTTGTTTTGTTTGACAATTAATTTACAGAATAATATGGATTTGGATGATATCAAAGACTTTGCCAAAGACTATATCAAAAATATTATCACATCAGCCCTTGAAAGCATTGATTTAAAACAATTAGGTATACATATAATAGTTATCTATTAATATTTTTTTTTTAAATTAATAGCATTTATGATAAAAATATTTTACATTTAAAAAATATTAAATCATCTAATAATTTGGGATTATTTTTTTAGACAATGACAATGTGCTGCTTAAGACATCGCTTAGTAATGACCATCAATGTTGCGATTCTGGCAACACATGTATGATAGGTATACGACATGTATTCGCCCGACTCATGAGGACAGCCTGTTTTTGTAAAAGCAGACAACAGTTTCGTCGACATAATAATAATAACAAGTCGTGATTATATATTCATACTAAAACACACACACAAACATATCAGCATTTATTGCTCAATATATTCAGAATATATTATATAATAAAAAATTACTGTAAATATATACATACAGTATTATAAAAATTCATATATATATATATAAATTTTATATATATATATATTGATATTTAGGACTTACCATAATCTCTAGTGATTGACAAGTATGATGAATGTTAGTAGTCATCAAAAAAAATTCAAATGGGAACAGAAATTGCCGCAAAATAATGACTGTCTTTTAAGATTATTATATATAAAAAATAATAATATTCTATATATATGTGAAACCCAATTGTTTTTTGTGTAAATGTTATTAACTGTGTGTTAAACTAAATAATTTTAATATTATTACTATTACAGTATTAATAGTACTAAAATCCTTTTTTTGTAATTTTGTTGACACAAGTGATTTACCAAAAAAAAATATGATTGTTTTTATGATGTACAGTATATATCAATAGTTTTTACCTGTATATACAGTATATACATCATGTTATTATTATATAATATATATATATAAAACGTATATTTGTCTACCCTATTATTATACTATATGATGATTATTAAATAAAATTTTACATTAACAGTGATAATATATATATATATAAATTATATACATACAGTATATTAATATATTTTAAATAACCAAAAATAGGCGCTCATTTTAATTATTGAATTTTTAAATTTAAGCTAAAAAAATAAATGTATTATTATTATTATTATTCCTCAATTAATAATATATAGACTTAATTTATACAAATATATTGATATTAGAAATGGTATTATATTATAAACAGGGTTTTAATTTATACAATGATTTAATTGTTATATACATAATTTTGTAACCAATATTTTTTAACAAATTTAGAAAACAAACAAAAAATATATATATGATATACACCGTGTTGTTTAGAATCTATTGATATTTTTTAATTATTTAATTTAATAAAATAAAATCCAATTAATTTCATTAATAAAAACAAACATAAACAATGTTATATTAATTATTAAACTTTATATCCGTCATGTCCATTTTTAAAAATCTATTTTTATATACTAATAGTAAAGTATATTTGAAATTTGATCCAGGTAAGTTTTAATAAACTGGTTTATAATGTCTATAATAGTTTATTTAAATTCCTCTAATAATTATTAATATAATTATTAATATTGAACACCTAATACAGTAGACCTAAACTAGTATTTATTTATTTATTTGATTTAGTATAGTTTAAAAATAGTTTGTTATAAAATTTATTATATTTTTATTTAATTAAATACTTAAATTACTAATTATTTATTTAAATTTTTATTTATTTAATTATTTATAATAAAAATAGACAATAATACTTTTCATAATTGATAAAAATTATTATTATATTGTATATGTATTATAATTATAATAAGTTTGGTTACTTGAAGTTACAATAATTATAATAATAAGTTGCATTTATGTATTAATTTTAATTGCATATATAACAAATATATTTTGACAAAATTATTTACCATATGAAGCCATTAAAAAAAATTTGGTATCTAATCATTATTTCTAACAATTTCAATTATTTCACAATATATAAATTTTTATTAATACATATAATTTATACAGGTATAAATTAAAATCAAACTCCACATAATTTATGTTAAATTTGTAATTTATAAATTAGTATTAATTTTGTTTTAGTTATCAATCAATATGATTGATAAAAAAATGCTTTTAAAAAAATTTGTGAAAATTTTACACGTCTAATTATTAAAATTCTATCATAGTACCCCCCCCCATTCCAGGTGTTAACCAAGCTAACTATTATAATAACTAACTGTTTTAATTATTATATATATATACCTAGATCAGATTTTATAAGTTTATAAAATTAAAAAGTTCAAAATAAACTTTTATATAAAAAAAATGAGTACATTTAAATGAGACAATTAAAACTGGTAAATGTTAAATATAGCTTATTATTAAATTAATTTTATTAAATTATTAAATAGATAACTTATTTTTTAAAAAAACTACTTTAAAAACTTATTTACAATAATATAAAAAAATACTAAATGTTCGTAAGTGAAGACTTGATATCAAATGTATTGTTTTGAATGAATCGAACATTTGGTACTATTTAGGTATTACCCATAAAATTGTGTTTTAAATGCATTAACAATAACAACAACACTGTATTGAAAATTTCAATTTGAAATACAGTATAAATGTTTTACAGTACAGTACTGTCATTGACTGTCAATGACTGAGCAATCAATGTATAAACAGTTGACGCAAACAGTGATTAAAAATAAAAATAAAATTAAAAAAACTATTGTTTTATTGTTTATCACTTTAATTAGTCATTAATTATCTGTTTGTTTAGTTTTTTTTATTTATTAATAATTTGATCACACATTTGATCCGCCGTTCAATTGGATTCTCTAACTTTGTAGATGAGCTATAATTTTGTGACCATTATTTGACAGACAAACAGACAATCATAGCTACCGTCGAGGAAGTGTCAGAAGATATATATGATATCATAAGTGCTGGTTGTGTTTGGGGGTCAATAACTCTCTCGCTCGAGAAGCTGAGGAAGAAGAAGAAGAAGTAGTGGTGGTCTTTGGACATCCAACTATGAGATGGTCGACAAAGTGTACGGTTTTTTTTTGTGGTGAATCTTCTTTACAGATGAGAGATGTCTTATAACATCTGGTTTTTTTAAATAGGCTAAACCTGTTGTCACCGAAACTCGAAAGACTAGCAAACATTAGTCTTTCAACTGATTATCAACACTTCAGAAGCAATGTGTCGCTCAAGAAAGTCATTGTTGACGACGACTCATCGAAAGTGTGGTCACTATACGATTGCGGACCAAAGACTGTCACATCACCGCTGATATGTTTGCCGCCGGTCAGTGGCACTGCCGATGTCTTCTTCCGATTGCTGATAGATTTGTCGGCCAAAGGCTATCGAGTAATTTCGGCTGAATATCCAGTCTATTGGACAGTTAGAGAGTTTGTCAATGGATTCTCTCGCCTATTGGATCACATGAACTTAGAGAGAGTTCACGTATTGGGTGCCTCTTTGGGCGGATTTTTGGCCCAAAAGTTTGCCGAAAGTACTTATCAAAGCCATCGCATTCAGTCATTAATTCTGGTCAATAGTTTTGCCGATACATCGGTCTTCAATCATACAGAATCGGCAGTCATGTCAGTCATTGAAAAACAAAATATTTATTTTATATTTCAATTTATTTCAATCATTTTTTTTGGTGGTCTCTAATCCAGGTTTTGGATGACTCCGAGCGCTTTGCTCAAGAAGCTGGTAATGGGAAGTTCGTCAATGATTACCACATCGAAAGATGATCAATATATTATTGATGCCATCGAATTCATGTCCGAACGATTGGATACATTACCTCAACCAGAATTGGCCTCCAGATTGACATTGAATTGTATCAGTTGTTATGTTGAACCGCAAAGACTCAACAACATTGATATCACATTATTAGATGTAAGTAGTTTTGACAATTGATTACTATATATCTTAGATATCTTAGATATCTTTAATATTGTCCATCACTTAATGGATCCAATCAGGTGTTTGATCAATGCGCATTAAGCCAATCGGTACGCGAAGAACTGTACAAACTATATCCCGATGCCAGGAGAGCACATCTGAAAACGGGCGGCAATTTTCCGTATCTTAGCCGATGGGATGACGTTATTATGCATATTGTTGTTCATTTGCGGCCATTTCAAAATACAAAATATTCCGCTTATTCCGACCACATTGAATTGGCCACACAGGTTATGGCCGACGACGGCAATGGCGGCGACGACGACAACGACTTGCATGAAACGACGCCAACATTTATCGGCGACAACGCTGTTGCTCAAGACATTTAGAGATCGGACAAAATGGGTTTCAAAAAAAAAAAAACAAAACAAAACAAAATATAAAACCAGAAACAAATTAGTGATAAATTTTTTTTAAACTGAAATATTTGATTAACTGTTTTATTAGTAATTATTTTTAAAATAATTATTATTACAATTTATATATGATATCAAAACTATTAATAAGATATATCTATAGATATTTATATATATTTTTTATATGATATAATTAAATATAATATAAAAAAATTTATTATTATTATTAATTATTTAACTGTTAAACGACTAAATAAATCAAGTGATGAACAATCAATTGATTATTTGTTTTATAATGACTTTCTATTAGTTGATCCCATTTTTAATGATATCCTTTAATGTGTCAGCGATTGTCTGCCCTTAAGTATCCTTTGCATCACAATCTTTCGGCCTTTGGTCGTCGAAATCCGTGCAATCCATCCAAACTTACGCTGCCGTTTGACCTCCGAATTCTTCTCCCAATACCAGCGGACATTATGCCTCACCTGACATGTGGTCACCGGTTCAGTGGTCAACAGTCGGCCAAAAGTTTGGGCAAATTGTAGGCTAGTCTTGAATAGTGACATCTTCTTGACGACAACAACGAGGACGACGACTACGGAAGTATTTAGTTGTTTATCAACACACAAGTGGACACAGAAGATGAAGAAAAAAAAGATAAATAAACAACAACTGAATCAAATTGAATCAAAAGATAAGTTATTTGTGAAACACTTCCCGACAACTGAAGAATTGGTTTCAGTAAAAAAAAAACTAAAATTTATTTCTCTATTTGTTTTGTGTGTAAACAAAAACAAAGTCAAATGTGAAGACGTCTTGAATTTGATGACCAGTTTTGTTGTCGCGTTATTTATTGTCGATGTTATGTCTATATTATATAATACATATTAAAAACAAGGAATCAATTGATTTGGTCATCAGTTTGTCTGCTATTATCTGCTATTTGTGTGTGTTTTTATTTGATGGTCATCGACGGTGAAGTCATCACTTGATATTAAAAGATAGAGAAAGCTGTTGGTTGACAGTGAAAGACAGAGACACACACAAAGAGATTGGACACAACTTTCATATATATGTGATATATGGATGTAATAACCAATGACCGCAACAATGATCATCAAGTCTTCATCAGACGTAATGCCAAATATTTGAGACGATGTCTTCAAGTGTTGCCTTCATCTCACTCTTCATTAGACATTAGCCGGTAATTCATTTGTCTGTTTGTTTGTCATTCAATTTGATCACTGAATTGTTTTTTTGTGCTATATTTAGTCTGACGATAGCCTTCTTTGCCATTTCTGGTCTCGATTTGCTCAACAGTCTGGATGTTATTGAAGACGATCGGCAATCCATTATTGATTGGATCTATTCGTTGCAGATATTGACCACAAATTGTATAATAATAATAATAATATTGTTTTTATGATAATCCTATTTAACAAATCAATGAACAAATCTTCTATCTTAAAGCTAAACACATCGGCACCGGTCGCCACGGGTTTCGCGGTTCACCGACTAATGGCAGGGATCATCCGTACGATTGCGGCAATGTGGCCATGACCTATTGTGCCCTATCGTCGCTGGTCATACTAGGCGACGATCTTAAACGTGTGGACAAGGAAGCCATCATTAACGGACTCAAAGATCACCGATTAAGTGACGGCAGGTATCGGTCAAAAAATAAAACAATCGGCTTTTTATTAGTAGTAGTAGTAGTTATGACAACTTGTTTGTCACTATTTTAATTTTAGATTTTTTAAAATAATTTACCGGTAGTTAAAAAAAATAGGGTTTATTAGTTATTACCGATTATTAGTTGAATTATGGGTAATAATTATTTGTTACTATAATAATAGTTATTTTTTTAAAAAATAGTGATTTAATAAAAATTTTTAAATTACCGATAAAACTATTGAATATGATTAGCATTTATAAAATTTTCCGCTAATTACCGGTAATTATGATATACGACTTATTAGACATTATATAGCCATCAAATATTGTTGTGATTTAGCAATTGATTGATTGATTTTTTTTTTGACGACCAGTTTTGTTCCGGTAGTCTTCGAGAAGGAGAACGACATGCGATTTGTCTATTGTTGTGCAACCATATCATACATACTGAACGATTGGTCAGCCATTGACCGACAAAAGACGGTTTCATTTATAATGAATAGTTTTGTATGTTATTTGTCTTAATTATTATATATTTAAAAATATATATATAATTCAATTTGATTTTTAAAAAATTGTTGTTTAAGACCTACGACTGCGGCTTCGGTCAGTGTCCTGGTCTGGAAAGTCACGGCGGTTCCACGTACTGTGCGTTAGCTTCGCTGTCATTGATGGACGAATTAAGCCAATTAAGTGCCAAACAGTTATCATCGTTGACGAGATGGTGTCTCTTCCGACAGGCCAACGGCTTTCAGGGCCGGCCTAACAAAGATCCCGATACCTGCTATTCATTTTGGGTCGGAGCCGCTCTCAAGCTTATTGATGCCTATCATTTGATTAATATTAAACAAAATGAAAATTTTATATTAGATACACAGGATTTAGTTACTGGAGGTCTCGCCAAATATCCAGATAACACTCCAGGTCTGAAACAAAATAAAATAATCTAAAAAATAAATTATTATTATTATTATTACTGTATAATTTATTAACAATTTATCAATAACTTTAAAACTGTTTACTACAGATCCTATGCATACATACCTCGGCTTAAGCGGTATGGCTTTAAATCCAACCAACAATTACCTGTTATCGGTTTATGCGGCGCTCAATATAAGCGATAGGGCTGTCCAACACTTAAATAAATTGCATTCCGATTGGAAAAACTCGTAATATTTATAAGCAAAAACAAAATGATTATAAAATTTGTGTTAAAATGCAATTTATATACAATTTTAATTATTATTTTATTTATAAATACATATTAAGGTAATTAATAATATTATTACAATAATATATTTTATTTATATACACAGTATATTTATATATATATATATATGTTTTAAATTAGTATATTAGATAATAGTTTTTTAATTGAATTTTATAATAATTTTATAATGTTATTCATTGTCCATTAAATAAAAAATTTGATAATTATTGTACTTTAATTAATATACAATTTTATTTGGATATGAATGTTAAGTTTTTTGACAAACATAAAAAAATATTGTTTAATTATTTGTTACTATTATTTAATTGCTCACTAAATATTTTATACATTAAATATTTATATATTATATACAGTATATATATATATATATATATATATATATATATATATATGAGTTATTTTTAATAATTAAGATGATAAATTGTCACTGAGGCTTAATAATAATAATTGTTTAATAAATGTTTTTTTTTTTAAAAAGTATTTACAACATTATTTTATACATACTTATATTCTTGTTGTTTATAAAAAGTTTATTTACATAATTTTTTTTATGATTATTATTATTATTAAACGATAAATTTGTATATAAATTTAGAATCTATGAATTTTAGGTGTACTGTATTTAGAGTAAAGTAAAAACTAATAAAAATTATTATAGTAGTAATACTAATAATAATATTGTATATTATTATTATTATTATATATACTGTATATATAAAAAATAACATTAGGTCGTGCTTTCATACATTAATCTAACAAATAATAATAATAATAATAATTTTAATCGATTTGCACTCTTGATATTTTTGGAAAATAAATATCAGGTGCAATTTTTATTATTTATATATTATTTTTTTATATATATATATATATAGTTCAATAGAGAGTAATAGTTACTTGAATATAATAGTACTTACTGTACAGTTAAACATAAATATTATATACATAAAATATATTCTGTATAATAGTTATGTATCTAAAAATAAACTCAAAAAACTAGAATATCCTGTGAATTATTCTGGTAATACATATTGACATTACATAAAAGTACAGTAACTTATATACAATATATAATATAATATAAAGAATATGGGAGATACGTTTTTAGTGATGCATGTTAGTCAACCAATCACAAATATTGCCACTAATTGTGTATGTGTGTGTGTGTGTGTGTGTATGCGTATGTATATGTATATGTATATGTATATGTATATGTATATGTATATGTGTATGTGTGTGTGTATGTATGTATGTATGTGTGTGTGTATGTATGTATGTATGTGTGTGTGTATGTATGTATGTATGTGTGTGTGTATGTATGTATGTGTGTGTGTGTGTGTGTGTGTGTGTGTGTGTGTGTGTGTGTGTGTGTGTGTGTGTGTGTGTGTGTGTGTGTGTGTGTGTGTGTGTTGTTATACATTACAACAATTCAAGGCTCTAAACTAAATGTCTAATTTCATGGTTATTTTATCCCCAAGTAAATTAAATTTTTGCTTCATAGATACTGTATTATTATTATTATTATTATTAGTTCATCATTTATATAGTTTAAATTATTATCTATTAGTTTTGAACATAATGTTTATTTATATAATGTAAATGTTATTTATTTTATCTAACTATATTAATGGTATTATTATTATTATCAAGCTCAAACAAAAAAGCTTTTTATTCAATAACAAAAAAATTAAGCTTATTTTATAGTTTAGATTATTTTTAGTATCTCAAACAAATAATATTCTATAAACACACACACATTGCACATACCTGATATAATAATAATTGAATAAATAATGTGAATAATTCAATGTTAAAATAATAATTTTAGTAAAAAGATTTTTGTTAAAGTAAATCTCCAGAGAGAGAGAGAGAGAGAGAGAGAGAGAGAGAGAGAGAATTTTATTTTTAGAGCAATTCCTATGATTTTAGTTTAAGTTTACTTAGATTTCTATGATTTATTTACTAAATTATTTAATACCTATATATATCTAAACATTATATATATAATTGTATACATAGTATATAATGTATATATATAATGCATTTTTAATGTTAAACTTATTACTAGAGATTATATAAAGAAAAATATCAATTAATTAATTAATTAATTTTAATTAGATTTAAATCAATTTTTATATATAAAAAAAATTTTTAGCCAAAACATATTTTTTATAAGTAATAAGATCTATTTATATGTTTACAAAAATAAATTTTGTTGACTTTTAGTAACATATTTCAAAAATAGCTGTAAACATAAGGGAATAAATAGAAATAAAGGCATAAATGTGTTAAAATTATATTATATTTGATATCTTAAAAATATCAATAATAAATTATATTAAAAAAAATTATTAGAAAAAAATATATAAAATAATGTTATATATTATGAATAAAATATTTATATAAAAAACAATTTTGATGACTTTATTTTTTATTCTATATTTATTGTTAACAATTTTGATAATTTAATTTAGATATATATATATATATATATATATATAGTCATCAATTTATGGACAACAATAAAGTAGTTACAGAATTTATATCATATATATAATATTATATACATATATATATATATATACTGTAGAATGATATTGAAATTTACAAGAATTCACAATTAAGGTGAAAATAAATGGATATTATATTAAATTTATTTTTTTATTATTGATATTTGTGTGCAGACTATTATATAAAATTATATGATATATATATATATATATATATTAATATATATTCCTAGTACAGGATCATTGTGTATATATACAGTATATATATATATTGTACATCTATTTTGTATTGACAGTAAATTTCATGGTTAGTATACCTTTAGAGGCTGTCCTTGACTTTTACCTGAAAACTGCGTTTTTCAAAGTACGTGTCTCTCATCTCAATGACGTTAATGCCTTTCAATGCATTTTCATAGCTCTCTCTCTCTCTCTCTCTTTCGGCGGAGATTCGGCGCGAGTATTGCAGGTATTGGATGTGGACATACAGCACAATATATATATATACCCTAATAATATAAAATACAGTATATTATATATATAACCCCAATTTATATGAGATATAGTATATATAGATAGATTTTTTTCCTCTGACATTACCGATACACTGCTGAAATGTACCGACAGATTGAATACCTGTTGTTGGAGTAGTGTTGCAAAAAAAAGTTAATACATTTTTTCTATACTTTTGCATTGACAGCACTTATAATCATTAAAAAAAATTATCCAAACATCTCTCTCTCTCTCTCTCTCTCCTCTCTCTCTCTCTCTCGACCTTCAAATCTCAATCACTCAATGGTTTTTGATGACAGCATAAGACAAAAAAAAAAAGTTGGTCATCATCTTTGAAGTACATAAATTATTTCGAGTTCAATTACTTTATCAATAAGTTTTTATTTTATTATTATTATTATTAAGATATAAGTCTAATATCAATATCAATTTATGATATATTGTTTGTTTTTTGTTTGGTTGTAGACATAACTATTCTCAACATATAATATATTTAACAATCGATATATTTGTACTAATACTGTATTATTATTGAAAAAAATACATATATATTATAATTTAATTGATTATCTCATAGAAAGTGACCTTTAAAATAGTCTCTTAATTGCACAGGAAAAAAACTGGGGTAGGTTCACAAAAAAGCCGTTTGGTGTCGGGCCTAAACGTCACTGTTTATTGTCTCTGTATCGATGAATAGCCCATTTTATAGTGGAATGAAAAATTATCGCTTAGCGTTTCAGTCATTTATGACTATAAACACAATTTGTCTGAAACGAAAACACTAGTTATAGTTAACTACTGATAGATGTCGTAGTAGACGAGTGTCGTTCTCTGATTGACAGCCAATCAGAAAAGAGTGAGTATTTTTTTAATTAAAAATCGTTAGACGTCGGGAGTATACAACAAATTGTATAAAAAGTTTTTACCCAATCAGAGCACTGTTTGTTTGTTTCATTATTTCAATGATATAATAATCGCTTAGTGCGCAGCCATTGTTACTGTTGTTATTGCGTTACAGTATTTATTTGCCTAATACTATATTATACTACTATACAGTACTGTTAGTAATAAAACTGTTTATTTATTATTTGTTTATAATATCAGTTCATTTCATTTACAGTTAATTATTATCGGCAACAACAAGAAGACAGTCAATATGGACGAAGAGGAAGATTTGGTATCATTTGCAGGTAATTAAAATTGTTTGAAAAGATTTTAATTTAATTTAATAATAAAACATATATTATTAAATAACAGTACCATCGATGGTATTGTTTCGCCGAAAATACGACACATTGGTAAACATCAATTCGATATCAACTGAGGCCAACATAACCAACAGAAAACGAATCCGTATGTATTTTTTACATTTTAATTATCTATTAATTTAAATTTTTAATATTTTTTATTTAAATTTATAAATTAGTTTCACTCCCCGATGGTCAAAAAGGTCAGCAAATTGTTTTTGAAGACAAACCATTTAATGGCAACAAAAACCAAATGACAGATAAAGGACTCGTCGATTCTGGAGGTTTTGTGGAGGCCATCAAATCAACTGACATAACAAATGACGACTTAAATCCTCAATTGACTGCCGATGTCTCAAATGTGGCCAAAAATATCTTAAATAAGACTAAAAATAAGAAAACTATTGTAGAAACTGCTGACGCCGACGACTCATCTGCTAATGGTGATGATAACAGAAAATTTCTTCAGACGAAGAAACTTAGCGATCAAATCAATGAAATCAATGAAATCGATGAGACGGATGAAGAAGAGATCAATTCATTGCTCAATGAATATGGTTTCGATAATTATGACAATTATAATTTGATGCCAAGCTGTTCATCAGTTAAGCCAAAACAACAGTTTAAGAAAATATCAGTCGCAGATATTGATAATTTTCTTAAAAATTCGAGATCACACTC